ATTTAAATGTGTTTGGTTCACCGCACCGCTTGTACTTTATCAAGATTTCTTCGGAATTTCATACTGCTCTGCTTTTGAGTAAGCCCACGCAGCCTTCCTTTGTTTCCTCTTCTAAAAGAAAAAGGTTATAATATTGTTATGACACAATTCGATGCGACTATATAAGAATCATGATATAAGGATAAAGCTAAAAAAAAAATTGGTCGAGCAGACTACTTTCCGTTGAAGTGTTTCGTATAAAAAAATACGAGGAAGTAATTCTCTCCTTGCGTATTGAAAGCACAAGATAACAATTTTAACTGTGAATCGGGACAGAACGTATAGCTTGGGTATTAGGTGACTCCTCGTACCAAATACTCTTCTAGATTAGCATTAGTAGAATTATTCAAGACCAATTCTATTAGCAGAAAATAACCAAAATGCGTTGAAATCTCAGTTGCAAATATGATTAAAATCACGTCTTGAAGTTTCGTCTGTTATTTAAGGAGGTACAGAGTTGTAAATCAAGCAAGTTTTTTTTAAGACTAGGTTTGGGTTAAGGTTTTAATGAGAAATCTACAAATTAAAAACTATGTTCAATAAAATATGAAAAAGAGTAGCTAGGAGGACATTCCGATCATAATTCTGATCGTGGTTGAATATTCCATATCATGATTCTATCCAAACGATTTCTGTTCGAATTCGAATCTTTCACAAACATGGAACAAAGTGCAAAATATCTTAACTAAGGATCGGTGATAAATCAATATTAATCTTCATTTTATTGACATACGAAACTGAAAGCTCTTTTGTCGTTTTGTTAGCCAGACACCTTAGAAAATTGAAAGCTCAACAAACGATATCATAGTTCGTAGTCGGCGCAGAAGTTTTCAGTTTTAAAAAGTATTTCAAAATTAGTTTTAGGGGAAGATAGTGGTAGCATTGATATGAAGCAATTGTTGACAAAGGTAGAGCTACGTTATGTGGCACATCTTGGTTCCATGCTCTCGCTGAAAAAACATTGGAGGGAAAACAAAGCAACAGACTGATAATGCAGTTTTGTTATCCTCTACTTGACCTATATGTAACGATAATATAATAAAAACCAGAATAAACACCTGTTATAAGTCAGTATTGAAAAGCAGATATGTGAAAATATATCGTATTCGGAATTCGAAATTTTTTCAGAAGTCAGAGCCAGAATAGTATATATTTGAAATTTTCAACTCGTCGATTTTTACTCTTCAAATGTAGTTATCATACTTTTATAGCATGTTTTTACATTTTTGGCCAATTTTTACAAATATGATTTTGACAATAAAATTATCTTCCGAAAAAACATTCCTTGTATTGACAAATGTTGTTGTCGTACATTTCCGTGGAATCAACAATAAAAAAAACTATTGAATTTGGAATGTAATATTGTGTAAATAAATATATTATACGAACAGTGACGGGAACCAGATAAATATCTGTTTGTCGTTGGTGCCGCTGGAAAACACAGAATAATTTTTGAATTTGTACATTTTTATACAACGCACAATGTAGATCAGTGGTTTTCAACCTTTAGTACGCGCAGGGTTGTCCAAAACGAATCGAATATTCGAATGTATTCGAATATCAAAGTATTCGAATATCTTTTTGGCTGATTTTCGAATAATTCCGAATAGTAGCCACTTTTCGCCGTAAACGTGGTGTTTCGTGGGTGAACATTGCCGAAATTTGTCTACGAGGCTTCTAATTTACAAATTCATTTCCATTACGTCGAAAAATTACCGTATTTCCCCGGCTAATAAGTCGCTTTTCTAGGCCACCGAGATAAAGCCATTTGTGACCCTTTCGTTTTGCCGATTCAGCAGAACACGGCAGGAAAACACAGCTGTGAAATAACCCGTGGACGTACAGTGTATTACTTATCACATTCCAAAATTATTTCAACATTCGGATTTCGGGTTAATAGGTTGTCCAAAATGATTGTTGCTTTACAACTTAAATTTACCGCTCAATTGTTAAAAATAGTTAATTCTGTGAGTATAATTCTACCAAACTAACATGATCTGGTTCTAAACATTTAAAATTATTAGCGCATATCAGCATAACTGAACAACAGGGACACAATTTTTCTACCCGTCTTATTGCAGGTCTATATGGAAAAAACCCTTTTTGGAGTGCTAAATATAGACATCGTCCTATTTTCCATTTGGATTTATTAGCCGGGGAAATACGGTATTTATAGCAGTCATTGTTACGATATCCAATAAATTGTCACAAGTTGGAAAAACAAGTCGATTTATTAGAAAATAATTTCTGGCAAATAATTCTGATAACGATAGTTGAAAGTATCGATCCTTTACCAGGATGATTTTTTGTTGCGCAAAATAATCCAATCCATGACTGGTACCAGCATTTAAAATGTCATGCCGTATTAATTTAATTCTGTTCAACGAAACTCATGGTTTTATCGAGAATCTGTGGACATACAATTTGTGGTAAACTGTCCGATTTTATTAAATATTGATTCCTATTTTTATATTGATAAAATAATGAAAGTATTAATACCAAATACCACGGGTATTTGTGGACATGAAATACGCGGTAAACTGCACAATTATAATTTCGGATCGTATTTACAAAATAATTAAACTATTATAATTCTAAAATGCAACAGCGATCTGTGACCTTAAAATGTGTGGTAAACTGCCCGATTTACCAACATTTGAGTTATGATAATAGAATTAAATTAACACGGTAGGGCATTTTAAATAGTGGTATCGGTTATGGATTTGAATATTTTGCGCACCGCAAAATCATCTTAGTAAAAAGTCCATACTTTTAAATACAAATCAATGGCAACCATTATCCAAATTAGTTCCCAAGAGCGGGATAAAGTATAAATTCTTTTTCCGACTTGTGACAATTTTTCGTGAGTACGAAAATAAGAATTAAAAACTAATTATATTAGGCATAATATCACGACATACTTTATTCCGCTCTTTGGCAAATAATTTGGATAATGGTTGGTATTTAAAAGTATGGGCGTTTTCCTAGGATGATTTTGTGTTGCGCAAATATTCAAATCCATCCTCGATGCCACTATTGCCGCAATAATTAATTCTGTTAACATGACTCATGGTATTTAAAATATATACTCCAATAATCTGCAAATATGAAATGCCTGGTAATATAGCTAGGTTGTAACTTGTAGATAGCAGTTATTCCATTGCTTATTGTATGGAAATTCCTACATACATTTAGATAAGCTTTAATTAATGGATTTTATTTTCGAAGTATTCGAAATTTCATATTCGAAAAAAATAATTTCGAATGTATTCGAAATAGTGAACTATTCGGTTTTGGCCATCCCTGAGTACGCGTACCACTAAGTGGTACGAGAGTAGCAAATAACTTTTCAGTTGGCTAAAATATACCGGCAATATACCAGGTTTCGCTTAACGGCGTTTATAGCGCTACCAGTCCTTGTACTCGGAGATCGCCCTCGCCTCTACTTTCCACCTTAACCTAAAACGACGCGGGAAGGGTATGTTTTCGCCCATTTTTCGTGTTGCGTCTCAATGCATTGATAAATCGGCGCGTTCTGCGGGAGTGGTCGACGCGTGTCAAGATACCCTGGTAGATAGCGCCTTGATTTATTACACGCCCAAGGCTTGCGATAATCAGTGGTGGTCGAGCATTTCATCTCTGACGGTACGACGCAAAATATCTCGCGATATTTCGACTTTTTATACATGAGACAAAAGAATATTGATAATCGTTTATTTGTGTAGAAGATTAGTTCCACATTTTATGTAACTAAATACGTTGATATAATAAAAATGAAACGGTTGTTCAACAAAATTTTCATGTAGCTATGTATCCCCAAAAGTCGAATGTGAAATGTGTTGACAAATGACGATGACAAAAACAAACGCAAATCAAAATTATAGCGTGTGAATAACATGTGAACGACAGTTATATTCTCAACGCAGTTAAATTCCAACCCAGGGTGCCTTCATTGTGATTTTTCATCCTGCAGGGATAAACCTCGATTTCACGAACCAAATGAAAAGATCGTTGTTTTTCTTTAATAAGGCTTTCAAAATTCCATCATTTAAATAGCATCAAAGTAAACTTAGACAAAAAAAATGATATTCAAGGTCTTTCTATGCAAAAATATTCATAGAGTGATTGTCCGAATTTATGTGGTACTGAAAAAAATAAACTATGAAAATATAAGCAATTTATCGATGTTTCCGTAGCTACTTATTCTGAAAAAATATTTAACCGGTTTATAGAACTTGTGAAGAACTTTTAAAAATTTCTTCTTTCATAAAAACTTGCGAGAATCTCGGTTTGGGGATGTTTTGTATAAATTAGCGAATATCTGAAAACATAGAATTCACTCAATCTCGGCTTATTAAATTTCTGGGGTTGCATTTCAAATCTGTGAAAATATTGGTATTTTTCCGCTTGCTCTTTAACCTTTATACAACCAAGTCGAACAAAGAATGAATAACGTATTGTTGGCAATAAAAAGTAACGCGTCTATTGGAATTTATAGAGTTTATATTAGATTTGCAAACATCATTCATAGGTTATTGATGGTGTGAGAAATTTTGAGTATATATAACAATATTGCAAAATATTTTTTAGCAGAAATAAAATGAGTTGAGTATTGTGAAAGAGGACGTGATGAAAATATTGAAAAACAAGCAAAACGTCAATCATCACGCAGAGTTTATTAACCGATTGAGAACGAGTTGTAACAGACAACATTTGTATACTGTTAGGTAGGTAGGGCTTATCGCATTTAAAAGGGGAAATGAAGCTGTAACGCGAAGGAAAATGGAAGAAATATAATTTAATAAATTGTGATCCGCCTTATTTCACATTCGACACCTTGTTGTACAAACGTTACTGAAATACTAGGAAACAAATCAATGCAAAATTGCATTGTTCCCATTTTATATTTACAAAACTATTTGCTTTATTATTCCATTTTATATTATTTTGTTCTTTGACAGCATACTATCTTAAATTTATTGAAATTAGTATTCAAATATGGGAAAGGAAAAAGTGAGTTTTAAATTTTTCTATTAGCTGTGTACCAATGCAACCTTTTCTATATTTTTAAAATAAAACTCATCTCAAACTAATTGTTGTTGGCGTTATTTACAAGAAAATTATTATTTTCAATGCAACAATTTCGAATTGATTTTTTGACATAAAATATGAAATTAACTTACCAATGAGTTGTCTCATAATATAAGGGATTCATACTCGTTTCAAAACGACCAGAACATCCAGTCACTAAAATGTACGGACCATCATTGATTCGTACATGCCCCATATTGTCATTTATTGCGAAATATTTGCCGATTGCGCAATTGCAGTGTTCCAACAATGGGATTTCATAATATACCACAGGTTAAACTTTAACATTATAGAAAACATTTATTTATTTGCGATTTGCTTTATTTTTAATTTCCGTGGCTCCACTCTCATTAATCAAGAGAAAATGAATGGGGGGGATTTGACATTTCTCACCTTTTCAAACAGAAGCCATTGTGATATTTTTGAAACTTTTGCGGCTTTCAAGCACGTCGTGAATTGAATGAAATTACGTGTTCCTGGCGGCGGAAAATTTATGGATAATTGATTGATGTCTAGTGTCCTGAAGATGATGTTGACAACCTACTGCCAACGAGTTATAAAATCAATCATGGCGAAATAGGGCTAATAAATTACTGCATATTCATTAAAAAATGGGTGGTCGATTTTGAACATTTTAAGTGTAGTGAGTTCTCTGCTAAATCTCTTATATTAACAATATAATAACAAAAAGTTAGTTAATCGAAATCACGAAGAAGTAAAAATGGTTCATTATCATATATATCATTTTCACCCCTACTTCAAAAATATATTGTTTTTTTCGAGTAATTTACATAATGAGAATTTTCGACCAATATCGCAACAAATTCACGGTATGCTTTTTGAGCAGACAATTCTGAAGTTTGTTCCGTGTGGAAAAACATGGTTGAATAGAACTCAGTTGCTGTACCACGCCATGCGCAAATGTTTATATTCAGACGAACATTGTATGAAATAACAAAAGAGGTGTTATGTACTCTAAATTTTCCACCTGACAACCAAATCTGATGAAAAGTAGGTTAGGAGGCCTGTCTCAAGCTCGATACAGTCCTTGACTTAATAAACACTTTGTTCTTTTTTGACGCTGTCAGAATAATCTACCAGACACTGTGTTCACCATGGAAAAATAATCGTCAAAGAATAAATGCTGCAGTAATAATACATTTTTTTGCAACGTTCCCCAACAATAATCCAATGTCCATATAATGCTACTTTAAAAATGTTATTGCTAGAAGTTAAAATTTAAAAGTAGGAAGCTAAAAATATAGTATAAAATATAAAAAATATGCCTATCTGAACAGAGGTAAGTTGAATACATATTACAAGAAATAAAAGAGAATTTGATATTTTCACAGGGCGAATCCAGCAGTGAGGCGACTTCCATAGATGCGAGGGAAGATCGTGAACAATGGGGAGGACAAATTGAATTTTTGTTATCATGTATAGGATATTGTGTCGGACTTGGAAATGTCTGGAGATTTCCATACCTTGCTTACAGAAACGGAGGCGGTAAATTCAAATTAATCAAGTTTTGCACAACAAATGTAACTCTAATGCTCGGGGAAACTAATTTACATAATATGATTTTGGTATAATTATTGCATTATACCTATTTGGTTACATTACGTAACAAAAATAGATTATAATACAAAATCATTTTGTTTTATAGGTGCCTTCCTGATACCATATCTTATCATGTTGGTTCTCTGTGGAATTCCACTCTTCATGATGGAACTTTCTTTGGGACAGTTCTCGGGTTTAGGTACTATTACCGCATGGAGAGCAAGTCCAATTTTTAAAGGTAAGAAGATACGTTTACTCTTCTCATTTTTATTTTCCTATTTGACTAAATTTTTAATGTATATTTTTCATTGTTTTCAGGAATTGGTTTCGGAATGGTGGGTGTATCGTTTTTAGTGTGCATATACTATAACGTTATCATTGCATATTCCTTGTTCTATCTGTTTGCATCTTTCCAAGCTAAACTTCCCTGGACTGAAACATGCCGAGAATGGAACACAAATGCTACATGCGCTGCTAGTTTAGTGGTAAGAAGACAAGCAACATTGTCAGTTTCGCAGCCTAAATTGTCATATTTTTGTTAAATCCTAAAATGTTTGATGGATGAGGATGAAATTGTTGGCTTCGTTGGCACAATGACAAGTTTTCAATTACCAGTGATAATATCCTTTTATCCTGTTTTTAGTTCATTTTGTACTAATTCTATGTTAATTTTCTCTACAGAATAAAACTGTTGAAAATATAACTTCGACAATTGCTACAACGATGGCAATGCAAAGCACAACTGCATCACCAAACGCTACGAATACTACGGAAGCACTGAAAATCAAGACTGTCAGCCCTAGTGAAGAATATTGGAAGTAAATATTTGATGACAAAACAATCACATAAATAACAGTACCTGAATGCAAAACTTATGTTGTGTACTGTAGAGCAACGACTGAAAACAAGAAAACTTTATATTTATATTTTTAGAAACGAGATATCCTTTCAGGAACCTTCGATTTCGATTGATCAAAAATCCGTGTAATGGCGTAATTTTGAAATATAATAATATAATAAAGGGTTTGAGTTCAAGTGATATTGAATCCAAGGTTGCCTCAAACAAAAAAATTGAAATTGATAAAAGTAAAAATCTTTCTATGTGACACTTCCAACTTGACCTATTGAAATTTTAGGATTGATTTAATCAAACTTTATGGTTGGAAGGAAAAGCAATCCTCATCGGCACAATAGCTACAATAAAACACAACAACAACTCTCCAAAACTATCCATAAGTCCGCTTTGCGAACTAACGTAAAAATATAATTGAAAAAATTATTGCCTCATTCCAGATACAGAGTACTACGGGTTGATAAAAGTACTGGCATTGACGATCCGGGTTATGTTCTGTGGGATTTGTGTCTCTGTCTTTTGTTGGCTTGGATAATTGTTTTTATATGTCTGGCTAAAGGGGTAAAATCTTCAGGAAAGGTAAAACAAGATTTTGTGTATTTAGGTTAGAAGAACTTTATAATCAACCAAAGACTGTCAAAGTTAATACTGCCTTTATTTACAAATTACAACCACCATTTAATATTTTCCACATATTTCACAACAGTACGGCTTTTCTTATAATATGCGGAATTGATATCAGAAAACGCGAGCCTATATGGTGATTCAGAAGGTAATACTACCAGCATTATGACCTTCTTATTATTTGACCTTCTATTTATTCGTTTTATCAGAATAAATTAGCTTAGCTCAAATTTGTTGAAATTTTTGTATTCGGCTCTCCAATATTTTCATTTGACTTAATAGTAGACGTACTTTATATACAGAAATTGATACAAGATTAATAATGGTGCATTGGTTGACCTAGAAATAGAAATACTCTAAGATGATATTTGTCCATTAATCAGCGGTTTATTTGACAGGAAATGCTAGTTCCAAATTGAAATTGTTCTCAATACATCCGACAAAATAGATTCGTTCGATCGGTTTTGATTTTACTTACACTGATATTGAATTATAGTCTGATCCGTTTCTAAAGCACTCTCTCGTGCATTATGATCACATGCGGAGCTTTTCTCTTATTGTTAAATATTATTTTCAGGTCGTCTACTTCACTGCCACATTTCCGTACGTCATTCTTATTATTTTATTCATTCGAGGAATATTACTAGATGGTGCAATAGACGGAATCCGATTTTACATCATACCGAAATGGGAACTTCTGGGGAACTCTGCGGTAAGCTGGTAGCAATTTCGACTTGAGTTCTACGACTTAGATAATTTTCAATCTCTAATTGTTCTACAACACAGCGTCTACAATCGAGAACTTCGACTGTAATATGTTCCAATGTATATTCACCTTCATTTTTTTGCTTTACATTAGGCTACATAGTTGCACGTTTTCGCGCTCGGAAAATATTCATTATTTGATTGCTAACTCTAGGTTGCATGAGGAAACATAAACTTTTTTATGTGTTTCAAGGTATGGAAGGATGCGGCCACACAAATCTTCTATTCACTCGGAGTTGCTTTTGGGGGACTTCTCACATTTGCTTCCTACAATAAATTCAACAATAACTTGTTCAGGTACTATTGTAAATATACAAATTGCAATATTCCGCATATGATGGTTGACTTAATTTCATTTCATTCGTTGTCAAATCATTTTACAGGCTAAGATCTGATACTAAAATGTACTATATATATTGCAAATATTTTAGTTTAAAGATATCGGTCAATTTTTTATTTACCCAACAAAAAAGTAAATTAATTATTTTACCACCACCTAAATAGCAAATCGAACAGCAGTGAAAGTACGATTTATTGTTACAATAATAATAATTGAATAAAGTAAAAGGATAAATAAAAGTGAAAATATCTTCATAATATAGTTTACTGTTGCAGTGATATTGAGCATTTCGATATTATTCAAACTCTGTCATATTATAAGAAATGCTAATATCGTTTTTATTTCCATATTTTAGAGATACCATGATTGTATCAATCGGAAATTGTGCGACAAGTGTTTTTGCTGGATTTGTAATATTTTCTGTGATCGGGAATATGGCTAAAATTAATGGAGTTGATATCGAAGATGTTGCGGACGAAGGTAAGATCTTTCTATCGTCACAAAGATTTTGTGTAGTAGGGAGATGACATATAAGTGAAGTAGGTATTTAAAAAATAAACGAATGCAATCGACAGCACACATTCCAACGCTAAAACGAAAACTTCAAACATGTTAGCTCCAATAAGGACAAAATACAGACTTATGCGTGGTCTTAATCTGTCAGTCATTAAGAACTGATGGAATTAAAGTATTACAAATATTTTTGTCTATTTTATTCAGGTCCTGGTCTGGCTTTTGTAGCTTACCCCCAAGCTGTTTCACTATTGCCGATTCCTCAGTTGTGGTCAGCTCTGTTCTTTTTCATGCTTTTTACACTTGGCCTTGACAGTCAGGTGAGTTTGTATAATAATAGCAGATAAAATATTTGTAAGAAAGTTTGCCTATTAAGTAATTATGTATATATATAAATTATTAGATTACACTAGATTGATTTATCTTTTCTACAAAATAGCAAATTTTGTTTAACTGATACGTTTATTATTTCAAGTCAAAGCTATGAAAAACACAATTATCAAACAACGTCTTACAAAATGAAATATCTTACAGCAGTTGACTGTCAGCTGTAAATCCTTCTGTAGTAACTAATTTCCTTCTGATTAGTATTATATTTTGTATGAATTTTCTATCTCTAGTTCGCAATGGTAGAAACTGTGGTGACTGGACTTGTAGACGAATTCCCGAAATTTTTCCGCAACAGAAAAACTCATCTTATGTTGGCAGTTTCGATCGTCGCTTTCTTGCTGGGGATACTTCTAGTAACGGAGGTAAGAAGAATCAATTATTTCAACATTTCATTCTAAATGATCTTACAGACTCAACTGGGTTAATAACATACTATCAGTTGGGTAACGGTATCAGATATGTCGCGGTTCTCAAAAAATTTCTTGCTGCATAGCGAAAAACTAATTTACATACATGCATCCAGATTAAAATTGTTACGGATTGTGACATAGTTTTATTGTTTTTAGGGTGGAATATACTGGTTTAATTTATATGAATGGTATTCCGCATACTTCGGCCTCCTCATTCTATCTTTGTTTATGTGCTTGGCTGTCAACTGGGGATACGGTAAGCATAACTACAGGGTGGTAAAAAAGTTACGCAAAATCGAGGTAAAATTTTTCGTCATGGCAACCTTAATCGAAAGAAAAAATAACTGTTGAAAAGCGTCAGTCGTGAAATGTTTAAAAAACCTTTCACCGTAATTCAATACTGTTAAAAGGTGCCAGTCGTTAAATGTTTTAAGTAGCATTTCATCTTAACTTCTGTTAATTTTGCGTTACTTTTTTAACACCCTATATATATATATATATATTAACGTTTTTGTACTCCTGTAAACAGTGAAAACTGATTAGAATCGGAAATTAAAGTTAGCCAATAAAAGACAGATAAATGCTAAATTGCCAAAGAAATATAATTATTCAATGATGATTTACACTTTTTTCTGATTTAATATATTGAAATCCATACATGGAAAAAATTATCGGCAATCGTAAACTATAAATTGTTTTCTATTGAAATTCCTATATGCTTCATAAATACTTCGAAAAGGAACTGGTTCTGCACCCGGTTCGAGTTTAGGAATAAATTATTTAGGATGCACACATATTTAGCATACATTTTCATGCATCATTCTTGTTGCTCTTTGCCAGTAATCTTTGCAAAATTATTTTCTTCCTAAATAATGCATTTTTTTCGCTTCTGCGAGTATATATTTTCATTCCACTGTCATATATGATTATTGTCGGCTGTGAGTATCGAAAATCCGAAATATTTTAGAAAAACAAAAATTTCAGTTACGTATGTCCATTTTGCTTTCGAAATACAAAATCCGTCACAAAGTCCCTTCATATTTTGTTAGGGGAAAAGGACAATGACACGCCAAACTTTTACCGTAAGAAATTTCAGTAAGCTTACAAACTTATGTCATTAATCAATAGTTCGTGTACTTGGTGACGATACATAAACAATATTCTGCTATCTGTTTCGTAGGATATGCATTTACCACTAAATGGAGATTCAATCACGACATCAAACTCATGCTCGGATTCCAACCTTTCTGGTATTTCAAGATTGCTTTGGATGTTTGTCACGCCAGCTATGATCACGGTGATTTTTATTTTTAATATTATCCTTCAACTAATGCAGTTTTTAGCTAATTATTTGGGTTACCTTCCTAGGCTACAAAAACTTGTTTTTGTGCAACTATTAGTCACTCCAACAGTCATAAGTGTTATTTTTTCACAATATTTTATTCTATTTTAGTTCATCATCTTGTATTCTGGTATTTTCTATACTCCGATTACTTTTGGTGATTACAAATATCCAAAATGGGCAGAAAACCTTGGGCTATGCATGAGCTTCTCTGTATGTGCTACTGTACCATTATATATGGTAGGAAGAATGATCGTCGCCTTGATACAGGGACAAAGCATACGTTCTGTAAGTTATATTATATTTCAATACTGCAATAACATTAACAACATTGAAAGATAAATTGAGCAAGTTTAGGCAGTATGTAGGCTCTAAACAGAAACAGTTAAATGCCTTTAATAAAATATGCGGTAATGTTATAACCCATAAAAATATTTACATTCGTGAACTACCGCTATTAAGCAGTTATTTCGGCACTTCGCAAACAACATTTTGGGGCGCTCCCGAAGTATGTGAACCAAGATGGCGGATACTGGAACGTAGTATGTGTACCAGGTAAGAGTTAGCCAGAGTGGTACAAGAATGCCAGCTCCGCGGGCCAAAAAATTACTTTTGTTCGCGGGCCACAGTAGTGCCAAGAACTTCGCTCGTTTAACTTCGCTAGTTGCCTCAGTAAGCCATAATACTAGTCAATTCAGTGGCATTAGTGATGCAACAATATGTCAAAAAAAATTGGTTGATTTTATGGCAAAACAACACGAAATACGATTTTTTGATTCCTCTCCGAATGCGACGCGGGCAACAAATAATGAAGCGGCGGGCCACATGTGGCCCGCGGGCCTGGGTTTGGACCACCCTGAGTTTGACCATAATTTCAGGTACAAATACTACGGGAGTCACTTGGCTAGTCTCCGAACTCGTAATAGAACTAAAATAGGGAAAATTGGAATAAAATTATGGCCTAACCCTAACCTGGTACAAATACTACGTTAGGTGTCCGACATCTTGGTTCACATACTTCGAGAGTACCTCTTCATACATGTTGTTTCCAATCTACCTCAATAATTTTTCAACATTTACGATTTAATATTCAAAATGTGAACAACTCTTCAAAACAAATTCATCATTTGTTTCTAGCTTTTCAATCCTAGTCCAAGATGGGGACCATCTGACACCTCTGTACCTTACGACCCTAAAACTGGAGGACAACCTGATGTGCCGATCTACTCGATAACAAATGGCGAGTCCGAAAAAACAGCAACATATGAGCAGTACGTAACTGACGATATTCCGGACGCTTATTCTAAACTGTAATGCTTCGGTGTTACACACGTTAGACAATACAGTTATGTCTACTATAGGTACTTATAATAGATACATAAATTTGACTCATACGCATTAGCTAAAAAACTTATTCAATAACCTTCAAACAAAAGCATGTTTGCGAATTTGGTCATTGCATTCTGCAAGCCAAAATAAATTCATTTTACTGACTGCGATATATACTATATTGTATTCCCAAATGAATGTACTGATTCTTGTAATTTTCTGAGGACTATGAACTTTTTTTTCATCGAAGTACTTTTAATCTAATTCAGTTATACGCTGAGCGCAAGAACAATATATAGCGGCGATAGGTTAAATTCTGTAAAACTGAATCAATCTAATATTGGGATTAATATTGGTTTGCATAAGTTTATGTTTTATTTCAATTACGTTTTGTCTGAATATTATATTTTATGTGACGGAGATTTATTTCAGTCACTAACTTGTGTGCGTACCAAACGAGATGTTGAACAATTCACTCTTTCTACGTTTCCGAACCACATTTTTTTAAATCACATTTCACAGTCGATTTTTCCGAAATTATAATTTTTTAAGGTATCTAAAATTGGTTTTATATAATTTTTATTTGCTCCGTTTCAAGGATGCGATTTGCTATGTTTGTTTGTTGGCCAGTCATCGATCTTTGGATGTTCCGATTTCAATTTGACTATTTCTCATTATTGCATTGTATTTGTACGCGATAAAAAAATCAATATTATATATTAATAAAAATTTATTCAGTCGTATAGTATTGAAATTTCTATACCAGAACACAAAGTAAGATAAAGGATAAACTTTTTTCTGAACAATCACGGACTACAGAACAGCCGGGCGTCATTATTCTCCTTCGTGTATATAAAGATAGAGACAAATAGTCTGAATATTCTGATTTATGACCAAAATATAGTCCGTGTAAAATTCAAAATAAAGCAACAAAATATAATTTTTTGACAAATATTATACACAGTCGCTATCTTTCTTTTAACAATGAAGGCAGTATATGTACCTTTGGTAGATTTTTTCTTTTACTCAAATGTACGTGGAATAACTTGGCCTATATACATTAAACAGCATAATTATTATGAGGACAATATCTTTTTGAAATAAAATACAGATAAAAACGCAAAAATAAAACCATAAGAAGTTCGTTTCCCGCATTTACCGCATAATACGAGTACAAACAAACCAAACTCATTTTTATTGAACTGAAGTTGCCAAGGAAATCTAAATTGACCTACGATGAAGGTGAATTGAACGATAAAATACTTTCATAAATATTTGCATTTTTCATTGCATTTTGCACATACTATTCATATATTGGAATATCAGTATATAATAAACGACTAAATAATTCAATGCCCAATTAAAACCAGGCCCGCTGACACTTTGCAAACTAGTTTTTGAGCTGAAGATCAAAGAGGGACTAATAAACTAATACCAGATCAATTATCAGAATTTATCGAACCGTACATCCATCAAAAACATTTGAGACATTATGCAAATTTATTTGCACCCAGAAACTTTTTCGTCTTGTAATAAATGTCTGAACTACCTTTTATTGAAAGTATTTAATTTTTTCAGTAGTTATAGAATATTTTGTAATTTAAAGCAAAGAGTAAATTTCTCATTTATAGCTCAGTGAATGGCAATCGAGATTAGGCGTGCCTAAAAAACTACTCTGTACCACTCTAAAGTCCCAGGTCACGAGTCAAGTTTCGAGTCTCCTGCTTTGAAGCAAGCATCGAAGGAAATTTGTTGATAGTATAGCTAAAAGTATCATGACCAAGATTGGTGACAAACAGTTTTTAACTCACAAAAAATGCTCTGGTTAAAATATTTGTACCATATGGAAGGGGATAAATTTACTATCAGCAATTGTGAGTGTAAATATTAAACCATTAAATAATTGGCCAGCGTTCTGATGTTTCGTTCTATATAATACACATTCAGTCAGCAGTAGCCTCCTCTTGTTTGTTAATATCGGCAACGAGTTTGTCATTGTCCTGTGTGTTTTCGTTGGAGTCACTCATTGTTGGTTCTGATGATTTTCCGCCATTTTGTATCCGTTCCATAAAGTCGATACTTTGCCCAACTGCATCAATCACGGAACCGCGAACTTGGGAAATCTTAAAAGAAAACAGATTAGAACAGTTCACTTCGAAAGTAAGTAATAATATTTATTCAACACCATGTGTAAATTAAATTTACACTTACAAAAAAAGCAAAATATTGCTAATCACAGGTGAAATAATGTGTCCAATATGATCTATAACTAACTAACACAGGGAGCGTGCTCGTTTAGGACTCACAAACATAAAATTGAAACTAGACTGAGTTACGTTCAAAAGCAAAATCCAACATATCTCCAATTTGTAAACTATAAAAATTTGAAAAAAAAATGGAAAATGTTACAAAATGCCAACAATATGGTATAATTTGTATAAAATGTTTACGACTAAAAATACTATGACTCAATATTAATACAATTTCATTAAACCGAACCCATTTGAACCTATTTTTATAACGTTCATCAGATAGATAAGCAATAATATTTCTGTTTATTGTATATTTTAAGACTTGAATACAACTAATTTACCTCATTGAAAAATAACAGACAAAAAGAAAAAATTCCCAAATATATCTTACAGTTCGCACATTGAGAAATTCAGCTCGTTCATCGTCTTTTTCTTCGAAAACTTCTCTTTTTTCGTTTAGGTGACAGGGTGACGTCACGGGTTCAGAGTTTGTTTGTTGCCTGCTTTCAAAAACGTTAGGCCCAGGTATTGTTTCTGTTGAAGAAATCACCGACACTCCAGTTGATTGTATTCGACTCTCTAATTTAGGAGGCGCAAAGGTCGCTGTTTCTTTGTGAATGTTGTAAGAAGGATAACGGTCCAACTCATTCGATAAGATACCGTGCTGCGGGCCACTGTATGTCATTGGCCGATATTCTTGTTGCATATAATATCCATTTGAAAAGTCTGGTTTCTCCATCAACGGTTGTTGCTGATATTGGCACATTGTTGTATCGTCAGAGGCGAGAGATTCAACTGATCTTGGATTTGACGTAGGGCTCATTTTATCAGGTGATAGGTGAGATTGACTTGGATGTTGTCCGCCAACGCTCTGACGCTTCCATTTCATTCTTCGATTTTGAAACCAAACTTTGATCTTAAAATAAATCAAGTGTCGATAATGAATAGCAATGAAATTGGATTGGGCGCCTCATTTTTTCTTAAATTAAGATCATACAGTTTGGAAAAAAAATATTATGAACACAGGTTAAAGTACGAAGAGTGCGACATTGGTCTCTATAATTTAATCCTATCATAGTAAGTTATAACTTTTGTTTTAAATTCACCTGTCGTTCTGTTAAATTTAACTTCATCGAAAGCTCGTATCTACGTAATCTTGTCAAGTAATTATTTCGTAAAAAATCTTCTTCCAGGTGTTGAACTTGTTCTTTCGTGAAGGATGTTCGAATCTTTTTTCCTGGTTTACCTTGAGCAGTTGAGTCAGGCTGTACGGATACTGTGAATAGGGTTGTGAATAAAGGATTCAATATATATATATGTAGTCAGTGAGAGAATGTACCGAATTATCTTTGTCGCTAAACTGAATACATATAACAGTAAAACAGTCACATTTTTTTCACAGTTAGATACTTTTGCAGCTATTCCTTTTTGAATGAGTGACAAAATTTATATCCGCATGTAACACAATGATATTATGTATTATACTAAGCGGTTGGTAGTACCACGGCGGATAACGGTAGCATCAGTTTCCAATTACGCGCACAGTAATCACAATAGCCAAACGTTTTTACATGCAGATTTGAACTCACTGGTTTGACGTTGAACTGCATTTGAGCAAATTTTTATATTCATCTAATTTCGACATTTGAACATTTTACAATATATATTATGTATAAAAACGACTTGAATTATAGACACCGAAGATCTGACGATACCTTTCAAACAACTATAGCGCAAAGTACCTGGACTTGTTTTCTGGCATTCTGACATTCGTAGTTTAGCATCAACATCTGCTTTTGTAGTTTCAAAGTAATTTCGTTCGCCAGCTGGTAAAGAATATGTTCCATAAGGTTGTTGTGTATTTGAACCATACCCGAACTTTGAGTATTCATGCGGATGGTGCTGGTATGATGAATACGGATAGGTATTGAGATGAGGCATTGATGATTGATAGCTGTAACTGGTATTCATTGAGGCTTCAGAGCCTGTGCGGCGCTGCGACTCAGGCAAAGTATACTCAACTTCCTGTAAAATGGTGGTCAAAATTTCTATTGAAGAACTTCAAATTTCGCTCTGAGCTTATGGTTCAAACAATAAGTCTTTCCCATTTCATCCAATTTTTGGAGCCTGAGCGTCGTGTGGCATTCAAAATTTATGAAATTTAATTTTACATAACTAACATCGGTTGGAATTTATAGGCCTATAGCATATAACGAAGCTGAAAAGAGACCGTTCTCAAAAATGTCAGAGGGACGAGACTGATCCACGAGTTGACTTTAAATAATCTGGCAACTGTATTTTGCAAATATTAGCAGAAGAACGGATTAAAAGTCGCTTACGTGTACAAGTGGAGGAATGCTACGTCTCAACTGGTCGTCAGGCGAACTTTTGGAATAACTTTCTGCGGAAAATAAAAATAACGTTAATTTTAATTAGTCCTGCTAGAGAAAAGTGTATTGCCAAGACATAGGACAGGTTTTTGACCTACCTTTGCATTAGTAGGTATGTACAATTCAAAATTTTACAATGCAGCAAAATTCAATGAAAGCTGGATTTTCAAAAATTTTCGCGGTTACAATCGTAAAAATTTCATAAAGTAGTCATGTTTAAACCATATTGAATTTTCGAATTCGAACCTGTACGCTAAAAGGTCTTACCCAAATATATATCATAATTTGAATGTGAAATTGAAAAACAATAGATTATTACTATAGTATAACGATAGTAACTAGAGTTTTAGCGCAACCAGGAAGCTAACTTTACCTGATTCAGTAAGATGTGATGAAGCCATCACGTGCTGATCATTTTGCGTCATTGGTGGGCTGTTGTCGTCAAATTCACCACGATGTGCCGTTTCTGTGGCGGAAGACCACGGAGTCCCAGGTAGTACGTGACTTGTTTTATGATGAGTGTGTTCGTTATGGTCCTTTGTTGACATAGGTAAATGACTGACGTCATTGTTGTTGACGTCATGAATGCTTTCAGCTTGTCTTTGCTCATGTGAACCAAACCCACATTGATCGTTTTCTTCGCAAAGTGGTTTTGATAGTTGTGTTTGCTCGGCGTGCTGCTTCAGGAAGCCTGCTCCTGTTTGCGACCATTCACCATAAGAACCGCCTGGAAAACTACCGTAGCCAGGCAAATGTGAAAATCGTTGTCCATTGAATGTAGCACCTGAAATATAAAGTCCGACACTGACGATTGTGATTCTCCAGATATTCCATCGGAATAAAAAATTTTCAATTAAATATTTCATACAACATTGGGTTGGCATATTCTTTATATTTCCCTTATGGGAGCAATCGTAATACGTCCGTTATGGCAACACTAGTCTCCCAGTGTAAGACAGATCTCAATTTTATTGCGGTTCGTCAGAGAGGGGCGACAGACGATTTTACTGAAACACTACCATTTACCCTACGTTTGTTGGTTGTTTTATCCTATATCGACAATGTTCATTTAGTAGTACAAATTGAACTGAGAACACAAACGGCGAAAGGATCTACCGGATGAGAGTGGTTCGCCACGCGAATGAGCAGTGTTATTGGTTCTCTCTCACTGTAAAATTAATACAAATTCTGTTCTAAATACAAAACTGCCATACCGGGAACAATCTGAGACTGGTACGAATATTGATAGAAGTACGGGGATTGTGGAGTCGACGGAAAAACATTTTGTGAATGATACAATGTGGTTTCTGCCGATTCGAAGCCTCTCAAGCTCTGCTCACTCCCAGTATTGTTCGGTGAGAAGGCAGCGGATATGTACGAGTGTGCGGAATCAGTAGATTTGGTCATAATAAAATATAATATTTTCACTTATAATCTGAAATACCAACACAAAAAAAGAATTGTTTACTTTTCGTAACAACACAAACAATATTTAACGTATTCTTGACTGATGAACAATTTTTGTTATTGTATTTGATTTATTGGTTAAATACAGAGGAATATACATAGTGAATATATAAAAGCAGCTTATATCAATGACATAACCATTTGTAGAGCGGTGTTTTTTTCTTTCTCAAAGGCTATTAAACTGCTGTTGAATATTTTACTTTTTAATATTGGCATGCTGAACAAACATCAGAAATACGCTTCTATAGCTGCCAACCTGAAATTTGTTGTTTATAAAACCTCATTTACATATTTCAAACTAATACTCATTAGTATACTATAAAACAAACGTTTTTTTTCAACATATATTTATTTTAACATATATGGGTAATATACTCTGAGTACAGTCCCTGCAATACTCTTTCTACAATGAAAGGTCGAACCTAATACTAGGTTCAGTGTTCATTTCATTGTTAGCTGTAGTTTACCATTGATCACCAACGCAGCACTGATTAAATATAGAAAAAAAATCAACTATTGTTCCCTATTAATATGCCGTGCAATGCTTCAACGTTGATCCACAACGCAATTCAAAATGGCGAAAATTATCGGATCAAACATTAAAACAATAGTCGAGGCAAATGGCGAAAGTTTTACCTATACATTGTAAATTATTAGAAAATATTCCTTCCGAATAAAACTTTCAGGATTACACTAAAATTATCAGTTAATCATAATAAAATTAACTTGGATATATATGTCCTACTTTCAATTCTGTCACATAAAATAGAAATTTTATTTTAAACACAACAATCGCAATTTATTATATAATTATTATCCACGAACGCTATAAATAAAACATCATTCCTAATCCTATTTTTGATTTGTTTACATTAGTACTTTTCTAAATTGAAAAAAAAATGTTATTCTTAAATAATCTACAATATGACGTCATATTAATCTTCCCACAAGTCAGCTGATTATAATAATTTTAGTATTTCTATTCGAATTCCTCGATAGCCTCCATCAGTCGGCCTAATTATCATTAATCATCATCATTAAAAAGATTTAATGTTCAAAACATAACACTTTTCCGAAACTAATCTTCCCACACGTTGCTACGACGTAATATCAACTTCACGCACGACGCTGGATTTTATTATAAACTTATGAGAACGCAACCACGTATTTTCTGAAGGTGAGTGGGGCGTGATTACCGTATAGCCCAAAGAGCGAGCACCATATGTATTTGTCGCGTAGAAACGTGCATGGCTCATCCGGTGCGCCACAGATTGGACGGATGCAGGAATGGAGTTTACTACAGTTACGGAAGCAATAAGAGAGCGTTCTCAAATTTTCACGGTCTTGAACAATAGACAGATGACTAGGCGGTGTGAACACTTCCCACCCATAAAGCTCGTTTCTGCAACACATTCGCATGTTCCAGAAACAATGCGACCCAATAGACTGTTAATATTTGTGTGATCATGTGTGAATTGCTAATAAATAATTTTCAAAAATAGTTTCCAATTTGTTTTTGTCTTTATCGCCTAATTGATATTAGAAAAGTACACCAATTGCATAATGTTTCTATCCAAAAAATCCACCGCCGTATATCCAATTAGACCTATTTCTGAAATAAGTATTTTATAATTTTGGAGCAGCCATTAAACCACCATTTACGCTCACAAGCAAATTTTCTTTTCAATTAAACCAGCTGAATATTTCCCGGAAATACTTTGCTTTGAAACCCAGCGCTTCACAAAAGCCACAATTATTCTGTGTTTTGAATAAGAGCTTTACCGCATTGATGAAAGTATGAGTGAATAGTTTGTCATACCATGCATATGACGCGAATATAATACCTACATTATATTTGGTATACCGGTGTGTGATAATGTAATTTAATAAGATAATCAAACTATACATATTTGAATTGTACGAACAAAGTAATATATAGCATATGGCATAGCATGGGCTCATAAAATATCATATTTTTACAAATAAAGATATTTTCGTGAAATTCAGCAACGGCTGCCGTCGATTGGGTTTTACCGTCCAACCTTTTGTTTCAAATTCGATCGCGTCGTTGGTTTAAGAAGACTGTGTTTGGAACTAAAATATGTTTTATAAAACTAGCTTTCATGTCGTCCGATCACAACGAAAATTAACGATTTCACTTTTGTCAAAACACAATAACTCTCTTCTTGCGAGTATTTGCTTGTCCGACTTTCGTTCGAAGCGAAATACCGCAAAAAAGGCAGGCGGCGACTTTTTTACAAATACCTGGGCGTCTAACACCACACTCATCAATAAACATCTGATCTGTATCGTCGTGTATCGGATTCTACTTCAAATATTATTGTACAGGGCAGTCAAATTGCTTACTACAACGACGTTGAAACTAACACGTCAAATAACATACTACGCAAAAGAACTGGAGCATACAGAATATTTTTGAACCAAAATCAAATAAAAATGCGCTTTTGAATACTCCCAATATGCTATTGTATTAATAGTAGTATTATTCGTGATTATGAACAATTCAACTAAATCAAATTCCATTGTATAGAAAACAGTGAAGGAGTAGATGTTTCGACAGTCAGGGGCATTTTAGTAAGATGCTCGCATATTCAGCGACAGAGGCAATTGTGGAGCGTACGAAGTTAATTCGCGTTTTTGACGTTCGTCGCTAAATACCCATTCATTTATGATGTTCTGATCATCAAGCAATGTTTCCACTTCATTTCTGATGTGTCACATTTTGGCATATTAAAGTTCTATACTCTCTTTTTGCGATGCGTTTTCCATTCCTTTCTTGCAATGAAAGATTCATATGTATGGTAATTATTTCATGCACAGCAAACTTCTTCATACGGGTCTAACGAACTTCCCAATTTAGTAAGTGTAGATAGCGTTAATAATTAAACGAAAATCAGTATACTTTTGATTTAACAATAATACAAGCGTTGGTAATTAAAGAAACACTTTCTTCATGCAGTAAAGTTACAAGACGAATCAATCATAAGTTCCAAAACTTACAATGCTGGACCCTTCAAGTCAATCATTCCTCATGTGCACAGCTCAGGAGTGAAACAAATAAATTGGGCTATGCCTAGGGTTACCATATTTTTTGACTTCAAAGCGGGACGCCTCCAACGACACGACCCCTTAGCTGTGATCCTGTAACTTTACAGTTTACGATTTTACTATACATAGGCCTACATTTAAGGCCATCCCTGCTGTGTTCATAGACCATAATTATGTCATCGAAAGTTCATGCGCATTGTCTCTGTCCAAATATCGGGTTCAGTTCGAAAAATAGAAAGAAATACCCACTTACGATACAAATGATCCGAATTTAGATTTTTTTATGTACAGCAAAAGAAATAAAGAATAAGGAAATAGTCTGCCGTTTTCAAGCATTGAGAATTTACTTATTCGCCCAAGCATGCTTTTCTGTAGATAACACCTTCAAAAAGGCGTTGTTCAATGTTACATTCACGTGAACGTCCGAACGTGATACGTTCGCTAACAATATATTAGCGGGAAACAACGAAACAAACAAAATAACGCATTCACCTTCAGTGGGTAGGATAGCGTTGCGCTACACAGCAACAACAGTGACGAGAACATGTTCGTGTATTATGCTGGATGGCTGAACGTCAAAGCGGGACTTTTGACTGACTTGTCGGGACGGCGGGCAAGACGCAAAAAAGCAGGCCTAGCTATGCCTAACGTTAGATTTATCGATCATTTAAACTTGGTGGCATCGAAGGCGAATGCGCACTTGCGTAAAATGCGTGTTTCAAAGAATCTCTCTTATCATCAATCCTTGTGTCCTCAGTAATCTCCCCATAGTAATGTAGCGCATCTACCAAATCAGAACAATGAAGTTCAGAAAAAGGTCATTGGCTTATCTAGTCTAGGATATGGCAGTCATGCCTCATGCCGTATCGCCGTTTGGACGAGGCGCAAAAGGACGAAATTTTCGATGGTAAAATGGTTTCAATGAAAATATTTCAAATTGGTAATAACTGAAACTTCTTTTCTCACTCAAATAATAACGTACAAGTATCTCAGTTCAACAACAATTTTTGTCACATTTCCGTCATGTAAAACGTAAGATTCACCTCATTGCGATATAAAAATTCTATAGAAAGTATACCATGATAGAATAATTAAGGCTTAACCTTATGGTGTCGCTTATATGCCAAATTTGAGTTTTATGTTTTTTATCGTTTATTCAAATTTCAACTCGGAAGTTATACATAACATACAAATAAATACCTAACTTTTTTAAGAAAAACAAAACTCTATGGATATCATAAAATCTACAAATAAGTACCAAGATATACTTCCACACTCAAAAAACAAACTTGATTTTTTAATATATTTGAAGAACTTATCTAAATTCTGAGACGCCATATGTTACAGGGCAAAAAAATTATTTGAAAAAACTGCAACTAATAGCTACAAACATTCTAATAAGAAATTCGCAGAAACGTAATGTAAAAACTGCCTTATGTTAGTTGCGGGAAGCAATGACATTTTCTACGAGTTAAAACAGTCATATATATTTGATAAGTTCAGTTTCAGGTTAGCGATAAATTTGTCCTTCGTGACACGGTTCATATATGCGACCTGTTATCCAATGTTGTAGTGAGACTCATCCAAGATTGTGCTAATATTTTAAAACCTGATATATTATTAGATTTTGACAAATTAATTATTTTAACTCAAACTATAGCGTTTCGAATAGATGTTCCAGTGAACTGAAGCGTTTACACGCATCGTTTCTCACCAATTTTATAATTGATATATTGAGGCCGAGAGAAAAATATTGCGTCGTTCAAATGTCGGGATCCTTCCGCGAATATTCTAAACTAAACTAACGGACTCCACAATATAACAGGAAACTGGTAACCAGTATTATCCGCTGTTCTTGAATTATTTAAAATATTACTTAATAACATGGATAAAACTATGTAGACTTTGCTCTCGAAGATATACAATGCAAAAATAATTTGAAACAATTATTCTACTTTATGGGAGGTATTTGTAAGATTAGGTACTCGGTTATATAAATTAAAAGATTACCATTCCATTTTGTTAAGTTCAAACTCCTTGGAGTCTAATGCCTTATAGTCAATTTGCCCATCCGTAAATACATACATATATATATTCTTTATTCCGAGTTAGTTATGTTCATTAAGCTGATTTTCAAATCGTTACGCATTGTGAAATAACTGAACATTCTCTTTGTATGCGGGATGGGTCGATACGTTTGGATGCAGTGTGCTAACCCCACACGTAGAGTATGGCCTGCACGAAGGCTCGGAGCATTTTCATTGGTCTGGTCCTTCTCTAATTTGTGGCTCCTTATTTATGGCCTTGAACGTAAAGCAGAGCGCATATTAGAAGTTCTGATGAAAATGATTAACAATAGTCAGTGTTGGCAAGTAAAGTTTTTATCGAAAGTAGTTTTTAGCAGACTTGTTATAGCACGACGCTTAGAATCCGTAAACCTGTGTTTATATGTCAAATGCCCGAAACTGTTTATACATGGAAATACATTAGCAAAAAACAACTATAAACTGTACGAGTTCTTTTTACATACAATCTTTCCGTGAAGATTTTTTATCATTAACTAAGCCTGATTACTTTGGCATCACTCTCCTGAATATCCATCTCAAAGAATACCATCTGCGTCGGGGTATGGTCGCACGTTTTCGTAAAAATACATTATGATAAATAAATGATCTGTTCATTGAAGTCAACACAGTCGCCTATGCCGTATGCTATTCTATCACCACTGACTAATTCATACAGGCGTGTTGGAATATCTATATAGCTAGTGATTCTACTGACATTGTGTAGGCGTAGCTGACTGCATCCGTTTAGGTTTAACTGTTGACGGTCAGATAGGATTTAAATGATTAAATTAAAAACAGCAATGACAGTCGTCAGAATGAGAGACATAGGGAATAAAATGGGGCGACGTTTTCTGAGTTCTCGCTGTTCGTGCGAACACATGCGGGTGACAATTAAATGTCACGAATGCCGTTTGAGCCTGACAAAAACAGAGCGAGAAAATGGCGTCGATATTACGGCCTACTTTCGTTCGTCGTCAACGTCATTTTGTATGTTGAAAAAGAGATGTTTATTGCAACGACTTCGGTTACTCGGAGATAGAGAAGAAGCTACTACGCCATATTGAAGCTGGAACGAATTCGGCCAACCTCCGAGAAGACTTTACAAAAAAATAATAGATACATTCACCAACTATACAAAAAGCAATGTAGGCCTGCCTACTCGGGACAAGTAAATCTACGGTGAAACCATGTTTGTTGATTGAACAGTACTCGCGCCGAGAATCTTGAAGTAAACAAAGCTGTTTGTAGTTGTAACGCATTCTCTGTAGCGATTTGTCTGCCATTTACATCGAGACCCACGAATGAAGGTTTTCTACTCGAAAGTTTTCAGAACTACCATCTCATGCGATGGTCAAATCGAAATTCCTACATGCGCGGACGATACGCCGCTACAGAAATCATATTTGTGCTCTCCCATCATTGAATGAACACAAGAAAATGCATGGCAAGACGATTTATTTTACATAAATTGATTAAAAAAATCATATTGCACCATAACAAGAACACATACCACGGCCTTCTCGAAGCAATTTATAGAGATAGCAGGTTAAATATATACCAAATCAATAGGCAGACCATCGTGTAACCCATTTGCTTCGACGCAAATGATTTTATACCATGAATCGTGTATGGTCATGTAAGATCAGAAGTTTACAGTTGATTTTAGATACCAGCCAATAAAATGTAATTCATCGAGCAATTAACAGGAAGATTTCTAATTACCAAGATGAAAAAGACAAAATGATGAAAAAGAGCAGATAAGGGTATATAGGAAACACGGATATTCCGAATAATGTGTGAAGAGCATGTACATTATTATTCATTTGACTGGTATAATTAGGGTTAATTTTCAAAGAAATAGCATTCAGCAATAGGGTAATTACAATATAGAAGATGCTGACAGTTAAAAATGACTTTTCGAAACTTACATGCATTATTCAAAGAACATTGTAATTTACCTAGAATAGGGGTATATCAAAAGTCCTGGTGAATTTGAGGAAATCATGAAATAGATTTAGCAATAATATGTATTCCAATTTGAAAATTTTGTGACTAAAATTAATTTTATAGAGTAGAATAGGCGAAAAATATATATGGTAAAAATAAATTATGGACAATTGTTTTCAGAATGAGTATTATGTTGGTAAATCCCACAAGAAAATACAATGCATACATTAGTGGTTGAAAATAAGAATGAACGCCAGCAATGCTGAACATCATTTTCATAGATCTAGCAAACAGAGCATGGAAAAATACCATATCAACTATTAGATCGAACATGAGATGGCTGGCTGACAATATATTTTTTTAAAACTCCCGTAGTAAGTGTACCAGGGTAAGGTTAGGCCATAATTTTCTTTATTTTGGTTCTATTACAAGTTCGGGGACTGTCCATGTTACCCAAGTGAATATACCATATCCCATAGGTTTCATTCCCTTTACATAACTTAATGTAAAGTAGGCGAAAAAAATTAGTCACCTCCATATTAGTACACATACTACTGGAGCGCCATTTTTTTACAACTTTTAAAAGCATGCTCTTTCATTTGGGTGAATACAAAAAGTAGAATTATATTATTCAAAATTACTGACTGCAAATGCTGGGATTTTGAAAGTAAAAAAAAGTGTAAGGGGGTACGAATTGTTTCAAATATAGTTGAGATGCAGAGCACTTGATCTAGAATAAGTGTAAGGGGGTACGAATTGTTTCAAATATAGTTGAGATGCAGAGCACTTGATCTAGAATAAGTTATATCTAGAATAATTGAGTAGAAAATTGAATAAACAATTTCCAGGTCCAAATAATACTGATATGATTTACTGGATGGTTAAAAGACCAGTTGGTTTAAAAACATCAATTCCTTGGTGTAACACCAACACGCCACGATAACCGCCATTGACAAGAAGACTTGCAAACTGGAAAATATAAAACGATCAAATGAGCACATAACAACATTGATGAACAATGAATGGGGAGAGCATATTTCAATTGAATCAAGTTTATTTTTTTCAAATAGTAAAAATCAATCGCATACAACATTCAGAAAAAGAGAGATTATCATATAATTTTAAAAGGGATGTCGTGAGAAACGAAAACTGGTTATCAAGCAGCAACACCAGAAGTTCTAATATCCAATTGAAAAGATTGGAAATTTTATTTACAGAACTACCGTTATTGTCAGTGAGCACCGTATGATTTCACGAATTAATTAATTTGAACAAGATTTGGCATTTTGTGTCAGGTAATACCCATAATCTTCCAATAGGAGTAAAAGTTTATTCTCAAAAATATTGAAAACAGAACAACAAAATATGATTTAGGATTGGTGGTTTTCCGATGCTACCATATACTGTAATTTGACACCATAGTGTTTCACTGCTGAGAAATCATATGTATCAAAGTCAACTCATACTTGGGGCAATGTACCAAATTCCTAAATCACCAATGTTTTGGGGTCTGCTGTTTAACTCAGCGGGTAACTGTGTGGAATGTAAAAATAATCGGTACCAGTTAGCTGGAATGTGTAACTAATCCACCAACTGGTCCAATGTGGCAGCCAAACTGGTAATATTTTGCTCCTACCAACAATACTATACCCATACGATGGGTGATTGCTTCTTAGGGTTGAGCCATAATTTTATTCCGACTTTCCTTATTTTAGTTCTATTCCGAGTTTGGGGACTCTCTGTGTTAGTCAAGTGAATATACCCCCTGCCCATAGGATTCAATCCCTTTCAACAACTTGATGTAAAGTAGTCGAACAAAATTATTTACCTCCACATTGGTACACACACTTTTGCATTGCCCAAAGTTTATCTGCAAAATTAAAAAAATTGACAAACCTTGGCATCTTCTCTACTCTGTTTATTTCCGACAACGATAATCAATCTTGGTTTGAATTGATCAATAGTTTGAAAGCCTTGAAGTGATTTATTCAACGATCCATCAGGATTTTTACATGTTTGATATGGTATATTATGACTACCTGGTATAGCTGCTCTATGAAATTCATCAGGCGATCTGTGAAAATAGGAAAAATAAACTTGAAAAATGATATTGAAAAACTTCACTCCATAAAAACCATTCCCGAGTTTCTAATTCACACAGAAATAACCAATGAAAACAAAGTATATTCGATACTCTCGTAGTGTGTGTACCAAGTTGGGGTTAGGCCATAATTTTATTCCGATTTTCCTTTTCTTTAGTTCTATTACGAGTTCGAGGACTGTCTGTGTTAGCCGAGTAAATAGGCTTCAGTCGCTTTACGCAACTTGACATAAAGTAGGCAGACAAAATTATTACCTCCATATTGGTACACACACTTCTGGAGCGCCGTATATTCAATCAGCACTAATATCAGTTTACTTAACAAATTACATCATGAATGAAATTATCAGTTTAGGTGTACATGATGACAATGAGTAGAGCGATTTTGTTTCGAATGTTTCGTGTGTCTAAGATTAAAAAAACTGAGACAAGAAATAGGTAGTTATGGCAATTATCTTTATTTTTTAAATTACTACCTGACGTCTAAAATAGTTATCTTTGGCTTTGCATTTTTTGCTGATCTCTTCGCTGGAGTTTTTGAATGAGATGGTCCTTTAAGTTCACATAATTGGATCATGTCATCTGCTGATATTCTTGGACTAATTTCACATTTTAAATCTTCCAAAGATACTTCACTCATCGACTGAAATAAAACATTGAACAATACAAATGGTACTGAATTCAGTTGATGGACCTTGGATGAATTATGTAGTACCAAATGTGGACTCTTCCTTCTTTTACTACCAAGCATATATATCGAGTTATGTATTGAATATTGTTCTACGCAATGTAGTCTAATACAGATGGGGAACCTGTATGATTGTCTAGCATTGTCACAAGGCTATGGGTGGAGGTGACAAGCTTTATTTCAATCCCAGCATAGATATGGTTAGTGCACTTGTTAATTATTCTTTAGATTGTCTCAAACATGACTCCAATTATTTTCATTCTTGCCCGTGGCACCATCCTACCCACCACACCACCAGTATGCAATTTTAGTAAAGCCTGCTTCTTATTTTATTCATATGTTACACATTCACAATTGAATTGCTTTTAATTATTTATAGCGATGTCTTCAACATACATAAATCTTTTAGAACAACAAACATAGTAATCACCAATCTTCACATTGTAAATTTGAGAGATTTAAAGTACAATTCATTTTTCACAAAAACTTCTGGTGGGTTATTTTGCTCTTTTGTAATTTTGTTTTGTATACAATTAATTGGAAGAAATAAACCCACATATCAGACTTCAAACAACAACAAAAGCATTTTTGCATTTTGAAAAACAGATCAAGTAAACCCCCCTATACGTCTTATATACAACATCAACAAATATTAGTAAATTCAAACATGGAAACTTCTTACTAATTCATCATGAGGAATTGTATTGTAATCTTCGGTATAATATGACACAGGTTTTCTAGTACTTTTACTGCTTCTTTTTGCATGCTTTCTGTATGTTGCACTTCTTGGTGTGGCACAAAACAATTGGATCGAGATTTGTACAATGGCATCAATGTCAATTTCTGAAAGTAGAAGTTGATATTCAGCTGCCTTATATGTAGATAGGCATAGCCCATCAGTGGTTACATGCTGATCAATTATCAATGAAAATAGTTTCATATTAAAAATTCTGTATTTATCTTTCGTATGAAAATGCACCGAGAATTACAGATTTTACAAAGCAACCTATTATTAATTGAATATTTATATATAACTATATCAATGATTGTTAAAAAAAAAAGCTGTAAAAATAATTTCTTCTGCAAGTTTTTTCCAAAGTGTTTCAAATCTTTACCCATTTGAGGCCCTACTCACGTATCTTAATTGCGGGCACAAAACTAATTATTTGAAAGTTTATTTAGACTGGTACAGCCAAACTATCATGCTATCTTATGCAAGTGGTGAACAGGGGTTTTGGCCCAAGATCTCTCAATGTGGAAATGTATACGGCTTCCTCAACCCTCAAGTCCATGCATCTGAAAACAAATAACTGGTCAACTAATCCCATACCTGACATGGACTGGTAAGCGGACGAGAGGCCATAGTTCGCAATACGATTGAGCTGTCTTAACCTTCTTCCTCTCCCCAGAGATAAATATGTAAATCCTATCTTAACCAAATGGCCGGAATGAAAAAACTAGTCCCAATGCCATCATTGGTATCTAATCAGATTTTAATATTTCTAGAATCAATCAATGAGTATTACATGCCAAATAATTCCAAAATTTTAATCAGTGTTTGGTTTACCTGGAAGATCCGAAAACATCAGAATGCATTCATTGAAATCAAATGTCATCAACTGAGATTTGAGTTGTTTTAATATTGCAACACCGACACACAGAGGGAATGATGAGTTACCAAGCAGTAATGTATCCCATAAATGAACAATTTTATGAAGAGGAAAAACATCTGAAAGGATTATCATAATATCCTATTAAAACTGGATTCCTGTTTCAACGAATAGGGTATGTTTATAAATGAGTACGGTAATGTTACAGAGTAAATTTCAGAAAGTGTTATAATTTAGCAACAATATATATTCACTCGGTGGTGTGGCGCATCATGCATCACTCACCAGCGCACCTCTGATTACCCTGTGTGGGTTCGCCATGCGCATCCGATGCGGGAATAGTTATGTGCGAGAGAATTGCTAGACTCCTTGCCCCCATAGAGTGGTTTGCGTAATCACTGTACAGTTACGGCTTCCTCCACCATCAAGTCCATGCTTCGGAAAACAAATAACTGGCTAACTGATCCCATACCCGACATGGACTGGTAACTGGACAAAAAATCATGATGTGCCATATGATTAAGCGTTCTTATCAGCTTTCCTCTCCAACAGGATAAATATGTAAATCCTATCCTATCCTATTTCAAGAAGCCGAAATTGATAGAAAGGCATGAAATTGTAATGCTACACTCATTGTATATATCATAGGCATTTTTTTTTTAGAAACATACATTTTCAAACTGTGGGATAAAGCAATAAGTAAAAGTAGACCAGATGTCATTATCTATCTCTACGTAATCCACGGTTGATAAGATACGGACTGTCTTGATGTTATTCACAAACTACCGTAATAAGAAATGGTAGAATCGATTCTGACTCCAGTACAACCCAATACCGGTTTTCTAAAATAATTTGAAGAAATTTTTCATTTTGACTCCAGTACAACCCAATCATGATTTTCTGAAATAATTCAAATTTTTTTTTTAAATTGAATTATTTGTAATTCTAAATGACTCAAGGCAATCTTTTGTTATTTTGTAATACAACGCTTATTTCAAACTTTTTGCTCCGAATAAATCCCTAAACAAGTACTCAAGTAGTAATATGTAAACGGCTACTATTTCTTGAAAGACCAGAATCATTTCAGTTCGACATTGACAGTTTATTACACCCTGGTTGAGATGGTGAGCATTGGATTTGAACCAGAATGACCTGTGATGCGAACAGCTTATGTCTTAACACTTTAACCGCCAGAAAACCGGTCCAACAAATCTACGGGGAAAAAATTCTTAGTGGAATAATTGCTACTCAATGGAATTTTAGAAGAATAAAATTTCACACTTACGAGTGAACATTGTCAAAAACCAAGGAATGGAATATAACTCAGGAATGAAACCGATTTTTTCAAGATGATTTGCAAGTTCAGGTTCATGGAATGCGATTAAGTGTCTGAATACTGCCAGATATTCTGAATAAAAAAAATTTTTGAATAATAGAATTCTGCTATGTAAAGCATAAGAGAGAGAGAGAGAGATTTATCAATCATCAACCAGAAAAAAACAGTCTTGATAATAATAATAAAAGTAATAAGAAAAACGTTTCCTTCAGATTGGAGGGATCGATACCGTCATCAGAGTCAGCTCCCACCATGTTCGCACCAATTAAAATAAAATCACAGTAAACAATAATCAGTATTGTAATAAAGCAGTTATAACTTCAAGAATTCTGCATCTTAGAAAAATTTAAAAGTAACCTCAAACAAAAACAAGTTTAGGATGTAGCCTGTTCTTAAATGAAAAATGCCTATTAAAAATTTGAGTACACAAGTTGACAATAAAGTATGATGATAGTCGAGAGCTAATATTCTTCCCATTTCGTAACTGTGATTGACAGACAATTGTGACAGGGATGTCCGAACCATGGCTATGGAGTTTGAATATGGCAAGTTTACATTGATATAGGAGTCAGAGTCAAATTTTCTCAACTTCCCAAAGTCGAGAGTAGGGTGGAAAATTTCTAACTAATGGTAATAAAAAAAATTTTGACAATATTGCAAAGGTATTGAGCAATGTCAATATAAACAATTTCAGAGATAGGGAATTCCCTACGAGCAGAAGTTGCGAGCTAAAGTGAAACAAAATGGTTGTCAACCAGAAGAGCCAGAGTCATTTTTAAATTGCGAGCTATATTCTTACACATTCTTATGGAGTTCCCTAAATCAATTTTTTTGTAGATTGAAGCCCTTACCTCTTAGGCATAGTCGCATAGATGTTGTAAAACAATAGATACATATGTAACACACAATAATTGGTACTCCCGTAGTATGTGTACTACGGGTCGGCCATAATTTTATTCCCATTTTCCTTATTTTAGTTCTATTATGAGTTTGGGGACTGTTTGTGTTGGCCAAGTGAATAAACCTGTGCCCATTGGCTTCAGTCCCTTTACACAACTTGATGTAAAGTAGGCGAACAGAATTAGTTACCCCTATATTGGTACACATAATTCTGGAGCGCCCAGTAATTAGTATCATTATCTCGATTGCAAAAATTTATATCAAAATGTTCAACAAAGATAAGACCATAGGAACATTAGAACACTTACCTTGAATAATAGCTGAATTATCTTTAAGGAAAAAATTATACAAATATTTGTCAATATAGTTTGACATTGAAGCCCATGCAAGGTGCTCTGTGTTAAAATTCAAATGAAGAAAAGCAGCACATAGTGAATCCAAACCTGAAAATATCATATTTATTGAATGTATTGTCTTCGAATACAATTCGAGAAGTAGCTCAAAATTTATTACAATCAAAATAGATGGATGAAGTTGTATGACTAATTGGAGACTACAATCTTAACAAAATGTTGAAAGAAAAAACAGATTACCTGTTAATTAATAATAAAATGCAAAATTTGGAATTAAATTATCAGGCGCCGTAGGATTTGAAAAAAAAAGTGATAGCTCTCTAGCAACATGTTCCTTTTTCATAAACTCCCGTATTTCGATAAATTTTTTTGTCGAATATAAGCAGTAGCATAATAGAACAATTTTACCTTGCCAGTATGACAAAGTAGGATGAGATTTGAGCCAGGCTTTCAAAATTCGTTTGAATTTCTTATGAGCAACAGGTGATGATAACAAAGGATCATACTGATGACATCTTGGAATATCAACTGCAATTTGTCTGTCTGAACTTAGTGGAGTTTCTTTGTCAATGTTTTCATATTCTGCTTTAACATCACCCTAGAAAAATATGTTCGTTTATTTGGATTCTTCGGAATAATTTAAAACATAAAAAAAATTCAAAAATAAATCATTTATTTCTTGAAAATTACAAAAAGAAATAAATCAATGTTTATCTGACACTCCAGAAGTGTGTGTACCAATATACCTATATTTAAAAATATGGTATCATATTGAGTGTATTTGATATAATAGATTATTAGATTTTAGATAATGGATTCAAAAATCGATCACTTCTATCTAGTGGAAGTGGCATACCAAGTAATATTGTAATATTTAAGGCACATATGTGAACAACATAGTTATCTTAAAGTCAAATTTTAAACTTATTTGACCACCAATGGATGTTTCCCCAAGCATCCATTTACATGTTCATTACCGTAACAAAGACCTATCAGCAATAAGTCAAAGATGACATAACAATTGTAATTTTTGTAGCCTCTCAAACAGATATTTAAGCATGATTGTAAACATTGCGCTGTTTTCGCGGTTTTCCGTGTTAATTGTCAGTTTTCAGTTGTGTGTCTATAAATTAGTTGTAGATGAAGTATTTTGATTGTCATATCTTCCGGTGAGCTTAAGTTTAGTTGCAATGATCAAAAATTAATAAGCGGCCAGTGGAACTATATTTTAATGAAAATAATGGTTTTGAGCATGTTTTGATCAGTTTGTAGGCGCAACTCTCTAAAACTCTCAAAATAAGCATCCAAAATTTTGCAATAGTAAAGTACTAGAAAAGTTTTTCTTGGGTCATAGATCGGGGAAACATCCATTTTAATCAGTTAATGTGATTTTACATACATTACTATTAACTACTAGTAGTTAGGCACCCAACCTCAATCATAACTACTTCTAATAGATTGAATGACAACTACTTTATTATAATAAAAACTTTTAATTCTTACTGTGACATCAAGTAATGCTGCCCAAACCAATCCTCGTAAATGTGGTGGAATGTCAATCCTGGCTTCTTTCCAAATTCTTTCACGCAAATATGGATAACCCTTGAAAAAAAAGAGAAAACATTATCTTCATTAATGTTCTTATACCAACTTTTTTAAAGCTTTATCGACCGACTATCCCTAAATTCCTATCATGTTTATAATAATAGCATCGCATAGTGAAGTTTTAGCATGAAAAAATTAATCAAGATGTTCCACTTATTTCTTGAACCAAATTGAGTGACAAGTGACAACAACCTCTAAGTTATAAAAACAATACGCAACAGCATTTCACTGAATCACTGATAAGAGATTATAATTTTTTGGAAGAGCGAAACGTTCCGCTTCAGCATTGACTACCCAATTTAGTTCACTACGGATGCATTTCCTTGAACACTTTTTTTAATACTTTTCGAGACATTTCTGACATCTAATATAGGGTGTCCATAAAGTCCCTTTACAATTTCAATTTTTTTATGAAGTCAGTACTCAATATATATCTTAACTAGGTTTGTTTTGTTCTAATAAGTAATTGTTTAAGTATTTTTACTTCATTTAATACATCTCTGAGGGCCAAAACAATATATGGTATCAATAAATTCACTTCACAATTTAAAAAAAAATTAAGACTTTTTGGACAAACTTTCACTGAACTTACCAACAATAATCTCTTATATAATATAATTCTGTGAAGTTGATATTCAATGTCGTTTTCTTTTATAACCAAAGGTAAAGATGATGTTGTATCCTGAGTATTGTATAAATATAAACAATTTGAGTTGATGAACAACTTATATTCAAAATTGTAAACAAGAAAGAAAAGCTGAAAATTGAAATAGCATGAAAGTCTTGAGTTAAAGGTTATTTAGGTTTTTCAAACTCGCAATGCTTCCACTTTATCTAGTACAAACCTGAAAAAATTGGAACAAATTTGATTTTTCCAATGTTGAATTGCGAATTACCTTTTATATATGTTTTATATATGCACAGTTGATCAATGGTATATGTGAGCTTGTGCATAAAAACACAGCCGATTGTCAGATCTTTTCTCAATTTTGACAGATTTAATCATTTTATATCAAGTTTTTTTTGAAAAAGTTGACTGATATTTTGCGACACACTCGAAACTACATTGTGACACACTAGAACATCATGATTATTTGGGAGTCGCTCAAGTAAATATTTGTTGTTATTCATTCCACCATGTAGTAAAATTGACTCAACTCATACAATCATGGTAGAAAATAAGCAGCCTGCATTTATGTACGAACAAACCTTCATTAAAGCTGTCGTATCTTCAACTTCTTTTCCGTTATTTTGCTTATTCTCAAGCAATGGATAGTAAGACTCCGGTGTTACATCCTGATTTAAATAAAATTTAAGCTGTGAGTAAAAGAATACAAATAGGCATAGCAGTGCATAGATTATGCTTCGTAGCTATCTAGCCTTATCTATATTTTACATCATGGGTAAGGTGCTTGGCATGGATAAAACAACAAGCATATTATGAACATATGACTTTTCAAATTGTTCTCACTATTTTTACACAATGTTTCCCAGTCTCTCCTATGAACAGGACTCTGCACAAGCAGCTAATGATACAGGTATGCAAAACCTACTATTTTTAAGAAAGAACAGATATAGTTTATTATGTCCTGAACTTTATTCCAATTTTAAGCAGAATTTGATTCCGAGTCTCGACTATTTATCGACTCAATGAGTTTATATCTGAAATGGGCAAACTACGGCCCACGGGCCAAATCCGGGCCATTGGATAATTTAATCTGGCCCGCCTGATGCTGCTACAATCAAACTGAAACCAAATTTTGATGTTTAACCAAAAAATAGCTCAAGGAATTTGTTAAGATTGTGATTAAATTTAGTTTTGGCATGAGGCTTATTGTTTTCCACTTTTGCTTTGGTAACACTGTGAATGTTGTTCACAAAATGTAACTTTTTACATCACACTTACATGACCCGCTAGCCTAAGTGGGCAAAATTTTTGGCCCCTGGTCCAAATACCTCACCCACCCCTGGTATATATAATAATAACATATATAGTTGTCGATATGCATGTATAACACACGGACACAGAAATTTTATTTTTGAAAGACATTGTCATATTGTTCCAGCCCAGAAGTCATCAATATGCTTGGTATCGCACTGCTTATCAGCATGCATAGGCTCACAGGTTCAAATCCTGTGGAAAATTATTGATGGGCGGTATCAGGGTAGGTTCAATTAAGCTGGTACTTCCAAAAAATACATACCTTCAATCTATTCCGCAGGGCATCAAGAGATAAAACTATTGTTGAAGAATCATACAAATGAGCGATAGATGTATCCAGACTTATTACTTCACCATGTAGTGACATCGATCTAGAATTTCAATAAAACATCAATAAAATATATATTTTGAGTTCAAAACACTATTGAACAACAATTCGGAATGAATTCAAATTCAGAAAACTGCAAAGCATACCGCAGGTCAAAAGACAGAAGGATCAAATCTTTTCTACAATAGATAGTAAAGCCAATTCTATCAATTGCCATGTGCTATTATATTCAATTACAGTGATACCTTGATAGTCGAACATAGGATTGGTTTTCGCCTACCGATTTGTTCGAGTACCACAACTTTTTTATCAAAAAAGAGCAACTTGGCAATTATTTTAATATGTTCTTAGGAATTTCAAAATATCCAAAATAGTAATAAAACATGTACTTAATAAAGATTAAACATAATAAAAATAAAAATATTGAAAATTTGTATCTTTCGTATAGCTTTATTTATCATTTTCCTATGCTTGGCTGTTCGAGCATTCAAGTACTGCAACATTTCTAAGTCGAAATTTTTGGTCGACTATGGAATTGTTGAGTTCAGAATAATACATAAAAAGTTATATGGATTAAATACTGTCACTTGAAGACATATTTACTGATGGTTGGTTTAAGTTTGCATACAACTGAATATTACTAAAAATGATGCGTGCAACTGACGACCATTTTTACTTACAGAGGTAAGTTGAGTATTGGAGGAACTGAGTGTACAGTGTTACTTTTTCTGACTTCCGAAAAGACATCACCACCAGCAAGCTTCCACAAATGCCAGATTTCAGAATACTCCCTCTCCAACAGAGGCTCTGAATAAAAAATAAAATAAAAATTATAAAAACATCCGCTTATCTCCTCATTTCCATCCAATAATCACATGTACTGCATCATTCAAATTTAGGGATTCTAATTTTGCATACCACTCATATTTCAGAATGCATTGCCTCCACATACTGAACTGTTATTACGTACTTTATCACAGTTTTGTAAGCCTAATATTTCAAATGCTTGTGATGATTTTGATTTTGATATTAACAATACAAATAGTGAAATAAATACAGGATTTTAAGCTGGTTTTTACCTTTTATTAACTAATTGGTTCAACGCATATTCTTGTCATTTATTATGTTTAATATATTGCAAGTTGAATTTTAAATGACATTGATGTATTGTGTCAATTGTTGGGGGATATGTGGACATCGGCCTTTCTGGGTTTGTGGCTGGAATCCTGTGGAGAATGATTATAGGGAATTGACAGCTGGATGGTCGTTTACCCGAGGCTGGTCTGTTTTGGTTTCTGCTAACGTTCTTTTATAAATAATTGGTTGGATTTTCAACACCTACCCTTTGTAAGAGTCAAGATGTTTGGAACATCTTATTGTGCTTCCTCTTCCTGAGTATGTATGTAAAATCTTATCCCAATAAATTTCAATCTTACCTACTAGGCTAAGTAGACTTCATAAAAAACAAAATATTACCAATCGATCTTGAAGTTGCATATTCTTTAGCAGTTGGAAGTCGGAGTCCAGAGCAATCACAACCAGTTGAAAACAAAGTTGATCTTTTTCCGTGTGTATTAATATTTTTCTCTCGTAATTCAGAGAACAAATCCATACCAAACAATTCTTTAGGTGTTGGTCTGGAAGATGACAACAATAGAGAAATAATGAAATAGGATAGAATTTCCATATTTAGTATTTCTGGGGTAAAAGATAATTATATGACTAAATTGTACATAGCAAAACATACCCTATAATCTGTTTACCAGAAATACATGTATATATGGGAATATTTAAATTGTTCGACAAACCAGATGCACAGATGTGACTGGTGCATATAGTTGGTGATAGTGTTTGATACTAGGCCATATACCCTGAGTTCTTTATATGAGCAATTACTTTCCTGAGTGGGCCAGTTACAGATAATAGACTTGTTATTGGGCGAGAGGCTATAGTCGTAATTTCAGCAGACACGAGACTAGAGGCCTGGATGAAACACTTTGGTGGGCCAGAATTCCCACAGGCCGAAATTTGCCCATCCCTGATATTACATAACTAAAACTAGCCATACCTTTTAAGAGGGTCTGCAGTTAAACATGTTTCAATAAACATCTTAATACTATCGGGTAACTTCTGATAGATATATTCAGCATTTTCAACACCAGAATATTTAACAAGTTTTGGTACAACATCATCTCCAGATATAAGAAAACCAAGAATTTTTTTACATGTCTCTTCCACTTCATCTTTATCAGGAAAAATTTGATGACCCTGTGAAATGAAAATGATTAGATAAATTAGATTAAAAAAGATAAGATAAAAAAAACACAAATATAACATAAGCGAAAGGTGAGTGTAGACTCTTGTTTTTGTCAGAAATACGCGAGTGCGTTGTGCAATCCAATCGTATGATTCAGGGAGGTGCTATTGACGTGCCGTGTCCAAGTCACATGTTATTAGGTATTCTAATAGTTTGCTGTTCGATTACTTTGCCCAGCCCTGCTCAGTAATCGGTAATTATTAACTCGATTAATTTTATGTGAATAAACTTGCCTTATGTGTTTTATGTAAATACAAACATAAATCGTAAGCCTTAAAGTTTTAAACCTAAATTTCCGCCTGATGAAAAATCACTCATATTATGAAAAAATGTTATACCGAATTAACAATGAACATTCAATTCTCACAAGACATAATTCCAAGCATATAATTCCAAGCGCCCAAACATCTATATTTCCAGAAGGAAAATGTTTATCGTTTTCATGTTGCTCTCCTGTGAACAATAATTCTTCAGGGCTGAGATAACTGTGGCAACCAACAGGGAATGAAACTTCTTGTCCAGCATCTGTCATGTAGTACAGACCATATGCATAGAGTTTAACTGAGCCCTGAAAAGAAAGTAGAATGTTAATCATGCAGGCCTACTAGAAAATGCAGGTTATTACAATTTATAAATAATATTGATAGATTCTCAAAAGCAGTCTACTGTCTAACAGTACTATTTGGGCCAAAGATCAAACACAGAAAAAAAAAAGGACTATAAATATAAATGATCAAAAACAATACAAACGATATTTTTGCTTTGATTCAGTTTGTTGCCAATTTGAACAATTGTTTCTCATGCTGGAATTCATTTTTCATAGTAAGTTAAAAGTTTCCCATTCATCCCATGGATGCAAAGGGAGCTTGATTTTAGGGTAATCTTGAAGCGGAATAGAACATTGACAAAAAAACTTCACTAAATTCAAACAGACGAATTGAAGGGGTTACATGAACCACCACATGACAAAAAAGGGACCTCCTGAGTGTACCAAGTTAGAAGTCAGGTTATGCAACATCTTGGTGTACATACTTCAGGAGTACCCAAAAAAGAGTTCAGTAATCCTTTACACAACTAACCCCTAACCACCAAAAAAGATTTAAACCTGCAAAGCCACAGAGGGTAATCAGAGGTCTGATGGCAAGCATGTTGATAAAGTTCAGAAGGATGCTTCCACAACCTGGCCACTGTCCTATGTCTGGAAATAGTTATCGATTTTAGCCTTGATGGTCGATGAAGTTGAAACTCACCGGGGGTTACTTAAAGCACCTTATGACAGATATTAAATCCCTATGGGTTTCAAAGCACAAGGCCAGTAAATAACAATCACTGCACAAATTGACTAATCAAATTGTTGTGTATTAGCATTCATACCTCAGAATTAAGGAGAACATTTGTTGGATGAAGATTGTGATGAACAATTCCATGTGAATCAAGAAAAACAAGTCCATCTAGTATTTCATATGTTGTCTTCGTTACAACACGGTACCTGATGAATAAACGCTGAATATCAGAACACTCTTATGCAAATGATAAAATATTGCTGTATATTTTTAATTTCGTCATTGAATAGTTTCTCACCATTCATTCAAGATTGCGGAACGTTGCTTCGGAATTAGAGTTAGAACATTTTCCTCGTGATATTCAGAAATACAAAATATTCTGTCATGCTTCCCTCGACAAAAATCAAGATATTTGCATAGATGTTTATGTCTTAATGCTTTCAAGCACTGCGCCCTGCAAAAAGTTCAATAACTGTATCATATTACTATATATAAACATCTGGTACTGAAACAATTTATTGGCTAACTAATCCCATACCCATATTGGCTGGTGACCAGACACGAGATCGTCGTTCGCTATATATAATTGAGCTGTCTTATCAACTTTCCCCCGTGAAAAATTTGTGAATCCTATTCTGTATCCTACCCCATAGAGTAATAATAACAGGATTTATAGCATATGATAATTGTTATTACATTACAATTCATAGAACTATTCACAATAACTGAATAAATGACTTCGAAAAATTAAACACATCTCAATCAAATACAAAAACAGACATCAAAAATTTAAAAAATTATCATGTCTATTTTGCTAAAAACTGAAAACGTTTAAATGACATCTTTAGTGCAGACCAGAGACACATTTTGAGTGTTTTGTGAATGAAATGTATGAGTATGCCCCTGGTCTCTTTTTCACATAATGAAATAAATAAATACTACAACTATCTTTAATCATATAACATTGAGTAAAATTACTAAACTCACATACCTTCCAAGGACTTTGATAGAGTTTGGTGTCACTGGCAAGCCATCACTTCCACATTTATTATGAGGCACAGGACTGGTGATAAATGTTGTAAGGCCAATTTTGCCCTTTCCTATTCCATCTTCATTCATCTTATTTCATATCTCATACACTTTCAAACGAAGTTAACAAGCCGCCACTATCGTCACGGCAAATTGTGCTATTGGTCTTATGACGAAGGGGTATTTGTAAACAAACGCCAGTTTTAAACCCTGATCTACTCATTCGTGCATAGCTAATAACAAATTCGTCGCAGACGGGCACTTTATTCGATTTGCAGTCAGATAGTTTTCCGTTTTTTGATTTTGTTGTTCGCATAACAGCAGCTGGGGGAACCTTGGACTAATATTTAAACAACTGGGAATGCTCTAGTAGTGCGACAGGAATATTTGACTTCAGAACAATGTCTGAAAAATCGGACCGAAAGGCAGAATTGGAAAGAAAAAAGGCGTGGCTTGCCCAAATTCGCGCCGACAAACTTCGCAAGAAGAAAGAGGTAAATACTAAATACAGAAATAAAAAAAAATTAAATTTCACTACGGATTGTTTATATCTGAATAAAAAATATAAATTCATGCATAGACCATAAATGCATATTCTATAAATTGATATTTATTTCACTGGCAGACTGGAGCTAATGTTGAACATAAAATTTAAACACTATTTCCATGTTGCAATTGCATAGTTTTCTGAAGGAGGAGTAATGAACAGGTACTAATGTGGAAACTAACAATGTACAATATTTCTCAAAACAATATATTGAACCTAGCGAGACTGGGTATCTACCATGAGACATTAAAATTTCATTTTGAATCATTAGTCAACTTCTAAATTTAGCAATCATAATATTAATATTTTTAATTCACAGGAGGAAGAAAAAAAAGTGGTGGTATCATCAGACTTGGAACAAAAAAGAAAAGATGCTGAGAGTTTGCTTCGTGATATTGGCATTTCCGATACATCATTAGGTGAGATCTCTGAAAACATCCTCACTATCTATTTATATGAATATCTTCAAGAATGTCGCATAGAGAATGATTTGAAAATCATGCATTCAAAAATTAAACTTTTTTCAGATTTCGAGCATGACCCGCTATAAAAAATCATTCTTTCGTTTGACTTAAAAAAAATTGCGAATGATCCAAATGCAAATTTGCAGATGATTTATAAATAAAAAATAAAGTTCATGCTTAGCCTCAGCCTCAAATTAATCTCCAAACGAGGAAGATACAAATTCTATATTGTCATTTTGAATTTTTATACAATTAGTTGCTGCTGCTCCGAAGTCTCCGTCCAAATCTCCCGCTGTTCCAGCTGCATCGACTACAGAACAAGATGGTGGAAAACCAAGGTAACTTTTTCATGAAACACTAAGCTAATGCTTAGATTTGTAATCAAGGCCTAAAATGTTTTGTCAATTAATTATATGCACTCAATTAGGCATTGTTTCAATCTCTCACGCATTATATTTGTAAAAATAATGCTTGAACAGAAGTATAAGCTTCTTGAATTTGAGCTGTTTGTTATAGGCATATGCATTAATGATAATTTTAAAATCTGTTTCTATTACACTGTCAATATCAAATGTGTTATTGTAATTAATAAGAAGTATTGCTTATAAATTTACTTGAACCCAATTTTGCATTTGCCAGATTAGTTTGTCAATGGTAAATTAATTCCCTTAATTTTTAGGCATGGTTATTCACGAAGGACTCAAATTTTCAAAAGGTGTCTTGTGCTAAATTTATGAGTTTATTATTAACTCATAACCAATAGTGTTTGAATGAAATTGATAATTTTAATGTAACACTAATTTTAACAATTTCTCGCTAATAATATATTTTGTGTGGTTTCGTTTAAAAATAGTTAAAATATTGTGTGTTTTTGACACAATGTTGCACATATTGGAAAAAGTTATTATATTAAGAATTTGTGTACTAAATTAATGAGTTTTTTTTTTCACAAAATATTGCCTACTGTTAATTGATATATCAGAGATATGGAAGATGCCTCAATTGTGAATAATTGTATATATATATAATATTGTCTCACTTAGAACTGTTGCTCAATATGGTGACTGGGAGTGTCAAGAAAAAGATATCTGCCATACTGAGCAAGTATCGTTCAGCTTGAAAACATCTGGGTAATAGACATAAAGACCCGCTTCAAAGTAGCATAGCTGCCATAGCACGGCTTATGTTTGAAAAACCATGTCATATTTATTATACATGTTGGCTGAGATAGTTAGTAAAGATAGAAAGATAGATTGTTTAATCATGTGATGGCCATATCTGCTTAAGGAAACCTACAGATATTTTGTGTTAATTATCATATACCTATCTGAGCTATTTAGAGAAAAAGCATTTTGTATAAAATTGGACCAAGTGATACAACCATCGTGATACACAAAATCAGCTATATTCATATATCATATACTGTATTGGTTTTTGGCATCGGATTTTCATTTCCAATTTTACAATTTTCCTCAATTCGGCATGATTAGGAATTAGAATTTTTTTTTGTTTCACGGATAGTTAAACCCATACTAACCCTAACCCATGGGTTTTAGCACCCGCATATAGATTGAACCCGTGGATATACGCATGGGTTCAAATGTACATGGGTTCAAATGTACGGTCACCTATGATTTATATAAATAAACATGAATTTGGCCATGTTTTGTTATGGATCCCAAAATATAAGTACATTTTTTCAATCATGTAAAGTCAACCATGATTTTTTCATAACTTGAGTGCAGTTGTGTTCTTTCTTTTTATCAAACGCTTCTCATTCTCAAATCGTGGATTGTTGCAATTTCTTCATATTGCATTTCCCGATCGCAACTCGACAACGAGGTGCAAAACCAGTCTGGATTGGGATCAGGATGCAAGTCTTGTCGAACTGCAAGGGTACAATATCATGTCATGGTACACTTAGAATTTGCACGAAATGTTTTCTACACATTTGGGTGTTGTCATAATAGGTGTTGTATACACTGCATGGGTACATGGAAAAGAATCCTTGTCATCAACTGTGTCTTCAGTAATTGAAATTTTTGAGTTCATTGTATTAAGAGAAGCAATGAGGCGATTTCAAGTTATGAATGAAATATAAGTTGAAGTTCTGTGCTTAATAATAGGGAAGAGCAATGGATTGCTTCTAGGGCTGGGAATTTCAGGGAAAACACTTTAACCGTTAACCGGGTAAAATTAACCGGTTAACCGTCGCATGCCGTTTGACGTAATAATTTATAATTTCAGCTTGTTACATCACAATGCTTATAAAGCAATTTCGCGTGTTAGTATCCCGGTATCGCTTATTAAAATTATTCACGAATCGAGATAGTTTCATGATTGCTCTGCTTCAAGAGATAGGCAGCGTGGTTCGGGCGTGTTGAAGTATTTTAGAAAACCTGATTCCGTTGTTAAACGTCATTTATGTGACAAATTATCAGTGTTCGATGTGCAAATTTTACTTCGAGATATATATCATAAAGAAAAACGGCATCAACTGCGCACTTGTTGTATGACATTGAATATCCGATTTTGCAATGAAATCGTGAACAATATATTTCTAAATCGGCCGAAAACTGATTCTGAATTCATCATTGTCAAATTTCTATAATCAGCAATCTTGGCACTTCCATTATTTTTCACATTTATTGAGTCCTTACCCACACAGTTAGTAATATTCTTTTGAATTAAATGCCACAAGAGCATGATGAATCATATTTGAAGAAATTGTACGGTATGAAGATGATTTGAGATTGATGATTTGTTACCTGAGATGTCAGTTAACGGTTAAAATAAATCGTAACCGTTAACCATCTGAAACCGGTTAACCATTCCCAGCCCTAATTGTTTCACTTTTACTATTACACGGTAGTGCGAAGATGGATATTTTTATATTCTGTATTATCTACCGATAAATATTATTACAATGCACTAGTATTACAAGATTATTTGTTTCAAGTCTCTTTAAAGCTCTTTCTGCAGTTTTCACACATGATACATACAATATAAAATAGCTATTCTAACTCTCCTTTTTACTATTACTTTACTATTATTTTACTATGAACTACAATTCTAAAATTAAATTTATCATAAGTTTTTTAGAATTAAAGGGAATTATACCGAAAATTGTTGTATTTAATCTTTGATCCTCTTTTGAAATGGTTGGTGTAGGGGCAACGATACTTTGTTACATTCTGTGCTTGAGTATTGGATTTGCTGTGAATTGGTGTGCGGTTATATAGCATTGTAGTGATGTTTAGTTTTTGGGGTGTTGGTTTTCTATTTTGCATAATTTATTACTAGAGTGTTGTTTTTATGTGAATCTAGCTACAATATCTACGTATACTGGTTCTTTACTATGCTTTACAATGACCAACTAGATTTAGTCTACTCTACTTAAGCGATCCTTTGGCTACAAATATTCACATTGGATTAATAATTCATTTACAACCGTATTCCATTCTTGTTTTTGTGGTCATTAAACAGCTCAAACTTGCTTTAATTAAGAAACCCATTATGAAAATGCTAATATTTCATTGACTTTTGCCGTAATATGGCATGTTTTGACACTGTTTTTCAAAGCATTATTTTAAAAGCACTCTGTGAAGGTTTTGGGTTGAGTGACACAAATATTAATGTGATATTCTATTCGTTTCTTCTTTTAATGATTCTTCTTCAATGTTCAGGCCTCGGAAACATGCTAAACTTGAGCTCAGTAAAATCACAGTGACTTCGATTGCACCAAAAGAAACTGTCACCTATGCGAAAGAAACTCAAACTCCAGTTCAACAACAGCAACAATCTGATGGTACAGTTTATTAATGTTTTTAATAGGTTTCTTTCATGTGATGTGACAAAGGCTATCATTACCTTCTTGTAAAATTATGTTTGAAATAATGTTTTTAGTTCACCTAAATTCTCAAGCATTACTACATTTCAAGCAATTTTTGGCGCCACTTCAAAATATACCAATTGGTATGCGATCTTACTTGCACAACATGATCTCAATCCTAAAAGACATTTAATCTCATGAAGACATCTCACAGAATTCAGTTCCTAACCTTAACTGAAATCCCTGAGATCACACAACCGCTGAAACCGCATACCAAAGTAGCATCCAATTTTTGTATTGCAACTACAAGTATATAGTACTGTATTTAATCAAAATATGAAAAATTTGTCATTTGCAAAATTGAAATGAACTTCATATTGTTCATAAACCAATTTATTTCCTTATTAACAATTGCAACATGGATATAACAAAAAATATGCAAATTTATTATCAGTACAGTATATATATATTTTAAGCATTACAACATTTTATGCATAAAGCGAAATCATGTTATCTGCTAAAGTTTCTGTTCTATAATGTAATATGCAGTGCAATCTAAATTTTCTAAACTATTAACCGAAACTATTTTCTTCATTTATTTTGATGAAAGAATTTTATATTTTTTTCTAAAAATGTTGCATGTAACAATACTGAGACTAGTCTTTGAATTTTTTTTTTTTTTTCATTTGAAAAGACGAAGATGAAAAACAAGACGAGGAAAAGAACAATATTGTTCTGGAAGATAAATTAGCTGACGATGATGAAGAAAAAGAAGAAGAAGGTACCAGCATGTTCACTTAATTGCATCTAATCATACCCTGAATACCCTCACTTTTAATGAACTCAGATGATATTTTTGCATTTTTTGTGATGTTTCAAGAAGATATGTAATAATACAAAACATAAATTGTGTAGTTGCTATAAAAATCAAAACCTTTGTTCATATGCAATATCCGGTACTCCCGTGGTATGTGTATCAGGTTAGAATTAATACATAATTTTATTACAATTTTCCTTATTTTAGTTCTGTTACGAGTTCAGGGACTGTCAGTGTTAACCAATTGAATATACCCCTGCCATTGGCTTTAGTCCCTTTACACAACTTAATGTAAAGTAGGCGAACAAAATTAGTTACCTCTATGTTATCTCTCTAAGTAGGCCTTCAGATGGTGATTAGGAATATTAATCCCCATTCCAATCAATATAGAATAGACATAAACCTTTGAATTTTTTTTTTTTTTTCATTTTTGCACAGGAATTTCATAAAATATCAATTAATCAAAGATTTTTGCATTTTCATAAAAAATTTATTCTTGCTGTTTTTCCTATATTTATGTTGTAGTAAAACGATTTGTATCGAGGGCTAATTGAATTTTTATGAAAAAATTATCTTTTACACTTTAAGGTACTCGAGAGCTTACAGAAGAGGAAAAATGCACAATTGAAAATTCTGAAGAATATTTATCGTTTTTAAATCGTACATCAAGATTTATGGAGAGAGCCCTCACACATAAAATTGATTTATTTACTGAATACAATTTACAACAAGATGAAGAAAGGTCTGTTGGAAATAACAGTTATTTTCACCTGTCAGTTTTATCTTTCCAGCTAATGTATTTCTTGGGCAGGCTAGAATTACATATCAGGATGATGCATTTGATTATTAATTATTTTACTTCCATATCATCGTCCTAATTTTCTTGATATTCATGGTTTTACCACCTCAATCAGAAACGTTAGTGTTTTATATGATCTATTGAGGGTTTCAAGACAAATGGGCAAATGTTTTGATTTTAAAAAATAATTTTTTGAAATATTACAAAAAAATAGGCGCCCTTTATTGATATCTTATATTAATAATTGCATTGATATTTACTGAAATATTTTAGTGACAGAAGTTTAAAAATCGAACATATGTTTTTCCTCATTTTTTCCAAACAGCATTCACAAGTCCAGCCCATTTGTTTTAAAGCCCTTGATATGCATATTACATATATTTTAAATACATATTTTAACTTTGTGTTGGTGATATATAATTGAAAAGAAGTTTGAAAAATAACAGGATTTCATAGTCTTCAATTTGAAGTTCTTTTTCACAAATTTTCAAGGCGTATAACATCTTTCTACATTACTGAATAATTCATCTGTATGTGATTGATCGACTATCTTCTCTCTTTTTCATTTAGTGAGGCAGACAAAGGGGCCAAACTCGCTCTGAATCGCGTATTCTCAGATGAAAGATGGTCAAGGCATAGACTAGTTACTTGCTTGGATTGGAGCACACAGGTATTATAGTACACTTATTTTGGTACTCCCGTAGTATGTGTGCCAGGTTAGGGTTAGGCCATAATTTTATTCAGATTTTCCTTATTTTAGTTCTATTACAAGTTCGGTGATTGTCTGTGTTAGCCAAGTGAATATTTTCCTGCCCATAAGTTTCAGTCCCTTTACACAACTCGATGTAAATTAGGCAAACAAAATTAGTTACCTCCATATTGGTACACATCTTTCTGGAGCACCCTTATTTCATTCACACCAAAAATCTGTTGCAATATTCCGCCATTCAAAAAATCTTACAGTGGAAAGTAATGCTCAAAATGAAATAATAATAATAACATTGTGTTGATAAAAATATGAAAATAGCTATATTTTTCAAGTCTTTTTTTAAATGTTTACAATTTTACAGATTAATCGAAACTTATATTCAACCCCCAATTTTTTGTCGTCTCATTTATTCTAATTGTTTTATTGTTTCTCATTATTGTAACTGACTGATAACAGTGGTAATGTTTATAATTCTGGAATTTGGAATTCACACCCTCTATAGGAAGATCAATGAATATCATAAGATGGTATAATTTGACCTTAATGGTGGTTGTTGAATGCAAACGGTTCTGTAAATCTAAAACTCTATCTTCAATTTGCAAATTGTCAGCACTCCCATTTTGAAGACAATGATATTGATCTGATTTATGGTGATATCTGCCTCATTATTTTCAGTATCCAGAACTATGTGTTGCATCATACAGTTCCAATGAAGATGCACCTTATGAACCTGATGGTGTTGCACTTGTGTGGAATAGTAAATATAAAACAGCAAGTCCCGAGTAAGTGACACCCTAAATATCTTTTTTGTGTTATAGTAGGCAATCATTGTTTTTGATGTGGAATTCATATCAAAGGATTGCAAAAGCCTCATTTTTGTTTGAGATAATAAAATGAATAATTGGAAATCTGAATTTTTAGAATAGTTTCGACTCCTATTTCTGCATTGTATGACACTTCAGCTAGCACTTTTTATTCCTGCCCTCATTGTTTTTAAAATGGGCTTTAAAAATCAGCGCAAGACTGGATATCTCTATTTTCAAAGTAAGAACTGCCACTTAGGAATTTCTATCTAACTAGCATTCACCCTGGTCATTTAAACGCTTTCATGTAATTGCAGCCACCTTGAAGCTCTTCTATTATAGGGGGTTTGGTTCAATGTTTTTAACATACTGGTATATAAAATGTATAAAAAAAATTACAGCAAATCAATTCCTGTGAAGTTTATATTTATCTGACTGCATTTTCTGATAATTCATCTACATATATTGCAATTATTTATCACCGACTTCTACAGGTATATTTTTCACTGCCAGTCAGCAGTAACAGCAGCTTGTTTTGCCAAATTCCATCCCAACCTTGTAGTAGGAGGAACTTACAGTGGTCAGATTGTATTATGGGATAATAGAACGAAGAAACGAACACCGGCTCAACGAAGTAAACTTTCAGCTTCTGCTCACACAGTAAGAAATTTTCTTAGAAGTCGGTCAACTAATTTTTAAAGTTGATAAATTGAAAAATACTATTTTTAGAATAAGGTTGGACTAATCACATAAATCGTCAAAATGTTTTGCACTAAATTTGCGGAATTGAGTTCCCAATTTTGTATAACTGTGTTAGTTATTCTGACTTAATCATCAACCATTTAACAATGTGGAACTGTTTTGATGAATGTACTTTTGTTATGCTGAAACCACAGCTAGCTAAAGCTGCGAAATATTTATATATTATCAAATATCACAATATTTAATGATTATTTTTATTTTTCCAGCATCCAGTTTTCTGTGTTGATGTGGTTGGAACACAAAATGCTCATAATTTGATTTCAATTTCAAATGATGGAAAAATGTGTTCGTGGAGTTTAGACATGTTGACCCAACCACAGGTATGTCATGCCGCCAATTGAAGTATTTAATACCTGTTTTGTAAAAAAATATAAAAATATATCAAATCATTTCTCAAGAGCCTAATCCTCAATGTTAGTCTCCCTAATCCTATCCCTAATTAGTGTTAATCCCTAGTTAGTACATGTTAGTTCAGTATGTATGATATATCATCAAATTTCCGGCTGAAGGAATTCCTAGAAAGGAATGTTGTTGTTTTGGGAGAAAATATTAATTTCTATATGATGTATTTCACTAATATTGTTGGACACATGAACTATCCAAATGCCACTAAAAATCCATTAAAGATTGAACAAATAACAGAAACTGAGTTTTATGCATATTAGAGGAGGAATAAAGAGTTCTAAAATGGGCGAAGGGAAGAATTTATCAAACCACTGTAATAGTTCCTTAGGAAATAGGCCTGGAAATAAGGAATGTAACCTACATACACTAGTGTTTAGAGCTCAAAAAAAATCTGGAATGAAAACTAAAACCGAAAAATGTCAGCAATCCACATTTTTATGTGGACCTGTTTGTTTTTCATTTATTTTATGTTTCTACACATTTTTCAGGATACTATGGAATTGCAGCACAAGCAATCAAAAGCTGTTGCTGTGACTTGTATGGCTTTTCAGCCTAATAATGTTAACAATTTTGCTGTTGGTGCAGAAGATGGATCTGTGTATTCTGCCTGTAGACACGGGAGGTTAGTTTTAACATTTTCTTCTTTGTAAAGAAAGACGAGCAATAAAAAAAAATCCAAAAGTGTTTAAGGGATGAACCTTGTGGGGGTTCGAACCCCAGATCAATATCCTATAATACGATACCGAATTGAGTACATAGCTCAAATAATTATATAGCCAAACCTGAAAATATTCCGTAGATAGCAACTCTGCAACAGTTAACACTTTTTTCACACAATTCACCAACTGTCAGTCTCGTATACATAATTAAAATATGGAGGGCGGTTACTCTGATGACCGTAGGGTCGTATCGCTTCCCCCATTCTTTAACGAAAAACTTTTCGTATGTTATTGTATGTCTTTATTATTGTTGCAATGCTCAAATAAATTTTTCTCCAGAATGTATGCAGAATTTTAAATCATTGGATTTTTACCACGACTGGCTGCAAGCTTGATACTTCATTAATAATTACTGAATAGTACATTTTATATGGTACAGAATAATATATGCATGTGGTCTGCAGCCTGTTCTTACCTGATTATGTACTGATGTGTTCTATTTATCTATTTTTTTCTTCAGCAAAACAGGAATAAGTGACGCTTTCGATGGTCACTTTGGACCAGTAACAGGAGTTGATTTTCATTGTGCTACTGGTCAGCTCGATTTTTCTCATCTTTTCCTCACATCCTCTTTTGACTGGACTGTAAAACTATGGTCACTGAAGGTATGTGATGGATACATTTTTGCTGAGTGTTAGGAATATGCTCAACACTGCACAGTTTGATTCCCGTGGTGGATAATTATTTGCAAGAGAATTGCTGGACTTCTCGTCGCCTTAGGTTCATGTAAGCGCCGGTCGGTTACAGCTTCCTCCAGCATCAAGACCATGCATCTGAAGCATATAACTGGCTAACTACTCCTGTATCCAACATGGACTGGTGAGGTTGTGGTTCGCCATTTGATTAAGTCGCCTCACCAGACTTTCCTCTCCCCTGGGATAAATCTGTAAATCATATCCTGTACTAAAAAATGACCATGAGCGAAAAGTATGACATAGTTTTGTAGGTATGAGATAGGCCTAAGCCATATGTGCTCAAATTGAGAATATTAAGATGTTAATTTTTCTCTTTATGTTTTAATTATCCAAGTTTATATAATTACCTTCCAGAATGGAACTAGAAAATGTCTTCATTCATTTGAAGACAACAATGATTATGTAATGGATGTTGCTTGGTCTCCAGCTCATCCTTCCATGTTTGCAAGCGCTGATGCATCAGGGAGAATTGACCTGTGGAATTTGAATACCGATATTGAGGTATGAAGTTTGTGTCGTTAAAATAATTTTTTTGCATGCAGCTAACTTTTTGTGAAAGTTTAGTTATTGGAGATTTGTGGGTGAGGAATAGTGCCCAAAATCTTTCTTATTGGTATAGCCCTTGATATTGTTCCAGCGTGGGTGGGATTGGGTGGAAACAACCAGTGCGCAAACAACAGGAACCAGTACATAGGCTTTGAAGAGATTTCTCCAATGTTTTATGTAGGATTTCTATTTATGAACAGTCGAATTTCAATAGCACAGGTCTACAATTCATTAGAAAATCGGCCGCTTATTCACACATATTTATTTTTGATCAACTATTTTGCATCGCGGCTATTTTTTGCCAAAGAGCTAAAAACCGAATAATTCACTGCATTTCTCATTTTTGGCAGACTTTTTCGAGGATTTCAGGATATCAACAGATAAAATATATTTTAAATTGTTGCTTTTCATCAATTTATCATTATCAGGTACCTGCTGTTTCTGTGATGACAGACAATAATTCTGCTATAAATGAAATTCGTTGGAATCCTGCTGGATCGCAAATAGCTGCCGGTGATGAAGTAGGAAGAATTCATGTATATGATGTTGGAGAAGTATGTATAATATTTTTGAATGACATAGAACGATCAGAGTATTTTTCATTATTGAGTTTGAGTCTAATTAATCTTCAGGACATGGAAATACCTTGTGTACAAAATTAATGTTATTATGATACAATGAATTTTTCTTTTTAATCTTAAAAAGAGAGGAAGGTCTAAATTTGGGCTACTTGAGTTACGAAATATGGCATCTTTCCTGTTCATGTATGAGAATATCTAATTAGCGAGTCCAGTAGCCCAGATGCTTAGACTTATTTAGCGGTGCCCGCAGCAGGCCCGTCAACCAGCAGTTTTGAATACCACCTTGTGATCGATCATCTCGGAAATAGCCAACTAGCCACATCAGTTCACTGTGTGAATTTAACCAGTGCTTTCCACAAAGTTTAATCAGTAATCAGTAGCACCATTATTAACTCATTGAGTTAATCTTATGATCTTCATGACCTGGAGTGTTGTTGTTGTGTGAAAAGTTCCTGATGGTAAAAATTTAAAAACTGCATTTGTTTTATAAAGTGTATTGCTACTTGATTTTAAATATAAATTTCGATATTTTCGGTGATTCAAGGCCGATGTGATTTTGCATATTTCTTTTACAGCAAATTGCATCTCCTAGAAATGATGAATGGTCCAGATTCGTTCGTACTTTGGCTGATATAAAAAGTAATGAAGCTGATGAGGAAGAAACTTTAATGTCAAGACATCTATGAAATACGATTCACCAAGTTTATTTGTGCGAAATTGAAATACACCAAGCATTCTTCTTCTTAGCTTTATACCATGTTTGTAGGATGAACTTAATAATCGATACCACTTATGTTCAACTAATTATCAAACTATAGAAGTTGGTAATGGATTATTGTTCTCACCAAATTAAGTTCATAACTAATTTATTGGCGGTCTTTTTTTCCATCTTTTTCTAGTATGCTTGTACTTACCATGACTGAAAATCAACACCAAATGACCCAGTATTTCTCCTGGAATAGTTATAATCACAACATGCATAAGTGGATTCAACTCTAAGCAATGAATTTGTTCTTGTTTTTGAATCAGTACCAATTGTGGTGTCGTAATCAATTTATATTCTGTTGGTGCCTGTGTTGCCAACTATACAATTTTTGCGTTGTTACATATATTGTGCTGCATGCACTATGTGCACATTTACTATATTGCTCTGAATAGTACTAAATGATCTTTACGCCGAACAAACATTCATTTGTCTTAGATGAGATTACATCGTTACTGGGAAAGATAAGATAAAGCAGGTCCGTTCAGTTTCTTGAAAGTGACTAGTGGGTGGTGTATTATATTTTTTTTTTGATTCAGTATACAGCCCGAGTTATCGGTGAGGTACTCTGTATGGGATACGAAATGTGCTGTTGCTTCCATCAGCATGGTTGCAGCGTTAAGTTCGGATCACCAGATATGGTCTTGTATTTGTCACCCTTCAAATAGGTCCAGGGAGGTTAATTACCCTGTGTGTATGACTAGCTGTCATGAAGTTTTGCCAGAAGGTCAGTTTTCTGTACTTATGTTCATTGGTCTCGTAATGATAAAATATAAAGACAATACCAACAGCGCACATATGACGAGAAAACAGGGCCGTGTTTTCTACGAAGATTGTCATCATAAGTAATATAAAATCGAGAAGGTGAACTTTTTTTCCACCTCTTCTGTACGATGTTGGTTCTTCGCAGCTGGAGAGTTGTCAACTATATACCCAATGGACCTTTCCCCGAGCATCGACTTCCTTGTTTACTTCGTGACATTGGCCAATCAGCAAGATGCAAAAAGTGACATAACAATGCCCCTTTTCGCATCCGCTCTCCGCACACTTTTCTCACTCAGACAGATTTCCAAGCGTGGTTGTAAACATTACCTTGTTTTCGCGTTTTTGAACTCTATTCGTTAGTTTTCAGTTATGTTTCGGAAACTTAAATATAAATCAGATAATTCAATGATCACTCCGTCTTCTTAGGAGTTTCAATTTAATTGCAGTAATAAAAATTATTGTAGAAATAGCTACGATATATTAGCCTGAAATTCTTTACCGGTACTTTTAAAAAACAGATTGTTGTATGCGCTGAATCATAATGATGGTTTGAAACACATACCCCATTTTATAGGCGCCACCTCGCAAAAGCATTCTTAAAATAGCCCCGAAAACTTTGCAATGGTAAAGTATAGGAGGAATTTTCCGGGGATCAAAGGTCGGGGAAAGGTCCATGTGTTTATATTTTCACCGGCGCTACATTCACATTTTAAAGCAGGGTTCAAAATGAGACAATTATTTCTGTATTCTGACGGACTTTCCGACGTTGGATTAGCCTTGCTTTAAATCGGCGACGTCAAAAATGGGATTTTCTGAAGATGAATTTATCAAGACAATGAAGGAGTTAGAAAACCCGGAATTTAGTGATTACGAGTTTTTTGTAGAAAGTCATGGCGTGAAAGTTTACAGGAAATACTCGGAGGTGAGCACAATGACTGTAAATTGTCATTTAGTGGCATATTTTTTCAGATCCGAACACCAGTTATTTGTAAAACGATTTTGGTTCAAACAAAATAGCCTAAACCACTCGAGAATTCCCATAATCTCAATTAGCATACCTTTTTCTTAAAGTTTGTAGCAGAATTTTATTATACGTTAAGTAAAATTTGCCATAACTTATGTGTTAGTAGTTACAGAGTTAATAGAGTAGTTCAATTTGGATTGATGGAAATAAATTCAGAAGCAAATTTATTTTGTAACAAATATAGAACTCTACAAATACACAGAACTCTAGTAGTTTGTATGTGAATATGTCACATAAGAGCTGATTCAAATCAAATTTCAGAATTCTGGGTTTATGATATACCGGTATATTAATACAGTAATAAGTATGCATGAACTTTTGTTGACAACAAATCATCATTGAGGAGTATAGTAATATGTTTCATACTTCATCAACATCAAGCACTACTTCATCTGAAATGAAGGAATTCAATCAATATTCTCATTTAAACTTGAAATTGCTATTACATACTATTAACTAAAGTTCAATATTCCTCAACAGGAATCTGGTTTATACCAATATAAAGTGATTGGTGAGATAAATGTTGATCCACAAATATGTGCAGATGTTTACATGGATTTGAAATACAGGAAAGTGTGGGACAGTTATGCTGCTGGTAAGATTTGCATCTTCATTCTTAATGTGTCTGTGTTTTGATGTCTGGGAATTGATATCACTGACCAGTCAGAATTATTTAAGGTTGAAATTCGATAATACGATTTGATTAGAATTATTTAATGACATTCGCATCATCACAGACATGTATGTTGATGTTGACTGTTAACTCTTTTGTTCAATACTCTTGCCGACCACCTCACACAGTTTCATGAGATATGTTGTCAATATTTGGAAAAAAAATTCAGACTGTAGAAGCATCCTGTGTATACATGCTTATCTAGGGCCTTGTTTATGGTAAATTTCCTGACTACCACATAAATTTATATGGTTGCTTATGATTAAAAAATTCTTCTTTGCACGTGTTGTATCCAATTTCAGAGGTTCGCGACATGTAATTTTTCTTTACTCTTTGATTTTTTTATAAATATATTTTTGTCACAGATCTCAGGTATATGTGTGAGGAAGAACCACAAATTGTGTATTGGCAAGTTGCTTACCCATGGCCAATGTCACACCGTGATGTATCCTTTTTTTTAAAGGAAAAATAAGATTTTATTCATAAGCTTGTCAAATAAGCATATGCCATTATTTGTTACCCTCAGAAAACCTATAATTAGGCCTTAATCATATGATATAGCATTTTCGAAGCCAGAATAGTTGAGAAAGAAAAGAAATATCTCTTAAAAAAATTTGAAGTCCTGCACTTCTCTCTGCAGAATAGTAATAGGCCTATCTTAAATAATGTTTTTGCATACTACTTCTGCATGGTTTTCACTAGAGAACATATGACTTGTTCTTATCATTTCTCAACAATTCTACTAATGCTTCCAGTATCTCTATGTGAGGCAAAAGAAGGTTTTAACGAATGCCAAAGGCAACACTGTTTACGTAGTATTAGGACAATCAGCTAAGAAAGAAGATCTTACAGATTCATCGAATGTTAAAGAAAAAAGTGGTGTTATAAGAGTTGATGATTTTGTTCAAGGAATTTCTATAACCAACAGTGATAATGGTGGAACAAGAGGTATTTATTAGTTTTAGTTGGCACTCAGCAGCTACTCTGCGTACTATATCTTCCCTAAATAAGCAGTTTTGTTGCATATGTTGTTGAAGAATCGGTTCTCATCATAATTGGACCAAAGAGTACATTTGTATCGTTTTGCTAAATTGGTGGGACTAACGGCTTAATTGGGATTCAAATTTTCAGTGCCGGAAGGATATTAATTGACTTTTATAGGGTATATATCGGAGCATTGCTCTCTTGTTGGACACAAAGTGGACCTATGGATCGTTTTGTTGTTGTTAATAATCATTATGTTACTATTTCTTTTCTTTCTCTTCTCGTTGTGAAAAAATAGCTTTTCACATTAACTACTGGAGCGATTGCTTCGAAATTTTCAATGGTTAAAGATTGTATTATTCGCTAGAAGACTATACTTTTATATATTTCAAAAATGTCTAGCCTCTATTTGATTTGTTTTTTTGTGCGATGATGGCATCAAAATTAAAAATTGTGGCAGTTTCACTTTCAAATCGAAAGCAACTCTGGCAGTATTGGTTCGATGCTTAGCTTAAATTTTTCATTTTACAGCTTTTATGCACTACTATGATAATCCAAAAGGAAGCATTCCAACTTGGCTCATAAACTGGGCAGCAAAGAGTGGTGTTCCAGATTTTTTAAGCACAATGGAAACTGCCTGCAATGGGTATAAAACTTATTTAAATGGATTGTGAATTTTTCCATACAATTTCATGACTCTACTGATGATATTGTGTAAAAAGAATTATCATTCACACCTCTTAGTTGAATCTTATAATCAATGAATTCTTGAGTACTTTTGTTGAATTATTTATGGAGTACTAAATTTCATTATATTTTATTAGTTACTGTTTCCTCTATATTTCAATTTTGCTTTTCTGTTTTTATATATTTGTCGTCTGTACAAAATCTTTCCAAGTTTGAAACTATGGGACAGTGGTTTCAATCGGGGTTTCGCCAATACAGTCCGGAAGTTTTACGAGCTTTCATTCAAGTCCGAAAGTATCAGTGATTCTCACTCGCCTTTTTACCCTGAGATTTGTTGATGTTGTTATTTTAAAATACATACATGAGTTTTTTTTGCTATTTTATTTTGTGTTGATTTTTAGGCGGCTCCTTACAACTTTGAGGTTTGAAATTTGGCTATGACACTAAAAAAGGTTGAGAACCACTGATCTATATTAACATATGTATCTTGTTATAACCGAATAATAATAAGACAGCTCAACTATTTGGGGGTTCCTGATCCTGTGAAATGTCTCATTGGGGTTCCGCTCCACCTAAAACATTGGAAAACCGCTGCTCAAGGTAATGTTAATGTATGAAATAAAAATATACTTGCTCAGTGATTATCTTGTAGCAGACTTTTAGATTGACTTTTTGCACTGTGTGTACCAGGTTAGGGCTAGGCCATCATTTTATTCAGATTTTCTTTATTTTAGTCCTATTACCAGTTCGGGGACTGTCTGGCTTGTTCTGAATTTACTTTTATTCCTGTTATTACCTCCCAACTATTGCTGTGTAATTTTATATCTGAATGATCAAATATTCTAGAAATATATATGTTAGTTCATCTATTTTGTAAAAGAATTCTTGCGTATATTCATCACCTTACTATTCACCAACTTGACGATCTCCTTCATTTGATAATTTTATTGCTTCAATATTAAGTTTTTATAACTTGCTTTTAAAATTGAGTATTTGAATAATGTACCAAGCGCGCTCATATTGCAATGCTAATTCATTTTGCTAGATTACCCTTACCTTTCATGCACAAAACTTAATAACACATAAAAGAAAACTAAGCAGGTACATTTGTATAACACGAGTGAACTGTTAATTTCATTCCAAATGATTGTGGCGTGTCCAAAATGCCAAAAATTATATAGTAAATTAGGGCATCTTTTTCGTGGGTTACCGCTGCAAAACTTTTCCCAGGAGAGGTGTAGTAATTTTATTGATGAGCATTGTGTACTCGCAGTTTTCACTATGCTATGTACATAATTAACGTATTGTTTCTCTGGGACCTCCTGAAGTATGCGCACCAAGGTGGCACATAACCTGAACTCTGATTGTGTACCAGGTTAGGGTTCAAGTTATGGGACATCTCGGTGCGCATACTTCAGGAGCACCTTTCTCTGTACTATGCACTGTGCTTTCGTCTACAAGATAAAGATAGTCAAGTTTATTATTTTTTCATCCAGTAAAAAATAAATTGAAAATAAATAAATAATATTCAACACACATCTTTACTTACAAAGAGGAGTCGCGGGGAAACAAAACTGGTTATCGAGCAGCAACACCCTGAAAGACTCTGAAAAATCAGTATGTTTGTCTTTTATACGTTGCCTCTGCGCAATGATCCAGTCATTGCCAGCAAATGCAGCACAATTCTTGGGTATTTGGTAATTTTTCGTTATATTGTAGTGCAGTTGTTATAGCATGTGCTTATATAATTGAATGCTGTCGTAAGTGAACGAAGATATTGTTACCTTCACCTGGAAGATTGGAACTTAATTCGTTCCTAGTCGTGGTATTAAGTACCTAAAGTTGTCTGGGAGCATGGGCCCAATAGCCGTTAAAGGCAGGGGCGGATTAAGCCTCTTTGGTGCCCTAAGCACTGAAGTCTTTGGTGCCCCCCTATGTGTAATTTAATTATAAAAACGATAAACCACATAAGTGTATTATCCATTAAAAATAATCGCAACCAACAGTAAATAAAACAACTTTTACGAACGTTTTTAGGTTTTTCAACTGGTATAAATAGCCGATGTATATATATATAGGCCGTTCACTGCCGATGGCCGATATGATATATCAGCAAACACGCAATATCGGTTGAGCTCTAATCATGAAGGAGTGTGACAATAAAGATTCATGCCTCCAGTCTCAACGTGAATCGAAATATCAAAGCATACAAGTCACAACTGTAGTTAGAAACTTTACTGGTACCTAGTAGTCTACCTCAGGGTGGTTCAAGGTTGCTAGGTTGAAGAACCGCAAAACTTTTCTCGCGGGTCGCAAGTCGAAAAAAAAAGTGATCAAAATATCGCGAGTTTACTTACTTTAAATTTAATAAACAACGAGAGTTTACCGTTCTAATCAGACTAATATTATGTTGCATGGGTGGCGTTCTTTTAAAGAAAATATATATAAAGCCTTCCGTTATTTTAAAGTTAATTCCCGAGAATTACCGTTGTATTTTCCGCATCTCGCGTTTAATGTCGCTTCAAATTATATTCTTTCGTGACAGATATTACTTGAAATCAAACCAGACACTGTGTGATGGGCAAGGAAATACGTTTCCGCCGTGTTTCTCATGTCATCTTTCTTGTAACACTCATTTTATTACGGATTGTTATATATATTTGAGTAATTTAAAAACTTGCAGCGTGAGCAAAATTAGTGTCATCGTCAAATACCAACCAAGTCCGTCCAAGTTGGTATTCCGGGACTTAGCTAAAAAAAAACTGGATTGCGCGGCGTTAAGTCGGAGTTAACCCCAGTTGGAATAGCTAAAAAAAACTCAAAAACGTTCTGCACAGGGATGGCGAACCTTTTTCAATGAATGGGTCAAAAATTATATTTTTATCACGAAACAGAAGCGTGTGGGTCAAAGGTATTTAATCAATGTTTGTATCTATAAGAAACTTCTGAAATTTTATAAGCTTCGGTTCGTGCATATGAATTACCAAAAACGTTTAGGATGATGCGGCAAATTATTTTACGGTTCCTAAGAGTTTGGAGGGAATTTCACTCTGATAGTGTTATGTTTTTCGATCACCTTTCAACCACATTAAGGCACTCTCACTGCTCCATTGTTATTTCAGATCTCTAGGTTTTTATTTCAAGTCTGAAGGATTTTGTTGTCTCAACGGCATTGTAAGCGAGAAACTAATAAAATGCAAAGTAGCAACTAGTTCTCGTATAACCCCTAAACAGTCGGCAGATACACTTCCGAAAGAGACAAGACGTTACGAAAAATGAACAGATCAATTGCATCATTATGTCATATACGATGTCAGAGCCAATGGCTGAATAACGAACGGTACACAGCGGTGCAGACATTTGTCCAAGATTAGAGGTTTTAAAAATTACCATACCGGCCCTGAATTAACAATTTGAATATAATCGATCGCAACCCTGACTGCCCAACTGACAGTACATTATAATAGTTTAGTTATTGTTCGTTTAATTTAAGGCCGATTTTAACGATTTTCATCACTGATATTTTTTTTTTCGTACCTTGGCGGGTCACGAATAAAACGCGGTGGGTCACTTTGTGACCCGCGGGTCAGTGGTTCGCCATCCCTGTCAGCTATAAGATACAAATATATATACGCTAAAATTGTTCTGGGAGCCGCACAAAATGTATCAGCATGACAGGGTTTGGACCACCCTGGTCCACCTTATCAAAAAACACCCGACTTCGCTGACCACTAGATCGTTGAAATGCGATCGTGGAACCGCCACATAGTGCAAATACTGTATTTCCCAGCGAATAAGACGAGGCCCGTTTTTAAGCCTTTAAGCATTGGTGAAAAGAGCCGATAACGACTTTTTTTTGTAGCGTAATTCAATCCATAACAACTACGGGAATTCAAACTGTCTATCAATTTCAATCTAATTGTGTTCAACTCGCGATTGCGTCCGCCATACAAGAACATTACCGATCTAAAATAACACGGCAATTTGCGGACATAATAATGTGAGATAAACTACCTGATTATATTTAGTTTTTATGAATAAATATACATATAACGTGTTTATATATATGGAACATACATATTCATCACCTCGAAATCTCCACAAAACGAATGTGTTGCTTCATTGATTTAGTTGGGATTATATGTTGTTTTTGAGGGTTTTACGGTAGGAAAAAACCTTAAGTCAGCGATAATATTCCACCGAGTAAATTATGTCAAAAAAATGAATTAAATATACTTTACATTACCATAATTACGGTATTATACACGTAGCATGGTCGCGTCTGGTACTGTCGGTAATTGTAGAACAAAAAATGTTTTTGTGAATTGCGATGCCTAAAATTCATCTTTAATCTGTCACGGGCCATCCTAAAATAAAACTTAAATGGTGTTTCTGTTTTATTTTGAGTATTTTATAATGCCGCTTTAAAAACAGGGAAATTTGGGTCATGTATTCACTCCTTATTGGACACGTTTATTGGACACGTTTAGTGGCCATAACAAAATCGCTTTTCTCTTCGAATACTGGACCAATTGCTTTGAAATTTTCAGTGGTTAAAGATTAATTTCTTCGCTAGAAGGCTATTACTTTTATTTATTTCAAAATTTTTCGTGAATTCTATGAAATTCGATATTTCGTCTAAAATTTTGCTGTATTATTTTTTATCCATGGGAACACGGATTTTAGTCAGTGTTATGACTGGCTGTACGTTTTGATTCTGCAAAATTCTTGCTACTGGAAATTCAGAACTTTTTTGAGGGTACCGGTAGCGTCAAAGGTACCGGTAAAGACTGTTTCGCTCTGGTCTAACGTGTCCATATATTTGTGCGTAGCTCTCTTGTTTATCTTAGCCTGTTGTCACACATGATTATGTAATAAAGAAAATTTGGGTCACATATTCACTCCTTTATTTATCTTAGCATCTTGTCACACATGATTATGTGATAACTCGTATCTCACAACACAAGTGCCATGGTTGCTTGAGAGCAATAAAGTAATTATCGTTATCCTCGCTGCAAATTTCTGACTTAGGGAGAATAAATGCTGAAATGAAAGATGTTTACGGCTCAAATCACGATGACAAAATCAATTGACGATTTTCACAAATTGCAATCTCACGTGAATCACAGCATTGAAATTCCAGATTCACAGCGCGAGAATGTCGATTTATTTAAACTAACCTGATGAGGACGTGGGAGATGCTATCGCCGAAGGTATTTTATTGTCCGGATTTAATAATAAGGCGTTGAAGAGAAAAGAAATTTTTTTAAAACAAAAATGCAGCAACAAGGAGAATACTATAGGAAGAAAAAACAACAACAATTTGAGAAAACAACTCATAGGCCCATTTCGTGTCTAATAAATAAGTTTCAGTGTTTATTTTGATAAAGAAGGTTTATAATAATATGATACTTGAAGACGAAAAACAAGTGAACATTTTGTAGTTTGAGTCGTCTGGTGAACTCGTAATATTTTAATAAACACCAATATACTATATAAAATTCTGCTCCAAAATTTCTGTAGTGCCCCTCTTTGCTTGGTGCCCGAAGCACGTGCTTATATTGTTTGATGGTTAATCCAGCGCTGGTTAAAAGCAATTGTTTTGAATCGTTGGCTCGTTTAAAAGTCGTGGCACAAGAAATTGGACGCATATTGATGTAACGAGTTTTCAGTTTGTTTCGTCGAGTTCGAAATTACGAGCAGTGAACGAGAATATGAATACAAACTTAATCTATCGTAAAAGATTTTTGGACACGGAGTGGAGCTACAGATCGTTTCGTCATTTTGTATTCGCGTTGTTAACTACCGGACCAAGGACTAACATACCATTTGCTTTGAAATTGATACGACAAATTTCTCAGTAAAGTGGTTTGTAATTGCGTATTTTGTGGTATAGGCCATGGCATTTTGCTTGATTCTGAATGTCCACCGGTCCCTAAAGTTGTTTTGAGATTTGACCGGTCCGTAAACTAAATGACAACTGCTGATCTGAAACATGCTTTTTTTTTCCATTACTTGAACAATAAATTTTCTAAGTGTCCCTAGAAACGGGAATGTTTCTACCGGCTTGATTCTCGAAATGATTGGTAGATTCCACCTGTAAATCAATTACGATAAATTATTCGTGTTTTAAATACTTTTGAGTGGGGTGATTTATAAATAATAAGCTATATTTTTTGGATTTGACGCACGCTTGTCAACTCTGTACGCTTTAGTCGCTGGAATACTGTTAACCAATAGAATAAATGAAGTCACGTAATAAATAAAAAAAATCAACGTCGCAGCGTACTGGAAACTTTTTGATTCATACTTTCGAGACAAAAGAAGAGTTCAGAACTGCTTATTAGCGGATCTGACGTAAGATGGATGAACTACGTTAACTTTTTTCAATTAGTTTTGAGTCATATATGAACCAATTTTGAAATTAGTGATTTAGGTAAGGCCGGTACATGATAAAATATTAACTCATTTTATAATTTGTTGTGTTGGCGAGAAGCAAGAAAAATCATGATAAAAAAGTACCAAAGCATATGGGCTGCCCGCACTTTTACTTTTTAAACCCTTAATGTGGTGGTTAATAGGACGTATACCATATGTCTCAATCAAATACTTAAGATGGGCAAGGTTTTAAGCGGGAAAGTTAGCCCATTTCTACCATAGTGTTCTGTTTAGCAAAAAAAAAGAAAAAAAAACTCAGTGCTAAGTTAAATGTTAAGAATAAGAGCATATGTGGTAGTGCCGAGATAAGATTTGGGGATCAGGCGATCGCACTTTCAGCGACACCAAACGCAGCTATAATACAGAAATTCTTCAAATATAGTCAGCAAGCCAAATCGCAGAATCACTGTTCAACCGTTGAAGTTTGGATAAACAGATTTCATATTTGATCTTTTCGGTGATCGTACATTTGAACCCATACATTTGCACCCGTATATCCGAGGGTTCAATCTATATCAGGGTTCTAGAATCCGTGGGTTAGGGTTAGTATGGGTTCAAATATCCGTAAAAAAATCCATAGGTGCAATAGTATGCAGGTGCAATTGTCGTGGGTTCATATTACGGGTTCAAATGTAATGAAAACGATCTTTTCAAATGTAAGGCATTTATATTCACATACAAACAGACTGTCATACATAACCCTATCACGTTCGATAACAAAAATATAGCGTTTTATTGGTTACCCACACAAACACATAGGCCTACTCTTCCTCTTTTTTTTTCTCTTGGTGAGTGATGCTAAATAAAGAAAAATAATGCTAAAAGCGAACCAGGAAGTACTGACTGACAGCTACTGATAATATGAGTTTCAACCTAAATTCAAATTGTAGTTTTTTTTTGTACGATAGAATATGTGGTAGGCCTAGTACTTTTTGTGAATCATGATGATGATAGTTTGATTAAAAATGTCAATACAATGTTTTCAGTTTAGGGATTACATTTTAATTACACCTGCCGTTCAGAAACTATTGTCAGATTTTTTGAACGAGTGATTAAAAAATCCGCCTTCGAATATCCAGAATATATATCCAGTTTATAATAAAAAAAATTAAATTGTATTTGAAATTCGTCACTAATGAATTAGAAAGCACCGCTTGATTCACGTCAGTTGTGTGTCACGTGAGATTTGATTGAGGTTGGTTTAGTACTAACTTTTTTGCATCACGATTACGAAAGTTTTATACACCCGTCGAAAATATTTGCGATATTATTAAAACTTATTATTTATATTAATTTCATCATTTAGGTATACAGCAAATCTCGATTACAATTTATCAATCTGTCTGAATATTGGAGTTCGTCATTGCTCAACAAAATAAAACCTAAATGAATCATTGACGCTTATTAATATTTTGTAGTCTATCAGATTTAATAATTTGCCCGTTTACCTCTGAATAAATCGCTATGTTAAATCGAACACAGGACATCGATTGGTGGAGTAATACTATTTCTCTGGTACATTGATATGTCAGGACCACACAAAGCTAAAATTATGACTAACAAGGAAATGAACTTTTTCGTCCTCTTTACTCTCTCTATTTTTTAGTATTTTCACTTTCTATTTTATGGTACTCTACAAAATTTATATGACATGCAACGCTCTTCATGCCTAGCTAATTTTCGTCAACAAAGTCCCACTTCCGTCTGAAGATGCTGGGATCGTGTTGTGCGTAGATCAGAGTCAGTTATGCGTCATAATTTTACGACCTTCCTTATTGCAATTCGAACAGGGTATATTATCGTGCACTTGCTATAGTGTGGAAAGTTTTAATCAGAACCGGTCCTAGCTATTGAGGGGACCTACGCGAAATGAATTGCCTACTTTAGCTAGAGATATGAATAATGATTAAAATTTGAGATTTTGTAATGGAAAATAAATCGGTCTTCAAATTTTATTTAATTACAAATACCACGATTGAGTTAACTAACGTGGCGAAGCATATATATTCAGCATATATATAATCGAATATTCTACAGGTTGTAATTCATATCGGTAAACTCAATAATCAACCTCTAAAACTAGCGCGGTTATGAAAGTGTGGGGCATACGGCGAACACATATATTGCGATGGCCTAAGGCCGGTCCTGATTTTAGGCTATATATATGTATTATATATTATGGGATAAAATATTCAACTTCCTGCTTAATTTGTAGGATTAGTATATGATAGGCAGTATAGAATTTGTCGATGAATTTTTGGGGGATACTGCCACAGAAGTCAAAAATACATGGAACTGGACGTTTTATTTTCGACCGACAGAATTTAGAACAAAAAGGGATTAGTGTTTATACAATTTAGCGGCCTACCCAAATTAGTTTCCATGTTTGTATCCCCAAAAATTCATTTCGCCAATAGTTTTTAATCTCGCTTAGACAAATACAGTTCATACTAAAGAAATTATTGATTGAATGATGATTTACCTTTTCTAAAAAAAATTTTCCTTCACTTTTATTCAGAATATATTGCTTGAGATTTGAGAAACAAAAATAATCACTTTGCACAAATATTTATATTGTGCCTGGCAAAAAAAATCGTAGTTTATTTTTTATTTCATAAAACATTATTCTTTATTTTTATTATGTAGTTATTTAGAATACATTGATTATATATATATATATACATATTTGCCAAAATCTTTAAGAAAATACATCAATCAGGGCGGTTGTATCGTCTTTTATGTGTTTTTTTTATAAAAAAAAAAACATCTGGTAATTAATATTGGAATCCTACGAAGTTGTCTACAAGATCGATGGCCCCACCACTCGGCTTTATTTTTATTGCTCTCAGTTCATTAGGTGAGTTTGTGAGTGAGTGACTTGTCGATTCTCATAACCGTAAAAATTTGTTGACAAAATGTGACTGTCACGTGAATGCTTGATGCTCCGAATATTTATTTACAACCTGGCAGCAATTCCTGTTTGAGACTTCGTAGACAGAATACTATGTAAAACAGTAATCACCAGTCACAAAATTTTGGGCTACCACACACGTGGTTCTAGTGAATTTGGCTATTGAATTCGGTGGAACGCAATATGACAAATATAATTAGTGTGGTACGCGGCATCGATAAGATCTAGATTATTCTAGAAACATTGATTTGTGTGAATCCACATTCTGGTTTTTTCAATATATGCTTCATTCATGTAATCCCCATTAGATGGAACGTTATAAGGGCACGTTTAGGAAGTTAGTCCGGACACGTATTACCGTTTTGGAGGGTTCCATTTCAATTTTTCATATATTTTCCCGGGTTTCATTTCTAACGAGTTTGCGTTTTACTCGCTTTTCTTATCAGTAGTTTAACCTAGTTCAATCACCATAACAATCGTTAGGAAAACCAAGGTGTTTAGGGGGGAGACTCGTCATATATATGTGTATAAATTCATAATATTATTGGATGCGCGGTAGGGCATTTATCATGTATATCACGGAATACGACCGAGGCCATATGATACGGTACACTAATGTTAATTGTATGACTTTCGTCTTTCAGGATTATGCGCTGAAACTGCCAACGTGACATGCGGTGAAAGAGTGGAGTTTACATGCAACCAAACAGATTCGAACGGAGCCTGCAGTAACCTGACAGAAATAATATCATTCGGAAAGTAAGATTTTCAAGCTCTTTTATACTTCAACAGCGAGTGTGAACAAATACAACAAAAGTTTTACCAATAGTTTACAGATTGGTGGAAGTGATGGGGATAGGTCAGAGTTTCTCGACGGCCATGGAGGTCGAAAAGTTCTGCGATCCAATACTATTCAAAGCAGCTCCATTATTAAAAAAACAGTTGCTCGTAAATTATAAATTTATTGCTCATAGAATTTCGGTGGTGAAAAGAGTCCAATATATTGAAGTTAGAAGTCCTTGACTGATAGAGCGCGGTGAATTTTACCTAATTTCAAATTGACTGAAACTGCCAAAAAAAAGTAAGCACTAAAATATGTAACATAATGAGTAATGAAATAGGTTTGCACCATCCAGTCTAGTTGATCATTAGTGATTGCAATGAGGAAATTGGAAAAAAACGTGTCATCGAATGGTTTGATTACGCGTGATAGACGTCAAACTAGAATTTGTTAAATATTTTTCGATGCGGAAATAGAAAACATACAGGGTGTCTATAAAGTCCCTTTACAATTTCAATTTTGTTATGAAGTCAGTTCTCAATATATATCTTAATCAGGTTTGTTGTTTTTTAATCAGTGATTGTTTAAGTATTTTTTCTTCATTTAATACATCTGTGAGGGCCAAAACAATATATATATATATATATATATGGCATCGATAAATTCCCTTTGCAATTTTTTCATGACCTTATGGACACCCTTTATGTCTACACAGGGGCTGGCACATGATCCATTGATTATACCTTAGTTCCGAAAACAAGAAAGGTGTAAGTTCCATAAGTTTAAAATAATAGTCAGTAAAAATGGTTGACGAGATTTTGGTGCTTGACAATCACGAAATTGTGTAAATGTTACTGTTGCACGTAGATTTTTTCCTGAATCACAGGTCCTTCTCATTCATTCAGCATCTATCAAATAAGCAGGATGCCTTTTTATTAATATTCCAGATGGGTGACTGAGGAATTGCAACCCTCATTGGTGTACATTAATATTGCGATTTTGAAAAACCTTTTGATGGAAAAAATTAAGGATATACTTATATGCATTTTACATTAGCAGGCGAAAACACATTGGCTTTTATTATTTTCCCCTTTTGACTACTCAAACTTTTGTTTGTGCTGTGTGCGCGGTGTCAACTCCTTCCGCCATACTCTCAATCGCGATCTCAGAATTTTACACGATTCAATATTCTGAATTCTCTTGACATCAAAGCAACCAATTTACGTAACACTGAGTCAAATTTTAACAAAATTTTAAATACCAGTCGTAAGTTGTCTCCGGCTTGGTATGAGTCCTACGACGTATTATTCTTTGATGACACATACTTTAAAACACATCTCTCTACACATTAAGGCTATGAACTGAATTTCAACTCAAAATGAATCGATATGCACAACTAGAACTTTGTATTTTTAGCTGGACTGCAGATGAAGATGGATTCATTGGAAACGTCACGGTAACTTCAGCAAGAACAAAGGATTTTCTTCAGCCAAATACTGGAACAAGAACCTGGGTATCAGCAACAGGACAAAATTGCAGTAGTAAGCACTAATCATTCGTTTACGAATCGAATCTTAAAAGCACTTCCATTTAGAATTTGTCAGTATTTACTGTCCGGGCACAAATAAAGGTACAGTGTTAGTTGAAATGAATGATATATATATAATATCGGTATCAGACAAAATAATTAGTGTTTAAGTAGATGCTTCGTAAAATTAGTTTCAGATTGTGCAGAGGCCTGTCGCCGCCAGTCTAGCGAAAGCGCTACGCATATTCGTCATCTGCGATTGATTTTTTTAAATTAATATATTAGCACCCTAGATTAATTAAAAATCAATCGAACGAATATAATTCATTTCTTTTTTTAGTCGATCCATGTACGGAACCCAACCCGTGTCTTAACGGAAAATGTACTCCGTTGGATGGAGGACCTAAATTATTTGAGTGCGATTGTAACAATGGTTATTCAGGAGATTGGTGTGAAGGTATTTGTATCTGAATTTAGCCTTTACTTACACTATATTATCTAACGCTATATAGCACTGTCAATAGTTCTCAGCCCTTCACCCTTGTATAAGTAAAGCTCAAAAATTTGGCCGAATCGATAACTTGACATTGGTTGTGAAAGTAATTCTGTTATACCAAAGACGAAGTAATAAATTCGAAAAATATTAATCTGAAAAGTGACCATGTGCAATTTCAAATTCCACCCCTGAATACTTTTTATGCAAGTAGGTCGGCAATGAAAGCTTAAATGTGTTTACCGAAAACTATTCGTTTTGCGTGTCATCATATGGTTTGAAGAACTACAGTTGCGAGCATCATAATTGACAAATATATAGATATATATAATATATATATATACGATAAATCGAAGCCTATATGGTGTCAGAAAATAACAAAAAATTCCTTCTGATTTGTGTCTAGTACCTGACAAGTGTGGAGAATCGAAATGTGACGAAAATGCAGACTGCAGAGACGAAAAATGTTATTGCAGAGATGGATATGGTGGAGAAGGAACTTACTGTACACGTAGGCCTGAGTGATTTCATTCATTTTTTTTTCGATTGATCGTATATTTTTTCAATTCCCCATTTCGTTTGCTACGAACCTAAAAGTTATGTCATGAACGGCTTGTAAGGCTAAGTATCAGCTATGGATAGAAGCAAGATATACATTACAATGAACTGAATTGTTTTAGTTGGATGCAGCAGTGTAAGATGATCGAGATTATTGTACCGGTAGTATTATTATATCATTTTTGTATCACTTGACAATTATTATTGCATTCAGTTATAATTGACAAACTATTTTATTATGACAAATTATAAAAATAAAAAATCTATAATTTTTTTTAAATTTTAGCCGTTTGCACTGATATATCGTTCACCAATACGGATAAATTTGAAGGATGTGCAGGAGTCGGAAAATTAGATTTTAAGAGCGTATTTGATAATCAAAGACAATATTCAAACCAGAGGTGCAATAATTCCGGTATGCAACAGTTATAAACATGATAGTAGTTGACATGCGATAAGATACACATGTTACTGTTCCAGCAAAATGTGTTTTTTATGAGTTTTTTCTTCAATAATTAGAGCTATATTTAAAACAAACCACTCACAATTCTCATTTTGAAAAAGTAATTTTGATTTCATTTTACAGAACCTCGTCCAATCGGTTACATTGATTGTGTAACTATTGTTGAAGACGGCAAGAATGTATCAAAATTTGATACTAACTCATTGAAGTGCTTGGAATGCAACGCAACCATTCAAAACACTATAATCAGACCGGTATTGATATCAATACAATTACATTGTCCCATTTTATAGTCATAATTTCGCAAAGATTTACGTCGGTCAGTTAATCACAGGCCTTGGTCTGATTCGAGTATTGAAAAAGTCTTTGTTATGGATATATTTTCTTCTGTAGTTACCTAGATTTGAAGACTGGGTTTCCGCTCCCCAATGCGATATAAATTTCCGATTTTAATCGAGTTACCAAGCATTTTTTTAAAGGAATTCTAAGCCACCTACAGTAAAAAAATATTGTGAACACTCAAAGACGATCGAAACTATTTAAATAATGGATTAAATAAAAATTACTACAGAGATAAATATTTTTTAACGGTCTGTATGGAAACTTTAAGTTTATATAAAAATGTATTTCCATTAGAATTACGTTAAAAATAGCATTGCAAGTACGCTCTTATTATGGATGACAGTGTACTTCACCACTAATGGAGTGTACCCAATCGTTATAATATAATACTAAATTCAACTTTATGAAACACACGCCTAATTACACTGATATAATTTGTTTCGCATATTATTTAAGGAGGAAGCGGAAAATCTCACTAGCGATGTGGTCAAAGAATACGTTGAAAAGCTACAAATATTGACTGAACCACCAAATAAACCTGAACAAGATATTACTGAGGTGGTAGAAAGCTTAGAGACAATTTCTAAAATACTGGTTGAAAGCAATACCGGTGAACTGAATGAAACTAAGCCCAAAATACAGGTAACATTTAAGCTGAGACTACAAAGGCTGTGGAATTAAAAGCAACTACATTACCACACAAGCAAATGTTGTATTATATAGGATTGGTGTCAATACCTGCGTGTCCTTACTCCCGTATTATTATATACACGTTAGCGGGTAAAATCCCAACTTAGAGGTAAATAAACACACAATATATATATATTGTAATTCCAAATATTCGTGCATTGTAAAAGATAAATTGAAATTGACACTCGAATCTTTATACCAGTTATACCGTTGCACTCCAAATCATTCATAATGCAAAACATTATATTCTCAACTCTCGAATGAAGGCCGGAAACACGTCACAAATTAGTCGATACAAAGAACGGTCCATACCACAGAAGCATTGCTAAGACTTGTCGATTGTCGAGATAAATCATAATAAGGGGAAAATGGGCACTGGCCTAGTCGTTGATTTTACATACTATTATTACAAATATGGGGTGTACTAGGGTATTGTGTATTAAACTGCAGGTGCTTTCTCCTTGTTTACTTTCTATTCCGGATCCGTATGTGGCTGTTGCCACATGGATGCGTGACTGAGATAGTATCATAAAGATAAATAAAAATAGCATAATCTCTTTCCACGAAATATCAAGTATATTTATGAGCTTTCGTTAAATCATAGTCTAACTTCATCAGATAAAATAAAAGATGGCTTAATCAAATAGCGAATAGATTATGCTATTTTTATTTACCTTTATATAGAGAATGCTATTTTTATTTATCTTTATATTCGCTATTCGATTAAGTCATATCTTGTTTTATCTGAAGAAGGTAGACTATGATCTAACGAAAGCTTATAAATATACTTGATATTTCATGGAAAGAGATTATGCTATTTTTATTATTACAAAGAAGTTAAATAACAATAAAATCCATATACATTCCACATTCGCTACAGTATATATTATTCTAATTTTCTGATTCAAGTGCGACAAATTTCAATCGCTTCGAAGCTATAGATTATTTTACACTATTCAACAGATCGACATCCCAACAATGCAAAACGTGTTGTTGATTGTAAGTCACATAGGAAAAGAACTCCCAAATGTTGACACGAATTCAAAGGTGACCAGGGACGATCTTGAACCAACGGCAGATTTTTCAGAAAAAGATCAAAATGTCAAGTAATATGTCCTGCAATTTTAATGATCCAACTACTTATAATTAAAAAGTGCTCTCGGAGGATGTGCGCCATCTTGGTGCACATGCTTCCGGAGCGCCAAATAAAATTATCATTTCATTTTTGGAAATAAACAAGTCTACGATATCAAATAGTTAAAAATATAATAGTCATTAAATTCGTTGTTGCTTAGAAAAATTGGTATAGCAAAATATCTTTTACAATCTTTTGAAAAAATAAAATAAAAGACATATTACAATAAAAATTGTTGTATTAATTCAAATTAGCACATAAAATTTTGGTGCTCCAGTAGTATGTGCACCTAGATGGCACAAAACCTGAACATAGTATTGTACCAGGTTAGCGTTCAGGTTGTGCGCCATCTTGGTTATGAAATTCGAGCCAGGTTTATCCTGGAACGAGCCTTTACAATTCAAAAAGACTTGAAATGAATCAATACTTCAAAATTGAATGCCGAGGCCATCGAGGCTTGGATTCAGCCCATCTGGTAAATCCAGCCCTGAATGTGAGGCTATTTTTCTTCCTTATAATATCTAATGAAATCATTCCCGCAATACGTCAACCAGAAACGGACAAGGTCTTGGCGAATTGAGACCACAACCAGCTCTTAATTGTCTGTGTCTTATTCGTAGTCTAGTTGTCGAAATTATAGTTAACTTTAATTCATGTTTTGTTCTCACTTAAAGCTGTTTAATTTCAGAACACAAACTCAAAAAGGTGTAAAGATTATCGATGATTTTGCTCGAGCTGTGAATCTCACTGGACGAAACGAAATTGAAATCGTGACAAACAACATGTCTCTTGTGGTGAGAAAAAAACTAGTCTGCTACAAGTTGCTTGAAAATACTAACTTACCACAAAGTATTAATATTAATACCACAGTAAAATCTTGATGGACTGGGACAGTGTTTCACAGCCCATGGGTCGAGACCCCAAACTGGGTCGCCTGAAACGTTTGTTTTTTCAACAAACTTAAAGTCATTAATTTCATTGTTTAGTAAATTTCAATTGTTTATTGTATATTTGATATTGAAGTGTAGCTCAATACTATTTGCATTTTGTGTATCACAGCTTAAGAACTTGGCAATATCTATTTTACAAGTATGGCCACGCCACGATTTCGAAAAGTCGCTTATGGCAAACAATCGCAGCTTTCTCACTTTGAGTGATATATATTATATATGTCAAAAAGAATAGTTTATATCAGTAATTTAATTTTGAAGATATATGAAAGCAATTCATGTCGCCCTGGGTCGCGAAATTTTGCAGAGTCTTAGTCATAGTCTTAGTATTTTAGTCTGTTGCATATTATCATAGTTATTTTGCAAATTCGAGTCAAGTTAACGGAATAATGACCACGACGTAGGGAACAGAGTGTGACCACTGTTTTATATTCCATATCGTTAGTCGGGTAATGTCAATTCACAGCAAATAATAGACTAGTTTATGCTATAAAATATGATGGTAAATTGTCATGAAATAAGTATTTTGTATTGTAATTTTCAAGAAAATAGAGTCAAAATAAGCATCAGCAGATGCCCATATTAAAAACTTCTGCGTTACAATTGCAAAAGTATTATTGTTCGTTAACAGATCTCGGAGCCACCGGAAGATGTAGAACTTGTGTACGAACCGGAAGCTTTTGTGCCCGAATCTGAGGCCGATAAAGAAACCAGTGGCAAGCCCGAATCTGAGTCACAGGTAGCAAAGAAAAAGGTAAGTTAAAGCTTTATTCTTTAACAATCGAAATGGGGTCAGGTCGGCCATCGTTGGTCACCAGTACTCGTGGTGAGTTTAGTATGATCACAAAAATGTAATCTGTATATTTTAAAGTTGGAGAATCTTTTTATTAATATCATTGATTTTTATGTAAATTTTCAATGATGTCCTGCAGTGAAAATTAAAAACCGGTTTATCAATATTCCAACTTTTAACCAGCATTCTCTACATTGGTATTGTCTTACAACGTAAAACAGTCAGAGCACAATGACATAGACTTAAAGGTTTTTTTTTATTAGTTGCCAATGCTGCAATTATATTAATTGCACTTGGAAATGAATGTTTCAACACGGTACCGTTACTGAAATGCACCAATAGTAAAATATCCGCCCGTTCTTCATTTAACAAAATAGTATAAACATCAAAATAGTACTGTATATAGGAGAATTTTGAGTCATTTTAAATATTTTTTTCACAGACTATAACGTTGACGATACCAAAGGATGCCGTCGCAAAAATGAGAAAACTGGCTCTTGCATCTGGGAGCAAAACCATGCGTGTTGTACTGGTATTGTACCAAGATGCCAGAATGTTAACATTTGATAAACGAACTGGAAAGGTAACTTCAGTAATTTCTCCTATTATGTAAATTGATTGCACTGAATCACAGTCAAACGGTGTGATTCACATACCTAATACTTAAAGTTGCCACCATTTCCCAACAGGATATAATTGTAAATGTAAAACCATTAATATATTAGACTTATTGATGTAAACTAGGCTACCATAAACTGTCATTCCAATTTCCTGGTCAGGAAACATATTGTTGGAAAAACATGGCAGCGTAGACGTAATCATAATTGCCTATTATGTTCCACTTATAACGTGCGATTATAGACATAGTTTCAAAAGATTTATATTTTTATTGCTAGTTTAATAAATGTGAGTGTATATTCTGCAACATAGGTTATACAAGCATCATACAAATCGGGAGACGAAACAGAAAGCGGGCCAACATCCATCGGAACCTCATTTAGTCTCCGATTTAGTGAGCCCAACAAAAAAACTCCAACTCAGGAAAAACAGCTGGAACATACAAACATGGTAATATGCCCATCTCTTGCCACTCTCCATTGGCTTTCCTTTCTCGTCTCACCATCACTGAAGCCACCTCTTTTTCTCTTATCTATAAAATATTCTTCTCTGAATTTCTCTTTTTATAACGAATATCATAATAATATAGATATATATATATTTTTACAGAAAATTGTTGAAACCTATTTTTGTGTATTTTACGATTTTATGCTACAAGACTGGTCTGACGAAGGATGCACATTCGATACAGAAAAATGGAAGGAATTTGATGTCTATGAGTGCAGCTGTACCCATTTCACTAGTTTCGCTCTTTTACTGGTAAGATCTAGGAATAAAAATTAGGAATGGGAGTATATTGTTGTTTGTTTGTTAGTTTTATTCCGTTGTATGATTTACCATGCTGGACAATAATGTATATTTTCTATAGATTCCTGGTGTCGTTTTAGTCTGCTTGCAGTTTGTCATTTCACAACACTGAAGAAAAATTGTTCAATATTGAACATTTTATTAGACTGTATAACATAACATAATACTTTTTCTGGATGGAACATATAAAAATGCGCACGCCGCAGACAAATTTATTGAATACTCCTGATTTTTTTACTTTTAATTAGCCTTTTCTTAAGCAATGAATTTGCCATTCTTTACACAGCGTATAACAAAAGTGCTTGATGACTTCTCCACAGATTACTACAGTATAGTCCTTTGTTCAATATCAGTGGTTTGTCTTGTGATCACTGTTATTATTTATCTTTCTGTTCGGTAAGTAATATAGTGTAGTTTATTTCGACATGCTTTATTCGTAGTTAGACGACATTTTGAACTGCCGATCTGTACTACTGGATTTTCGGCACTCCTGTAGTATGCGATACAAGATGGCGGACACCGGAACGTAGCATGTGTACCAGGTTAGGGTTAGGCCACAATTTTATTCCAATTTTTCCCGTTTTAGTTCTGTTCCGAGTTCGAGGACTACCCTATAGTGACTCCCGTAGTGTTTGTACCTGAAATTATGGCCTAACCGGATACACATACTACGTTTCGGTGTCCGCCATCTTGGTTCGCATACTACAGGAGTGCCGGATTTTCGCGTTGGTTTTAAAATAGAAATATCAGATAACGGCTTTCAAATCTTAAGAAGATGACAGGAACACGGGTGATATGAATAATGAAGCTCTGTTTTACATTTCCGTTAAAACAAATTCGTTTTTAACAAATTTTCTTTTCGTTAAAATAAAATTATGATTAGTAATATATGAGTCAAATAGACAACGTATAAACGCGGAAACTAAATTTCATGTTTTGCACCGATGGGAACATTTGGCAGTTAGCAAGTTGTCTAAATGAGCTTTGAACGTAAAAAAATGGAACACTCTTTCAAACAGTGTATTCGAGCAGTGTATTTTACATAGTTTTATATGAAACGTGACCATCTACTTTTCCATATCCACTTTTCAGTGATCTGAGAGTCCGTCGCCCAACTCCCATCATGGTAAATATCTGTCTGAATTTGGTGATTGGGTTTTTGTTCTTTCTCGTTGGGATGGACGGAAAAAGGAAAAATTTTTCCGACGCGGCATGTTACACATCAGCAATCATAATGCATATAAGTTTTCTAGGCTCGTGGTTTTGGATGTTGATTTACTCATTGAACATGTACTACGCCCTAGTAAAGGTAGGTTCTATATCATTGCGGCCGTTCTATTGTGAATTCATGTAATCTACTAGCAGTGGCGTGGTCTTGTATTGGACAAGAGATTCCCAGACCAGCACAAATTAACAGTCTTTTATAAATTAATGGAATGCAGCAAACGCCCGTGAAACGCTATTTATGTCACATAAATTAAAGACTGTGAGTTTTTGGGGCTTTGGTTATAGAAGAACAGAGGAAATAAGAAGAATAGCGCAAATAACATCTTTTCCTTTTTATATGATATTAGCTTTGTCGTCTAAAATCCAAGACGATACTTTTTTTATTTGAGGCAAATTTCTCGTTCTTATCGAGTAAACTAATTTTTAATGTTAAATCTCCATATCTAGTTTTGTCAGGAATTATACACGGGATGTGCGTTTTAAACATGTGACGCGCTTTTGGTTCAACATTATCTGTTTTCAATAGTGGATTTGCTCCTCATTCCATTGCTACTTTGATTGAGGTAATACTGACAACCGTTTCAAAAAAAAAAAAAAACGTTTCCCATCCGACCCCGTCAAAACACTATCTAACACGCTTCTAACATTTCAAGATTGTAGGTGCCTCTCCTCTCGTCAGCAAGAAGGCGTTTATGTACACTCTTGGATATGGTGTACCTGTGTTAATTGTCGTGATCGATCTCATCGTATCTTTGGAAGTGGATAAAACCAGAGGAATGAACGATTCCTCATTCGAAAAAAGTTACATTGCAACACACATTTGCTGGATTCGTCATCTGTCTATGTACATTGCTTTCACTGGTCCTGTCGGCGTCATTCTGTTTATAAATATGATATTGTTTTTCATAATTATACGGAAACTGACTTGGAAAAGACAAGAAGTGAGTTCACATCTCTATATCCGAAACTTTCAGCTAATTATCGAACTTGAACTAGTAGTCGGACGATGGTTTACTGATCTCTATACTCTCATTATATCATTCTTCATCTTGTAACGATGTCTGATGTCTAATTATTAATAATAGATTCAGTCAACTAAAGAAAGGGCGAATTTAAACCAGCAGATCCTAATGGCAATAACAATGATGTCAATGATGGGATTGACTTGGATCTTTGGTTACCTAATGCTCGTATCAGAAGACCCAGGCTACCAGACAGCACTAGAAGTACTGTTCAACATATTCAATACATGCCAGGTTGTGTAGCATTTATCACTGCGTTCATGGTTTATTTTCATATATATAAATAAAGGTATATCTTATTTCCATTTGTTCTATTACAGGGAATAGTGATATTTTGTATGAGCTGTGTGAGACAAAAAGGAGTCCGTGATTTGTGGGTCGGACCGATTCGAAGATTTTTCGGATGTCATCAACGGAAGAAGGCCAAAGGTATGAAAACCCTCAATGAATCGACGACCAATGCATCCCAAGGATATACTGGAATGACGACGCTTCCTCGCTTGAGCAAAGATGTTAATTCTACCACCGCCTTGTAACTATATAGTAAGCTTTGAATCGCATGAGGTATATTGGTGTTTGGAAAAATAACTTTTTACCAACTTGTTTTTGAACCAAAATTGATAAGTACTAATATAACGATTTTGAATCACTCGCCAATATTGAGACAAGAATTTCATCGTATACATTTCACGTGGATGAACCCTCGCAAATAAAAAACACCGAGAACTTTATTTACTTCTATAACAAACTATATTAACCACTAATAAATTTCAGTTGCCTCTCATTATGATACGTCTGTATGCTTTCTATATTTTTCATTTGAATGCAGTTATTGATATTTTGTGTTTACTCACATATTATTATGTGAATATAAGTATAACGTTAGGTAAAAGTTCAGATCTTTGTTCATGTGAAGTTTTTGAAATTAAGTTTCAATTAAAGTAAAATTTGTGACTTCATTCTTTGTTAATTTATATGGGTTTTTGTAAAATATTATAAGAATTTAATGATAAAACGTAACAATTAGAAAACAGTATCGAACCATCGAATTATTATGTAAAATGACAGTGGAAAAAATCTATACTACATTTGTTGGAATAACTCAGTTAGTTATGAGAAAAATTGCACGGTATAAACCAAATCAGTAATAAAATTACAGAATTTGACAGGCAATGTAAAACAAGATGAACATTTATATTTTGATAAGTATCAAATATAAACCGAAAAATAGTTTAAGAATTTACTTGGTCATTTTACGAAAATTTAGTAGCGCTTTATTTATTAGTTTATACTATTACTCACATTTTTATCAGGATTTTCTGATTTTTATTAGTATTCTTTTGCTCCAACGTTGTTTTTGGACGAAGCGTCAAAATAGATCTATAAACATTGAGCGTTCCAGTATATATATATAATGAAAATATAACAAATGCTTTTGAGTGAAATTTTAGACTCTTTTCTCTATTAAATAAATCAATGCGGCACTGTTAAGTGCGCACCCATCAATGTATTTAAAATGTCATCGGCTTATATCGCCCTCGTTCTTTAAAGCAGTACTATATAAGAGAAGATCGTTATATATATTCTATTATTAATTATACAACACATTACGTTGTTTTATGCATTACGTTGTTTTTCAAGTTATTTTAGTTTTTGAAATCAAATGTAAAAAGTATAATTTTGTTTGTAATATAAGTGATTATTCCGCAGTTCAAGGTAAATCTATCTGGTTTAATGCTTTGACTGGTATGTTTATGAGATGATCATACTGCAATCTGTTCAGCCAGTGACAAAGAAAAAGAACGGTTAGATATACCAATAAGTCGGGTTAATACTAGAAACCGGAATGAGTATATTTAATAAAAATCAGCATACGGCATCAGTATCGCAATTTATAAAATCCGCAAAATTCAAAGAAATGGGTCAGGCAGCGTAATATAAATGTGATCACTTCCTCGTAGACGCTTCTGAGTTTTCGTCTGAATTCGAGTATAGAGCTTGCAGTAATTTTGGAAATAAATAAAACTAATAGCCTTTTAGTGAATCTATTCCAAAATGAGCTGAAAGATCGATAAGTAAAACCTACCCATTTGAACACTTCATGTCCAACAAGAACAACATAACACCGGAAGTTAATGAGAATAGCGATTTTTTGCATAGCATAGAATAAAACAATGACTAATAATAACAAGAGAGCAATGCTCAAATGTACGGACACGAAAGCCAAGTGGAAGTGGTACAGGTATGCAATCTGTGACAGTAAAACTAGCGGTACGTCGATCTTCACGACTAACGCGAAAGCGGAACCGTTACAAAGTGCACAGTTTTTTATGACGTCATCGAACACAAAAAATCCCATAGAGCCTACAGAAAATTTTAAAAATGATTAAATGTAATAGCCTTTTTGCCACAATATCCCAATATTTGCGTCTTTCCGCTTTAATCAGCTCTATAACGTGATTGTGACGATGTAGTCATTTTCGTCGGATAACGTAGTCACATGGGGATCTAAATAAAATATGTAAAAATGGATAGCCTACCACCACTAATCGTACTTGTGGTACTTAACTATACGCATCGCCGTACGTCTCTGATCGCCACATATGGGTTAATATATCCCGTTTCTATATCTTTATACTTTAATCAGCTCTATTGGGTGATTGTGACGTCGTAGTGATGTCGTTTTTGGATGACGTAGTCACATGAGGATCTAAAATAAAATATGGAAAAATGATTAGGCGTGGAGCGCTAAAAGTACTTGTGGAACTAAACTAAAAATCTGTGGTTACACTTGTCCGGACATTGGTCTGAGCGAAAACGTGAAACGCTTCTTGAGAAATGTGTGTGAAGATAATAGATATACATCACCCTTGATCTAATTCAGATGTGGGCAAGGTTTTTGGACCAGGGGCCAAAATTTATTCCCCTCTAGACTGGCGGGCCATGTAAGTATTACGTAAAAAGTTACATTTTATGAACAATATTCACAGTGTTACAAAAGAAACAGTGTAAAACAATTGGCCTCATGCCAAAACTAAATTTAACATCAAAATTTAGCTTCAGTTAGGCAGCATCAGGCGTGCCAGATTGAATCACCCGAAGGGCCGGATTTAGCCTGCGGTCCGTACTTTGCCCATGTCTGATCTAATTGGTAGGAAACGTTGTTCTTCTGCCGTTTATGAAAATGACTTGTTGCAATTTTTTTTTCATTATTGTGTCTGTGCTATTCCTATTGTGTATTTATATTTTGTACTGAGCTCGACTCTGTTATGGTGATCTGTAATGTATTAGATTACAGTTTAGCACTGGTATAATATATAATATATATTTTACACATGTCCTCTGAACTCTATCACAATGTGCTGTTAGTGTCGAATCATGGAACTAAGATATCTGCTGACTCATTTTCCGTCTTTTTTATATTTATATTGTAGCAACCAATTCCGACTTTTCAATAACAGTGTAAAATTGATCAGGAGCCTCGATTACCTTCAACGGTCTATACTGGCCAACACAAAACAATGTGTAAATTGGATAGTCTATTACTATTAAAATTATCGATATTGTTTTCATTGCCTGTGGAAATAAATCTCTCTCTATGCTTGTCCGGAACTTGGTCAGAGCGAAAACGATTTATGAGAAATGTGTGTGATACTGCTGAATATGGCCGTGAGTCCCTGCTCATTTTAGCTCTCTCAGAATTAACAATCCGTCTCAGAGTTAAATAAGTCGTCAAAGACGTAGTCCTTGACGTTTTATCTGCTGGTGTAGTGCAATAAACTTGTCTTACAACAAACAATCAGATTGTGACATAATAATGGATAATTGCGCGGTAAAGTGACTGAAGGCGTTCATGTATCTTCGACGTAAAAGAAGAATGCAGGATGAATCCTAATGTTTAACCGAAACATGTTGAATCGTAGTTTGCAAATTCTTTTTTCCTTAAAATAACCAAAGCGAGATGAGACGCATGAAACCGGGGTAAAACACGTTTGCAAAATCTACCATAATTTGTTTAAAAAAGTGTTGCGGCGGAACATGTTATGACATGGGTTATTAGTGCCGGAATATAGCCGTGTCGATATCGGTTCGATAAAAGCAGTATCGGTATATCTTTAATCGTTTTTTAATGTATGTATCCCAATTAAAAATTTGAATTAGGAAACATTTCTTATAAATATTTAATGTGACAAGTGGGACACGTGGAACAAATGGGACACGTGGAACAAGTGTGACACGTGGTACAAGTGGAGCAAGTGTGACACGTGGGACAGGTGTGACACGTGGGACAATTGTGACACGTGGGACAAAGGGGAAAGGTGGGGCAGGTGTTACACATGGGGCAAGTGGTCCACTTGTCCGTGGTACACTTGACACTTAAGTGGTGGTACACGTGATACACTTGGTACAAGTGGGACACATGGTACAGGTTGTACATGTGGGTTAAGTGGGACACGTGGTACGAGGGGTACACGTGGGACAAGTAGTACACGTGGGACCGCTATTTTAGTAGGGACATAGCCATTTTAGTAGAGACATAGGCATTTTAGTATTGACATAGCGGACATAGCCATTTTAGTAGAGACATAGTGGACATCGCCATTTTAGTAGGGATATCGCCATTTTAGTAGGGACATAGCCATTTTAGTGGGGATATCGCCATTTTAGTAAGGACATAGCCATTTTAGTGGGGACATAGCCATTTTAGTAGGGACATAGTGGACATCGCCATTTTAGTGGGAACATATCGGGATTGTGATTTTAGAAGAGACATAGCCATTTTAGTAGGGACATAGCGGACCTAGCCATTTTAGTAGGAAAATATCGGATTCGCGATTTTAGATGGGACATAGCCATTTTATGAGGGACATACCGGACATAGCCATTTTAATAGGGATATCGCCATTTTAGTAGGGACATAGCCAATTTAGTAGGGACATACTGGACATCGCCATTTTAGTAGGGATATCGCCATTTTAGTAGGGACATAGCGGACATAGCCATTTTAGTAGGGACATAGTCATTTTAGTAAGAAAATATCAGTTTCGCGATTTTAGATGGGACATAGCCATTTTGGGGCTCCCGAAGTATGCGAACCGAGATGGCGGACATCGGAATGTAATATGTGTACTAGGGTAGGGTTAGGCCATAATTTTAGGTATAAATACTACGGGAGGCTCTTGGCTAGTCTTCGAACTGATAATAGGACTAAAAGGAGGAAAATTGAAAAAAAATTATCGCCTAACCCTAACCTGTTACCCATGTTACGTTCCGATGTCCGCCATCTTGGTTCGCATACTTCGGGAGCACTGCCATTTTAGTAGGGACATAGCGGACATAGCCATTTTAGTAGAAACATAGCGGGCATAGCCATTTTAGTAGGGACATAGCGGACATAGCCATTTTAGTAGAAACATAGCGGGCATAGCCATTTTAGTAGGGATATCGCCATTTTAGTAGGGACATAGCCATTTCAGTAGGGACATAGCCATTTTAGTAGGGACATAGTGGATCTAGCCATTTTAGTAGAGACATAGTCATTTTAGTATGAAAATATCGGATTCGCGATTTTAGATGGGACATAGCCATTTTATGAGGGACATACCGGACATAGCCATTTTAATAGGGATATCGCCATTTTAGTAGGGACATAGCCAATTTAGTAGGGACATACTGGACATCGCCATTTTAGTAGGGATATCGCCATTTTAGTAGGGACATAGCGGACATAGCCATTTTAGTAGGGACATAGTCATTTTAGTAAGAAAATATCAGTTTCGCGATTTTAGATGGGACATAGCCATTTTGGGGCTCCCGAAGTATGCGAACCGAGATGGCGGACATCGGAATGTAATATGTGTATTAGGGTAGGGTTAGGCCATAATTTTAGGTATAAATACTACGGGAGGCTCTTGGCTAGTCTTCGAACTGATAATAGGACTAAAAGGAGGAAAATTGGGAAAAATTTATCGCCTAACCCTAACCTGTTACCCATGTTACGTTCCGATGTCCGCCATCTTGGTTCGCATACTTCGGGAGCACCGCCATTTTAGTAGGGACATAGCGGACATAGCCATTTTAGTAGAAACATAGCGGGCATAGCCATTTTAGTAGGGACATAGCGGACATAGCCATTTTAGTATAAACATAGCGGGCATAGCCATTTTAGTAGGGATATCGCCATTTTAGTAGGGACATAGCCATTTTAGTAGGGACATAGTGGATCTAGCCATTTTAGTAGAGACATAGTCATTTTAGTATGGAAATATCGGATTCGCGATTTTAGATGGGACGTAGCCATTTTAGGAGGGACATACCGGACATAGCCATTTTAGTAGGGACATAGTCATTTTAGTAGGAAATATCGGAGTCGCAATTTTAGATGGGACATAGCCATTTTAGTAGGGACATAGCGGACATATGGGACATAGCCATTTTATAACTACCCTGCATAACATATTAGTAATTTACTGTTGGTAAATATTTTTTGATATTATTTTATTTATGTTATTTTTCATTAAAAAAAATATTTTTCAGATGATTTGAGTTGTATAAAAAGATAATAAGAACATATAGTCATCGACTTAAGTCTAAAAAAGTAAGGTGGAAAAAAGTCGTAACCTCCTCCAAGAACTGTCATCTGTTCATACCGTCTTATGACTGTATGAATCGGTCTTACTACTTACTGAATACAGCGCGAAACACCGCAAAGAGCGCGAAACAGCGCAAAAGAGCGCGAAACAGCGCGAAACAGAGGGAAACAGCGCAAAATAATGGGGAAACAGCGCGAAAGAGCGCAAAACAGAGGGAAACAGTGTGAAGCAGAAAAAATTTTTGCAATGAGTTCGGGGCACCTTGTTTTGAGTTGGATTACCACGGCAGCAAATTAAAAATACAAACCAACGTATATAGCCAGTAATGCTGTAATGGCAGGTCTGCCCCTGCAGGTGACACATTTTGGGTACCATAATTTAGAACATTTTCCATGTGGATATGGTTGGTTTTAGGGTTAGGTAAAAAGGGACCTCCAGAAGTATGTGCACCAAGATGGCGCACAACCTGAAAATAGTACATGTGTGTGTGTGTGTGTGTAGCGCATTCAGGTTAGGATAGGATAGGATTTACATATTTATCCCGGGGGAGAGGAAAGCCGATAAGTCGGCTTATCCATATGGCGAACCACGGCCTCTCGTCCGGTTACCATTCCAAGTCGGGTATGGGATTAGTTTTTACTGTATTGTTTGTTTTCGGAAGCATGGACTTGGTGGTGGAGGAAGCCGTAACCGACCAGCGGTTACGTGAACCACCCAACGACGGCGAGGAGTCCAGCAATCCTCTCGCACATAACCATCCCTGCATGGGATTCGAACCTGCGAACCCACGCAGAGTAATTAGAGGTGCGATGGCGAGCGTATTCCTAACGCTTAGCCCGTTGAGCCACACCGCCGCGCCGTGTGTGCGACATATTGCTGCACATACTTCTGGAGCACCAAAAAGGTAGATAAAATTTCGCATGATGACCTATAATCCGGTACATAACCTTGTAAATATACCGGAAATAGCGCCATAAAACCATGGCGAGAGGCGCCGTGGTTCTTTCGTGGCAGGAGGTGGTAATGACTGCGTCTCCTGTTTTGCGCTGTTTCCCTCTGTTTTGCGCTGGTTTCCTTCTGTTTCGCGCTGTTTTCCTCTGTTTTGCGCTATTTTGCGCTCTTTGCGGTGTTTCGCGCTGTATTCAGTAAGTAGTACGGTAAGGGACGGACTAAAAGTAGGCACTTGCAAATTAGGCACTTTTTTAGGCACTTATTTAGGCACTTTGGAAAAAAAGTAAAAAGGTCGTAATACCTTTTAAAAACATAATTAATTAGTTAAAAATGGTCAAATTAAATGTTGAAAACGCAAATTGCAACGGGCAAACTCAATAGCCATATTTAAAACGCAGTATTAAAGGCAGTCGCACGCGCTTGGTCACCACATATGCTAGGCACATATTTAGGCACTTCGAAAAATAAATAAAATGGCATATTCACTAATAAAAGACAGAGAAATAAACATATTACCCACACTGATTAGCCTGAGTAAATATCTAAGAGATGCACTTGAGTCTAGTACTGAAATTTAGAAATAATAAATTGTTACCGGTAGGCACTTTTTTAGGCACATCGAAAAAAAGGTGAAATGGACGTAGTAACTCCTAGAAAGATAATGAATTAGTTCAAAATATTTAAATTAAATGTTGAACGCAATAATTGCAACAGTTAAACCCAATACTGTAATAATTTTTAAAATGTAGTACTAAAGGGAGACGCACGCGCTCTGTCACCACATATGCTAGGCACATATTTAGGCACTTCGAAAAAAAAAGAAAATGGCAATTATTACTAATAAAAGACAAGGAAATAAAAATATTACCCACACTGATTAGCCTGGGTAAATATCCAATAGATGCACTTGAGTCTAGTACTGGAATTTAGAAATAATAAATTGTTACCGGTAGGCACTTTTTAGGCACTTATTTGGGCACATCGAAAAAAAGATGAAATGGGCGTAATAACTTTTAAAATGATAATTAATTAGTTGAAAATTGTCAAATTAAATGTATAGCACGCAAATTGCAATGGGTGAACCGAATAACAATATTTAAAACGTAGTATTAAAAGGAGTCACACGCGCTCTGTCACCACATATGCTAGGCACATATTTAGGCACTTCGATAAATGTTTTTGATAAATTAAAATATAAGACATCCCCCGAAAAAAAGCCCTAGTGGTATTTTAGGAAGAAATTTGAAATAAGACACTGTCTTAATTTCGGGGAAACACGGTAAAAGGTGTTTACCGTTAACAATTTATTATTCTCAAATACCACTACTAGACTCAAGTGCATCTATTGGATATTCACCCAGTCCCAGGCTAATCATTTTGACTAATATTTTTATTTTCTTTTTTTTATTGGTGATTATTCCCATTTTTTTTTTCGATGTGCCTAAATATGTGCCTAGCACATGTGGTGACAGAGCGCGTGCGTCTCCCTTTAGTATTAAGTTTTAAAAATCATTATTGGGTTTACCTGTTGCAGTTTTTGCGTTCAACATTTAATTTAAATATTTTGAACTAATTCATTATCTTTCTAGGAGTTACTACGTCCATTTCACCTTTTTTTCGAAGTGCCTAAAAAAGTGCCTACCGGTAACAATTTATTATTTCTAAATTCCAGTACTAGACTCAAGTACATCTATTGGATATTTACCCAGGCTAATCAGTGTGGGTAATATTTTTATTTCTCTGTCTTCTATTGGTGATAATTCCGATTTTCTTCTTTTTTCGAAGTGCCTAAATATGTGCCTAGCATATGTGGTGACCGAGCGCGTGTGACTCCTTTTGATACTACGTTTTAAATATTGTTATTCGGTTCACCCATTGCAATTTGCGTGTTCAATATTTAATTTGACAATTTTCAACTAATTAATTATCATTTAAAGTTGTTACGCCCATTTCACCTTTTTTTCGATGTGCCTAAATAAGTGCCTAAAAAAGTGCCTACCGGTAACAATTTATTATTTCTAAATTCCAGTACTAGACTCAAGTGCATCTATTGGATATTTACCCAGGCTAATCAGTGTGGGTAATATTTTTATTTCTCTGTCTTTTATTAGTGATAATTGCCATTTCTTTTTTTTTCGAAGTGCCTAAATACCGTATGTGCCTAGCATACGTGGTGACAGAGCGCGTGCGTCTCCCTTTAATACTACGTTTTAAAAATCGTTATTGAATTTAACTGTTGCAATTTTCGCGTTCAACATTTAATTTAAATATTTTGAACTAATTCATTACCTTTTTAGGAGTTACTACGTCCATTTCACCTTTTTTCCGAAGTGCCTAAAAAAGTGCCTACCGGTAACAATTTATTATTTCTAAATTCCAGTACTAGACTCAAGTGCATCTATTGGATATTTACCCAGGCTAATCAGTGTTGGTAATATGTTTATGTCTCTGTCTTTTATTAGTGGTAATTGCCATTTTCTTTATTTTTCGAAGTGCCTAAATATGTGCCTAGCATATGTGGTGACCAAGCGCGTGCGACTGCCTTTAATACTACGTTTTAAATATTGTTATTGAGTTTGCCCGTTGCAATTTGCGTTTTCAACATTTAATTTGACCATTTTCAACTAATAAATTATGTTTTTAAAAGGTATTACGCCCGTTTTACTTTTTTTCCAAAGTGCCTAAATAAGTGCCTAAAAAAGTGCCTAATTTGCAAGTGCCTACTTTTAGTCCGTCCCGTACGGTAAGACCCGTATGAATTGCTTTACAGTTTTAAGACTAGATAGGAAAGTTGGTTACTTCAATATCTGACAACCAAACCAGGCAAATACTGAAATATGACTGCTGTAGTGGACTATCCGCCATCAGTTGATGAAACAGAAAAATTTGCAAAACCTGAAGAAAAGTTGGAAGAAGAAATTGTTTCGAAAGAGAAATTTGAAAATGAAAAAACTAAGAAGAAAAGACGCAAGAAGAAGAAAAAGAATTTAGGTGCTTATTTCTATTGGCGCGGCGGTGTGGCTCAACGGGCTAAGCGTTAGGAATACGCTCGCCACCGCACCTCTAACTACTCTGCGTGGGTTCGCAGGTTCGAATCCCATGCAGGGATGGTTATGTGCGAGAGGATTGCTGGACTCCTCGCCGTCGTTGGGTGGTTCACGTAACCGCTGGTCGGTTACGGCTTCCTCCACCACCAAGTCCATGCTTCCGAAAACAAACAATACAGTAAATCTAATCCCACACCCGACTTGGAATGGTAACCGGACGAGAGGCCGTGGTTCGCCATATGAATAAGCCGTCTTATCGGCTTTCCTCTACCCCGGGATAAATATGTAAATCCTATCCTTTTGTTAATCCTTGCACAACTTCTAGATCCAGTATATCAGCTATTGGGAATCTTTATACATTCATGAAGCGTCGTATGATTGCATTGTATTGGAGCAGTGGTTCCCAAACTTTTTTTTTTCGCGACCCCAGTTTTCATAGAATTAAAGCCCACAGATACTCGCGACCCCACAACTAGAAACGTTTGAGCAAACTTCGAAATGGAGTACCGGTACTGTATATCAGTTTAATAACCTCAATGGGAACAATGTACCTGTATATGGACTGCAAGTGAGCGGTGACAGTGAAAACTGGCGCAAAAATATTTGAACAAGTCCGGCAATGCGCCAGAAAATCGGGGGAACCTCGGAAGATTTGATAACACATTGCATCGTATGAAAACCACAGTGTAAAAATCTCTCAGATCAGAATTATAACGTTTTTTGGCAAAAGATAGGCGGACTTGATAAAACGTGGTAGATTGTAAGGAAGCGTACGATACATCGGTCATATAAGATTTCTTCTAAATATACATAAATTTAAAATCTTATTTAGTATATTCCAACAGTGTGTTTTTATTTTTAGTTCGATGTTAACATATAACAGATTGCTCCATTATTAATTTGAAAATAAAGCAGGAAAGTTGAATAGGAAGAAACTTTTGCGGAATCACATCTTTTAAGTGTCTTTTATTATGCTAGGACGTCTAAATATGTAATATTGCAACATGAAAATGTTCACTTTTATGTTGAGGTTGTTATGTTATGTTATTTAACATGGGGTCGCGACCCCCAGTTTGGGAACCACTGTATTTTGTATCTGAAGCAAATAACTCTGACTGGTTAACTACTGAACTAAGGTAATCCCATACCGGACATGGCTGGTAACTGGACGAAAGTGGTTGTCCTATCCCATCGAAAAGTAATGGACCAAAGTCTCTAACTACATTATTGAATAAAATGGTGTCTACTGTCTAGTCTCAAATATTCTCAATATTTTACACTCTTTTTTTTCCGAAAATTTGCAGCATTAGAAAAATTGAGAGATAGATTCACTTTCACTCCATGGGTTGAATTTTGACTATTATTTTGAGTGATTGCATAGCTCAGTCTTGTTTCTGTCTACACAAATGTTTCCAAATCATGTAAATTTTGTAGTGGTGGTTGTGCAAAATGTTGAGAATGAAATCTTGAATTACTAATATTTGTGTGCTTCTAATTTTATTTTTCCATGTTGTTGTTGACAGATCACCCAGAGAAGGATGGATTTGATGACGTTTCTACACAAGTATCCAATCCTGTGTCTGATATGATAGAACAGTTTGGTGAAAATTCGATCTCTGTAGATAAAGATTCATGTGAGATAGGTCAGTTAAGAATTTTTTCTACTGGAGGTGGTTATTTTAGTTGCTGGCTTTCCATTTAATTTCGCTTAATTTTCGTATTTGAACAAGTAACATTGTATTCACTACGTTATTGTGAAAATTTTTTTAGAAAATATTATGAAATATGGAGTATTTGTGGATAAACTTTTTTATATAACCGATGATTGAAGCACGGTGCCTAGAGGTATTAAGATTTGATGATATGCTCTTGGATGAGATAAATATTAAATTAAAAAAGAGTTGCATAAGCATATGAAGTGAATTCCATTTGAAAGTGTTGACTAGGATGCTACAGACCGTTTTCTCACGATCACATCAAACTAGATTTTTTTTATTATCCATTTCATGTGCTATCCGCTGCTAATTCATAGCTCAGTAATTACTGGTATATGAAAAGACCAATGGTAATGAAAATAATGAATCATCGATATCTTGGATATATTTTCCATCACTAGTTGATGAACAAGACACAGCTGGGAAGAATGATTGTGATGAAAATGGTGTGAATAAAAAGAAACGTAAACGCAAGAAGAAGAAAGGCATGAAAGAGCAGACTGATCCGCCAACAATACCAATCTTTGATTTGTATAATCCAAAGATTTTTCCAAGAGGGCAAGAAATGGAATATCCACCTGAGAAAAATGGGTAAATATACTACTAGGTTTCGATGATTTATGTAGTTGACAGTGAATGAGAACCACACATCTCACTCACCTTCACACTGAGGCAGCAAACATATAGATACGACATACCGCTGTGCATTTTCATTAAAGCCTAGTTATATAACTTCAAATCTGACTCAAATTGAAAATGATGCTTTTCCCAATTTCTGAGCTGTAATTTCAAAATTGTGCAATATATATTCAGGGGGATAAATATCATGATAATATTCATTTCACAGCAAAACTTCTGAGTGGCGAACAACATCAGCAGAAAAGAAAGCTTTGGATACAACTTACGATGAAATGTGGAATGATTTCAGACAAGCAGCTGAAGCTCACAGACAAGTTAGAAAATACATGCAAAGTTATATAAAACCTGGGATGACAATGATTGAAATATGGTAAGTTTGTGTTGTGTATAGCATTATAAATACAGGTATAAGTACCAGGGTAAAACCAAAGTAGCTTGTATCACAGCTTTCAAAAATTGTCCATTTTGATGTTTTGTTATTTTGGACCAGGAACCATCTTTTGGTCTGAGTTTCAAAGTTGTACTTGTTAGTTGTTATATGTAGTGCGGCTAGTGCCTGATGTATCTCTTTAGATTTTGCTGTTAAAAATAAACTATTTCAAAAATGTGATCTTCTCCTAAACCCTAAAATGTGACATTAGCAAATTCAGTTGTAAAATATTTATATCGGCCCCATTGCCAACACACTGTTCAGAGAAATTGCATCTTCCAAATTACTCTTTTAAATGCAGAAAACCTTACCTTACTCCACAGTCTCTACAAAAATGAGATTTTTCTAAAAACGTAAGCTTTATGCCATGAACCTTACAACATGTAGTTTCTGTTGTTTTATCCTTTGATGTTTAAAAAGAATCCAATATTTTTGAATTTTTTCTGTAATATATATCAAAAAAATTGTCCTGATATAAATTTGTCCAACTTTTATTGTATGCTATTTTTAATAATTTGTCAGTGAGAAGCTAGAAGAGACCTCAAGGAAACTCATAAATGAAAATGGATTGAAGGCTGGCCTTGCTTTTCCTACAGGTTAGTCTTTTGAATGGTTGTGGTTGTGGATAACTATAATTAGTCATGTCTTATATATGTATGTTCTCTACTTTGAACTATATTTCAGGATGTTCCTTGAACCATTGTGCTGCTCACTACACACCTAATGCCGGAGATAAAACTGTTCTTCAGTATGACGATGTATGTAAGATTGATTTTGGAACTCATGTGAATGGTGAGGACGCGAAACATTATTTTTATATGACAAAAGTTGTCAATATTTCAGCGTGATGTTTGCTTTTTGCATTGGGTATAAAAATTGTGATCGTTTTTTTAGAGCTGTACTTTTAGAGTGCTAGTGATCATCAGATTTATATTTAATTGGCCATTGCTGAATTAAAGAGCTTTTTTCGAAATGTTCTGTCAAAAAATGTCACTAGACATATAAACAAAGCTTGCATGATATACCGTGCTTCCGAAAATGAGACCTAGCCTGAATTTAATTTTTTTTTTATAAATGAAAATATAAGCCATCCTCCCAAAATAACCCCTAGTGTTATTTTTTGAAAGAAATTTGAAATAAGATTGTGTCTTATTTTCGGGGAAACACGGTATTGTATTATAAGAAAATGAAGGAGAAGATACAACACCAAATCATGAACAAATCGCAAATTAACGTTGGTGAAGTGTTTCCCTTTGAGAGCTGTGGATTTTGACTTTTTCAATATTACATATGTTATATTACCAAGTTATCTTTCACTATGAAACACTGAAATATATATTCTTAACAGGACACATTGTGGACTCTGCCTTCACAGTAGCCTTCAACCCTAAATATGACAAACTTTTGGAAGCTGTAAAAGCTGCAACAAATACTGGAATAAAGAATGCAGGTAATGGGCTTTTTAACCTGTCTCTGCGAATTTGCATCACAACAAACCATTACTGCAACGTTTCCCAATCGGGGAGGGATTCAAAAATGTTTTGGGGGAGAAAATTTAAATTTTTTCCAGTATTATTGTAATTCATAAATTATAAACTATTCAAATCATGAAAAAAGTGCCTTTCTTTACCAAATGTATATATAACCTAGTTTTAGGTTTTGATAAACAATACGCTTATGCAAATTTTTGCATTCTTGTTTTTGTCAGAATGTTCATCATTTATGGTAGTCTTTTTACACTAGTGTGCTGCTGAAATGCAAAAATACGTATTGCAATTTTAAACTTAGATGTTTAAAAAGGAATCAAATTATCACACTAAGGATATAAATTTCAGGTATTGATGTTAGACTGGGTGAACTTGGGGGACTGATACAAGAAACCATGGAATCCTATGAAATTGATTTAAATGGGAAAACATATGAAGGTATACTTAATGATAATGTGCAATTGTGATAAAATTACAGTAAATCTCATTTTGTGCGATACATTATAAGATATTATCCAGAGTGGATTAAAAGGGGAATAAAAGGAATTGAATTTAATTAATACTCAAAAGCTTGGGTTAGTGTATGATGCAAACCTGTTGAATATATACTGTTGATATATAGAATGAATTAGGCAAAGCTTGTCCACTTTTCCAACCATTCATATTAAAGGCTTGTCAACTTAAACGGAATTGTTTGAATTTGATCTCAAAATTTAGATTTATGGTCTTGCATTGGTGGAATGTTGGCTCTCTCTTTCATGGCATATGTGTTGATTTTGTTTTCCTATTTTCCAACAGTGAGATCGATTAGTAACCTATGTGGCCACTCGATAGCTCCATATCGTATACACGCTGGAAAATCTGTGCCGATTGTAGAGGAAGACGACCAAACAAGAATGGAGGTTAGTAGTAATTAAGTAATAATTTATAATACCTTTACAAGGAATGACTTCCGATTAATGGTTTATATTTTTTCAGTGTGTTTAGCACTGTCGTTTATCTCTGTGTTTTTGTATTCTATCTTCTGCTTGGAATAAGTAGGTTGGAAAGCTTATCATACATATTAATTGTGGCAATTTGGCATCTGACTCCAACTATTATAATCAGCTCAGCGATATCTTTTAATAAATATTTTTTTTTACTGTTCACTCCAGTTTGCAAACTTGATATTCAATTTGGCAAATGTTACAAACTCAATAATATGGTGTGGCAAAAAAATATATATTTTTTTTAATTTGTGTCAATTTTCTCATGTTTTTCTGGTTAGCTTGCGTCTATCAATGATATATTGTTAATATTAAACTTCAGGAAGGCGAAGTGTTTGCTATTGAAACATTTGGTAGCACCGGACGGGGTTATATAGAAGAAGATATGGAATGTTCACACTACATGAAAAATTTTGATTTGGCTGAAGTACATGTTCCACTAAGGTAAAATAAATATACTTTTATGTTTATTGAGTATTTGTCAATATAAAAATATTATAAGTTTAAAATAATATTTTGAGGCAGAATCAAAGAAATATGCAAGATAAGGTAATAGGTATTAATATCAGGCCTGATTTTCCACTTTTTTTCTTAAGATTACCAAAAGCAAAAAGGCTTCTGCATGTCATTGGAGAGAATTTTGGAACCCTGGCGTTTTGTCGCAGATGGCTTGATCGCATTGGGGAATCCAGATATCTGATGGCTCTAAAGAATTTATGCGACGAAGGTGTTGTTAGGGCATGTCCACCTCTTTGTGACATCAAGGGTTGCTTCACTGCTCAGTTTGAGCACACAATTCTTCTCCGTCCCACTTGTAAAGAAGTTGTGACCAGAGGAGATGATTACTGAATATTTAAAAGACATTGGTAGATTCAGTAGCCACTCAATATGAATTATCATAATCTCTTATATATCACATCTTATCATATTAATCAGTAAGTGTAATTGTAGTAAGCTTCCATCAGGTTGTTTTAACGTACTTGAAAAATTGAGAGGTTTCTTTATAGGAACAGCAAACAAGGAACGATATGTTATAAACAACAGAGCTTTGCTCAAATAGATGAACACCTAGTGGCGATAATTTTAAAGACGTCACAGCGAAAAATAAAAGTAATGGCCCTCTAGCAAAAATATAATCTTACTCACTGAAAATTTCAAAGCAATTGGCCCAGTAATCGAAGAGAAGAGTGACTATTTAAAAGCGTGTCAAAGAACAACATGATATTGAAACGATCCTTATGTCCACTGACATGTCCAATAATCCTTGTTCTGGCATTTGTAAATACTTGAAAATGTGCAGATCGCGTTATTTCAAATGCTTAAAAATCGGATAATTTTGGGGTTTATTTGTATTTTGATTCTGTTTAATTGCAATAATGTAGTTTGTTACATGTGAATGATGAATGAGATTTTACGTGTGTTATGTTAGCGTTTAAGCAGAAAATACCTTAATGCGTAAAAAGCGTACGTTTATTGCGTAGGCCGTAGAAGGAGAATATAAGATAAGTATGGCTTTATACCTACCACAGATAAAGGCGAAGTTGTACTCCGATGCATTTTATGCCTAATAAATGTGAGCAATGACGCTATGAGACCAACTCGCTTTCTGTGCCATCTTAAAACGAAGCCCATTACAAAAGCTTTCAACTTTTTTTCAAAAAGGGGGGCGGCGACTTAAGAAGTTTAAAAACCACTTGCTCTGGTGTCTTTCCATATTAGCCGTGTTGTTTCTCTCTTCTATGAACGAGGCTACTGGATAAAACAGTGCTTCCCAAACTGGGAATGATTACCCACAAAAGGGTAATTCAGATTTTAGTATCTTTGCAATTCTTTTGTAATACCTGTTGTAGAAAGGTTGGGCGCGCGGTATTTTCATCTAGTCGGTATATATTGTTATGTCACAAAGTAGTTAGTCGACGCGGTTTGGTGGAGACATGATAAAGCATTGTAAAATTTTAGGCTATGAATATCTCGTACTTTATAGTTAGTCGTTGTTTATATGAAGGTTATCGATTGCCTTTTTTTTCTCTCCAAATTATTGCTGTGATGTATGATTCTCTGCAATGAAATCCGATAAAAAGAAAATATCCATACGGGCCAGTGTCTCAAAAATGCCGTGTCTCACTTGTTTCCATTATATCGTTATTATTGAAGTGCTTTCGTTTCAAGGCCAAAAAACTGTTCATTCGGAGAAGTTTTGTGTGCGTGGGAATTTTCGTCAGCTTTCAGAATTATCGAAAATCATGCTTTGACTATAAATGCACGCTTTATTCAACTTTGATTCCGGATTTGGCCTAACAATCACAGGAAATAGTTACAAAGATCCCGCCATGTGGATAGAAATAAACGATAGAACGTATGAGTAATCGTAGTTGGTTTGCTTTCTTTGTATCAAATAAATTTAAGACCTAGCTGATTGGCGTTGATAATATAATTTTATCATTGTAAAAACGGAACCTACTCGTTAACGCTATATAAATGAAATGTTTTGTCTTTGCCAATTGGTATATTTATGGTTTAAAAAATACAGAAAATCGGCGGTTACCATACTTTGACGGCCTTGTTACATGCATATCGCCTCCTGCGTGCATAAGGGTGCATAGAAAACCTATTCTCTCATACACATTTCTATCAATATACTCGGAGATTTTCGTTATCGTCCGATTTGAGATTTGTCCAGATCATACATTTTCAATATTTAGGCACCCTGGCGTAATTCATCAAATTCCAATTTTATAATCTTTCAAGATCAAAACAATAATACCGTAATATGAAAATCTAGTTAAAATATATTTCAAGCGCTGTACGTAGTGTGAAAGAGTGGTCGGCAACCATCGGGAAGCAATATCATACCGTTGGAGGCAATATGACCATTGTTACACAATATATATGTTACGCAAAATAATAGTCAACAAAAAAAATTTATCGTTTATCAATATCGAACATCAGAATTCGCTTGCGTTATACAGTTGAGTTGGACCTTCAAGTTAAGTAAATGAAGTGTTGTTAAAGGGCGGTGCGCAAATAAATTTAGATTCAAACTGGCCCGCTGTACATTATTTTCTGAAACCGGCTTCTAACCCGTATACTTATCAGCGACGTGTGTATTACGGCCGCTGTTCACGATGCTACGAATCTAACAGTCTATTTAACCCTTTTGTCGCAGACTCGCAGTCGTATGTTCCGCCGTGTAGGTATAACCGTCGTTTAACTCACTGCTGCACTCACTGAAACCTGGAAACCCCAAGAAACTGTCCAACACAATGTTTTGATGTTACTTCCAAATCGTGTTCAAAAATTACCAAATGAAATAACTTAGATGTTATGAAGCGTTCCAAAATAGTGTCTCAGTGGACTGATGAAATGTTCCAATATAAAGTCTCAATGAATTGAAGAAGTGTGTAAACGATTTTTTCGGCTAATAATATCACAAACAAGCAGGTACTTCAATATTTAACATTTAAACAATCTTAACTGTATGGAAAAAGAATAATATATTAGACCAAATCAGAGAAGCACAAACCCTGTCAGCCTGTTCAACAAAATCCTGAAAATGGCGCAACCACGAGACAAACTTGCGCAACAATCTAAAGTACCACAATGAGGCGACAAAGGGCAATAAATAAAATGACGGCTGAGCCATCATTTACATGGCTCCCCTAGAAATGCTATTTCTATACTAAAATAAAATTACAATTTCACAATGTCTATTTCTGGCTCCCTCGTCGGGAATCTTCTCCCGTATCTCCACTCTCCAAGAAAAGAATCAACTTTTGGATTGGACGATCAAGAAAGAGAACATCCTTTATACGCTTTCCTCTCTCATCGAGTGTTGAATCTCCTATGTGAACTCGAACTCTTCGAACATGACCATCTGCATCGGGATAGACATCAACAATTCTTGCCATCTTCCACTGATTTCTTGGTGTATTTTCGTCAACGACTATGACAATATCACCAATTTTGAGGTCACGTTGAACTTTGTTCCACTTTTGACGAACTTGGAGTGATTGTAAATATTCTTTACGAAATCGAATCCAAAATTCATTGGCTAAATGCTGTACTCTCCTCCATCTTTTACGCGAGTACAAATCTTCCCTTCCAAATACACCTGGTGGTGGTAATACAAGTCTTGTCTTCGCAGTCAACAAATGATTAGGCGTCAGAGGCAGTGGTGAATCAGGACATGACAAATTATCCACAACTAGAGGACGTCCATTGACAACTGCTTCAGCCTCTGCCATCAGAGTGCGAAGAGAATCCTCATCTAGTTGCCTTCCATTCTTTTCCAGGATGGATGAAAGAACTGCTCTAATACTACGAATTTGACGTTCCCAAACACCTCCCTGATAACTTGCAGCGCTGACATTGAACTTGAATGGGAAATAATCACAATTTTCTCTAAGTAAAACTTCTTGAATTTTTGAATGATTCATTGCCTGTAGACCCTCTTTTAATTCTCTTGATGCTCCAACCATGTTGGTTCCACGGTCACATCTCAGTTGTCTGATTGGCCCATTTCTGCAAATAAATCTTCTTAGAGCATTTATAAAGCTGTCGGTTTCTAAACTTGGGGCGATTTCAACACGAACAGCACGCGATGCCATACATGTAAATAAAACTCCATATCTCTTGAGTTCTTTTCTCCTTTCTTTGATAATGAAGGGGCCAAATAAATCTGTAGCACAAAATGAAAAACATGGACTATCATCCATTCTGTCTTTTGGTAAATCAGCCATTTTCTGTTCTTGAAATGTTCCTCTAAGTCTCCTACATTTTGTGCAGTGATGTATGAAACTTGAGACAGCAGCAATGCCAGAAACTATCCAAAATCCAGCAGATCTTATTTCATTGAGTGTAATTCCACGTCCTTGATGTTTCACGACTTCATGATAATGCTTGATTATCAGAGTTGTAATATGATGAGACTTGGGCAATATGACAGGATGCTTCAATTCTTCAGGCAAACTTGAATCTTTCAATCTTCCCCCAATTCTCAACAATCCATCAGATCTTATACATGGATCAAGCTTGAATAATGATGAAGATTTCTTTACAGTATCGAATTTCTTAGGTTTGTTCAATATTTCGATTTCATCTGGATACACTTGACACTGCATAAGTTTTAAAATTATCTTCTTAGCATCTTCCATCTCTTGTACAGTTATTGAATCAAAAGATGAAGTCAAATTCTTGTTTCTACGATTTTGAAGAATTTTCAGCCATCGGCATAAAATGACAACAAATCTCTGAGCTTTGTATAAACTTGAAAACATTGACAATCTCTCCAAAAGACTTGGGAAGGATTGCTCTTTTACTTCAGTCAAAAATGTCACAGAATTACGTATTTCTGGATCCGAAGCATCAAGCTCTTCGAATTCATGTGAAAACTCTTTTTCCACTGTAAGTGGTTTCCACAGAAAATCAGGTCCCTTTAGATATCGATCATGTTTGGTCAGTAGATCTTTTGGACACAAACCTCTTGAGGCATCATCAGCTGGGTTGTTCTTTGTATCCACATAAAACCATTGATTTGGCTCACTATGATCACGAATCTCTTGAACACGGTTTGCCACATATATGTGAAATCGACGAGAATCATTTGAAACATAACCAAGAACAACTTTACTGTCTGTCCAATATGTTTCCTTGATGTTGACAAAATTCAATTCTTGTCTCAACATGACTCCAACCCGAACAGATACAAGTGCCGCAGTCAATTCCAATCGAGGTATCGTGATAGGTTTCAATGGTGCTACTCTAGACTTTCCCATCACGAATGAACAATGAATTTGATTTTTCTGATTGGTCAGTCTTAAATAGGTGCACTGGCCATATCCACGAGTCGAGGCATCACTAAAGTGATGTAATTCAGTTTCCTTGATTTCACCAAAATTACTTGGCTTGAAACATCGTCGAATTTTTAATTCGGCAAGATGATGAAGATCATTTCTCCATCGCTCCCATCTTGGTTTCAAATTATCTGGAACGGGTTCATCCCATTTGCACTTATCACGACACAACTCCTGAAGAATGCGTTTTCCTTCTAAGACAACAGGAGCAATAAATCCGAACGGATCATAGATTGAACATACTGTTGACAGAATTCCACGCCTTGTGAAAGGACGATCTTTCAAAGTAATACGAAAAGTGAAACTGTCATCCACAATACACCATTGAACACCCAGTGCTCTTTCAACTGGTATTGGGTTACTTCCAAGATCTAAATTCTTGAACTTTGTCGAGCGATCATTCTCATCAACAGCTTGTAAAACTTCATTATTATTAGACACAAATTTTGTCAAATTGAAACCACCTTTAGCACACATTTTCTTACTTGCTTTGATCAACGATGTTGCTTCTTCAACACTATCAACTGACTTTAAACCATCATCAACGTAGAAATTCTTTCTCAAGAATTGAGCTGCTTCTTCACCAAATTCCTTTTCATAGTCATCTGCAGTCTTCTTGAGGACAAAATTACAGCACGATGGACTCGACGTAGAACCAAACACCATGACTCGCATCCTGTAACAACTAGGTTTTTTCGTGCAATCTCCATTGTCCCACCACAGAAATCTGACAAAATCTCTGTCTTCTTCGTTAATTCGAACTTGATAAAACATTGATTCGATGTCTGCCATGAACGCAATTTCCTTTTCACGAAATCGAGCAAGTACTGATATCAGTGAGTTGGTAAGATCTGGTCCTTGTAGCAAATGCCCATTTAAACTTTGACCTTCAAATTCAGAACTGCAATTAAATACAACTCTGATCTTGTTTGGCTTACAAGGATGAAACACTCCATGATGTGGAATATACCATACATATCCATGATTACCATTGTCACCATCGGACAATCTCTCAGCATATCCCTTTTCAATTGCATCTTTCATGAATGCACAGTAAAGCTCTTTAAACCTTTCATCTTTCTCAAAACGCTTCTTAATTCCTTGTAAGCATCTGAGAGCTAATTGCTTGTTGTTTGAAAGCTTCACTTCTTTGTTTCGAAAAGGGAGAGACATCTCATAATGACCATCCTGTGTCCTGTGAATACTTGATTGACACTTCTGCAAAAATCTACGATCTTCGATAGAAATAGGTTTGTTCGATGTACCATCAATTTCTTGCTTTTTGATATTATTCTTGTGCATGCATTCAATGAAATCTTGTTCGAAACTTCTCAAAATCATGCAAGGGTTAATGACTTCTTTAACTTGATTTATAGGTACAAATTGAGGAGAAATGATGTCAGGTGCATACAGGTCATGTGATATCACTTTGTTACAAGTTTTGGTAGCATATCCACCAACACATACTGCATCAATCATTCCAACAACTCCCCATCCTAATGCTGTTTTGATAGCATAACTTTCTGTGTCGGCATCTGATATAATTTGCAACGGACGCAATGCTTGCATACAATCAGTGCCAATGAGTATACCAATATCAATATTAGGATCACAGTCCGGGATTTCATCTAGAATATCTTGGAACTTTGTATACTTGTTCAGAACCCTCTTGTCTATAATTTGATTACGATTTACTGGGATGGAATCTCTTGTGTAACATGGAGGCAAATCTATCTTGTGGCCATTACAACCTAAAATTTGCAAGCCCATAATCTTGTATGAATCCACCACAGTCGAACTGGTCATAGTAGAAAGGTTCAATCTCACCTTAAATCCATTTGATTCCAAGCTTCGTCTGACATCATCCGAAATGAATGTGGTATCAGATTGTTCATCTAAAATTGCATAAACTTTTAATTTCTTGCTTGGTCGATCAGCACAAAGTATTTGTATTGGTACAATCCTTGTAGTTCGAATAACTTCTCGAGCTTCTGATGCATGACAGATTATACTTTTCTTACAATCAGCATTCGTTAAACTATTTTCTTCATTTGAATCTATCTTCGTCTTGACCTTGCGAACGAATTCTTCTGAATGTATGGCAGTAGGGTGACCTTTACCACAAGTTTTGCAAGTCTTTCTTTTGGTGCATCCTTTCGAACGATGACCTTTTCTTAGACATGCAAAACATATGCCATTTGACTTGATAAATTCGATTCGGTCATTGTAAGATTTCTTGAGAAAAGCTGTACAATCATTCAGATCATGTGATCCTTTACAACACACACACGAATCTGAGAAATGGGTAGTTTTCGACTTAGCTGTTTGTCGAGAACTGTGAACTTCTTCGCTTGCATCAATAGAGTACGAGTGAGAACCTCTATTATAAGTCCTTCTTCTAACGGGTACATTTGCAGCTTTCTTATTGTTAGCCACAAGTTCATCAAGTACTCCAGTTCCATACAGAGGAAGTGTAGTTACTTTCGATATTTTCTTGACATGATCACAGAATTCAGAAAATGGTGGAAAGCTTCCATGTTTTCTGTGATATTCACATGCATTTGACGACCATCTATCTCTTGCCGACTTTGGCAATTTCAAAACAAGAACTTGGATTAAGTCTTCATCATCCAATTTCTTCAGTAACGTAGAATTTTTTACCAATAGCTTACAACTAGTAAGAAAATGACAAAACTCACGCATTCCTTTTCCGCCATCATTCATAGGTATGATAGGCCATTGCTTCAGTCTTTGCTTGTAAGCTCTGGATATTGTAGCCGAGTCGCCATACCACTCCATTAGTGTCGCTTTTGCTTCATTATATGCGTTTTCATCATCTATGCCCATGAAACCTTCAATAGCCTTTCTTGCATCTCCAGTCGTATACTTCAAAAGATAACGAAGACGCCTGTTAGGGTTTCGAACATTTCTTTCAATAAGATCTTCAAAATCTCCAAGCCATATAGGAAATCTCAATAAATCACCATCAAAAACTTCTGGTTCTTCATTTGGCAATGAAGCCCTTTGTTGAATATCAACAACTGTTTCAACTAGTCTTTTAATTTCTGAACTACTAGCGCCATCTGCCGATGGGTTTTGTGGTGCAGTAGACAAATTCAATGGATTTGAAACTTCGTTTTCAGCAGTGTTCGAATAAGCAGGATTTGCATTCATATGATTTGTAACAAATGGTACAGCTGTATTTTCAGGTGCCGGTACCAAATTTTCATTCGTTAAAGCAGTTTGTTCAGCAGTATGGAATTGATGCGGACTTACTACAAAAGGTTCGTTCGGTGCAAAATGTGTCACATCACGTCTACTAAAGCTATCATTTTCACAATCAATTTGAGCAAAAATATTCTCTTCTGCTTCTGCTTTAGCAATTTCCTTTTGCAGATTCAGTCTTCTCTTGTCAGCTTGTAATTGTATTTCAGCTTGTTGTACGTTTGCTTGAAGCCTTACAGCTTCAGCTTTGAGTTTTGCTTCTGTTTGTGCTAGTTCTGACTTCAATTTTGCATCTGCTTGTGCTAATTCTGATTTCAATTTTGCCTCCTCTTGTGCAATTTTTACTTCAGTTTCAGCAAAACTAGCTTCTGCTTGTAATGAGGCTTTCTTGGCAGCTATTTCAGCCAGCCTAAACGCCACAGATGAACTCGATGATGAAGAATAAGATCTATGAGAATATCTTGAAAGACTGGTATGTACAGAACTGACATCTTTATCAGTCTCGATGCTTCTAATTTCTTCAATCGCTTTAGCACGAAATTCTTCAAACAAATGTTGAGCATTTATGAAAATATCATTTTCTTCATTAATAGCATTGGCATCAACTAACAATGCTACATACTCCTTATGTGCTGTACGATAGCCATGAAAACATAATTCGAAGGTTTTCAAATCGTCTTTTATAGTACGCAATGAGACACCATCATCAATACTTTTCAGGAGCTTCATTCTTATTTTTGAAAACAATTCAAATTTCGACTTACACCTTTCCAGAAGCATTTTAACTTGATATTCTTGTCCTTTTTCTGTAAGTGTTCTGCTACGTTCAGACCTTCTGGGATTTTCTCTCATATCATTACCAGAATTAGAGTCCACGTCATCACTTGCATTTGTAGATCTTGCTGTAGCCATGATTAATAATGTATATTCCCTTTCTTGGTATAAATATCTTGTATTCACTGATAGGGTGAGGTGAAGTTTCGCAAAATTACAATAACATGTTTATTGATCATCAATATTCTGATATTGTTCTACTGACTTGCTTAGTAGATCTTGAAATCTTTTACCAACTTGTTTGCAATAGTGTAAAATTGTTTACTAACTTGGTTAGCAAAGCCAAATCGTTTACTAACTTGGTTAGCAATCGACAAAATCGTTTACTATTACGGCCGCTGTTCACGATGCTACGAATCTAACAGTCTATTTAACCCTTTTGTCGCAGACTCGCAGTCGTATGTTCCGCCGTGTAGGTATAACCGTCGTTTAACTCACTGCTGCACTCACTGAAACCTGGAAACCCCAAGAAACTGTCCAACACAATGTTTTGATGTTACTTCCAAATCGTGTTCAAAAATTACCAAATGAAATAACTTAGATGTTATGAAGCGTTCCAAAATAGTGTCTCAGTGGACTGATGAAATGTTCCAATATAAAGTCTCAATGAATTGAAGAAGTGTGTAAACGATTTTTTCGGCTAATAATATCACAAACAAGCAGGTACTTCAATATTTAACATTTAAACAATCTTAACTGTATGGAAAAAGAATAATATATTAGACCAAATCAGAGAAGCACAAACCCTGTCAGCCTGTTCAACAAAATCCTGAAAATGGCGCAACCACGAGACAAACTTGCGCAACAATCTAAAGTACCACAATGAGGCGACAAAGGGCAATAAATAAAATGACGGCTGAGCCATCATTTACAGTGTGTATCACCCGATAAAAACTCGGCATGTGATAGCAATACAGTTATTTCTATATATATCGGAAAAAACAAAAGATTCAATGCATCTAACCATATTTACGATCTAACTGCAAAAGCGTTTATAAAAAAAATGGGGAACCGCTTACTTCCACGAAAAATTCCGAATTGCGGAGTTATATTCCACATGACGATTTTTTCTGACGTATTTCCTCGGTACTTTTTACAAATTTTCGCGATTTTTATAATGCGATTCTACTTTATCGAAGCTGGAATTATCCAGATAGAACTTTTTATTGATATCAAATAATTCAACGATGCCTGAGTCAAAAACAACCAATTGTTCATTGAACGACATCGTTTAATGCTTGTTTCTATTTGGAATTTCCTCATTAGGCAGTGGCGGCGCGTGGTCATTTTGACAACCGGGGCAATCTACTGCGGGACCAAGTCACCCCCATCTACGTGGACAGGATGAGCGCTGTAAGTTCTCCCATCATTTTATGAGTATAAAAACCATTCCATCGGTAACAACCAATCGGCAAAAGCGACAATTTTTAACGATAAGAAAGTGTCTTTAAAACCGGTCCAAGTCAAGGGATTAATTAATATAGACATAGTTTATTTTGAAACCTCTTTCAAAAGGAAAGGCAATATTTACCCTGATAAATACAATGACATATTAACAGAAACTTCGGGAAAGCAGACAAAACCTAAAATAAGGTTTAAAACGTTACTACGAAGAAAGGAAAGGTAATGCAAAGATAAGGACATGCGTCGCTCACTCATAGATATATATGCTGCTAGACTTCTACTGCTTGAACATATATGCAACACGCCGCGGTTTCTTGGAAGCAAAATGCTCAATAACGCGCTGATTGAAGTCATGCATCCCAGAAATAACGTCTCTGTGAATGGATAAAACAGCCAAGGAATTTAATCTATCTTGCTTCATTGTGTTTCTGAGATACGTTTTAATACGCTTCAGCGTGCTGAATGTTCGCTCTGCGTCGGCGGAAGAAATAGGCGTCGTCAAAATGATGTCCAGAAATTTTGCAGACGCCGCAAAGGTAGTTACTAGAGTGTTATCTATGAGGAACCCATAGAGCGCGCAAGTTGATGTGATGTTCAAAAAAGTTTGATTGGTGTATATACATTCAATTCATTTTCCAATTTACCCACGTTTATCATGGGGTAAAATTTGGAGACAGTAGCCAACAAATGGATGGGAAATTGACGTGCAAATTTTGAAAAATTTTGGGGCTCATCAAAGAGAACGCGGCAAGGTGTTCAGTGCGCAGACGATCGCCTATTTGATTCACCAGAATGTCACAGCATTCCTTTGCAGACAAAATCAAACGCTGCGTTGTTTGCCCGCGGCGTAAAGAAGCACTCCATGTGTCGTCGTATTTTAATGTTTCCCGGATACGAGATACAGCATCGCAGAAGTCTGAAATACACGACTGCACAGACGCTCCATCCATTAGCCTTGACTGCAATGCGCCGTATAATACATCCACGTGATAGAATATTGTGGAGAAAAAATGAAAACTCACCATCTTCTAGCAGACGCTTTAGACCTGCCGCCTCCCTCACAGAGCGTTCGTCCCAAACCGGAGAGCTCTGACTGCCATTGAAACATTCAATGAGCTCAGACCTAATTTCGGACACGCCCTGCACCACGCATGATTGGCAGTTCCAACGTGTTGGTGCACAAGCTGGGAGACGGCGGCTATTTATTTCCCAAAGGAGGTCAGAGCGCTTCGGCGAAACGGAAAAAAATGAAGAAAACCCCGAAACATTTGCAAAAAATATACGGACGAGAGGGGTATCAAGACACATATTTTTAATAACGAGGTTAAATTGGTGTGCATAACAATGTAAAAAATGCGCATGAGGAAAATCTTCTTTTATATAAACTTGAACACCATGTTTCGACCCACTCATGAGTGCCGCGCCGTCATAAGTTTGAGCTATCAATTTTGACTTCGCGTTGTAAGGCTGTAACACTTCTTTCAGTACAGCCGATATCCCGCAAGCCGTGCGATCAACGATTGGTACAAAGCTGTGAAATCTCTCGGTAGGTTTACCATCTTTCACAAACCGAAAAATCACAACCAGTTAGGAAACGCACGTGATGTCAGTTGTCTCGTCAGACTGAATCGAAAGGAACTGTCAATTCTCAATTTCCAGAGCCAAATGTTGTAAATAAATTTTATACATTGAGTCGAGCAAATCATTTTGGATATCCTTAGATGTCCCTTTCGAAACATTTGCCGCATCAAGATGATCTCTCAATACTGTATCTAGGGATGCGGTGTATTCCACCATATCAAAAAATACAGCTCTATTAGAAGAGCCAGCCCGTTCATCGTGCCCACGGAGGGACAGCTCGTGACAACCAATGAACTTCAAAACATCTATCAATCGACCGAGAACATGGCGGTTTTTCTCGACGTTTTGGTTGTGCCGACGAATAAAAACCGCGCGTCCTTCATCCAACTGTGCTGCAACATTTACATTTCCGAATGTTCGGTATTTTACTGCATTGTCCAGATGCTCCATAGAAGATTGATGATCCCTGGCACGCTCGGAAAGATGTTTAAGATCTCTAAAACCAAATTTACACCAACGTGAATCACGGGCGGTACCAAAAAGTAGGCAATAAAAACAAAAAAGTGCATTTTTGTCCTCGCTGTAACACAACCATTCGTGTTTTTTATACCAAGTTTCTGCGCAGAATGTACGCCGACGCTTTCCTCCGTCATGGGATTGTTCCAGTGAACAATTTTTTGGTTGATAAGGCCCAAGACGTTGTACCTCTAATTTTTGTTCCAGCGGCAGCTGCGAAAACGGAGTGCGAAGTAGTGCATTAACCTTATTCATTATGAGGTCTAAGGCTAAGAAATGCGAAGCCGGAAAGAAGTGAGGAGCTCAAAAGGAATGTGGAAAATCGAAAGCAAATGGACCAAAGGTCTCTAACTGATTCAAATAGCGAAACAAGCGACAAAAACGAAGGCGAGGAAACTATCAACTCTTCAAGCAACCAACGAACGGAAGGAATGCGTGAATATGTCAACACGTTGTTGTAAGAAACGTCGGCATTATGTCGTCATAATTTCGGGGCTAGCCCCGATCGGCCCCGATGATTTAGTAAAAGAAACAGAAAACAAACGAGACAAACGCGGCGAGTGGAAGATAAAAGAGAGAATACGATATACAATGAGCAACCGGGGCAAAATCGGCGTCGCCCGTCGACGTTAGGCGAAGGCTTTGCGAGCGAAAAATGAACCATGCCGGGAGAATATGGCTAGTGTAGACAGTCTGTGCAACCGATATTGAGGTATTTTTCGAATATTTTTTATTATACCGAAAAAACAACCGGGGCATTGCCCCGGTTGGCCCTATTGACGCGCCGCCACTGCCTGGCACGCTCGGAAAGATGTTTGAGATCTCTAAAACCAAATTTACACCAACGTGAGTCACGGGCGGTAGCAAAAAGTAGGCAATAAAAACAAAAAAGTGCATTTTTGTCCTCGCTGTAACACAACCATTCGTGTTTTTTATACCAAGTTTCTGCGCAGAATGTACGCCGACGCTTTCCTCCGTCATGGGATTGTTCCAGTGAACAATTTTTGGGTTGATAAGGCCCAAGACGTTGTACCTCTAATTTTTGTTCCAGCGGCAGCTGCGAAAACGGAGTGCGAAGTAGTGCATCAACCTTATTCATTATGAGGTCTAAGGCTAAGAAATGCGAAGCCGGAAAGAAGTGAGGAGCTCAAAAGGAATGTGGAAAATCGAAAGCAAATGGACTAAAGGTCTCTAACTGATTCAAATAGCGAAACAAGCGACAAAAACGAAGGCGAGGAAACTATCAACTCTTCAAGCAACCAACGAGAAGGAATGCGTGAATATGTCAACACGTTGTTGTAAGAAACGTCGGCATTGTGTCGTCTTAATTTCGGGGCTAGCCCCGATCGGCCCCGATGATTTAGTAAAAGAAACAGAAAACAAACGAGACAAACGCGGCGAGTGGAAGATAAAAGAGAGAATACGATATATAGTTTATGGATAAAAGATTGGATTTAAAGTTAAATGGTGGACGATCTGTTACGAATATATTGCGACGTTTCGATCCTTTTATGAATCTAGTCGTGTATGATGGAACAGAGCGTAGAAAAGATGGGATCACTGCACCTGTTGGAATGGCTGAATGGTGGTCGTTCGTGGAAAATTCGATATCAATGTTGGAAGCATTGGAACGGATACAATGATTTTAAAGTGAACGAACCGAAAACGACAAAAGAACCCAACACCCCAATCCATGATTTGTGCATAGACTGCTATGGAACATCCAATCCATTTACCAAGCTTGTTTTTTAGGAAAAAAAAATTGTCACTGTCACTGTGTTATTTTTGCAATATAATTGAACTAGGCCTACAGCATCACCATTTTTCGGCAGCTAGTATATCTGTATAGGAAAAGCACATACAAGTCTCGCATTTTAATTTGAATTTATAAGATATTGCCCGATGTCACATCGTGTTTTTGTTTTACTCTGTTTTGGGGGGACGGGCACGTACTTGTACGTATTTAATTTTTTATCAAGTTATGCCTATCTTCCAGGTCCTCTGTATTTTGTTTGTCCCTTTGTTGTTGTTTTGTGTTTTGTTTGTATCAGAGTGACCGAATAAAATTGATTGATTGATACAATGAGCAACCGGGGCAAAATCGGCGTCGCCCCGTCGACGTTCGACGAAGGTTTTGCGAGCGAAAAATGAACCATGTCGGGAGAATATGGCTAATGTAGACAGTCTGTGCAACCGATATTGAGGTATTTTTCGAATATTTTTTATTATACCAAAAAAACAACCGGGCCCTATTGACGCGCCGCCACTGTCATTAGGTAATAGTCAGGCGTAAAACCGTCTTCCATTAGTCCCGAAAACCGCCAAAATTAAGTACAATGTTCATAAGTACATGTATTCATTTTTTAAATTTCCTTGATTATATGCGTAATGAATCACTACAGAGTCTGGGGTGTCCCAAAAATGTTGTGTGCCTCTTGTCCCTTGTCCCATTGCGACACGACATTTTTGACACACCCAAACAGGCTGTGATTGACGATTATATTAGGTGTTCTCTGTCGTCCACTTTGCCAAGATTTTATATCGTAGAAACAGTGACTGTCAACCTTCTCACTGAGGTTAAATCAGCAAGTGTTTTTTAATCCATAGTTTTGTAGGAAAAGCACTGTTGTGTTACACATACACGTCTCACATTTTAAATTTAATTTAAAAGTATTGCCCGATTTTATATCGTGTTTTTGTTTTATTGTGTTTTGACTGTTTTTGGTGGACGGGCACGTACTTGTACGTTTTTAACTTTTCTATTAAGTTATGCTCGTCCTCCAGGTCCTCTGTATTTTGTTTGTCTGTTTGTTGTTGTTTTGTGTTTGTTTATATCAGAGTGACCAAATAAAATTGATTGATTGATTGATTAAACTTCGCTCTTGTGTTTATGGATTTTTACGGTATTGTTGGTATTAAATTTGAAAAATTACGCGCTGGAGATTTACTTTTATGAAAAAGGTATTCGCGTTTTTCATAATTCGCTTTAGCCGTAAATATGTAGTAGTATATATATTCACGGTCAAAACAGACATGAAAGGTCAAGTATAAAGTCAATATCATAAATTTAGTCGGGTTAGCACCGCCGCTGTAATGGCCTCGACGATAACTTTCAGACTTTGCGGGTTTTCTTCAGGTGACTCGTGAAACGTTATGTACGCATACGAGCTACCCCGTATGGCATATAACAGTGGTACGGTAGGTGCTTCGAGGAGTTGGTTACTTATAACTATTAGTCTATACCACAGATTCCTGTGTGATATGATGTGTGCGTCACGGAGTGTGTGCAAGTAGGTGGTACGGTACCGTAGATACTGTATTGGTGTATGGAAAGCTTACCGGTACCGTATGTAGTACGGTATGTGCTGTAATTTTGGAAATACTGAAATACGGTACCGGTAGCCTTTTCAGTGGATGAGATTGAGACGTTAACAATATTTCAATAAGGATGACGTCACACTTTAAACCTATGTCAGTATGTAAATAATTTCTGTATTTTCAGATACAGTAAAGGTAAATTTAGGTTTTGAGGCAGTGGGACCGGTAATCATGTCATATACCGGTACGGTACCGGTACCAGTATACACAAAGACTGACCCTTATATTTGTTGGTTATATTGTTGACCAATACCGGTACCTGAATACAGTAATACTTGACCTGGCCAGTGTTATGCTGTTTATGTTATTAATTCAGGAATTGCTGAATTGTGGTTAAACCAAATTTCAGAATTTGGTGTTAATTGCACTGTTATAAGTACCGTACAAACATAATATCACCAACTACTCAGAGAGACGTGAATTTGAATTCTATGGAAGTATGAAGGAGAGTTATAACTATTTTTAAAGCAGAAATGCTGAACGTACACTTATGTTGCCCATGTTCTTATACTGTTATGCAATTATAGTAGGGTTCATGCATGCAATGATTAAATACAGCTCACTCACCATCCATGTCTAATGGTTCTGTACCTACAGACAGACAGACCTAGAATGCTGTCTAACTGGTTATGAGATTGTGCAGTTGTGTGATTTTCTATTTCTTTCTGTTTTTCAGTAGCCAGAAAGGGAACTTGGGTTCTTCAGAATTCAGATTTTGCTCATTTCGTCATTATGTGTTCATTTTACCTTTTTGTCTGTATATTTGAGCATTTCACTTGTGTTACTGTGTTAAATTGTTGTACCTCTATATCAGTATATTGACTATCCAGAAACAACCGAACTAATTCACGAACATAAATAATATAAATTCAAGGATGGAAAATATTTTCAACCCTAATTTATATTGGCAAAACAATCTTATTGTATCGAAAAAGAATGGCTTAAAATTCATACTTTTATTTGTTGAAATTATTCTATTTAATTATTGACTCCTATGCATAATTCACGCATAATCATATTTAAAACCCTGATTATGCAAACTATTCTCTCGGGTGCATGATTGTTCAGTAGTTCGATTGTTGTCCGATGGTATTAAGAAATGTCCTGCACATCGCAAACATGGGTTAATAAATAACTAATTGGAATTACCTGTAACTTTAGTAGAGCAAATTTAGTATGTCGTCATGCTTTCCGTGTTGTTCAATTAATGCTGACAAATCAACATCTGGAAAAATATTTACGGGTATCTCATTATTTTCAGTAAATAGGTAATAAAGGATATCAACTTGAAATATATATATATAAACACATTCATACATACAAAAATATGGCTCAAAGGGCTGTGGCAATATATGATTTTGACGGAATAGCAGATAATGGAGAAATTACTCTAAAAGAAGGAGAATATGTAACAATATTGAAAACTGATGTTGGTGATGGATGGTGGGAAGGAATGACTGATAGCGGGCAGAAGGGATTGTTTCCAGAAGCTTATGTAACAATGAGTTCGCATGAGAATGGAAATGCAAACGGTGATGTGAGTGTAATATTTTATTTTTCATATTCGAATAAAGAGAAGGTAGAAAGAGGCAACATTTTAAAAAAAATCTTTTTTGTTTGTTTGAGATTTTGGAGGAAATTATATATTCAGTGGTAAGAAAGGAAGTCGTATTCATGAAAAGTTTAAAGGTTTAAATCGCTCACCTAACCTTCAATATAAAGTGATTCTAAAATTCAGAATTTTAAATAATTAGTGCTCTAACAGAATTTCCTAATTGGTTGTTGTTTATGTCGGTAGTAGAAATTTGAACTTTGGCATTGTCGTTTGCTTAACTTCACAAAAAGTTATCTAATGTCAATAAATAGTGCCACTGCTAATTAATTGACACCTGGTTAACATTAGTCATCATTTGTTTAATAGTTCATTTATCAACTGTTCAGAATATTGAGCTTCTTGTGCAACTAATGTCACCCAAATGCCAATGAGATCTCGTTAAAGTCTAATACATCTATGTAAATGTTCATTGTTAATATTCTCTAGCTGTATAATTTATAGTGTCAATACTTTCATATATATACAAGCAAGTATATTAAACAGTTATATATTTTATTATACTGTTATAAAAATAGTTCGCCTGAGCTGCTTATAAAATTAATATAGCAAACTTATGGAATATTTTTACATTTACAATACATTTACTCTATCAGTTTATCCTATATATTGGGAATTCCTAGCAAGTTTCCAATTAGGAAGTTTTTACGCTTCAATTGAAATAAATTTGTATAAAATGATGTCAACATTCTTATAAATATAAGTTCTGCTTTTATGAGAGTTCTCTAAATAATATTGTATATCGATATGTTCACTAGCAAAATTGTCAATTCATATGTAGTAATGCATTTAATATTTCACATTATTATAATCAACACAAAAGAAAAAGATGTGAAACTTAGCGTATATATTGATAATGATAAATGACTTCATCAATGAAGATATGGCCGAATGTAGACGGGAAAAAAATGTAATTTAAATGTTGTGAATACGCTATTCTAGATCATCAGTAGGAAATTCCCAAGCTTCGATATTTCTTTAAATTTTATCACAAATTTAGAACTGATCTTTCCAAAAACTAGAATTGGCTGCATAAAATAAAATTAAATTCTGAATTTATTGACCCGTTTATGGAAATTATTTATCCAATGTGATTATATTTAAAGTAATATTTATTGATGCTTTTCATTCCATATGCAATCACATAATAATAATGGTACTTTAGTAAACTTTCCCACAACTTTGTATTTCGAGGCCCATGAGCAGATAATTAGAAACTATAAATTATATTAAGTCCGCGGTTGTTGCAGATGGTCTTGCATTTGAGTTATGGAGTAATTCTGGTGCAAAAATGAAATGATCTCATAATGTCTCATTGTCATTGTTCGATTGTCTTGTTTTGTGCAGAATGTTTAAAAGTCCCATATCAGTCATCAATTGCTTCCTTTGGCGATTCACACACGAAGTCACTGAGTCAATCAAATACTTTATCCCTAACTTGTTTTTATCGCATGGTACCTGGTACTACTTTGTTTAATGGTCAAGAATAACCTATGGAGTTCTTGTAACTGTAATTTTATATGGTAGAAAAAATTTTAAAATTTTGTATATTGAAAATTTTATAATTCAACATTAATGAAAACAGTACGACAAGTCAGCAAGTTGTTATGTAACTTAGTACTTTACATTCAGTGTGACCATATTATCAGATAACAACATTTCTAAGAAAATGTCCTAGATTGCTGAAGCTCAATACAATGGTACAATACATACACAAACAGGAGTTCAAACGTTAAATACATTTTCATCACTTCAATAGAAGTAATTAAGAAATTAATGGATTTTATTGGAGGGTTCACCCTCTATTTTCTGGTGATACTTTTGTATATATTCCTATTCAATATTAAAATTCAGATATGTTTAACTCTAATTATATATTTATTTAACAGAATCACACGCCATCATACAACAGCACACCCTATCCTATTGTAAATCCTCCTCAAGATACATGGCAGCAAGAAACTGTAAATGATGGATATTATAATACAAACACAGCACATAACTCCTATGGAGGAAGTCAAGGAAATATTCAAAATGATGATAATGATGACAACTGGTCAGAAGATTGGGATGATGGTCAGTCAGAGGCAACTGTGGTGGAACAGGTATATAATAGCCAAATACACACACAAGTTTTGTCAAAAGAATTTGAAAAGCTATGAATGAAAATATTCAATATTGTTGTTGTTGGTGTCAGATGAAATTGCTTTTTTTCTGATGACAAATTAAAGCAAAAAATGTTAATATTTAATAGTTGAATTGAAAATATTTTAATCACAATTTTCAGAATGGCAAAGTGGCAAGTGTTTTTTTAATCAGAAATTTCAGCTAAGTTGTTATCTGTAAAGTTAGTACATATATATACTTTGTCGTTATTACTATTACTATGCTTTTGAAAATATGTCGCCAATTAATTTTATGCTGAAGGCAATTCGTGCTGTAATTGAGCATCTGGATATAAATTTACATATTTTGAAAGTGAAGTTTGTATGATGATTACTGACTACCTACATTTTATCATATTTTTAATGATCTTACAAATGTCATGATCGAGAGTTGTGTCGATGAGTCATTCATTCACCAATAGTAAGGATCAATTCTTGGACAGGAAGTTAAATTACGTCATTATTATAATTTTTTAAAAAAACATCTGAATGTGCAAGTACCATACATAGACATGCATTTCATCACCCTGCTGAGTTTCACTTCCAAAGGTCAAAAATTCATTTAAATATGTTTCAATTCAAACGCCAGCTTTTAAGTACGGTTTCTCAATACTGTTAGTAAAATTAGCGTAACATAATGTTTATTTATTTTATTCTGCATTGGTGATGTCATTGGATTGATTGCTAATGATGGAAAATTAATCATTTACCTAGTTAATATTTAGAGCCTTAAAATTATAGCAGTTAAATGATTTGAAATTGCAAACAAAGAAACAAGATCATAGTTTCGTTGAAATATTTCATAACATCCATTTCATTGATGAGAATTGCCCTCAGGCTGTATTTGCAGACTGTACTTCTACATTGAAATTAAGGTCTTCAATGTGATGTTTAAATGTATCAATTCAAAGATTGACATTACATAGAGATCTAAATAAGCATTTGCATAAACACTTAGTCACCTTGGATGATTCAACTATTTTATGTCTTAAAAATAAGGGAACTTTTCAGTCTGGCATCGCTTACCTCATTATTCTCTATGGCTGTGATAACAATAATAAGAGTTATCATGATTCAAAAATACATCTGTTGTTGTAAATGCCCCAGATTATTAAGGAAATACAATCTTATGTAAACTCAATAGGAATTGTTCTATTCCCTTGATTTTTGCATATATATAAAGAGAGAGATTGAATCTTTGATTTATCTTAGAATCTCGCTGCAAATTATTCCACATGACAAACTTATTTTCTGACCTAGTTATTGCATTGATAAACGATTCAGAATTACACTCATCTAACATATAAATTCTAAAACTGAAAAAGCAGTCAAAAATTAAATTTATTATAAGAATTGATGCTTGTACCTGTGAAGGTATTCATGACAACACAACATATAAGCAAAACGAGGTTTCACGAGGTAATAGACCAGGGTGGGCAAGGTTTTTGGACCTGTGGTTTTTGCCCACCCAGACTGGCAATAGACAATATTTACAGTGTCACAAAAGCAGCCGTGGAAATTAATGGGCCTAGTGCCAAAACTAAATTAAATCGCAATCTCAACAAATTCCATGAGCTATTTTCAGCTAAAATATCAAAAATTTATTTCAGTTTGGTTATGGCAGCATCAGGCGTGCCAGATTGAATCACCTACCCGAATTTGGCCCGCGAGCCGTACTTTGCCCATGTCTGTTATAGACTTTCAAAATGATGTTCACAAGGTTTTAGACTTTCAAACTGTGAAAGGACAAGTTATATATCATGACAAAAAACAGTTCATATATCAAGGATTTTATCAAAAGGAAATATTCTAATATTTCGGTGGTTAAATATCTTTCCCTATTCATGATAATTTGTCAAAAAACTTGTGAAACAGGATATCATAGAGTAACTATGGAATCAAAAGTTTATTTTGAGTTTATAATTTTCTTTTGTGCTATTTAAAGGCTAAATTCACACCCATAAGAATTCCAGACTTTTAGATAGTGATGTGATCATCCACAGGGAAGTTGTTCATTGTCTGGTAGTAATAATTTGGCTCAAACCTCGATATTTGTGACTTCATACTTTCTCATTAATGTTTTTGCCAACTTGTGTTCATACCAGTTAGGTAAGAGTTCAATTAGTGGTCACATGAATTACGTCATTGTTTTAAATACACTATGAAATTATATAAAGATTTGATATTATTATTGACTTTTCCAACTGAATACATAAAACCCCACCAAGGCTAATGTTTACCTTGTTACAGTCTGCTGATGGTGAATCAGGGACATTTTGCTGGTGTTACAAACATCTTACAAACTATTTTTGAGGTTTAAAATTATTTTTTGGTATTAAATTTATAAAATGTATTTAAATTTTGAAATCGAAATTAGAAATTACTCTTTGACTAATTTATTACAAGTATTACTAGTCACATGTTAAATTCCAATCTTTGAGATAAATCATGAAAAAATCGAATTGACTTTTGACGATCTGCCTAAGTATTCTGTTTATTTTTTTGTAAAATTGTTATAAAATGAGAAGCACGGTTTAACAAATTTTAGACGTATCGAGTCATCAAACACTGTTGGCAATTGTGTTTATTCAATTCAAATTTCAATTATTATTTTATGAAAAATTTTGAAAAAATCACACAACACTAAATTTTCAACTCTCCTGTGTTATGTACCAAATATCACCCATTTGAACATCATCAAATTTATTTATAAACTTCCACTTGTAGCAAGGCTCAATCAATTGTTATTGAAATTAAGTCTGAATTACTCTAAGAATATCAGCAATTAATAACCCAAAATTGTATTTTGATTTCCTAGACCAATCTCGCTGACATTTAGGATTTGTGCAGTTGTCACGTAACAATTGATGAATACTACATTAAATTAAGTTTCATCATAACTACACAAATGTTATTAATTATGCTGGTTTGGCATGGAAAATATGCATCTTAAAATAAACATTAACTGATACCACCTACTATTACCTACACCTTATTGACAGATGTAAAACACCAATATTTTTTCATTTTTTGTGGCCATTTGTTATAATATCCTGGTTTATATAGGTTACGGAAAGTAATTTTTATACTTCTATTTCATATTAATATTCACTTGCTCGCGACTAAAAAAACAAACTATTACTTTATTCATGGACCTATGCAGAGTCCATTTATTATGTTGCTTTTACTCAACCGTAACTTCCCATAGTTGGTGTAGATAGAAAAAGAAAAAAAAGAATTCAGTTCTCATTACAACATCAAAATTTATTGGTTGAAAAACTTTAGTCAAGTTGAAACATAACTTAATTACTCAAATAATGAATTAGTTGTAATTTCGTTTGTGTGGGCTATGTGTGTCAGTCATACAAGGTCTGTTTCCAATGCCAAGGAGGTTATTCGCAACATATACTAAAGATAATGTTACTTTTGTGCAAAGCTTCCTAAACTACTGAAACTTTTAGGTTCAAGTGGAAACAAAATTAAATATTCTCCTCACTTTTGTATAAGTCATTACAAAATTTATTGGTTCCCGTTTTTAGTCTATTCACCCTGTATCCAATTACAAGATGTAACAATGGAATTCAATGTAATTTTATAATTTGTTCTTTGAATGAGAAACTTAGTCAGATCTAAAGATTCGAAGATTCTATTTCATACAGATACCATGTCATTATTCCTTAGCAAATTTGTGTAACAAATTGCGCAATAGCTTTCTTGTATCAATAATGGAGATGTGGTGTTCAAACTGTGTATTAAAAGTAACTTATTAACAATGACTAATGCTGAATTGTCAGGCTAAGCTTTTGTACATTTAAGTATATAAACAAAGCTTATAGAGATCTTTATTTGAGGTGATGTTGTTGTGAAAAATTGCCCTTTTTCACACAAATTTTCATACCAACTATCATGCCAACGTCTGAATTTTATGTGTTTTTATTTCTTGCAAAGATTATACATAAATGTTTTGTTTTACTATTTTTAATTAACAGAATATATTACGGTGATAACATTCACGAAATGGCTTACTTTTCTCATTATGCCTTTTGTTTCTTTCTAGCAATCAAATATAATGTCAAGGAGATCGACAGTCAGCGTTTCAAATCCAGATACCAGATCAGTCAACTCCATGAAAGTGGCCGGTACAGTCGGAAAAAATTTCAATAGATTTTCATCTTTTGTTAAACATGGAGGAGAAGCATATGTATTGGGAAAAGCAGATGCAAAAGTCCGACAAGTTGATCAGGTATCGTGAGTTAAAAATATCGGTTTCAAATCCCAAGCCCACCCCCCCAACCCTCAGTGGAATAAATTGGGTATGCAATGACAAACCGGCAAGATTCTGTTTTTTTTTTTTGAAATGTAGTATCTTTTACATGTCTGTGGCTGCTTGCACAGAGCCTTCTTTAGAGTGAAAGGTCTGTAGAACGTTGTATATGAAGAGTATAATTTCAATCGTAAATCAAATTAATGTTTATCTTAGGTATCCAAAGTGCCAATGATGTGCCTGTAATCCCTCAACTAGTCATCAGGAAGTTTTTCACCTTAATATTAGGTCTTTTGTTATTGATTGTTTACTTCTCAAGGTCACAAAGTCCAAAGTTCGTACTGCAATTCTTGCTCTCATTTTCAGCAAGTCAGCCTCATTGTGACAGCCAGAAGAAAGCCATTTAAACATCAAAATATATTTTAGTTCTAATTAGGAGTATTTTTTATATTATCATACTGTTTTTAACTAATCAATCATATGTTTTAAGGTTCATATTGTATATTCAACTGATGGTACAGCAAGTTGGAAAACTAATGGTCATACATTCACCTGCACGATAGAAAATCCATTAAAAAAGAGCAAAATGAAAGGTGATTTATTGATTTTTCACTGCAATACTTCCGTCGTCACTTTTTTCGTTTTAATTATATGAATGTATTATTCACATGAATGCTTTTCTCCTATCTTGCATAACATGGCTGGTTAAAGCATTTTAAATGAATTTTGATTTGTAATAATGACTTAAAATTTGAATTTAAAACTCTTTTGGTGATCTATCTTGGACAACCAGATATGGTATGATACTCTCACAAGCTTGTAGCTTGATTAAGAGAGTATCTATGTCACTAGGTCAGATTGCCTTTGTAGTACTTTTATGTCTTGCATTTTAAACTGCATTTGGAGTTTAGTAATTTTTCTGAATTTTTTTCTGTGTGTTACCTTGCGCATGTTGTCATTTTTTTAAACCTTCTTTGAACATAGAAGTTATATGAAATCGTTTGATTTTTGCGCCAGCCGCCAATAATTTTCAGTGGTACACAGGAATGACCAGAACCGAATAGCTTACTAATTCGAATACTTCTTAAAATGATATTTTTGAATGTCGAATATCAAATATATTCTCCATTACGCCAGATTCAATACAAATACATAAACAAAGTATTTTTAATGATTTTGAATTAGGAATATAGAACTTAAAACAATCATTTGATCTTTTTCTAAGTTTTTTCAAAATAAATACAGACCTTGTTGGTCGTTTGTGAAAGTGAAAGTTTGATTTTTCAAAATGCCATATTTTACATTATTCATAAAACCAAGACTTAAAATATATCATATAATAAATTAGAATAAATTCCAATACTCGTTTTTTACGACATCCATGTTGATAGATGAAATGTTTCTAAATTTCTGATTCAATTTTAAACATAGGCTATTCACTTCAATGGAGTCTTACTTTATACACTCGTTTAAATTAATATAAAACTCTAATTTTTTTTGCGAAGGTTTGAAAAGTTTTGTCGCATACAAACTAACACCAAGTGATATGGACGTTAGTGTGCAAAGAAGATATAAACATTTTGACTGGTTGTATGATCGTCTCGTGCAAAGGTATCCTATGCTTGTTGTACCAAGGTTACCAGAAAAACAAGCATCTGGAAGATTTGAAGAAGATTTCATTGAATCAAGAATGCAAAGACTAAAATTATGGGTCAGTTCTTTACAGAATCTTTAAATATCACAAGCATAACCTAAAATTGAATATTGTGAATTCATGGTATAAGCTTATATGGAATATGGGTATGCAAATAGGACAAACCAGCCAGTACTCCAAAATGAATTTCCAATTTTCAATACTTTCCAATTTTTGGTAACATTTTCAAGAGATTATTTAAATTATACATTTATTTGTGATAATTACGAATGCTTCAACCTATGAAGGCAAAAATTGAATAAGCTGTTTTGATAAAAATGAGGAAAGAAAGTAATCGTCTTTTTTTAAATTTTTGTAATCTTTTATTGAAATACTTTCTTCCACTAATATTAGATACGGACTAAAACAGCTTTATTTTTATCTTATCATTGACAAAAAAAAACTTTTGAAAATTTCTACATTAGCCTTTGTCTTTTGACCCTCGACACAGTATGGCTGTTTGTCGAATCATCTGTTTCTAGTAAGAGACATCAGGTTATGGTTTACATCCATATTTACGTCATAGTTTTATTTTCAACATTACTGGCTTAGGTACAGAGTGTCGCGTGACGTCATCTCAGTTTTGCAAAAGTGTAATCTCAAGTAAAAATGTTATAATTCTGAGTCACAGTGCAATGTGTTCCATATAGGGCTGTTATGCATAAGATATATCGCAATGTAATATGCAAAGATGATGTGACTCAATAGCCAAAAAGGGGACGAGTTATTTTACTTTCAGTTGTAGACTTGTAGTATTGGCCGGTATTTCTTTTCTGCAGTTTGCCTGTATGTAACCCTCATTCGTTGCTTGATAAATCAATTGAAAATTTTATTTCTAATGATTATTATAAATATATTTTTTGGAAAATCCCATGCAGGAATGGCCAATCCTGAAAAAATGTACTGTTCAAAATATATTCCAAAACGATGATTTTCAATATGGATGTTATTTTTCACAATTATTCAGAAATTGATTGAACATCTTTTTAGTCATGCTGTAAGACTAAAATTACTCAAAATGATAATTTTTCAAATAAAACTTAAAAATTATTCCTGAAAGTTACCGGTAATAATTTAATATATTGCATATGAATAATTTTGAAAATTCAATTTGTTTTGATCATTCCTGAATTAACAGACATATGACATAACTAGATGGCCTAATTTACATATCCTAAGTTCTAACAATCCAAAAATTTTGACATGATATTTTGGTTTTGGTGTTTTGTATATATCTCAAATGAGCACACTCTCAGCAACATCTGCAGTCAATATAACCAATATTAAATGCACCTTAATGATCATAGAAGAATTTTTGGTGCATTGATATATCTTTATAGCTAATAGACACAAGAAAAGTATTTCCACTGGTTTTCATTAAAAAAAAATTCATATTTTTCAGGTATCACATATCTGTCGACATCCATTACTTTCCACATCAAGTGTTTTCAGAAATTATATAACTCTTACTGAACAAAAAGCATGGAAAATGGCCAAAAGAAAAGCGGAAAGAGATGAACTTTTGGGGGCAAATTTTTTTCTCACTATTGATATATTCTCTCAACCGTCACAGTTTGACAGCCGAGATGCTGAAGTTAGACTTGAACACTTCAAGAAATTTGTAAAATGTATGCTTAATACATTCAGATATTTTAGTTAGTCGTTAACTTTAGTAGGATATGTTATGCAATTATGTAACTGTTTCTAATTTTCCTTTGGCAAAGTGGACTGAAATTGGCACCATATGCTTCTGTCACCTCGCTGGATATAAGCCAGCATGACTCATTATAATTACTGTTAAATATTAAAGATGAATTAAATTTTCTAATTAACCAAGTTATTTGGCCCTCACCTGTTTTGTGAATCACAATATAGATACAGTATTAATTCATTATGAGTAAATGTATTGCAACCATAGTAACTTTTAGGACAATTCATTTCAATTATTCACAAAGTAGAATTATGGATCTTTTTCAAATTGTTGTTATTGTATTTAGTGCAAAATTCTTTTTGGACTATTCTTTTTGGACTATTACCTTTGCAAATTAGTTCTGAATCTTAAGGGCCAGTTGTTTTAAGCTAAATTTTGCTGCTTTTGAAAAGCTTCGCTACTAATCATATTTTTCGCCAATTGATTTCAAAGAGCAGTACTTTGTGTCCATTTGGATTTTGCTGAATAAGTTTCGACATACACTTCAAATGCTGTTAACATTGTGGGGAAGCGTATGGGTTAATCCCCCAATATCTAAACTAAAGATATATTAATCAAAGTAATAGGTATTCTCAAATTCTAGCTTCATTTGAAGTGAAGAGTGTTTCCATGGAAATATTTTGTAGACAAGTATTACAAGATGGATTGTGTGAATATTTGGTGCATAAAATGATTCTTTATGACCAATGAAAGAACACTTCTTAGTTTTAGAACTTTCATTCTGGTTATTAAATTTTTTTCATCACATTGTTTGCCAGGTATGGATGATGGGGTATCACAACTCACATCAACATCACGTGATATGGCAAACAGACATGTTGGCGCATTCAAGAAAGAATTTATATCTATGAGTCGATCATTTGGAACATTATCAAACGCTTTTAATCAACACCAAACACCTGAATCGCAAGCGTTAACTGATGCAGTAAAATATACAGGTTGGAATTATTAACAATTCTCTCATTTTGCCATTAAATGTCATTTTAGTAGGATTTTCACATTTATTTTGAGGAAAGAAAACTTGATAAGACTATTTAATCATATGACCAACTAGGGCCTCTGGTCCGGTTACCAATTTATGACTAGCACAGATATGGAAATCGAACGATCGGATGAAGCTGTATCTGACCAGCGATTGCGTGAACTGCTCGACGATAAGGATTCCAGAAATCCTCTTTGCACATAATTCATACTCCCAATTATATTGGCTCCTTGAGTTAAAAATTTTCAGGTTCAAATTTTGTTTTTCAAATAGTTGATTACAAGGTAGGTGTGCTATCTATCAAATGTAATTTTATAAGCTTGCATATAGTTACCTACGAGTTTAATAGGTTTGGCAATTTTTTTTCCTTTGTTTTCATTGATAGTGTGCTATGTGTAGGCCTACTGAGAAATCTAACTCATATTTACTCCATTTCAGGGCAAACTTATGAAAAAATTGGTGAAATGTTTGCAGAGCAACCAAAGAATGACATGAGTCCTTTATTACATAACCTTTGGTTATACAAAGGAATTCTAGAAGTATTTCCAGATATATGGCATGTAAGTGGTCTGAAACAAAGGTTTATGTCCTTTATTCCGGGTTTACTTTATTTATGAATGTGCAAATAGGATTTTTCGCATCCCAGAAGGCAGGAAAGACAATAAGGTGTTTAATCATATAGCAGAACACGGCCTCTTCGGTTACCAGTTCATGATGAGTGTTAGTCGAAGTCATTTGTTATAAATGCATGGACTTGATGGAGGTGGAAGTTGTAACCAGCAGTTGAACCACATTGCGGCAACCCGATAATCCTCTCATACATATGTATCTTGTTCATGTTTTCAATATTAGCACAATTTTTCAAATGTTGAGCTCATAGTCAATGTATGATTGTTGCTTTTGATTATCCAAAACAATAAGTAGCAGGCATTGGCTTTGGTGCTGTATTATACTCACTTGAAGCTGTCATATTGAGATTTCGATATTAGGAAGTCTATTGGCCTTCTTTGTACAATCATTCTATTGAACCATTTAAACCAATATCGGTCCCAAGATTGCTATATTCATCTTTACTGATATCTGTCAAAATTCCCTTATTTCAAGTTGTGTTTCAGATTATCAACTTTTTCATATCTATTTGTCTGTATGGATTTCTTTTTCTATTCTATGTACAGTTGGAATCTGGTGCTTTACGTAAAGTTCGTGAATGCAAAAGATTACAAGAAGAAGGCAGAATGTCTGCAGCTGATGTCGACGCTGTTGAAGAACGTACTCAGAGGATCACTGGATGTATGCAGGTATGGATAGAATGCTATAGGCTAGTGAATGGCATGCATTAACATATTGTTAGTGAACAAGGTAGAAATTTTAGACAGAGTTTGTTATAACATTTGTATTGCATACATGGGAGGGAGGCATGTTAGGTGTAAATCTTAGTAGCATCAAATTTATTCAGTATCAGTGTTTTGTCATCTGACCATTTTAATACTGAATTTTGTAAATGGATGGATTTTCCTGAATATAAACTATTGACAGTTTGCAACCCATTTACTCGAAACAAGGAGCTGTATAAACCATTGATACGTAAGAAGTTAGGACTGGAATCTTCTCATGGTCTTTCTTCTAAAATGACATTTTGATAAAATTATCATTTGACTTGAAATTTATCAAAAAGTACCGGTACAATATATTTTTTAAGTTCATGACAGCAAACAAAAAAAACTTATAGACTCCCTAAAGAGTCTGGTGGACTCACTAAGAGTGGGCTGTGCAACAAAAGGATCGCCAAGCCATTTAGTGTGGTCATTGTTTTTGGCTATTTTTGCTGCGTCAAATCTATCACCGTTTTGCTTGGTGTCTTCATAACTGTAAGGCTGAGCGATAGTCACATTTTCTTCCCTTTTATGTAGCCCAGCTAGATGACTAACGTTGGTTTATATGGCCCACAGACAAATAATGTTGCCCACCCCTGCCCAAGGACCATGATTATTATTCTCTATTATAATTTTGTTTCAATACTGCACTAATGTAAGTACCCTTGCTTTGAATTGGGGTTTGATCAGGTACCCTGGCACTGTTTCCGGAGTAAACCTTTAGAAAAGGAAAAATTTTATATCACACGAAAAATAATTCACATATTTTTATTTCAGGCTGAAGTTACTCATTTTCATAAAGAACGAGTTCGAGATTTCAAACACATGATGACAGACATGTTACAAAGCCAAATTGATTTTTACGAAGGAATTGTTGGACAGTTGAGACTCGCATTAACTCGATTTGAGGAAGTTCCTGAGGAACCATGAGTAATATTCGAAAAACTCATTATAACACTCTCTGAACAACACCTTGTGTCACAAAATTCGCATGACACTTTTTACATTTATCGTCGGCCTGGTAGATGCTTGACTATACAGCTAGCGATGTTTAACTCCACGGGAATGAAATTTTGAAATTTCGAGAGTTCTTGATATTTCAGCTGTAACATGGATGAGCTAGTTATTTGTCTTAATTGTTTACTGGCAAGGATGTTGAAATCCAATCTATATTGTGAATTCATTTGAGTTTAGTTTTATTCTACATATTCAATTCTTGATTTGGCGAATAATTTTTCGCTTGCCAATTTATCATCTCGAGCATTTGACGGTCAGTTTTACTTCGTGAACTGTGAAAAAATAAAATAAAACCGAAACAATGTTTATCTCAAACAATCTGAATTACCAAATTTAATTCACATGAACTTGGATTGGTTTGTGTAAAAATTTTCGCTGAAATTATGTTCTATATATTTAAAAACATTATTTCAGGTGTATTAGGAATGGTAAATTAATGGGTTTTTCGTTCATCTGGTGATTTTGTTTGCTATTCTATTTTAAATATATTTATGCAGCAACAGTCGATTTCAATGATTGGGTTATAATTATCCAAATAGAAATCCCCTCTTATACACTCAGAAATTCGGTTGTGGTTTGAATTAACTCATCAAGTCTCAATTGTGTATTAAACTAAGAATTCTGTCTGGATAAACAAAGATTTTGGGATAATCATTTAGCATTAAGAACACCTTAAAAATAGTGTTCTTCACATCAAAAAGATTTGAGTCGTACACTTTTATATTTTTATGATTCTGTAATGTCATATATTAAGTATTGGCTGTAGAGCTTTTGAAAATATATATTTCTAATGCTTATTCAGAAACGAGCCATTTCGCTCCAATGTTCACTGATAATTTAGAACAGTGGTTCCCAACCTTTTTTGCATCGCGACCCTTTTCGGATATCTTCTAACATGTCGGGGACCCCCTTCACGATATATACTGAATCTAAATTAAAACTAGTAGGTCCTAAAAAATCTTAGTTAAAAAAAAACAGCCCTATTAAAAATTTTATATAAACCACTCTTTCACTCCTTAATTCTATTTTCTAGTTTTGCACAAAAGCATTGTTGAAAATACATGCATTCATATTCGTTGCTCAGTATCAATTTACTTGTGAAGATCTCAAAACTATCTTTTCTATCAACATATATTATCTACATCGCAAAAAAGTGATAAAAATAGTCTTATTAACTTTAAACCTCACGATGTAATTAACTTGTTAAAACTATGATCTTTGACACTTATGTAGCAAGTGGATTTGTCAATTGAATTTATTTGGATTCAACTTTTTTCTGCTTTATTGAAGTCATATTTTGCCCTATAAGTGGGGGTATTCATGTTGAAAAGTGATTATTTAAAAATACATTCACTGGACCTTTGATTGATAGAATATTTTGAATTAAAAATTCAATTTCTACATACCCTAATGAATTGATTTTATGAAACATTAATCAACCCATACAAATTGGCCATTGAGTTTGTTCAAAACATGTTTTTTTTCTGTTACAATATTAATAATGATTCAGAAATAGACTTTTTACGCAGAAATATGGGTACTCCCGTAGTATGTGTATCAGGTTTAGGGTTATGCCCTAATTTTATTACGATTTTCCTTAATTTAGTTATATTACGAGTTCGGGGACTGTTTGTGTTAGTCAAATGAATATACCCCCTGCCCATAAGCTCCCGTCCCGTTACACAACTCGATGTAAAGTAGGCGAATAAAATTAATTACCTCCATATTGGTACACATACTTCTGAAGCGCTGAAATATGTGGCTAGAAACAATAGACCTGTTATGAATGATCGTTTCACTAACAAGCAAAGCAATTTGCTAACCAATTGTTTTGCCCACCTCTGTATACTGCGGAATGTGGTAACAATAGATAAGTTTTGTAAATTGTTGCATAACAATACCAGAACTTCTTATTTTCTTGTGTTTTTGAGGCTGAAATCTCGCTTTCTTTTTTTAACTTATGTTCCTCTCTGTAATTTTTGTAACCAATACTTTTTCTTATTGTTTTATGTATATTCTTATTAAGCTTCTTCCAATATTTTTTAATGTAAATACTTGCTGTTAATTATTCTACAGCATCCTATTCATTTCATTGTAAGTAATATCCTTAAAAATTTTGCCAACTCAAATTTTTATTTCTATTTACATTTTTATTGTTGTGAGTTGACTGAGATTTTATATTTTTTAATCTGTTTCTGTTTAGAATGTAAGCACATATACTTGGATGCCAGCCAACTAAATCAGCTTTTCAAAGGAGAAGAACGATTATTTGCTTCTTATAAAATTGCTTTCAATAATCGACTTGAAAAGTGACTATTTGATTGTGATTATTAGTCAAATAAGTGAGTTTGTGTTATGGCATTAGCTAAAGTTCAATATAACCTAGCCCGCGGACCCTGCACAGGTGTCCACACTGATATGAAAAGAGTCTGAAACAAATATAAATAGATCATAACCTTATTGAATTGCTGTTAGCCTGCCAGTATTCAACATTAGTATGTATTGATTCATTTATTTTGTCAAATGAAGCATTATTCTTCCTCGTTGGTTAGGCACATCAATTGATACGGCATAGGGTGGGGGTCCGTCACAAATAAGATTCACAAACTGGTCCGTCGTCCAAGAAGATTGGGAAACTTATCCGTGGCTCACACTTCGCAGCAAGTAATTTGGCCTCTTTTAACCCATCAAATTTTTTTTACTCTCATCTGCAAAGCAATTTCAATTTATCCTTTGTATATTTTTGATATATGCCATAAAATCTGCAATGGTGATCTTTGAAAAATTTGACTTTTATTTTCCTTTGCAAGTATTGAATATCAGTGACCAGTTGTACATCACGTAAATGTTAGAAAAATAGTGTTAATATATTGCAGAAAAAGGACTTTGATGTTTGTCAAATTTATGTTCTTTAAATATTCTGCAAGTATTTACTGTCGCTCTATATTTACCAGATATGGTGGAATCAAATGATTACATTGATAGAGAATAGTTTTGGATTATTCAGATGCCGATTTTCAGTACTTTCGAGTATAAAATTTGTTAGTTTTTTGTACAAAAACGAACTTGGAAAGAATATTGTTGCAACTGGTTAGTTTTGCTTTCTGATGCCTAGTTTTTTCACTTTCAAATTATCATATAAGACATGTTTGACTTTCACACACTTGGCATTCACCTAACATAAAACCTGTAAGAATTAAGTGTAAAAATCATTTTTATTCCATTGATCAATTAGTAGTATTTAATCTGCTGGAATTTGTTACTTTCTTTATTGCTTATCATTCTATACATATACAAATATATATTGTCAAGAACACTAAATTTTGCGTAATGAAGATCAGGTGCTACCGAGCTTACTACATCTGTATATAAAGTAAAAGTCTCGGTACTCCCGTAGTGTGTGTACCAGGTTAGGGTTGGGTCATAATTTTAGTTCTATTACGAATTCGGGGACTTTTCGTGCTGGTCAAGTAAATAAATATACCCCCTGCCCATAGGTTTCAGTCCCTTTACACAACTTGATGTAAAGTAGGCGAAAAAAATTAATTCCCTCCAACACTTCTGGAGCGCCGAAGTTTCTATTTTGAATCATGGTGCAAGACTGTCAGTAGATATGCAGCTATAGCAGTGACATAATAGCCTAGGAAACTACACTTATTCGGTCGCCACCAAATCTAATTTTTCTCATATTGTCAAAAGGGCTTGCAATTGACCAAATAAGTAATAAGGCAGCAATTCTGTATGCGAGGAGAAAATTTACTCCTAATGTGATTGTAGTATTTCTAATATGTTGTACAAAATTTATTGTCACACAGACTTCTGGAATTCAGTGAGAAACACATTTTATTAACATTGCGTATTTTGCTAGCTAGTTTTGCTAATATGAGTGGCATTCAGGTACTGGTATATAGGCTTTGTAATGCAAAGGGAATGCTTGCATGTACCAGATTAACTGAACTAAAAACTCGTTTTGCGGGCACACCACTCAAAATTGGCGCTCGCCAAGCCGCACAATTATCCCTTGTGGCCCACAGTTTGCTCACCTCTGCTCTCGTACATATTTTAAGCAACACAAAAAAGAGAGTGCGAGAGGCATTAGGAGTTTCATAATATGCAGTAGGAGGGATTTATCAATCATGGCTTGGAATCACTTTTCTAAGGGATGCCATTACCTATTGCTTGTCCAACTAACTCTGATTCCCTTGCAACTATTAAGAATTAAGTACGAAAATAGCAAGAGTTTAATATATTCATAATTTGCGTGTGATGGTTGACAAAATGACAGAACAGCACATAAAAAATGTAGAAGGCACGATGCTGCAGTTGCAACTATAGGCTTCATGCCATTCAGCTCTGACATAAAACACCACATTTATTAAACTCAACAACATTGCAGGTCAATATATTAAGTGCAATATATAAATAAAAATTGAATCCTTTTGGACAAATTCACGTGCTTGAAACATTCAGAATATCTAGATGCGCGCAGAAAAACAACAGCACTATAGACTATCTTGAAATCAAGGTCTATACCAGTGGTTCCAGAGATTTTTAGTACTCATTGGCCCGTTCATCATTCCAAAAATACGAGTAATACAAGAATTCAGGGGGAAATTTTAGTTACCATTCAGATCAAGGTTAGGATACTTGATGGAGAATTATGGAAGTGATTTGAATTAAAAAAAAAAGTATTGAAAAGATATACGTACAACTATTTTAAAACTATCACATCATATTCTAGTACCTGTTCAAAATATTAGAAAGAGGATTTAAAAAAAGCGACAATAACAAGCAGCAGAGTAAAATCGCTAGTATTTTAGGTTGATTATTGTTCAAGTGTAGGAACAAAAATTTGAATAATACGAAACCCTATGATATTGAAATTTCAATAAGAAAGTTTAGCAAGTGGATTTTCATATAAGTAATTATAAAAGTGGAATTTTCTGAACGACCAATGAATGTTCAAACGTTTTTTCTATTATTTGGCAACAAAAGCTGAATTTAGTAGTGCGATTATTCATATAAAAATATCCAATACAAGAATAAAGAATTTCTGCAAAACTATTTTTGCCAATCCGCAACCCAAATTTATGGACAAAAAAAAGCAACCAGGGATAACCAAAATCAAATCATTTACTATTTCGAATACATTCTGATGTAGGTAATATTTTTGAACATGTAATAAATTGAGTCACGTTAAAAAAAGAAATTTTCACAAATCATTGTAAGTCAGGTTGAAGAAAGTCTGATCATACAAGATTTCAAATGCTTATAATGATAATTGTTCTAATGAAAATATTAAAATTATACCGGATATCATATATTTACTATATTAAATATAGCCTATTTCAAATGTAATCGAACATTGATTCATCTTGAATATCCCTGATTACAACTGTGCCTATGTTCATATATCAAAATTTGACTCAGCTCCACACAGAATTCATTGATAAATCTTCATTGAAAACTTTCAAGTTTTTTAAGCTAACCTCATAAAAAGCAATATCAGACATAACAAGACCACATTGTGGTCCTCCGTCATTACGAACACCATATTGTTGGAGTTTTCTATGCAACTGTTTTGCAAAGCTTAAGTGAATATTATACAGAATATTTTCTACCTGTTTTTCAGGTAATAAATCCGCAATCATTTCATGAAGTTTTGTCATCTGACGACATATAGTTCGAAATTCACGAGAAGGCATTGGTGCTTTTACCTGCCATCTTGAAAGATTATTTTCAATTGCAGAATCCATTATATTGACAAGTTTATTATCAATTTCTGTTATATGATCCTTATAATCTTTTGAAACATGATCGAAATGTTTCAAACTGCTTAAATGTTTACTTTTGCTATTCGGAGGACAAGACAGCGACAGTTTTTGTTTAAATTGGTACCTAATTGATGGAAGTAGATTTAAAACAAGTTGAAGGCACCTTGACGCTAAACCTAAATTTCTAGTGGTTATTGTTTTCAGTCCAGCTAGCTGTAACGCCCCCGCACCTAGGACAAGTTGGCAAGTTCGAGAATTGAATAGCGTTAATAATTCACAAACCCTTGTCATTAAGTCTTGTGTTGAGGCAGGCAAATCATCAGCACATTTTAAATATTCTGTCACCATTTTAAGAAGCATGAGTACTGTCCCAACAACAGCATATTCATCTCCATCAATGGTCAACAGAGCAGTAGGTTTCGTACTTTCTGCTGATCCATCATCAGGTAATTTATCCACTTTGATTTCATTTTTAGATGCAGCAACTGATAGATTTTGCAGCGACTTTGCAAGTTGAGCCGGTACTTCAGATTGTTTCCATGTTTCATTATCAAGTATAAGTGATAATTTATTTCTTCTTTCTTCATGAAATCTTGTGACAAAGCGTGATGCTTGCGATTGCAAAACACCTCTCAAGACTCCACCACCCCTGTTATAATTTCCACAACACATCATGAAATATCCATCAAAATATAAAGAATCTTTATCACCATTACTTTCTTCTCCTAAAAATATGTTTTCCGTGTCAGTGAGATACTTTTCAATGGATTGAGCAAGTGTTAAAAACTGGAGAGAAGTTAACTTCTCCAAAGAAGAATTTTTATTTTTGGCAATAATGACTTTAACACAACGGTCGTGAGCAAAATCTGCAGCCCATATTAAATTTTCACAAATTGATTGCATAAAGTCGCTATGTTCTTTTTCATTTAGCAATGAACCCGCAGAAGAGGAATCACATTCTTCAGTTACCGAATATGAGTCAGAATTATCAGTTCCTTTAGTAGATATAGAGTCTGAAATATTCTGTGAAAATGTTTTTTGTAATTTTTGCTTAGATTCTTTTTCTCTCGGATTCTCATTTACAGACTCCATCAATTGAGCTTCATATTGGTCCATATCGTCCCATACATTATCTGTAGAAATAGTATCTTTAGGAGAGGTAGTTTGTTGTTCCAACTCATTCAATTCATCAGGTGCAGTATGCACAGCCAAATCAGAATCTGTAGAAATTCCATTCGCGAGGGAATTATTCACATTAAATCTTTTAGACGGTGGTGTCGATAGGCAGATCGCATTGACTACGACAGTCAAAAAAGATTTTACTCGTCTTAGAAATATAGTTAAATTATCAGTGATTGCAATAAACAGCTCAATCCATTCATTATATTCAAGCAATCGCATTCTTTCCGCCAAAGATTCAGTTTTTTCAGGTGAATCCCCATTTTGTTCGACCCCATTGGTCAGATTTTTGTTGTTCTTTTCTGATGCTTCAACTACATCCACCACCGTTGTTTTTATGATTGTTTTTACAGTTGTTTTAACTTCTTCCCTAAATTCATCTAAGAATACTAATCGTTTTCTTCTAATCAATCCAAGCGCAATCGCAGTGAGATGATGGGGTTGTGAGGTTACAGAACCCTCAATTAAAGGCCTTTGAAGGTCATTGGTTATACAGTTTGAAAATTCTTCATTCATCATATGGCCAATCACATTTTCAATTTCCGATAATTGGGAACTTAAATGCCTAAAACAATGAAGTCCAGCTAATTCTTGTTTCAAAACTTCTTGTGTCGTTTCGATCAAGTCTAATGCTCCTGCGTATTCACCGGTTGATAACAGAAGTTGTATTGTGGGTTGGGCTTGGTGTACTGTTATCATTGTTTGTAATTTATTCAAAACAATAACTCTATTCCTGTGCTTACAATGACAATGTAGTACTTTGAATGATTTTTTTGTTATAGTCTCACCGATTGCACTAATTTTAAGTTTTAATTGATGAACACTTGATAACATTTTACGCAAGAATTCATTCAAGTCTTCATGTGATGCCATTGCATCAAAAAATGCATCTGATTGAACAGATATTTGACGCACGATAGCGACTTCTACCAAGTCTAAATGATGGCTTAGTTTTTCTTGTAACAATTTTGATGATGACATACCATGAGCAATAAAATCACTTACATAGTTTCTAGTTGTTGCATGGCCCGATGATAAAGAATTTAAACTTATTACTGAAGAAAATGTCCCTGGATCTTCAAGAGAAAATGTAGGCCTCAAAAACATTCTTGGAATTGAATCAAGAGCTAACTTTGTAGCTGCCTGGATTTTCAATTGTTGTTGCAATGAAGCTGTCTTAAGACTAGCTTTTCCAGCATTTACTTTCGAACCACCATATTCATTTCCCTCGTTTGTTACGATACCACTTTCAACGTGTTGACTCTGATGTCTAAGAAATTTATCCCTTGTTTTTGATAGATAATTAGCAAAATGTGCTTCCGAAATTTCAGGTAACCTACTAGATTTAGGTACAGTGGATCCATGAGTGAGATCTTTGAACGATTCTCCCCAAGTTTTCGTGAAAACATCGTAATCTCTCCTGGCCTTCCTGGGATCGTTCAGTAAAGCTGCAAGGTTGACTTTAGAATCACGAGCTATCAGCCGTTTGTTCTTGTCAACATTTGCATGATTTCCACCGTGTGCCATTCAGTAGAGAAGAAATTATGCCATTTAAATTACAACACATAAAACCAAAACCACGGCCGCGGCAAGAACAACAAATAAGCCAAAGTCCACTCGTAATGCTCGTGATGCCAACTTCTACTTGAGTGCTGCATTAACGTATCTACGTATATAGGAGAAAGTCTTAAAATTTCGTTGCACGAAGCCTACAATGTATTAAAATCATCTATGTTTAATTCAGAACAATAAAATAAACTTCACAGGTTATGAGGAAATTAAAATTAACATAAACGATATATCTTTATCGTTAATGAGTTGGCAACGTTTATTGGCCGCTAACCGTCGCACTTACACATCATAGAGATGTCAGGTCTCTGGGTAATAAATCTTCTGCACATATTAACTTCACTTGAATTGAACAGTTCTAACGTGCTTTAAATTGTGATTGGCTGTTAATATTAGCGTTATAGATTTGACTGTGAATTTTGTTGTCTTAACCCTACAATTATGACCCGTTGTAAGGTCGATATGATACGACCATAACGTTTATAGAAACAATATAAGATTGTAATCTCGGTGAAAATTAAGCTGAACACAATTTATTTTAGAAAATTTAAATTGTAATCCAGAAATTAGACCAAACAAAAAGTAAACAGACGAATTTGAATTACCTATAAATCCGACCGGTATGTTAGTCGTTGATCCGACCAATAAAAAAAAACTCCATTGTTGTTCATCTGCACGCATGAATACACTCATCTGTAAACTGTTTCCATGGTGAAGCGGCGCAGAGTGCAATACGGAGCTAATTCAATTCTGCTTTATGTCCAGCGCGCAAGCCCCAGATATAATCATGATAAACAATAACGCATGTATTTGGTCAAAATGCAGATGCACACATGACTCAACAGTAGACAGCCAGCAATGTTCAGATGTTTATATAATATGACTGTATGAGGAGTACATTATTACCATGTTTTACAGTTTTTATTAAATATGCGTTAATTAGAAATCATGTTTGTGATGTTTTCATTTCTGAATATTATTGATTGCAGTTTTGTTTTTTGGCAATTTTTATCCGCTATAGACATTTTTTAGCCTATTTATACCTAGAGGAACAGAGTATTTTATTCTGACCAGAATAAAAAGGGTGCAACTTGATATTGAACTAACTTTAACTTGAACTAATTTAAACCAATTATTATCAGCTCTTTATTCATCAGTTTTTTGATCATGTTTTATAACCATTAAGATCTAGTCTTATTTTTTGATGATTTTCTTCAATTAAACATTATAGATTATTTATATAAAATGGAAGCTAATAATAAAAAGAGAAAGATGTCAATAAAGCGGACAGAAAGTCAAATTAGTAACCACTCTGTAAAATGGAAAGATCCAGTCTTGAGTCCAACATTCCATGACGTGCAGATCGAGCAGGTCGGTATACTGGTTTGATACCTTTATTTTTAAAACCAAACAATATTTGAAACGAATATTGAGTTTTGTATTTGAATTAACTTTTGAATCTGAAACATAGTATTACAAATTATGAGTATCACTAAGCTTTTATATTTACTGTTCAAGTATTTTTGCTATCATGTAATACCTTTGCAAATACAGAAATAATATGTTGATTTCAATATTCTTGTTTCTTCTCTCTTTCTCTGTCTTTTTCTTATTCTCACATTACCTTTTGTATTGTGTACCAGGTTCATATAGTTGAACCATCAACTGGTATTGTTACTTTTAATGAAGCACAATCAATTGATCGACATTCAGCAGGAGATAGAAGTAGTGCTGGATTAAAAATGGTTGCTCCTCCACCGAGTGAAGAAGGTTCTCTGGTTAGTTTTATTGAAATAATACTTTGACAATGTTTGGCAGCATAAATTTAACGACAAAAATGCCTTGTTTTGAAATATTGTAATTGGATAATTTATATGTTTTTTAGTTTGATACACGGATAATTATATTAGCAAATAATCAATAGTACTGCCAGTTGTTGAATTATTAAATATAGTATGAATAAAAAAGTTTGAGTTATAAATATTTCATTATGTAAAGTGAAAAATTGTCATAAAATCTTCTGAACAATTGATCATTGTTTCTACAATTCCTAGTTAAAGTAACATCATATTCCTAACTTATATTGATTACAAAGACTATAGTATGATATTTTTATCTATATATTCCTTCTCCATTAAATCAATACAGGGAACAAACAGTGATGATCGCCAAGTATTTCGTGACAATTATCTTTATGATCCAAATAAAAGAGTACCTAGTGGGTTGATAAAAATTGTTGAAGGAAAAAGACCAATGACAGATTCATCCATTAGATGGGCCAATCCTGAACACCCTTCTACCGTACCTCTTGTCAATCTTCCGCTGGAACCTTTAGGTAAGTATCTCGCCAAGTAGATCGTAAAATCAATTGATAAATATTTGTAAAAATTTGATATTATTGTCATCCAAAATATGTTTATTTCTTCTTTTCATTTTATAGATTATTACTGGTTTATCAATTTCATATACCTATTCAATAAATTTGGTTATTAAATAATATCCTGAATATTATGCTCTTAAAATTTATCAGCTATTTCTGACTATAGGCACAGCTATACCAAGAGATCGGTCCGTCCATACACGACAACAAAGTAGACAACAATCATCGGCAGCTGAGCAAAGACATCGACAAAAAATTGCCATTATTCGACATATGCAACGATTACAAACTGGCGAAAGTCCTCAACAAAGAAGATTAGTGAGTGGTGGAACGAAAAAACGACAGAGAGAAAGATATTATGAGGTTTAAATTTTTCTACATTGATTTAAATATTTCACTTCCATCAATTTACTTGAATTACTATGTGTGAATAGATCAGTGCTTCCTTCTATGAATTAGCCAAGCAAATAATGTTCACTTTAAATACTGCAATATTAAGTCGTTACTTACTCATCCACACATATATATATACACACAGAGCACTCTCACACGCATCACATATAACACATACTGGATATCAATCTTGACTATATTTCGAAAAAAAAAATCATGACACATACCAACTTCTTATCTAAATTTATTAGACTAGACAATTTCTAAACAATTTTATTTACCAATTCAAAGTTTGTAAAAAAGAATTTCATCTTTAATTATTTTCATTTATTATTGATTCTTTCAAAAGATTTAGGCGTCAGACTTAACTCTTCTAGCATCCCAGGTTCATGCCCTCTACCTTGCCCAAGGTTTAATAAAATGGGTGGCAATGCTGAACAAGAAAAATTATGGTACCGTGTCCAAAACCGTGGCCAAAAAATTTGTCGTAGGAAATCTCGCTGCAGGTAATTTTGCCACATAGGGAAGATCGCAATAGCATTTTGCTGTAAAACAAGTTTTTGTGATTAAAACAGTTACCGGTAGGTTTATAGGGTTAGAGTATGCTCTTAAATAACGAATTTTTCTGGGTTTTTTTTATGCGGCGAAATTTCCTATGGCAAATTTTTCTAAAACCCTTTAAACTACTATAGTAGCTCCTCCCCTAGCAGTGGCTGCTTATGCGCAGCCTTATTCAGAGTGAAGAAAGTATAAATATGTTTTATAAACAAAAAAATCCTATTGTTCCATTTCTCACAACTTTGAGATTCAACTTCCACAAACATTATTTTATCTTTCTGTAATCAGGTTGCTCCTGGAGTCATACTAACTGAACTACCACCTGATGAACATCCTCAAACTGCTCCTAGTAATGAATATGGATATGGTCTAAATGAGGAAATCATTGATGAATTATACAATGGCAGAGCGTAAGTGAAGCAATATTTTTTGTTTGCTCTTTTGTAATGTATCATAAATAATAGCCTATAATTATGAAGTAGTCACTTCTTTTATATTTGTTTTTATTCTGTTTCAATTGTGTGCCACATATGATGCAAATGTTCAATGCAAGGATCATGTTTGGTACACATTTGAAATCAGTCGATAGCGGTGTCCTGAAATAATTTTTCTGAAGTTTCAACAAAGGAATTCTTATTTACAGTAAACATCTAAGTCTTGTAATTTTTATCAACGTAAATAGTTAGCATCATATCATTTTTTGAAACCACTGATTGGAAATTGTTCAAACTAGCGTGGTGAAGCAATCTTATTATTGTTCATTTCGGACCCAAAACAAAAAAACATGATTTAAATGCCCTTCATTTGTTTGTCATCTGGGACTCAGTTCACCTCTAATAATCCAACATATAGATTTATGATGAAGTTTGATATAACAAAATTATCAGTTGTTGCTCGAGTATATGCAGGAGAGGTTACTGAATAATACTGTGATTCAATAAAATAAAATCAATTTCCCATTCAACTATATTGAGTTGTTGTGATCTTTGTTTGAGCTGTTCATGAGTTTAATACATGCTTTGGAATCTACGTGTAGTATAGCCCATAGGTTAAAACACCTTTCTTCTGATTGATAGATTTCGCAAATTTTCTCTGCTATTAAGTTACGGTAGTATAAGGCTTCAAGTCAGGGCTCGGCAACCTACGACGCTTCACTGAATTATAGTAACAAATTATAGCTGTTTTGTTGATTGTATTCTTAACGCAAAAGAATTTACGCGTAGACTAAATTATATTATAACGTAACAAGTATATAATTCACAATTACTTGTTTAATGAGCCTATAATTTGATTATATATAATTCAGACAAATGACAACAAAACGCAGAAAAGTTGATGCTAAGTGCAAATGGTTTATTGGCGCGAAAAATATTCAAATGTTCAGTCTTCGCACGCTGTTTAAAATTTAAAATTAAAATAAAAACTTCTGATCTGTGTGATAAAATGTGATTCATCGGTCATTCATTCGATTTTCAACATTCTAAAAAAGGTGCGGCCCGCCAATGACTTGCAACCTTTAATTTTGGCCCGTACAAAAGGTTGCCGACCCCTGCTTTAAGGTATATTGACTCCTACGCTTATCTGGATAGTAAATATACAGAATTAATTCTGATCTTTTCCATTACTTAGTATCTTGTTCCGCTTTCGCTTGTATCGTGTGTCGCTTTATCAGAACTATTTTTCGAGTCATCAAACTGTATATTTGGGCTGTTTTACAAGCTACCCAATTGAAAATTATATGAAAAATTTCCATATAATTCCATTCATTTTATTTATTCTTCTTTATTCTTTTGTGTAAGCTGTTTTACAAGGTTCCATTCATTTTATTTGTTTCTCCTTATTCTTATTTTTAAGCTGTTTTACAAGCTATCATTCATTTTATTTATTCTTCTTTGTTCCTCTATTTCAGCTGTTTTACAAGCTACAATTTATTTTATTTATTTTTCTTCATTCTTATATTTAAGCTGTTTTACAAGCTACTCAATTGTATATTAAGAAGAAAACTTTCATTTACTTTATTCTTAGAAAAACTGTACCACATGTAACAAAGTCTATTATATGGACAGCAAAAAATAGAATAGCAAGCAGTCGAGCTGTGAGCAGTAATTCATCGAGGTGGAGAAATAATGAACTAATGGACATGGAATCAAATAGAAAAGCAAATGTCTTTATTAAAATGCCATTCAAGCAATCTCCATTTATTACTATGAACCCGGAAAAACAAGAAATGATTGTGAGTACTTGTTTATCGTTTATTTTTTTATGACAATTGAATGTGGACCCCTATGATGTACATTAGGTTATTATAATTATGCTATATTAATAGTAATTATAATTATGAGAATTAATATTGGTTATTAAAGTGACAAGAATATATTGTCACAAATGGAATACAAAATAAATTATGCTGATATATAAATATTTGAATTTGAATGATTTAAAGTTTAGGTCTAAAAATCTAAGATTCTCAAGTTTGGTATATTTTTCAAGGTTGTCAGAATCGCTATTGGAAAGCATGATTTCAACTATTCTAGAAATAGAAAAATCATTATTATGTAACTATGTTTGTTAGTTTATCAAAACATATAGTGGCTGACATATTTTTGAATTTAACTCGATTTGTTGAAGTCGAAAATGCTGAATCCCTAGATTCCCAATAAGGCCTTGCATCCATTTTTATTTCCTATTTGTTTGATGGAATCATTTGATTACTTTTTATCACAATATAGGAAACAAAAGCACTACAACTGGTGGTAACTGACTCGGATGACCGCATATGGTCATCTATCGAAAACTGTATTATGTGTTGTTTTATTATTATCTATATTTTATATCATCATTTTAAGAGTTTTAAATTTAGCCTGATATAATTTTTTAAAAGAATGTTAAGAGATTTCCTCATTCATCAAAGATTTATTTCTGTTCTAGGATGATATTGTACGGCCAGGTTATGAATTGAGATTAACCACAGCTTTCACAATATCAAGAGTAAAGAGAGGATTGAAGTTAATGAATGATCCCATTAATATAGAGAATAATAAAGCTGGGAAATTATTAAAGGGACGATTAAAGCCACTCTGTCCTGTCAAGGTATTGTGAAGTTATAAATGTTTTATGGTTATAAATCATTCTATAAATTTGTGGTTCATGTCTATGGTTCTGTACTGGTTGGTAACTACCCAAAACGTCGTGGTTCCCTCATCAACTTTTCTCTCTCTCTCTAGTTGAATATGAAAATCCTATCCCATGTCAAGTTTCATAAGTAAAGCCCATCAAAAATGGAAGGAAATTCCGTTCTAATATATAATTTTCATTAGTAAAATGGTAGAACATAACAACAGTAATTTATCATCATTAAAATTTTATCCTTGCACAAACTCATTAATGTGAATAGTTGTAAATTGGCAAATAACAGCAGTTTATTGAGCAGCGATTTTGATTTATTCACATTGAATTCTGAATCAAAATTTTAAAACAGATTATTTTAAATGTAATTAGTGAAACTTTTAAATCAAGCACTCATAAATCTCTGGATTGTTATTTTGTCCATACAATGTCTTTAAATTGACGAATTGTCCAGGAATATCGAAGACCCTGTTGTAAAACCTTAGCAAAACTTTGCAACTGTAGGATATTAAATGTATTGTATAAGCATGTTTGACTCTCTGCTCAGTACTGTTATACGCAGTATCATTGCAATAATGTGATGGGCATACAATGTAGTGTATTGAGAGTTTTTGACCCAAGAAAATCCTGAAAGTAATTTTTATTCATTGTTTATGTTTCGATAGAAAGATTTTGTATAAATAGTAAATGTAACTTTCTGGTTCAATTCTCACAATAATAAAAGGTAGTATTGAATTATCAATTTGGTTTAGAATTTCTTGTAATGGCTTTTGTAAGAAACAATTACGCTCAATTACAAAAAACGGAAATATGCTGATGATTGTAAATGTGTCTCATATGAGTTGTTGTTCTTGTTAATTTACTCAACCAAACCATAAGTTTCATTCAATTTTATTGGTATTTCCATTACTGAAACTGTCCCCAAAACACTTATTACAGAAACAGGTATTTCCTTCCGCATTCTTACATACATGGGTTATTAAAGTACCAGTATTATAATGACAGGTTCCATATGATTTGTTTTTTATGATTCATAGATTTTTGAAGTAGTGCCACTTAAATTGAGTATTGCTATCTTAGAGAGCATTTTCCCCCATCTTGCCATGAGCAAATCTTCAGTAATATGTTGCAATTGGGTAAGAGTTTTAAGTTTCTAAATAATGAAATAAATGTCTTGATTGCTTTTTCCAGTTACCAGGCCCAACAATCAGAAAATGTCAAGGAATTCAACCTGAAGCTCATGTGCAAAAGAAGAGTGAAGGATACACCCCAAGTCCAAGTAGACAGAGACAATTGAAAGATCGATTAAATAAGGTATATTTTGTTGTTTTTTTCCAGGATTTAATTGTTATGGTTGCTTAGATTAAATTGGAATTTTGAAGCTTAGGCATGGGGCTGTAGCGCACTAGCACTCAACATTTCAGTAAAAAATGTGATTATTTATTCTAAAATGTGACTGGATATTCGAATGAATTTTTTTGAAATTGAACAATGAGATAGATATTTTCTCAAAAAAGCATGAGTGATAAATGCTCAAAAATGGGGTGTGCAACCTTTACAAAAGGGCCAGATAGAAGTAACCGGGTGAAACCGCGGGCCTCACCTTTATTTAACATAGGCCTTTTAGGCACAAAAAATTTGGTTATTGATCTTGTGACATGCGTTATTTGCACAAGCTAGGTGTTAAGGCATTGTGAAGTCATAGGCAAAGATAATAAATTGTACATAGGTATAGGCTTCGCAGGCGAAGGAATTGGAAATACTCGCACATACCAAATTTAATTAAAAACTCGTTTCACGGGCCCCACATCATTCAAAATTGGCACTTCCCATGAGCCCCCTAATTTTCCCTTGAGGGCCGCATTTGACCCGCGGGCCACAGGTTGCACACCCCTGCTTCAAAAGATATTTTTCTGACCTGATTTCTAGGCATATGAAGAACATAGATCAAGAAAAGCTGAATATGAAAGAAGAATGATAAGAGCTCAATCTGCTACATCTAGAGAATCTGTTCACAGGACATCACCTGAACCGTATGTCATTTTACTTTTAATGCTATTGCGAATCTATACTTTCATTGCATTCAGGTTTTTAATGTCCATATACAAGATTATTATTTAGTTTTCCATATTACCTTGCGTAATAGGAAACGTATATAAAGTAGAAATGTATTGATATATCGGTATTTGTATTGATATCGGTTAAAAATATAGCAATATTTCTGACATATTCAGCTCTTTGATTTGTTTCTAAATGTTTTGAAAGGCACATCCTCTTGTCACGGAACCATATCTTTTCATTTCAATTCAGAACTTCTCAATGTTTTCGAATTCCAGTTAGCACCAGATTTACTTATATTAAAGTTTATATTTATCAATGATTTAATGGAATATAGACGTCATTGGTTATGGCATCATAATGTATCTAAAAACTATCGAGCCGCACAAATACAAGATATGGCGTTGCACTAAAGTATCATTAATTTTGAATGTTCTTCTTTCGAGATGATCTTCAAGGTAGCACTCAAGGAAATTGTATTAACATTTCTGATATTTACAAAATATCAGCGTTTTTCATTCGTATCGCTGAAAAAAGTTCTATGTAATATCTGTACATCTGTAATATAAAGTGCTGGGGAGACCAGAGTTGCTGTTTTCAAACATTTAAAATAACATAAAGACAAACTGGGGACTCGGAAGTTAAATAAAAATTAGTGAAATTTGATTTACCAGACAGATTAATGTTGCATTGATTTCACCCATAACATAGGGAACGGGGACATGTACTCACTATCAAATGTACATGATACAATTTTAGACATATCACGTTTCCGCTACATTATGAAAGAATATTCAAATTCACAAGTACCTAATGTGTTAGTCAAGTGATTTCATGTATACGATACATTCACATTTTTTTCTTAATTCAGATCGGAATATGCAAACATCTTAGATCAAGACATAATCTTGAATGAAAGAACAGGATTGGATGAAAATTATTCTGTGAACGACAATATGATGTCTGTATCGAATCAACTTGATTCTATGCATATTGAGAGTGGAGTTATATTTTAACGAAGGAAAAGATTGTGCAAAATAGTTATACCATGACACTGTGAGCAAGCTATGTTATTTCAAAACGATACAAACCTTTAAGCGACACTCGTAATTGAGGTGAAGCATTTCCTCTTTCTTATTTCTAACATTATAATTTCCCAATGATGCAAATGAGCTAGTCAATCTGAGAATATTACCTAGTTAAATTTCACTGTTGTATAGTCACCACAACTTTAATGTGCTTCAATTTTCATAAATTGTTTTTTCCTTTTTTTAAATTACCATATACGTGATCTAATTAAAATTCTAATTAGGTCAATTTAGATTAATATAGACTTAAGAATGAGTTTACCGAAATATTCATCAATATTTTCATATATTTTGAATATTTAAATTTCGCAAACTACTTCCCCAATAGTAAAATATTTTTTTAAATGCCATGAATTTATATATACCTCAATGTGTGTTTATAATGATATATTTAGGTTTGAGTGCTGTTTTTCTTGTGTGTGCCTTTCAGATTCTTTCTATATTTATAACTCATGCCATATTGTCACTGATTAGTTCACTTTGAATGTTTTTTCTGCTGTGTTACCAAGCCATATGATTTTTATTATTATTACTTTTCTTGCCTTATGTCACTTACTTTATAACCTGGAACCAAAAAACGTAAAGAAAGGACCATTGGAGATTTGTAGTCCATAAAATTAGTAGTAAATTCTTCTGGCAAATTAATTAATGTACGTACTGGTAATCATTATTTGAGCTATCTATTATTGCAGTGTATACCAATGTCTATATTACTGATATAATAGCCACTCATAAAGGAGTGTTAGCCTACTTTATTCAATCAACACAAGTGCCAAAATTTACTATAGTGTTTGCTTGATAATGGATTCAGTCAATTGAAATTTTAGACTCATTCAAATGGCCCTTTTAACGGGGCATCTATGCAAAACTCGTTCTTTCCAAACTACTATGTCACACCAAATAAAAGCAGATTTCAGGAAAAAATGTTCATTCATTTTTATTATATAAAGGGCAGAGCGGTAGCACATTGAGTGAATATGCACATTAGAAATTTCACTGCTTAACTTCGATCATTCAGGACTAATGGAGAGCATCGACTTCCGTGTTCATTTATTTCCATCAGTAAAGATTTTAAAGGTGATGTAACATCAGAAATAAATCAACGAATATTCAGCACCATGGTGAAACATAACCAAATTTCTACTGTTTTTTCATATGCTGCACATTGTTAACAGATGTCTATTATCATCAAGATATCTCCTTCGCTAAATGTTCCATATTTGCCTTCACTAGTGCTTGTAATAATGCAGGTTTTCTAGCTTCTGATCTGTTTCTATCTTGCCATGTCACAAGAGTCTGGCGTGCCTGAAATATAAAAATAAGGGTTGTAAAGATTGGATCACAAGGTAGAGAGCGGAGTAAGAGGAAACAAAAATTAGCTATTTGTATGGCTAATGTAACTATAAAATAACAATGCTAAAATATAAGGGCAACATGATCTAATGGCCACCACAATGTCAGCAAAATACCAACCACTTGAAAAATTTATATTTTAAAAAAGTGGAAATATTGAATCGAATACAACAACAATATTAAGCAAAATGATCCATAGATACTCTCCATGTCCAATGATAAACGGTCAAAATTAGAAATAGCTCTATTGTATTTTTTTCATAGTGTAAGACATAAGAATGTGAATTTGGGGCAATTCTTTAGAAAAAAGATATTATGATATTGAAGTCTAGTCTAAAAAACTACCACAGTGCCCAAGTGCAATGAAGTATTTTTAATACAATTAGGAACACTGCCACTTGCCAGGCTGCAATGTTAAAATAAGAACATTTGAGATGGATTGCCTGTCACAAATATCAGACGGATAGAGATCAATCTTTCAGACTAAATCTGCACCAACAAACGCCATTTGTCATAAGATTTCACCTGCAAAATTACATCTTCAGAATCTTCTTTGATTTCAGCAATATCTTTCGGTTCTAATTTGAGATAAGGAGCAAGTTTTTCCCAATCTTTTCCAATTTTTTGAGCCACAGTCGTGACTTGGTCACTTGATAATGTATCACCAGGTGCAGTAGGTTCAAGAAGCCCTAAATTCAAGTGTGATTGAAAATTTAAGTTCATTTCACCCAAAGATACAGATAAATGATTTATTACAGATAACAAATTATTACAGATAACAGATTACAAAGAAAATGATTTATTACAGACTTATAATGATTTAACCAAAATGTATAACAAATATGATCAGTAAGTTTCTGCTAGCAACACATATTTTTATCCACTAGCTTCACTGAATTTCCAGTTGTTGCTATTTTACAATAAAGATTTAATATTTGCTTATGAATGATGGGATTTGGTTTTAATTATCGAGTTCTAATTTAATGTTGAACCTATTCTAGGTATACCATATAATCAAGCTATCTTTTCAACCTTTCTCTGCCCATTTTACATATGAAAACCCAACCTTCATCTTCAGAATCTGCATCCTCTTGTTGACTATCATCCAACAAAGCATCATCATCATTATTATCGAATTCTTCATCTTCTAAAACCTCATCGTCATCATCATCTTCCTCTTGATCTTCATCTAACTCATCTTCTTTGTCTTGTTGCATCTTGTCATCATCCTGGATGTTTTGATCTTCATCCACATCCTCTTCATCAAGACTTTTATCAACCTCACCGTTCTCTTGAATCATTTCGGGTTGATCTGGAACTTGTTGCTACAAAATGGTAGTTGTTATTACTAAAATGATGAAAATTAAGTTTTTTTTTTAAATATCCAAAATTATGGATTTTATGAGATAAAACTTCTTTATCAGAAATGTACTATTCAGTAGATTTTTGATTTATGAGAGAATTTATGGAAAATTTCATTTTGAATTTTAAGATCTGATGAACAAGCTAAAAGCAAGTTTATTTAACTTTCGATAACTGTAGAAAATAGTATGTCTATCAAAATAAAATTCAAGAAAACTCAAACTTTCTACATTCTAAAATCAACTTTAATAAATAAACAGAACAACTTGTACTGACTTGTTTATAATTTATTGTTACTCATTTTGAAATATATTCTACTTCATAAATACTCCTATAGAATGTATTCAAAATAAAAATAGTTGGGGGTTACCCTCAATTCTAAATACCCCAAAAAAATCTGCGATAACAGACTTGGGAAAAAATAACTGTATGAGAAATTCCTGACTCTAAATGCATAATTTTTTTTTACATATTTGGCCATGCATTGCATTTCAAATTAGGTTCATACTGAAGTAACACAGAACTAGCATTCCTCAGTCTTGAACTGGCATTATCTCAAATAGTTATTCCTTGTTTTGCAAAGCAAGACTACAAATATTTGGCCTGTGGAGTGACATGATTTCACATCAAAGCGCTAGAATTTAAGTAATGTAATATTTGAACTACGTACTGGAAACTCTTCAGATAATTTCTTCATAATTCCTTTTAAATATTGAGGCACAACTTTAAACTGCATTGTTGCAGGTTGACTTGCAAAAAATAACGGACTTCTTTGTGAAAGAAGTCTCAATGCCCTCCATTGAAAATTTGGATCATTATAAGGCCTGTGAAAAAAGGTAAAGTAAGATAAAAATAATGGCTATATTTATGCTCCAACTTTTAATATTTTAACTGATCTGATTTGTTTTTCAACCTTCATTCTGTATACAACCACTGACTAAAGGAAGAGCCACTACATTTGGAGGAAATGGAAATTTTCTGTGCCTTACCCAATTGATTCCACCCTGGGTGGTGGGCACAGGGTTTGAATCAGAGAACTATATATTATTAATTTGAGTAATCTTCTGGTCTGAAACTTTACCAGTAAACAGTAATTTTATATTGAACTTCGCAATATACATTTTCGAATTTAATTTGAACAAAATTGAGATAATTGATTAAAATTTTTTTTTATAGATGGTGCCTTGCAGTGCAGTGCAACACCTAGAACATGCCTTCAATCATACAAATAGTTGTAAGGCAAAATATATTTAAAAGTGTATCGAACATTGTACTATTAATGCTTCCATCTGGTGTGTATTGCACATATGGCAAATATTAAAATCCTTTGAATTAATAGAAGCAAGAATAAAAAGTTTAAATTGTTGGATAAGTCGAAGGATGAATAAGATGAAAGATTTAAATTTTCAATGTAATTTGTACTGAAGACCTATATCGGTACTTCAGCCTTCTAATGTTAATTATTACATCCAGTTAATTAAATGGTAATGCTTTGAAATAAGTTTACTTTATATGGATGATAACGCTCAAAACAGTATACTTTACTGACATGTATTCTTCTTCCACCATGTTTTTAGGATCCATGAGTTCAATACCATTTGCAAAGAAACCTTCCAATGTCGGCAAAAAACTTCTTTTCTCCGATTTACAAGCAGTCAAATTGTCAGGACATAATTCCCACAAACGAGTTAATTCAGCACTAAAAAGAAAAGCTTTACTATAATATGCAAGTAGAATTGATTGTAGTCATCTGGTCATCTTGATTGAGTCTCATTGAACTCCCCAGAAGATTTTACACTCAGAGTCCCAAGTCAAATAAAGTGATTGCCCTCTCGGATCGCAATAGATTTCATAAACAGTAGTGAAATAAATAAATATGGGTCATTGGCCTTTGAAACTTCCAAAGACTCTTTTAAAATTAACTTTGTTAATTGTTTTTGTCGGATAATTGTGTCTGGTAACCTATGTCTCCCAACATCGTGCACCTTCAGTGGTTTCTTATAGACTGGTTTTAGACAACTTACATTACTTGTTCAAAAGGGCCACATTAGTAGAACACTCAGCTTTTAGAGCTTTGGCGTGAAATTTTTGTTGTGAATTCATTTTTTACACTAATATAATTTGATATATTATACCAGCCACTATGCCTTTAATAATATCTGGCAGTTAATCAAAACAAAAAACTGATTACCTTCCCATTCCAAGTGGTTTACCAGCAATAAAATCCTCAGCAATTGTGCTTCGCTTCGGTTTCTGTGTTGTATTAGAATCTCCAGTCTTCCTCCTTTTCGCAGGAGGAGATTGAGACTGTTTGATTTCAGTTTCTTTTGTTTCTTTTTTATTTTTGATAAAAGACGTGCAACCTTCATTCTTCCATTGAATCCAAAATTCTTCTCTTGATAGTAAATGCTGCAAGATTTTTTTTTTATTCGATTTTTACTATTTACACAGTATTTAAGCCTTAAACAGCAACCATGCAGGGACGCGGTCAGGTCGACGATTAGAAGATGTTTTAAATAGGATATGCAAAATATTCACCAAACGACATCTGGCAGAGGAAGGAATTTCGATGTGAATGGCGCACAATTTTTGATTCTTTAAATGCCTTACAGAGTCGTGAACTGACCTTTTTGCACGCTGTTTTAATTTCACCGTAACCCTTCCCGCCATCCATTAAAAAAATCCTGGCTGAGACCCTACATACATACATGGAGTTTCAATGTGCACAAATAACACAATACAAACCGAACCTGTTAATCATTTCGTTATTTTGGTTTGGATAATTTGTTGTCGTTATATTGGTTCTTGTTGGATTTATTATTGTTGTTGTTGTGAGAAAAACATATTTCTCTACAACTAACGAATTATATCATTTATTTGAAATTTTCTGTACCATCTTTGAAGAATGAAAAAGTCCCTAGAAAGCTGCTACTTAAGTATTTTTGATTCGAGTCTTACAGGCCATTGTTTGCCGTTTCTGTTGCAATGGCAACTATTATGTGGAATCTCTACGATTTTTATAATTTGGTTGTAATTTAGTTGCCATTGCCACAATAGTCATTTTAACTCCTTGACCATATATTAGAGCATTGCTCTTTTGTTTTATATATTGAATGCCTCAAAATAAAGCCACAAACAGCATATCATATTATATCATTACTATGGACGGGTATTTCAAATCGAATCGTAAATTAGGTTTTTTTATTTATTTTTTTTCTATTCGCTTAAGGTCGAGGTAAATTCCCAATTTTTATTTTAATGAAGCAACATTTTCAATAGGCAATTCTGGCATATGACTCTCTCCTTACTAGTGAGTTATTGATAAAACATGTTCATTATTGTGTGTGAACACTAAGCGAACTGTCTTGAATGATAGATTCTATGTTTTCAGTAATTCATGTGTTGACATTACAATAAAAAGTCACGTATAATTACATGTCTCCTAAGTATTGGGGATTCGATTCAAAAAAAATATTCGGTTCAATCCTGAAATCACCAGGTAATCTAAAATGCCAATTATTACCTTTATATATGAAGCAAAGTGTTTCCCATCTGGTGGAGTTTCTTCCAATAGTGAATAAATTTTTTCTTTTGTTTTCTTGATCCATTCATTCTGTTTTTCATTCAATACTGCATTAGCACTGTAATAATCATATCTCACTTTAAAAAAAACTCAGAAAACGTAACAAAAATCTGACAGTAAATGAAATCACAACAAACCTTTTAAACTTGACTGTTCCAGTTAGATATTGAAATAAAATAAGAAATTGGCAAAGTAGTTGTCGACGAAACATTCCATCGTTTAATTGGAGATTTGTGAGCTTTTCAGAAGTGAGGAATTTAGCAAAATATGCCCTGCGAAAAATAAAATCATAAAAATCTTCTATAAATTCTCATCAATTCCTATATCACCAATATTACGGTATCTTGAACAATTTAGAAAAAGTTTTATTGTAAAAGATGCATTAATTTCTCATTTCTAGATCGAAAGACATGCGTTCACTAGAATAAACAAAATGATATTGTCTAAATATAAATGTATAAAGTACATCTATTTTGGTGCTGTATATTACCGCCACCTAACCAATGGGTGTAACAAATTGGTTTGGCATAGATGGGACCGGAAATCCTGGTATTTTTGAAAATGGTCCCTGTATTGATGACGGCTTGCACAGAGCCTTGTTCAGAGTGAAATTGACTTTTGCGGAAAATAGACAATGACAATAATTATGAAGAAATTCTGTTATTATAGTCTTCATTCCTGAAGTATAATACTATATTTCACCACGATCAACTCTGATGAAAAGAACCCCACAAAGTAAACTAATACGTTTTCAAAATTGCTGAAAATGGCAAATGTTAAAGCAAATTTTGAAGGGACCTCCTGAAGTATGCGCACCAAGATGGCGCACAACCTTAACCCAGGTTGTGTACCAGGTTAGGGTTCAGGATGTGCGACATTTTGGTACGCATACTTCGGGAGCACCTTTTAAAGAACTTCATAATACAGGGTGATCAGTTGAGAACAACTGCTCTAAGGCATAGATTGAGGACTTGTTGGGACAAAATTTCAGAAGAAACCATACGTGCCTCAGGCAGTCAAGTTCCAAACCGAACGAGGCGTGTAGTGAAGGCAAAGGGAGGATAGATCAAAAAAAAAATGAATTCTATTATTTATCTTTATACTGCTATTTTCTGCAAAATAATTTTTTCTCTCATACATTCATATTGTAGATATTTTAATAAACATTTGTCTACAATTGGTCTGATCACTCTGTGTGTATATATATATTCAATGCAAAGTAATCAAATATAGTTTCTCTGCTCACTTGTCCATCTGACGTTCTGTAAAATTGTGCTTATCCAACTTGAAACTGTTGAAAACACGAAACACTGATTCCGCATTCTGTAAATAAATAAACATCACTAGTAGTACAAATAAATGAAAATTTGAAAATAGTAATTGGTGCAGAAATTTGCATTAAGACATTCGCAAAGTCATATTTAATATTCAAATTTCGATTTAACAAAAAAATAAACGCCAAAAGTTTCCTACTACTACACCTTTATAAATTTATCCCACGAATCTTGTATATAGCATTGTGTAGGACTTCGAAAGAAATCTTGCAAACTCCAAATACTTGAGTATAGTTCATAATCCACAATCCTAAACAGAAAATATGGTGTTAATAAGGGAATATTGAAGGAAAATACAGAATAAAAAGGCGTATCTATTTACAAATGATAAATTTACTAGAAGCATGGAGCCAAGTTATCAACTGAAAGTTGGATAGTGAAAGCAAACATTAGCGAAAAAGACCCAAATGTATATATGGACTAATTCGTATAACAAAGATCTCAATGGATAGTGGATGTCGCAAAATTCGAACCGATTAAAATCATCATTGTCAAAGGCCGAGTGGTCATTGTCGCAATTGATAAAAATGAGCATCATCTGTACATTCTGACAATAATTTAACTGTTTAAAGTTTGCAAAACAATGTTACTTTTCAACAATTTAGTTGCTTACAATCCTTTATCATGTTTGACTTGTTCTTGCTTGATATCATCAGAAACAGACGGAGCAACAGAGGATTCTGGCTGATCAACTTCCATTCCTTCTAAATTCCCATCCAACCATATTTCATCTTTCTGTGGCTGAAAAATATCAGAATGAGGATCAAGATCACACTAGATAAGATGTATACTGTACAGGAATTCAAAAACTGATTTCGTCATAAAAATATTTACAATTCTAGGATACTTTTTCAAAAAACATGTTAGCTAGCCCAGAGAAGAAACTAATGCAGCATCGACTGGCCGGGTTCCACAGTATCTCGGGGTTCCTATGAAACATCTAATTGGGGTTCCATTCCACCGAAAAGGTTGAAAACCACTATTCTAACACCATTAAAGATGACCATCGGAGGGATTATGTGGCACAACATTCTCCGTCAGGCCATCCATGTCCATGCATCTAGAACAGACATTCACAAACTTTGTGCTGAGAATTTCGAACGTGTCGACCCCCATATGGTACTTGTTAAAACTAATATTGGAAAAGAGATAACCACATTTAGCTATGTCAGACATTCAGGTGTGATATGCTCATTTAGGTGCATGAAAACGATCTCATATATCCTATATATATTGATTAAATGACATACCATAAAAATTTTCCCATGTCATATTTTGATGTTTTTTTGCAATGTACTGATTTGTATTACAGTAATAGTAAGTGAACTAGTATTGGCATCAAAAAGTTTAGATTTCGGGAAAATCAGCTGATGTTGAACTGACAAGCATTACCCAAGGTAAAATACCCTGTTCAGACTAAACAACTCTGATTCTCTGTTATAATGTCAGGTAATAATAGCACAATAATGTAGATACTAGATAGATCACCTTCACATCAACCACGACAGGTTTTTCATCAGATACTTCATCACTGCTTTCCTCTGACTTTATCTTTAGAATTGATTCGGCTGCATTTGCATTATATATTGTCACATTGTCACTGTTGAATTGACTAAACTGATAAAAAAAATTTGAATGAAAATTACTTGTGCAAAACAATATATGGTTGATAAAAAAGATAAATATATGATGGTACTACCGTAGTGTGAGTACCAGACCACCAGGTCAGGGTTTGGCCATAATTTTATTCAGATTTTCCCTATTTTAGTTCTATTACGAGTTCGGGTACTGTCTGTGTTAGCCAAGCGAATATACCCCCTGCCCATAGGCTTCTGTCCCTTTAAACAACTTGATGTATAGTAGGCGAAAATTAGTTACCTCCACATTGGTACACATACTTCTGGAGCGCCAAATATATTCATAATGAAAACTTGAAATATTTAGATGCATCAAGGAAAAATATATAAATATGGATAAATTTGAGTCAGTGTAAACTGATTAGCATATCACAAAAAAAATGACCTAGCTGTTAAACCCTAGCATGTTATATACCATGTAATAAATAGGTATATTATTCGGTACTCCCGTAGTGTGTGTACCAGGTTAGGATTAGGTCATAATTTTATTCAGATTATCCTTATTTTAGTTCTATTACGAGTTCGGTACTGTCCGTATTAGCCAAGTGAATATACCCCCTGCCCAAAGGTTTCAGTCCCTTACACAACTTGATGTAAAGCCTCCATATTGATACACACACTTCTGGAGCGCCTATTATTCCGATAGCTGTCTGCAATTATAGTTTCAATATAATATATTTAGTTATTGCTGAACAGTAACCCATTCATAGATTAGTATCCCCTGTGTGCCTGGAAAAAGCAACTCACCAAATTTAAAGCAGACTTTTCTGACAGTGGAAATAATCTAGCAAGAAACAATTGAATTCTACCACAGAACACGGTGTTCTGAGCTTGAGATAATCTGCGAAGTAAATCGTTGCACATTCTTAGAAGAAAATTTTTTCCTGAAAATAAAACTCAGGATAAATATTCAATTTCATATTGAATGGGGGAAAGGTCAACAATAGTACAAGACAAATAATACGTTTGTTTACTACCGAAACCTACTAGTTACAAAATTTAATTCATATGTGCAAACTGAATTTTCAATGGAAGAGATGGTAAAAATGAATTGTTATAAAAATTCTGAATGAATTATTTCAAACACTAAACATATTCTGAACTTTACCATAGATAACTGTGCATGGATTTATTGTTTCAAAAAGGCACTGACTGAAAAAGATAGTGACATCATATTTATGAAACAATAAATTAGAATTTATTGGTGCTGAAAAAAGTTGCTGTTGTATCATTTTAGTAGTAGCAAATCACTTGAAATATACACGAATCAATAAGAAAACAATCGGCTATTATTCAATATTGACCTGCAGTATAAAACTGTGAAGATTTCCACGTTGCTACTCTCTCTTCAATGAAGCAAAACACTGGGTCACATGTGTCAAGAGTAAGGCAATCTAACAAATCTCCTAGAAGGCTGAATGGTAAACTTGCCGAACACATACCTAAAACAGAATCAATTTTATAATAGGTTTGTTTAAAAAAAACTTAAATGCAGTCTTCTTAATAAGTTGTAGAAAAACTGATTTCGGATTGTAATTTGGATTGCTAATTCCTCAAAAAAAGAGAAATGAAAATAACTTAACTGACATTATTGAATATTGAATGAAACTTTCAAACCACCGAAAGTCAGTGCCACACGCCAGACTAACTTGAATTCAAATAGTGTTGTAGTAAAAAATTGTAATGAATGAGGTGGCCTAATGGTTAAAGTGTTAGACTTAACTATGATGGCATAGCAGGTTAAATCTCAAATCAAATCCTATGCAGACCAACTCGCCCAAAGTAATGAATTGGGTAAAAAATAGCAAACAGGAAAGATTCCGATCCTTCCAAACTATAGTACAGTAGAGCACAGTTTTACGATTCCAAGATGTCCTGACATTAAACACTCTATTCGTCGCTGAAACGTGGGCGACTGGCATGACAGCAGATGCGTTAGATCGCGCCAAGCTTGTCTTGGTAATAATTTTAACCAATTACGACACGTTTGTCACATGACCAAAATTGTGTTTTTTTGCTAAAAACTCTTGAATGGTACAGTAAATTTTTTTCCGTTTGTAAATTAGATTATTTTTTTCAGAGGAATCCAATTATGATGTTTTTAGATACGCTTCCTTCCAGTTTATTGCTGAACGCCAGTTTACTGTTTTGAGTCGATATGGAGGCCCAGACTGCCTCGTGAAGGCGGGGCACTCACTGTTATACCCGATGTCTCTAAATGTGGGCGATATTTATGGAATCGGAAAACTGTGCCTTCCTGTAGTATCACCTTACCAAGCAGGGGTTCCTTGAGCAGAGTATTGTACAAAGCAGAAGATGTATTGAAACATCATATAAAAAATTTGTGTTATACAGAATAGAACCTTGTTTAGCAGCAACAACAGTGAGTGAAATAACTTTCAACGCATCATTTGCCATTTCTTTATCCCCATGAATTTCTTTTATTGTCTCCTGAATGAGATTGGATACTGTAATACGAAATGCTTGATCTGCTGCCAATCGTTTATCTGCTTCAGTGCCAGAGATAGTTTGAAAAACACTTGTTATTGAAACAATAGAATCAATCTTTCCACTTGATAAATCTTCGAAAATTTCATTCTGCATAAACAAACATAAAGCGTTCACAGCCGTTCAGTAACAGTTTCATATCAGCATAATATTGAGAAATTGAATAGAAAAATATTAACAAAACTGAAACATTCAAAACATCTTTATGCTGCAATTTCCAATGAGTTTACTTAAAAATGAGTAGTTTCAAAATTACAGAATTAATAAGGTATAAGACGTCTCAAAAAAAGAACTTCGCAAATAATAAGTAACACTATAATGGTCACATTCCAGAATTTTTCAAAATTCGATCAGGTTAGTTTTATGTGGTGAGTTGATAGGCCATACCTGTTGTTGAGAGCAATGGTACTGCATAATTTTATAATAAGGAAATTTCTCCAATTCCAAGATGTCCTGACATTTGGTTCAATAAAACAAACACTCAATTTGAACACTCTGAAACGAGAGCATCTATCATGATGGAAGACGCGTCAGATCGCGCCATGCTTGCCTCAATCATAATCTTACAGGTAGGCTACTTAATCCTGACACGCGTCGGCGGGCACACACCAAAAGTGCTATTTTTTGCTAAAAACCCTGGAATGTTTGATGAATGTTATTTGTCTTCGGCAAATCAGATTATTTTTTAGTGCCGGTTTATAGATTTTTGTCGTTATAAAACTGCTTCAGCATTCATTTTCACATCACATTTTTGTTTGGCATTATTAAAACTACACGAGACCCCAATTCTGCAATTTGTTCATAAATGACCGCATGATCATAGTCAACAAGCTGACAATAAGACTGACTTACCTTGAAAGAGGACAATGCATCCTGGAATACAAAATCAGAGGCCATTGCAAAAAAAAAGCTTCCTAAGTCTGTAGGCCAAAATGAGTCGGAATTATATAGGTGAGAAGATCTCTACAAAATTATAAAACAGCCCAACACCACCGTGGAGCTAGCAGCGAAACACGAAGAAAATTTCTCGAATTTTGACCCCGGATATTTTTCTGACTTTTGACCCCAAAAAGAAAGTTTTTTTTTTCAACTTTCGTTGAATAATTTTTTTAATATCCACTTATTTTTGTACCTCTTCACAATATTATTTGCATTGATGTTATTCTTCGTTTAAATATATTTGGTAGTTAACCACCGTGTTTCCCCGAAAATAAGACAGTGTCTTATTTCAATTTTCTTTTTTTTTTCTTTTCGGGGGATGTCTTTTATTTTCATTCATCAAAAACAGAATTACAAAGTAGAGAATCACGAGATTTTTAAATATAAAAAATATACAAACCGATATCAATTTACTTAAATAACACGTTTTCCTCTCCCATACGTTTTAGACTGATCATTCAAAACGTGTTGGAGAGATTTCTTGATATCTAGGTCAAAAAAAATTTGCGTTATCTACAAGGACTCAGTGGTTCTCAACCGGGGGCCGGTGGCCCCCCAAAGGGGCCACGGAGCAGCTCAAGGGGGGCCACGACGCGAGTTTAATAATTGATTAAAAAGCGACTTCGTTTGCATACTTTCCCTTTAAAAGTAAATTCCCGTTTGCCTCAGTTTCATTATCTGAATAGGTAATTTCAGGTCACAGGGTGTATTCACTTTCTTGTGCGTGAATTGTTTGATCATAATGGAATTAGAAATCTATCAATCAAAATAGTTCGCTGGTAAGCAGTCTAACCTGCAGACTGGTTCCACTATGGACCTTTCCCCGATCTTTGACCCCCGAAAAATTCTTCCTGTACTTTACCATTGCAAAATTTTCGGGGCTTATTTTAAGAGTGGTTTCGCGAGTTGGCGCCTGTAAAATCGGTATAGGTTTCAAACCATCATTATGATTCATCGCATACAACAATCTGTTTTTTAAAAGTACCGGTAAAGAATTTTAGCCCAGTCTATCACAGCTATTTCTACACGCATTTTTAATTACTGCAATTAAATTAAACTTCCCAAGAAGACAGAGTGGTCATTGAATTATCTGATTTATAATTAAATTTCCAAAACACAACTTAACACTAACGAATAGAGTTCAAAAACGCGAAAACGAGGTAATGTTTACGACCACGCCTGGAAATCTGTTTGAGTGAGAAAAGTGTCTAAGCGGATGCGAAAAGGGAGCATTGTTACGTCACTTTTTGCATTTCGCTGATTGACCAATGTCACGAAGTAAACAAGGAAGTCGATGCTCGGGGAAAGGTCCGTGGTGAGAGATAACTGTCGGTATCGTATTTTAGACTCAGAATCCTATATTTCTAATGCCCAAAATACGAAAATGGAACGACAGTTACGTTGGCTTTACCAAAGTAAATATCACAAAATGTGCGCAAGTCCTGCATTTCTCGTATGTAATGAGCAATAAATCATTACGTCCATCTAAACTCCAAAACCACCGTGACAAAAATTATCCCAAGATAAAAGCTGTTTATATAAATGATATCGGTGCTTGGCTGCCAAGTGAATTAGATTCGACAAGGAAGCAACATTGACTATGCCAAGCACCACTATTGCATGTAAAAAGTATTTCAAACATATTTGCACTGATCTTGCTACCATGAAAACAAAATCTAGAAACCGTCTTGATGTTGACAGTGACATTCGTCTGGCTATATCACAGACGGTGCCTAATATAAGGAACTTAGTCAGACAGTCCCAAGCACAAGATTCCCATTGATTGTTTACTGAAAAGCTTTGACTTTCTTGACTGTGGTTTGTTTTTGCATTTCATAAAAGGTCGTAAATACATAATACGATCCAACGCGTCTAGTTTTTTAAAATGGGGAACAGGGGGGCCACGAGTGCGAAAAGCCACGGAAGGGGGTCACGAGCCATAAAAGGTTGAGAACCACTGTACTAGGTCTTATTTTAAGGGGAGGGCTTATATTAAAATCATTCTTAAAATTCCGGCTAGGTCTCATTTTCAGGGTAGGTCTTATTTTCGGGGAAACACGGTAGTCGACGGTTATTTTTTATTTCGTTCTCAAAAATCATACGGCTGGGATGGGTGGTAGCTGCCTTTGATGACCTCCCAGTCGATACCTGAATAAATGCTGTGTAATTTATCATTTCAATATTTATTTGTATTGTCGTTGACAAAAATGTTGAATTCGCTTCCTCTCTCTCAGATAAATTCTTTTCATACATACCATGAGCATTTTATAATTGGAATAATCTCTTATTGGACACGTCAGTGTACATAACGATCGTTTCAATATTATGTTGTTGTTTTTGGTATTTTCTCCTTCGTCATGATAAAATCGCTTTTCTCTTCGAATACTGGACCAATTGCTTTGGAATTTTCATTTTTTTGAGATGGATTTTTTTGCCATAAGGTTATTACTTTTTTTTAGTCCTAAATTTTCTATGAATCCTATGGGATCTAATATTTCATTCAAATATTCGCTGTATCACTTTTTAATCATGGGAACACGGATTTTAATCCGCCAAGCGTGACGACCGATTCCGAAAATTCTCGCTACTCGAAACTCGGAAGTTTTTTGAGGTTACCGGTACCAGCAATAATAAGGATAAGCAGTGGCGCGCGTCAATAGGGCCAACCGGGGCAATGCCCGGTTGTTTTTTCGGTATAATAAAAAATATTCGAAAAATACCTCAATATCGGTTGCACAGACTGTCTACACTAGCCATATTCTCCCGACATGGTTCATTTTTCGCTCGCAAAGCCTTCGCCGAACGTCGACGGGGCGACGCCGATTTTGCCCCGGTTGCTCATTGTATATCGTATTCTCTCTTTTATCTTCCACTCGCCGCGTTTGTCTCGTTTGTTTTCTGTTTCTTTTACTAAATCATCGGGGCTAGCCCCAAAATTATGACGACACAATGCCGACGTTTCTTACAACAACGTGTTGACATATTCACGCATTCCTTCTCGTTCGTTGGTTGCTTGAAGAGTTGATAGTTTCCTCGCCTTCGTTTTTGTCGCTTGTTTCGCTGTTTGAATCAGTTAGAGACCTTTAGTCCATTTGCTTTCGATTTTCCACATTCCTTTTGAGCTCCTCAATTCTTTCCGGCTTCGCATTTCTTAGCCTTAGACCTCATAATGAATAAGGTTGATGCACTACTTCGCACTCCGTTTTCGCAGCTGCCGCTGGAACGAAAATTAGAGGTACAACGTCTTGGGCCTTATCAACCAAAAAATTGTTCACTGGAACAATCACATGACGGAGGAAAGCGTCGGCGTACATTCTGCGCAGAAACTTGGTATAAAAAACACGAATGGTTGTGTTACAGCGAGGACAAAAATGCACTTTTTTGTTTTTATTGCCTACTTTTTGCTACCGCCCGTGACTCACGTTGGTGTAAATTTGGTTTTAGAGATCTTAAACATCTTTCCGAGCGTGCCAGAGATCATCAATCTTCTATGGAGCATCTGGACAATGCAGTAAAATACCGAACATTCGGAAATGTTAATATTGCAGCACAGTTGGATGAAGTACGCGCGGTTTCTATTCGTCGGCACAACCTAAACGTCGAGAAAAACCGCCATGTTCTCGGTCGATTGATAGATGTTTCGAAGTTCATTGGTTGTCACGAGCTGTCCCTCCGTGGGCACGATGAACGGGCTGGCTCTTCTAATAGAGGGGTATTTTTGGATATGGTGGAATACACCGCATCCCTAGATACAGTATTGAGAGATCATCTTGATGCCGCAACTGTTTCGAAAGGGACATCTAAGGATATCCTAAATGATTTGCTCGACTCAATGTATAAAATTTATTTACAACATTTGGCTCTGGAAATTGAGAATTGCCAGTTCCTTTCGATTCAGTATGACGAGACAACTGACATCACGTGCGTTTCCCAACTGGCTGTGATTTTTCGGTTTGTGAATTATGGTAAACCTACCGAGAGATTTCACAGCTTTGTACCAATAGTTGATCGCACGGCTTGCGGGATATCGGCTGTACTGAAAAAAGTGTTACAGCCTTACAACGCGAAGTCAAAATTGATAGCTCAAACTTATGACGGCGCGGCAGTCATGAGTGGGTCGAAACATGGTGTTCAAGTTTATATAAAAGAAGATTTTCCTCATGCGCATTTTTTACATTGTTATGCACACCAATTTAACCTCGTTATTAAAAATATGTGTCTTGATACCCCTCTCGTCCGTATATTTTTTCCAAATGTTTCGGGGTTTTCTTCATTTTTTTCCGTTTCGCCGAAGCGCTCTGACCGCCTTCGCCAGATATGTAGCCGCCGTCTCCCAGCTTGTGCACCAACACGTTGGAACTTCCAATCACGCGTGGTGCAGGGCGTGTCCGAAATTAGGTCTGAGCTCATTGAGTGTTTCAATGGCATTCAGAGCTCTCCGGTTTGGGACGAACGCTCTGTGAGGGAGGCGGCAGGTCTAAAGCGTCTGCTAGAAGATGGTGAGTTTTCATTTTTCTCGCTTTTTTCTCCACAATATTCTATCACGTGGATGTATGATACGGCGCATTGCAGTCAAGGCTAATGGATGGAGCGTCTGTGCAGTCGTGTATTTCAGACTTCTGCGATGCTGTATCCGGGAAACAATAAAATACGACGACACATGGAGTGCTTCTTTACGCCGCGGGCAAACAACGCAGCGTTTGATTTTGTCTGCAAAGGAATGCTGTGACATTCTGGTGAATCAAGTAAGCGATCGTCTGCGCACTGAACACCTTGCTGCGTTCTCTTTGATGAACCCCAAAAATTTTTCAAAATTTGCACGTCAATTTCCCATCCATTTGTTGGCTACTGTCTCCAAATTTCACCCCGTGATAAACGTGGGTAAATTGGAAAATGAATTGCGATGTTTATACACCAATCAAACTTTTTTGAACATCACATCAACTTGCGCGCTCTATGGGTTCCTCATAGATAACACTCTAGTAACTACCTTTGCGGCGTCTGCAAAATTTCTGGACATCATTTTGACGACGCCTATTTCTTCCGCCGACGCAGAGCGAACATTCAGCACGCTGAAGCGTATTAAAACGTATCTCAGAAACACAATGAAGCAAGATAGATTAAATTCCTTGGCTGTTTTATCCATTCACAGAGACGTTATTTCTGGGATGCATGACTTTAATCAGCGCGTTATTGAGCATTTTGCTTCCAAGAAACCGCGGCGTGTTGCATATATGTTCAAGCAGTAGAAGTCTAGCAGCATATATATCTGTGAGTGAGCGACGCATGTCCTTATCTTTGCATTAACTTTCCTTTCTTCATAGTAACGTTTTAAACCTTATTTTAGGTTTTGTCTGCTTCCCCGAAGTTTCTGTTAATATGTCATTGTATTTATCTGGGTAAATATTGCCTTTCCTTTTGAAAGAGGTTTCAAAATAAACTATGTCTATATTTATTAATCCCTTGACTTGGACCGGTTTTAAAGACACTTTCTTATCGTTAAAAATTGTCGCTTTTGCCGATTGGTTGTTACCGATGGAATGGTTATTATACTCATAAAATGATGGGAGAACTCATAGCGCTCATCCTGTCCCCGTAGATGGGGGTGACTTGGTCCCGCAGTAGCTTGCCCCAGTTGTCAAAATGACCACGCGCCGCCACTGAGGATAAGGTAAGGTAAACTACTGCAGTACTGCTTCGCTTGGTGTCAAAATAGGCGTAGACTGGGGTATCTGCTGTGACGTGTCCATATATTTGAGCATAGCTGTTGTACTTATAAGACTGGTTTTGCAAGTTGGCACCTACTAACTAGTTTACATGTTTCAACGCATCATTTTGATTCGAAATATTCAATCAATTTGAAAGTACCAACTAATACTAATATCAAGTCCATGCTTCCGAAAACAAATAACTGGCTAACTAATCCCATACCCGACCTGAACTGGTAACCGGACGAGAGGCCGTAGTTCGCCATATGATTAAGCCATTTTATCGGCTTTCCTCTCTCCCGGGATAAATATGTAAATCCTATCCTATCCTACTTGAATTTTGTGAACAACCCTAAATACTAACAAATAACACCCCAAAACTTCGATAAATGTCTGCCTTTCTAGTAGCCGAATTCCTTTGCCATTTGTAATATATTCATCTGAGTAGCATTTCTACATTCCGATTTTTCAAGCGTTTATTAAAACTATTGACGTCTAAATTAACCTCTGTTGGCGGTATGACGCGTCGTACTAAGCGTTAGGAATACGCTTGGCACCGCTCCTCTGATCAGGGTACCCTTCGTGGGTTCGCAAGTTCGAATCCCGTGGCAGATAAATATGTGCGATAGGGTTTACTGGACTCGTCGCCGCCTCACATCATTGTGTGCAGTGGGATTTTAGATTAGTAATGTTGTCGTAAGTCGTCTCAACCGCTAGTTACTTACGGTTGAACACAATAAAATTAAAATAGAAAAACATTTTAAATTTTCGTAGTTCTCATGGATAGAATATTACGCGACAGAAAAAGTCATTATATATTATATGACTATTTTAACGATCGCGCAATCGCGGCGAACATTTCAGAAGCCGTTGCATGGAAATTCACAATTCCGATTTTAAAATCCCCCTTTTGAAAATCCTGGCTGCGCCCCTGCCCGTACCCGATAGCTGATACGGTGTAATTTGGCAATTAGAAATTTGAGAACCCCCCTTTGAAAATTTGTTTTCTATGTCCCCGTCCCTGATTTACATGTTCTTCGTATTTACGGAAAATGTTTACTATCGAGCAACATTATTAAATATAACTTTGGTATCAGCGTGTCATCAGTAATATCCGACTCGGTTTTGGCATAACTATTTGTTTAGAGCTGTCGTCTGATATCCTATATTTTCGAAACTATAAATAAATTCATTTATTTCTTAAACTGTTTAAATCGGAGGAGGTAATGTCAAAGTTGAGTCAAATATCACTCGTGAACAAATAGAAAATTATTGCTTAATTCCAACACGGAACACCGCTCGTAAAATTTTTTATCAGACGAATCGGCTGCCTCTTTGAATTAAATTTGTTTCTATATATACTATTTTGTGAGTGTTCGCAATCATCCATATGAGATGTTTTCACTGTGTCTTTTCAATATCAAAAAGAGCAACAAGAATTTCCACAGTTAGGAAGTGAATTTTGTGCATACTGGTATACTTCCAAATTTTGAAATGCTGAAATTGTATTTTGCCGCGTTGTAACATTGGGAAATTCCGAGCAAGTTTTTTACAATGGGCAGTTTTATGCGAATTCAGCTTTTGATGACCACAGAAACCCAGATAAGAAAAATGTCGTTGGAAATTTCAGAACGGAAATTCTAGCGAAGACAAATTTGCTGTTATGAAATGATGGCTTCAGAATAAACTGTTTCTTTTACTGTATAGTTGATTCAGGTAAGTAAGACGACCAGAATGCAGGATCCTCGGGCCGATTTGGATATGGTGAATCGTGATCCTAAAAATATCAATGAAAGCATCAAGGTTTGAATAACTGAAATAATTTTATATGTACAAAAGATATTTTTTGCTAATAATCGGCTAAACTCGATATTGTTCATTGCGAACCGCCTGAAGTATTCTTTTCAATATATTCCTCAGCGGCTGGAACCTAAAATTTCGTAAACGATAAAAAGTCGAAGCATGAATAACATGTTCAATTGTGACGAGCCGAGCCGGGAATCATCTTACATAATGTATAACTTTTGCAAAAACTCGTAGTTGTCAATTGATTGTATAAAAAGTCATATAGATATTTAGGGGGGAGTTACCTGCACACTGTGCTATCGCGACCCTCCGTGATTGGATAGCTGTCCAGGCTGAACATAGAGCCCACTCAAATCCGAGACAACCATACGCGAGATCTCGCGTGAAAAAAAAAATTTCTGAAGCACAAGCACTCATACAAACTTATTTAATTAGCTTTTTATACATTAACTCTTGGATTATTACTATTGTAAGAATATATTAACCTGATTTCAAAAATCTAATTCGACATCAGGTATTAGTTGGCATTTCAAAATAACTTGGTATTCAAATAACTAGGACTAGGTGGTAAGGGAATGAACTTCATTTTAACTATCAGAAAGCGTAGCTTAAGCACTATTCACTGTAAAGTTAATCGGATGAAGATTTGGCAATATTAACCACTTATTCTACTTATAGGTATTATTCGAGGATGTCATTGCCGAGCCGGAGGGTAGTCATAGCATCGATGCAGTATGGATGTGCAGCAATAGTACATTCTGGGGCTTAAAAAACGGCTGCTATATTTTCCTCTCAGTACTTTGCGGAGGACCGTGTGCTTGTGTATGGGGGCTAGTGTTTGCTTGTCAGAGTTTCTACAGCATTTGGTAAGGCCTATTACAAGTAAATTTTGTTCAAAAAAATGCAATGTACAATATCAACGCTAACAGTAAGCGTTATATGCCCACTGACAATTTTGAATGCCTATCCAAGATCGGTTGTGCGTAAAAACTGATAATTCATGCTACAAATCCAGAAACAATCCATACTTACTCGATAGCGATATAACAAAGGCACAATTTGAGACCTTTCAGATATATATATAAATTTCTAATAAATATTGCTATAATTAAGGTGCGTCCGTCCTTGCTGCAAGATGTACGAAATCTATGTTGATTGTTGCATGAACTTGTGGAGAATAACAGTCAGTTGCTGTTTTTATCCCATCTGCGATGCATTTTCGAGAATCTTCTCTAATATTAAATTCCAGCATCGTTACGAAGTGGTATAGCGACAATTTTTCAGAAATATGACCATGCGGTAGTGAAACCATTTGGACAGCGAAATAAACATAACATTATTCAAGAAGAAATTATCACATTTGCTGAATGAAGCTGCTATTTGCTTTATATAATTCATACATACGGCTAATTGTATTATCTTATATATATTTTATGTTCAATCCTTCGATTGTTATACGTACGATAAGAGAATATCACAAATATAACGTGCAGAAACATCTGGGACGTTCAAATATTGTGTTATATATTGTTTTTAATATGATTGCTTTTTCACTTTTTAATAGGCTAAAATTATGTTTTTTTGTTGACAAATATCAGAAGATGCATTTTCATTTTACTGTCACTCTTTTATCGTTGCGGTATCGCAATCGCATGTATTGGAGCTTCCGAAGTATGTGCACCAGGTTAGCGTTCAGGTTGTGCACCAATACTTCGGGAGCGCCCATCGGATTGTAATCGGTCTCTCATTAACATAATCCATGCAAACACCAACGAATTAATTCGAATAATTATTGTTTATTGGCATATCTGATTTGAAATTATTATGATAATATTACACCAGAACAATGATTTGATTCATCTCTGATTGACCCACTGTGTGAATGAGAGGATATCATGTAAGAAGAAACCATGCATAGTTCATGCACTGTGATGTCATGTAAAATAGTTAGTTATATATTGGTAATATTTGAGCCTGATCTAAGTTACTAAGATCTTGGTCACTGGCACCCTTAATAACATCATTTTAATGTTAAACCATATTCGATTGTAAATTTTTTTTTTTTTATCTTTGTACATTTGGCATCGTTATGTCATAAACTGACTGACATTAGATTTTTATCAATCTACCTACCTTTGCTTTTTCCATGTTCTGTATGAAGTGGGTAGTTCCACATGAAATTTAATCCTACCTTGATCTTGTAGAATACCATTTATTCATTGATCATGTGCCTTCCAGTTACACACTGAAGTTCAATTTTCTTACCAAAAAAGGTTAAATTATTTATGACTACCGGTACTACAGTTGCATGCATACCATACTACTGGTAGGCTTCCTGTTCGTGAAACTTCATTTTTACCATTGATACCTAAACTGTAGCCCTGCACCATACAATGTTCTACATACGACCACAGTCACTTCACAATGGTACCATTGTTACTTTGCAGCTATCGTCATGGCTACTTAGATAATTGGTGCACGGAGTCGTTTCTTGTTTTGTTGTTGTTGAAACGCGAGATTACTGGGCATACCTGGTTGGAATGCCTTGACGTATTTATATTTATTTTCAAATTAACGTATATATGATACTGTATATACACAGTTCGACTTTTTTTTTTGTTATTATTTCCTTGTTAGACTTGCTTATGGGTGCCGCTGCTCGATAACCAAATTTGGTTTCTCGCGGCTCCCCTCACCCTGAAATGCCTTTTTATTTATTTATTGCAATTTGTATATCAAGTGTGCATTTAGTATGGTGAGAAAATAAACTACTGATTACTGACTGATGTATTACACAAATGAAGAACAAATAGGTATGTAAACAAGATAAATGAAAGTGATATCTATTGCTAATTCATCTGTAATTTATTTTGTCACATTTTGAGCATATTGAGGCCAGGTATGATTGTTTAGTTATGGTGGTTCACATTTCTCCTTGATTTCATCACAAACCACTCCATCTATTACCTGCTATGCTAAAGGGGAGCTCCGAAAGTATGTCCACCAATATGGCGCACAACCTGATAACCCGAACCAGGTACATATAGTGTGTTCAGGTTGTGCGTCATCTTAGTGCACATACTTCGGAGCACCGCTAAAGGTTTAGTTTACATACCCTTAATCAATTAAAAATATTATCAGGTATCAAAAATAAACATCATCAATCAGAAATTGAATCTTTCAATATCTTCAGAGAGAAATCGACGCATGGATATCCTTGAACTAACTTGGATGTTGAAATAACATCAATATCATCTCCAAAATATTCCTCTATATTTTGTTCATCAACTCCACCACTACATTCGATGATTACTTGTGGATATATTTCTTTCAAACGTTTTGCAGATCTTTTTAATTCCTTAAAAATGAATGAATAAAAGATAGGAGCGATTGTATAAAACAAATCATATTTCACACATCACCGTGATTTTGGTGAAATTCTACCGTAGTAATTTCTGACAAACATATGTTTCTAATAGTATACTTCAACTAAAGCAGATATGAGAAAAGCATACTTTAATAACATGACAAAACTGAAGTATAAAAACAGCTCATCAATAATACAGGGTGGGTGACCCTCCCTGGAAGTTTTAGGTACAAAAAGGAGTTCAAGTGTTGAATAAACTGAGTTCATTTCAGAACAATTATGGAAGTTATGGGTTCTGTATGTAGGAACACTATACAATATTTCATAATAAAATGAACAAAATATAATGATGTAGTCATAGCAGAAGGATACTTGAACCGGATTTGTATTTTCAATCCCATGGTCATTTTATACATTATTAAATATTAAATCAACATTTGTATCTAAGTGAATCTAGCTATGAGTTATATAAATATGTACCTCAGGCATTTGATTATCAAACATAACAACATGAGCACCAGCAGCAGCTGCTTCTAATCCTTCATCAATGTTTTGGCATTCTACTTCAACTTTTGTTGTAAAACTTGCAAGACTAAGAACTTTCTTGACGCTCTGAAATATTGAAACTAATTTTACATTGAAATACATAGCATAATATTCAATAATTACAATTGGAAATATTGTCTGTCAAATTTATTATTACAGGCCAGGGTGAGTTTCACTATTATAGTGAGTGATGTTTGTTTCTGAATCTTAAATTTGATTGATGCACAAACCAATTTTGAATGCTCTAATTCACTAATAATTGCTCAAATTTATATGGTTATAATTGCTCAATAAATATGGTATCCAAAATTGGATTGGCACCACACTCACACACTTTAAAATATCCTACTGTATTACAATTTCGCCAACAACAACATACTACCATAAAAAATAAAATTCATTGGCGAGAACTAAGGTAAAAAGTGGCAAAGAAGCAAATCATTAGATGAACACAAAAATTGACTTAAATTTGCTGTACATTTTCAATACTGCCAGTAGACCATATGTGATTGTCTTTCAACATCACCATAGAAGCTAAATCATATCTATGCGTGTCTGCACCACCAACGACAAGCGAATATTTTTCCACAAGTCTAAAACCAGGAGTAGTTTTTCTTGTTCCAGCTATTCTTCCCTTCCATCCTTCAATGAAAAGTAAACTGTAAAATAGTTGAAATAAAAATCACAATGCTTTTGAAATTTTACATGAGTAAAGAGACTAAAATGAGTCTTCGGAATCTCAAAATATTGTATGGCTTCAATCTGAAGATTCAACTCAAATACCGCTTAGTGACTAGACTTGCTATTGTTTCTTATTACGCTTCAATGAAGTTCATTCAAGTTAAAATGAGAGAATAGTGGTATTCTTCAAACAATGACAAGTTATATCATAAAAAGAAATGGAAAGAAGACAAAAATAAAACATGAGTAAGTAGATAAAACAAAATGAAACCTTTTTCCTTTGCTCTTGCAATGTATTTCTTGCATTGGGTGGCAACACCGCTCGAACGCGATAAAACATTTAAAGCTGGACGTTCGCCCAAAAGTATGTTTTTTATAGGTCCACAAACTGTTGCAATTTTGACACGTTGAAATTTGTTGTGCTCATCATTGACAAAACTATCTCCCTCATGATAGTGCCATGTAACAATACAGCCCAGCTCACGAAAAACAGCATCGAAGAATGGCACACCAGCCAACACACCAGGCGATTTGCAGAGTAGTTGCGCTTTGGCAGTTTTATTACCAACAACCATTCCCCCAAAATCGAAGCTAGCACAGTCTTCTGCAAGCCATTCTCGAGCTAATGCCTTAACTTTACTGTCAGGCAAAATGCATTGTGTGGCTGATCTTGGCTGTCCGATAGACATCTCACTCTCAGTAGGCCTAGAACTCATTTAGAAAATTGCCACCTTCCTTCCAACTTTACCTACTCCTATGCCTTTTTAAGGAGAAAATGTTGTAAATAGGTTAAATGTTGTATATCGGTGACAGGTGACAAAAGTAGAAAGGTATATTGGGAAAAATTAAATCATTAAATGAATTGTTAAATGAACTGGTCGTTACTGGTATGTTGTTATATGTTCATGGCTTCCTTTAACAACTAGGTCCATAATTTGGCACGAGATGAACATAATACATACCTACCGTATTATTTATATACCGGTCCCGGCCATAACCAATATGGTACCGGTACGCCTGCAATCAAATTATTTCGCCTGGCGTTATTGTAAACATTTAATCAAGCACACTTTCCGACGGGGACATTAGGTACTTTTGTTACCAAAATTGTTGTCATCGGGAATTTCCCCAAATCGTGTTATTGTGACGACTGGCGCGGCCCAAAGTGGGGAAGGTGGAGGAGTTCAAGCGGAGATAAAAAAAATTGAAATTCATGAGATTGATATTATTTACTTGTAAAAATGTGACCGAAATCTGTGTGATTCATTTTGGTATATTTACACGAACGTTTCAATGTCTGGGAAATGAATAAATGATAAAATACTGAATATAAAAGAAAAAAATCTGAGGTGAAAGGTCGTACGATAGCTATTGGTTACGGTGACCGTACATTTGAACCCATGTACATTTGAACCCATGCGTATATCCATGGGTTCAATCTGGGGTTAGGGTTAGTATGGGTTTAACTATCCGTGAAACAAAAAAAAATTCCATAGGTGCAATAGCATACAGGTGCAATTGTCATGGGTTCAAATGTACGTGGGTTCCAATGTAATAGAACCATTGGTTACAAATAACAACTTACAGCTCTTCAATACCCGGCCGAAAAGAATCAAGCCATGTTCTTTATTGAATTGTTGTTAGTAAGTGAAGTTTAGGAAATAAATTGTATCGAAAAGAATCAAGCCATGTTCTTTATTGAATTGTTGTTAGTAAGTAAAGTTTAGGAAATAAATTGTATCTTTAGAGATGCAATGTTCTCTTGTGTGATAAATCATCAACCTCAGATTGGTTTGGTTTATGTAGTCTAGTTGATTAAAATGAATGGTTAAAGCTGTAAAGCATGGGATATTAATGTAATACCGGTATTACAATAAACTGAATTACTTATGAATGTGATATTTATGTGAAATGCCAACCAATGAACTAAATATTCAAATGGAATACATGTTGAATGTATAAATTACACATGAAACTGGTGAAGAAGTTATGTTTTATATTTCAAATTGCTATTATTATTTTGATGAAAATTTACGAAATGTCTAATCAACTTTATTTATTTATAAAACAAAACACTGTGTCTGTGACTGTGTGCATGCAATGATGTCTCATTTGAATAAAAGTCTTGAGCCGCAGTGATAACTTATTTTCTTTATATGTTTGACGGTTAGCATACGTGCCTTGGTTTGAAAATATTGAAATTTACTTGAATCGAACACCTGAATACATTCTTTATTTGAGCGATAAACTTTCAACACATTTTTATGTTTATTGTGTATTTATTCATGATCATGCTGTATCAACTATGTATGGTTCAGGAGGAAACAGGAGCTATATGTAATAGTTAATTTTCACTTGTTAATATTGCAGTTTATAAAAATAATATTTATAATTAATGTTTACTAAACATAGCAAAGAAATCCAATATGGTTGAAGTGGGGGAAGTGCAAAAACCTGCTCTTAGCGATTTGCTGGAAAGACTAACATTGGGAGTTTCGACATCTCTAGGTTGGGATATTCTGATAAACTTCGTACATGTCATCATTTCCAGCTGATATATAGTGACACCTTGCCAAATATGCAATATTTTTCTTGCTAATAATTCAATTTTCCCTGTAATAAATGCTGGTCAGAAAATAGAATAATTTCACTAAAAAAATATCTTCCTTTGAAAGCAGAACTTTAAAAATTATTTATTATTATATATCTTACATACTTATACTTCACATGTGATATATAGAGAGTTTGGAAATTTTTGCATAAATTGAATCTACTTTTTCTTTACATTTTTTTTGCTTATATTCATTTATAAAATATTGGAATTCCCCCTCACCCCCATTGGATTTTTAGACTATGGTGCAAGTTTATTATCTGGTAATACTTATTTGTAGAGAAAAGATTGGGAGTGTGCGATGTTTCACTCAATGGTGGGAATCCTGCTGAACGACATCAAATAGTTGCTTGGGAGCAAAGAAATGCATGCATTTTGCCAGAAGACTTGAAAAACTTTTATCTGACAACAGATGGTTTACTACTAACATGGAGTGTGTTACTGGAAGGTATCCTGATAAAATGATTCAATAATTCTAAAAATTAGTGTGTGAATATTAGTGATCAGTTTCAGAATTCATTATTTAATATTCATAACAGCATTGAAGTCCATGTTTTAATGTCTGTGAATGTCTCAGAATTAATTTTAAAACATCTCACCATTATTGCAATTTATTTATAGCCAGATTGGCAGAAATTTATCCTGATAAAAAGATTTTATAATTTCGAATTGATTATTCAATATTCACAACAGCATTGAAATCCATGTTTCAAATTTAAAGTTTGTGAATGTCTAAATATCAATTTTAAAACATTGTATCATTATTGCAATTTATTCATAGCCCGATTGGCATAAACTTATTAAATTTTCAAAGTATTGTAAGTTGTTCATGTCATATTTATGTGTCTGGCCTGGCCTTCCACAATCCATTCAAAGAATGCCAAAAACTTACTTTCAATGTGGATATCTAGTGTAATTTTTGAAAAGACAGATATTTTTAGTTTATTGTACTCAGTTTGATTTCGTGACAGAACAAAGCAACCATCCTGTATGAGTCAGTCACAGATAAGCTAAAATCTCCAAAAAATCAAATAAAAAATGCACGTACAGCTACTAAAAATCAAACTGCTTCTTATGTTTCAGATAACAAGTTTCCTGTAGGAAGAATGGAAATAAATCCATTTTCTAATCTTGTGAAGATAAGTTCTTCTGCATCAACTGCTACAATTACAAACACTCCATCATTTGCTGATATTGAATCATGCAGTAGTGATGAAGATGATTCAGAAGACAGCGAGAGTGATAATGATGAAAATAGTAAGTTTGGGTTTGTCTGAAATTGTTGTCCATTCCATGGTATATAAACTTTAATATATTAGTGAAAATGACAAATATTACTTTTTTCAGGATGAATCCTGATTGATAAAAATAAAGTTTACGCATATTTATCGGTAAAATCTATCTGTCTAACTTGGCAAATAGAAATTTTAGAACCCCTGACCTTTGAAAATTTTTTGGCTACGTCCCTGCATGCATGATTATAAAGTCAGGAAAGTAAACACTAATAATGAACAAATTTCCTGGGTATTTATTCAAATTTGATTGATTTTTGCCTAGCTCACACAAAGAAACGTACCATCAAACCTCATTTTGATGGAAGGAGTAGAATATTTGAACTTGAAAATTGCCAAGGTCATGGAAAAGTTTGTCTTGTTTACCTCAACACAAGTCCAGGTAATTTAACTCTCAGCTTACACTAAATCATTCATACTTACCTACTCATACTCATGGTTAAACAACTTATTTAGGATTACCGGCACACAAACCAGAAATCTGGTTTCTTGATCGATCACTTATGTGGCATTTCCTGTCAAAGGATTTTACATCCTATTACAGACTGATGTTGATGCATCTTGGATTACCACAATGGCATTTTGCTTTGACAGATATTGGTCTCAGTTTACAAGCACAGGTTTGAAATCAGTTCATACAATGCCATAGATCAGAATTTTTACTGATGATCAAGTGTAGCAATAATCTGAACAATGATCTTGCCCAGCATGCTTGACACCAATGTAATTCCAGTCTAATACTAACTTCCTAGTTACTGCTTTACACTAGGAAATTCAAAACATTGTTATTTCTACCTTTTAAATATATTCATGTTGAAATTATTTTATAATGTTATTGTTACTCGTCATTTATTTTCAACTGTGGTTGCCTACCTTTGAATTGATTAGGAAGTCTGCTGGCATCCGATAACGCTTTCACCGATCTTGTAAATAAACTTAAATTCTTGTACGCTGATCAAAATTGGTAGTGTATTAAGTGCTTTAATGGCTTGGGCAAAATTTTTGGACTGGTCATGCGCCATTGGTATCTTTGAATACTTGTTTAATATTATATTTATAAGAAGCTTGAAAGTTTTTTCGGTAATAGCTCAATATTCAAACTACTGGTAATTCCATTTTACTTTTATTGCAGCAATGGTTTAACATGTATGCTCCGGTTCGACTCAAATTAGATCAACAGTATTTGTTGGGAACAGATTTAGAAGAAACTAAGCAAGATGACAAAGATTTCACAAATACACCTTCATGTAAAATAGACTTCGCTCGTTTATTTAAAGGAAAATTAGCCGAGAAACCAAAACCTAAGCAACTGCAACCACCAACACCTTCCAAGAAAAAGGGTCAACCATCTTTCTCATCAGCAACATCAACCAAGTGGGTTATTCAATCATTTAATTGTGAATCATAGAATTATAATTAATGTTGTTTCAAACACAAAGGTAATGAATGGAACCAATTATGCTTTGGCCATATTATGCTTACACACCTAAAACTTCTATTCATTATGTATGAACAGCAAGCATGATGATAATCATGTATAAATGTAAGCATCCAAGCAATCAATGCATTCATAATTTGGATGTATTACTTTTTCATAATTGGAATGTTTAATGTACTTATAGCGTTGGTATAGAAATTTGTTCTGAAGAGAAAAATGCATACATCAGACTATTCTATATTAAAAACCTTTGACCTTAAATCTGTGATCTGCGCTGTAAGGGACATAGGAATGAGTGAAACTAATCTGCTTGAATTTTAGGTCAACTGTCAGCTCTAGAATTGGAAGATCAACAAAGCCGTGGACATAACTGTCTGGAAAAAATCTGCAGATTGAAACACTGGTGATCCATCCTATTCATTTCTCTCAATAACACTAGTGTTTTTGGGATTTTTTAAATCTTATACAGCAATGTTCATTTTTTTAATAAAATTTATCACCTCAAATAATTGGTTATGTATTTGTTAACAATTATTGTTAGTACGGTCACTTTATGAATTTTTTCAAATTTTTATCAGAAGACAGCTCTGAAGTGTTCGTTAGCTTACGCAAGACTTGTTTGTCACTGTAGTGTTAAACATTCACTTTTTACATATTTGAGCAGATAGTGTTTGATTTGGTTGCACCACGTATATTCCATGTGTACAGTTCTATCAAGCAACATTGACGATAACGGTACTGGGGTTTACCATACAAACAAGCAGTCTTATCAGCGTTCTTCCCCCTGGGGTTAAGAGTTATATCTGCAACATCCCGAGGGACGACCGAGATGTATGAAAATCCATACTATCATTATTAAACAGTGCATCCAACCTGGTAAGCTGAAAAACACTTTTTACCAAGCTGATATCATCCTATCAAGCATCATTGACAAATGGCATCATTTGGTAACCAGACATGACTGGGGTTCATCACGTAAATCGGCTCATCAGCTTGGGAGTCTGTCAAGATGCTCGAGAATACATACTAAAAGCTGAATGGCGCGTTCAACCTAGAAGAAGTCTGGCCTTTGACATACGCACTCATCTGTTGTCAGATGCACCAACCATCTCGGTTAGACGAGGGAAGCAATTATATCAGCATTATCATACTTTTACCAACAAGTCTAAATAGCTAAACCAAACCATTGCATTGAAGCAGGCCTGTAGCTACTAAAGTAAAACATATTCCACTTCAAATTTCATTGTAAATCATCTAATTTATTGAACCATCAGGAAAGAGGAGCTAAATTATAGTTTCAGGCCATATATGCACAGATTATAAGAGTAGGCTATACATAGACAATACAATAGACACGAAAAACTTGGAACACTCGCAACTGAAAAATCAACCAAAAACTTGTAACATAAATATCCTGAGGCAATGGGCAATAATTTGTTCATTTCTTCACTAATTTCATTAATCCTTCCGTACTCATTGACTTTGGTCTTTCAAGCGGGAGACCAAGAGCCCTGCTCCAAATCATTTGTGACAGACATCCAAGCGCTCTTGAAACTCCAAAAAGCACAGTGTAATATGACATTTCTGTCATTCCATAGTGCTGAAGCAAAACTCCACTGTGTGCATCCACATTTGGCCATGGGTTCTTTGCTTTTCCTTGTTCGAGTAAAATACCAGGAACAATTTTATAAAGTTGAGCAACCAATTTGAACATTTTGTCATCTGGAAGATGTTTCAGTGCAAATTCTTGTTGACAGGTGTAGCGAGGATCTGTCTTGCGCAATACTGCATGACCATAGCCTGGAACGACTCTGCCACTTTTCAGTGTGTTCCAGATATATTTGTACAACTCATCATCAGATACTTCAGCGGTTCCAAGCTCTTTCACAACGCCTAAAGATAAAGAATATACATACAAAATTTGAGTTAATTACTACTTGTGTGCAGTCAATAAATATGTCCCAAGGTTACTGTTTTAATCAAATGCTAATCGTAAAAAAGAAATACATATAGAATAATCTAACAAGAAAACATGCAAGATTACTACCTCCATTGTTCCACAGATTCCAGAAACATCTACTCCAATTTTTTTTATATTTAAGCTAGATTTGTTGCATTGCAATTTTAAGTTAGAATAAAGCGTAAACTGTTTTTAAATAATATTGGACTGAGGAGTGAAGTGGCATATGTGAATAAGATGAGAAATTACCTGTGAGCCAGACAAGAACTTCCTGGTTGGCAAGTCCATGCAAAGGTCCTGCAAGTCCATTCATTGCTGCTGCAACAGACAGATATGGATCACTCAGGGCACTTCCAACAAGATGAGAAGTGTGGGCACTAACATTTCCTCCTTCGTGGTCGGAATGAATTACAAGGTAAAGACGCATTAGCTCAATAAAATTCGCATTTTCATAACCAAGCATCCTGCAGAAGTTGAGAGACCAGTCAGCATTTTCATCAATGGTTCCTATTGGACTTCCATCTCTATATAAGTTGCGATATATTTTTGCTGCAATTGGAGGAAGTTTGGCAATAAGATTCATAGTATCTTCGTAAACCAATTCCCAATATAAACGCTTGTTGACCCCTTCAGCATACGCTTTAGCAAACTGTGATTCTGTATTTAAAACTGTGATAGCGGCTCCAAGCTGAGACATTGGATGTACATTACTGGGTAGTTGATCCAACATATTAACAACATGTTGTGGAAGTTCAGCTCGCTTGGCCCATTCCCTGCTCAAAGCATTTGCTTGTTCTTTGGTAGGAATTTCACCAGTGACCAACAGCCAAAAAAGTGATTCAGGTAAGGGTTCATTGCCTCCTTCAGCCTTAGGAAGTAGCTTTTGACACTCGGGAATACTGTATCCTCTGAATCGAATTCCTTCTTCTGGATCTAAAACCGATGTTTCCCATACCATGCCTTTGATTCCACGCATTCCTCCATATGCCATATCAACAGTGACATCTCCTATTTTAGCATTTCCAAATTCTTTTCTAAATTCAACAATTTCCTTTTGCTTCTCTGGTATAAGATTGGTTAATACTTCTTTCAAATCTGTGGACGCCGCAGCATAACCTCTTCGAGCGATAACACTTGGATTGGATATCTTTACAGTCGATAAGATACGAGAAGCAACTTTTTCCCAAACCATTTTTTGTGATTTACAATCCCGAACAAATTAAAACAACTAATTATAAACCCTATGTCTTATTAAAAATGAAATAGAAATGGGCAAATGAAAGATACTTCTTGCATAACATTTGTGCACATGATATATGGAATGATGGCACATTATTTGAGTCCGTGGGCATGACATGACCATTTTCGAATATGCTATTCCTAATCCTGATCAGACTATGTCATCCAAGAATTATGTCACCGCAACATCAAAATCATGTCATACAGCTTGCCAAAGTACATCTACAATTGACTGCAAAGGCATCTGCGCCGTCGATAACGAACTCATTAATACTAGCGATCTATTTTATATTGGGATCGTTAAGGTGAGGAAACGAGAGTGAGTATAACTTTGTATACGACGTGGCTTGCTTGTAGTGACGGAATATTTGGATGGTAGTCAAATAGGGGTTGGGAATGACATATGCAAAAATTGTTGAGCCATTTGTGGTGAAGGATACCAGACCCCATTATTTGAACCTCACGTCACTATTAAATATTTATTTGACTGATAGATTCCATATGAAAAAGAATCAATTTACAGTCTCATCATATATACAATTAGCAAGTCAAATCCCACTCTCAAAACTTACCAGCCAATGGAGGACTCGGGACGTAATTAATTTGATTGACTACCTAGTCTTTTCAAAGATGATATGTTAGTTTTACGTCTGATAATCTCAGGGCTGTTCCAACAAACTCTAGCTTTTTGAATCAGTTTTAAATTGGTAACTGTTTTAAGAGAGAAATTTTACTTCGCAAATTGAGAATAACACTAATAACAAGTACGGTAATTACATACAATATCAATATAAAAGCTACAGTTCAAATGATATTGTTTTATGCGAGTGTTAGTCTCTAAAACTGATGAAGGTCACCAAGGCTTTCTTGTTATTAGTTAAGTAAAAACAGGTGAGTAAAAAAGTTTGGAAACATGGTGCAATTTAAAATTAGGGATATGGCAGGCAGGCTGAAATTTGATATTATTGAGATCATGTGAATGTTAACTCAGTCAGGTCCTAAAAAATAGGACTTATTATACTGTTATAGACCAGAAATAAGAATGACACAGGTTTAACAATAAAAACTTAGGCAAAATATTACTTGGGTTAAAATATTCACTACATATTCAGTACGGCACATCTCGGACTCCAAGAATAGCCCCCACATTAAAATACATCAATAATAACAGTGAGTGCCTTCCCCTTGTTGACAAGACAGTCTGAGCCTCCATCAGCAAACTGGCACTGCCTAATAAAATAAAAGGAAACACAATCTAAAAACATCACCATTGGATTCCTCAAGAGAATAATCCGAATACCGAATAAAAAAACTACGGTAGCATCCAGAATTTTTAGCAAAAATTGGAAATTTTGGTCATGTGACAACCGACGCATGTCGCAATTGTTTGGAATTATCATAAAAACAAGCATGGTGCGATATGACACAATCATTTGCCATCGTGCCAGACGCCCTCATTTCAGAGACAAAAACAGTGTTTGTTTTATTGAATCAAATGTCGAGATATTGAAATCGGAACGTCAGAAGAATTATTTACTTTGTCATAAGCCAGATCAAAAAAAAGTTAATAATTTTCAGCTTAAGACACTCCTGAACTTTGAAATCAAGTAAAATTGTAACATATATGTTATACTAATTGACTTAAAAATTGATTTTGTTTGGTAACAATAGTCAGGTCACTTTTCAGGTGCTTAAATCTGTTCAACCAAAATACACATTACAAATGAATCAGACCTTAATTCAACCAACTTAACGAAGGTCATCAGAAAATTGAGTAAATGTGATAAATTTTATGTTATATAAAGCGATATTAGTTTGATTTATGCAACCATCAATAACCTTAGTCTGGCAGAAATAATTTTGTTTCACTACGGTAACCACCGTTGGTTGTAGGGTTAGGAAAAGTATTATAACAATATAAGGCTGTAAGGCAAGACATCTGGATACCGTATGGTAGATCACTTCTCAAGGCTCAAGCCCTTCCGATTCATGTCAACTTAGTTACCGTAAGCAACACACAGTTCCTATAACCATCCAGTTGAGCATAAACAGCTCGCGAGCTTCCCGAAGACAGAAAGAAATAGGACTCAATACAGCGCCAGTAAGGAAGCGAGAAAGATTACGAAACGCCTTCGAATTCGCTGCTTCGTTCGTTTTGGAAGGTCATCGATGACAATTCAAGGTTGCCAGATAAATATAATACGCATCATTCATTGATCGTAAAGATCCGGATTTTCATGTTAATCTCTGTATATAAATAAAGATATGGCCATATCTTGTTTTCCGATTGACTAATATGAAGAAAAAATAAGCATAAATAAGTTAAGAAGAAAAACTTCAAATTTTGGTCGGCTTTAACGTAAAGAGGCGGTCGACGGAACTAGCCTGGGGTTGGCGATTATCACTCACGACTTCGTAGGTTCTAACTTCTAATCCCGTCCGAAAAAGTATGAGAAAAAATTTAATTTTCCTAAACTATTTTCAGTGAATTGTCGTTTTCTGTGTGAATAATCAATTTCACAGTGAATAGTTCAAAAAAAAGTATTACATTTAGATAGAAAAAAAACTTGCAAAATATTACAATTATTGTTAAGCGCTCGAGGGCCGCTTTGGAAGTTCTCTGCGGCCGCATGCGATGCGCGCGATTGACACCCCTGGTGTAACGGTACTGAAACTTATGGGCAGCGGGTTATCCACTTGGCTAATACGGAAAGTCCACGAACTCGTAATAGAACTAAAATGAGGAAAATCGGAATAAAATTTTGGCCTAACCCTCCTACCCTGGTACACATACTACGGGAGTACTCATTTTTTTACATGATAATGTCGAGTCCGGGACGTAAGGGTTTTTCGTTTCGCAGTTACTCATACCAAGCGCCACCCAATACATATATCCTTCTACATGTGTTCAAGTTTGACATATAATGTACATCAAGGTCATTAGCCCTTAAGCACGTAACGCTAACCCAGTGGTCGGCAAACTTTATCTACTTGCGGGTCAAATATTCACTTTTGCGGTAGCGTGTGGGCCGCATTAACTTCCGCCTATGAACAATCGCCCCATTAACTTCAAATTAAGGCGCACTCGCACCTTTCATTGCTGTGTTAAACGCCTGCAACAATGAAGCGTGTATGAGGCCTTTTTCATATTGTGAAGGATGATGTTGTTTCTGTGTCCTCCTAGCCCAGGCCTGCCCAACTTTTTTCGTCTCGCGGGTCACTTTCATGTGACGAAATTCATTGCGGGCCGCAAACGTTTGTACCAAACATTAATACCAGCTAGGTCCTGATATCGGTGTAGGTAATTTACATAATACATAAAAGGCAAGTTTATTAACATAAAATCGATCAAGTTAATAATTAATAATTACTTTCTGGTTACTGGGTGGAGCTGGCAAACTATTTGAGTATCAAGTCGAATATTAGAATAGCAGTTTACTATTCGAATATCTGGTAACACGGGAAGTGGACATGGCACTGGCGTGCCGTCGAATCAAATAATTAATTATTACAAGTTACACTTGCGATTTTTTGACGACCACACGAGAACACACACATCACGTCAAAATTGAGTGTTATATTTGCGTTATAGTGTTTTCATTCATTCACAGCTATGATACAGCCTCAATGTTAACATGAGCATAATGTGCGCCAATGTCGCGGTAATAGCAAGTTTTGGTGGGCCGTTTTGTAAAATTTGAAATACCAATACAAGTATTAAATGAAGTAACATTACAAAGAAATCTGGACGAATATCCCATATATACTGATATGTAGCAATGCCATAAGTCAATTTTATCAGAATTATTAACGGATACGCAGTGACGACATTTCCGAAATATTATTTACCGCAAACATAACATAAACAAAAATAAAAACATAAAAGGACGAGTCCCGGGACTAGTAGCAAAGATATTAACTTTTTACGTTGGCGATACAGGCAATCAAAGTCGACACGAAAGAAAGCAATCAGAATGAAATTAATTTGTAAAATTTGGCTTCAAATCCATTCCTATAATTGCGATCAGCGTTCTTCCCAATGATCGCACAATATCTTTCGAGTTCATCGAACAGAACGCACAGTTTTGCGAGAAATGAAAAGAAAACTGACGTCGATGTCCAACAAGTTGCAAGACTGGACGCATATATACACGTAATAATAAGAGCCGGCACTTGAATCTAGATAGATGGCAGGAATAATCACACCAAAATCACGAAACATACTTAAAGCATATATATTGCTATATAACATAGTAAAAATTTAAAAAGTCTGCTTACAAACTTTAAAAAGCGTGCCGCAAAAAACAGTCCGGCGGGCCGCATGCGGCCCGCGTGTTGGGCAGCCTTGTCTAGCCAAAGCGGTAACTTCGTTGTCCAATTGACGATATGACAAGTGGGTACGGAATTTAATCTCAGTGTAATACCTTTTAGATGGAGCTGCTCACAGCAATATGTGCTTTCGAACGTGCATACTTCACGTTTTACACTGTCGCACAGATGAGCAGTGGCACAGTCTCGGGGTCGAATTTCTTTTTGCAATGGCACGTTTAACATCAAATACCTTAATAACTGCGATGCTGACCTGGCATATCGAGCAAACTGCTTTTGAAATGCCCCAGAAGGAAAAATATTTTTCCTTTCAAGCACTTCGGAATGTTCGACCCACATAGCAAACATTCCTCTGTTTCCCAGACTTTTTTAAATTTTTAAAATCTAATATCAAACTTTACTCATAATTACAACCAACGATGGGACGTTCATCAAGTGAACGTCCCACTTGTATTCTTCAGTTTTGGGTCCAATGGCATAGCCTATCTTTCTCTGGGTTGGGTTAGGGATATTGGTTTTATTCCAGGAATGGTAAATTGGGTAAGGTATGCGATTACAATCTTCCCGAGCATAAAAGTTATAAATAAAAAGTGGATTATTTTGCAGTTTCAAGCTGAGGTGTTAAATACCGCATAAAAGTAACGTATAGCCTACTACCGTATTCCACCATTCATGATGGTAGAGTATAGGAATAATTGACAGTAGAGGAACAAATACATGGCTTATATCGATGACGTTGACTTTTTTTGCCAGTGATCGAAACACATTTAAACGACCACACAAGACATTTCCAACAAAATATTAAATATGGCAATCATCAAGCAACATGCCCCACCAACACCATAGTCAAACTTTTGTTGTCCAGTGCAAAAAATGGAACTATATCGAGCTTGGCATATTTTTATTTAAATTGTTACCGAATTATCTTAGTAACGCCATCATATATCTTAAATTGAATAACTAATTTGAAAGTGATATTTTTAGATTCTTTTCGTTAGGTTGATAACTGACTCTGTATGAAAAACGCGTGTCAAAGAGTTTTCATGCAATGAATGTTAATATTAATCTTCCTGAGTATGAATAATAGTTACGTTCTATGTTCAGACTTATCTGACGTTAACATATATGTCTATTTACCATAGATCAAAATTTTGCCCAGAATGCCAGTTTAATCAATATTCTATTCTTAAGTTTAATTTTTAAAAAAACATGGCATTATACCACAATCGATTTTAAGTCACGTGACGTCTCTTTTTTTTTTAACGGAGGTAAACAACTTCAAGCCAAGTATGATAGATAGATAAGACAGTAAGTTTGACTATGCATTTTTTTTTTTCATTATGTCATCTAAATCGAGTTATTTTAAGTACTAACTAAATGCCGGTTGAAACCTCGCTAAATTCAGACTTTTGTCAAATTTAGTATAAACCACGCTGTTTGCTTGGATTGGCAATTACTCTAAATACGGGAATAAGGTGGATTATATTAAAGCTTATGCAGATTGAATCCGTAAATCTGACTGAAAACGCAATTCAAATCTCTGCCCAAGAAGATTAACACCCAATATATAAATATGATGAGCGGACGAGGTCAGTTGTACAAAAAGATTTTGCAAAAGCGAGGGTGAGTCAAATATTTTTTTTATATTGCATTCGTGCGAATCCAACGAGAAATCGATTTCGGTTTATAATATATACATATGTATCAAACGCGCCCACTCAATATAACAAAAACAATTATTACGTAATAATGATAATATACCGCAAATGGTTTAAAACAATTAGAATACAGAAAGCAGAAGTAAAAAGTCACGTACTGTTATTGTGAGTTAGTATCAATTAAGACGACTACTTGTGATTGAAGTATGTTATTTACTACTGGCGTCGGTTTGCTTTATACAAATGTAATACAAGTAGCGGATCTGATCGTTATTTTAAATACAAGTAGATCCTAGTTTTATTTTTTATTATACACTTTAGTTAGGGCATTGGTTCCCAAACGGTGGGGTGGATCTTGCCCGTCTTATTTTGGATATTTACATTTCCTATTTTGCCAGCCAAAAACAACTGTACTAATAAAAATAACAACAAAATTTGCTTGTTTTCAGAACTTCCCATTTATTTCATTATTTACCTTCTACCCACGTATTTTCAACGTGTTTTTGAATAAAACATATTATATACTTTCGTCTTACTATCCACGGGGGGTCGCAAGACTCGACAACTTCTGAAAAGGGGGCGCGGCTTAAAAATTTTGAGAACCACTGCTCTAGGGGGTTTATTATGTTAGTCTTTGGAGAATCCCGTCCAGTCGAGGGGAGGAAGCACAAAATCCCAACATCGAAATTTTCTTCGGGAAATAAAACTTTATGCAATGAACGTATATGAGGCCACTATCAGTCAAGTACATTGGTTGGTAAAATCATTAAAAAAATTGGAGCAGATAAAAAAGCATGCGCCAATATCAATATAAAATGAACAACCGTTTTGGCGTTAAAGAGCAATTTGCATCCAAGAGTAACTTCCGCAACAAAATATAGAATATATCAATGGCGCTTATAAACGAAATAAGCGTTATACGGAAAATAAATAGCATTGCTATCTCCATATATTAGACTGACATTATGTCAGAAAGAATGAGTTGCGTTCGAATGGACTTTCGAGGAGATACTCTGACTATAAAGATTTTTCATCAATAATATCCTGAATAGGAAATCGATAAACAAGTTTATTATTACGTTTAATCTAAAGTTAAAACTCGGGGAAATGTTTTCGTCGAGATAAGCGTAGTGCTGTAGATACTGTAGTATAGAGCAAAGATGACGAACCACTGACCCGTGTGAGCCACCATGGTTTTTTTCGGTGACCCGACAAGCTATGAACATACAAAACAAATGTTTAAGCGAGAAGTATTGATGATAAAACCGCCTTCAAGTCAATTCAACGATATGTTAACTACTATACTATACCGGTATGCAGATAGGCCCTACTAGCAATAATGCTGTTACAACGTTTACAAAGCTACTTTGCGAATTATTTTTTCCCGCATACAATGCCGTTACGAGAACAAAATTCCATTGACGGCTTCAGAAATAACAATGACATAGACTTTAATGTGGTTGAAAGCCGATCGAAAAATATAATTCGTTAAGATGGGATTTCTGTTGGACTCTTTTTGAAACCAAGAAAAGGCTTGCCGTATCACTATAAACGTTTTTCGGTAATTGGTATGCATGCAAATCCATGTTTTTTTCATATGAATTTCATAAAGTCGAATACCAGAACTGCTTAATAAGTAAAACTTCATTGCACCAACCAAGGATTATAAAACTTGCGGAAAATATGGAACAAAAAGTTGTTATTGATGCAAACTAGAGTTGAATAATATGTATGACCTACAGTCTTATTTTCCGCAGTGAAAATATAATTTTTGACTAATTCATCATCCCAGGTATAGTGTATATGAGTATGTCGATCAAGAATCAAACTCACCGAAATGAAAATTCGAGATTTTTGGGCATTTGTGACTTTGATCGAAACCACCGAAAACGTAATTCAACAATTTGCAATATGACAAAATCGTCTAGCCAATCTAGCATCAGAGTTTATTCAAACTGTGGCAGCTTCTCAGATAATTAATTGTTTATATATCGACAACATATATACTCGTATATATATATATATGATAAACTATGCAACTTATTTTATTGTGTCCTATTGCCAATAAACTTTAATTAAAACGTCAAAAACCTCATAAAATATTCAGCTTCAATAATATATATTTGAGCAACACGTTCCGTGATGAAAATACACTGTATATATACCACGCCCTCGCCTATTTTATAGATGGCCAGTTTCATAATTACTTTCATTTCTTCTCGTACGTTCTAAATATTGAAGCTATGAAAAAACAATAGAGATCACATAAAAATGTATATATTTTATTGTTCACCTACAAACTCAGTCTGCACGACAGATGAATTGGATGAGTGTATTACCTATAGTTAATTAGTCGTTTGCAAGAACTAAACAAAAGTTATAAATTATTGTGCTTTGAGTGGTATATATATTCCAATTTTGATATCCGCTTATGGAAAAATGAAAGAAATTTTTAATTGTAATATAATGCAACAATATAGTGCGCAAAACGATAGCGCATTATATAGGAAAGAAACCCCGAGTGAGAGATTAGTTTTCTTGGAACAGTAGATTGTGCAGAAATAGATACTATATTGCTTCAGTGTCAACTCGGTCAAGCTCAGCTGGTCTACCTTACCCAAGAGGGCAACGCATGGGGATGTACCATAAACGTTGCAAAAGAAAGATAACGAACAGTCGCAAGTACATACTTGATGAAAAACTTTAATCTTTGCGAGAGAAGTGAAATTGCTACTAACTTAATAATGTATATATTTAAGATATCATGGGTCATGGGTCAATTTCAGTGTGTTAGCACCTGCGACAAAATTTTAAATGCAAGTATATTTTAATAAGTTCGTCAATATATAATGAGTGTAGAAAGTGTCACTCATCGGTACCCGAATAGCGATTGTTATAAAAAAAAATGAATGAAAAATATGAACGAAAAAGAAATCTTTATGCTGGAACTTCTACGAAAAAACGATGATTTGATCTAAATACTTGATTAGAATTGGTGCGAAAATCAGTAAATTTTGAAATGTATTGGTTTCCCTTGATTAGATTTCTTTATCGCATTATTGATTGTCACGAACTTTTAATCACTGAATTCAATTACAATTGAAGATGACATTTGCATCGATTAACATGTCTCGCACCTTCAATACTTGCATGGAGGTCGCGTTTATAGGCAGAGGGGTTCACCAGTATTTAACCTGCAGTATTATACGTAAAAAAGGTTTCGTCTTCATTTATGGATTTGATAACGAAAACAGGGTAAGGAAATATAAATAGTTTAATGATAATACTTGTTGATATCTTGCGGTATAAACTTGAAACTGTTGGATGCATAATTATACAAAAAACGTCGGAAGTTATAGCCTTTATTAATGTAAGAAATAGAGTACCGCGGTAACACAGGCAAGAAAAGGGGAATAGTCGCAATGCAAGAAAGGAAATTTCGATTTCATTTAGGAGGTTATCATTAATCAAGGCAAGACGTGACAGAAAAGAAAACATGCGAGCAAATCCAAAAATTCATACCAATATGAGGACTAAAAATCAATCTTATTCCAATACTAAGCGAAACACATTTACCGTATATATTAAAATCTGCATTGTTGGGAATCATCCATGAAAACATGGTTGAGAGTTGGAGTTTATACACTGGTAGAAATTCACACCAAAAATAATTAATTTTTGCTTATCGTATTTTTATTTGCATATAATACCTATAGGATTATATGATTTTGCTTTTTAATTTTGTCGTTTGATGAAAGTATTTGTCTTTTAATTTTGACGTTTGGTGGAAGTGATTTCTCAAACTAAAACCAGAGACATGGACAACATACAGCTTCTGGATTTTGACTTGTTTGGAGGTTTCACGTAAGTGAACATTGTTAAATGACATGTATAAAGTACTACGTGATCAATGTTGTGTTGCAATCACTGCATGTGTGTGTAGTCACATAATCCATCACGTTATATCGCATAAGCTTTAACAAAAGATTGTGTTTGTACTAATATCTGTATCATTTGCTGTTGCAATTAATTATAGGCCATGATTGTCCAACTAGATATGGATATAATAGATATAATATAGAAAATAGATATAAATTATTTTGCTCTTTCGAGATTTTTTGATATGTTACTTTCTGTTAAACCAAATAATGTATTGTATTCGAATTCTACGTAGTAAAGAGCCACAGTTGTTGCGCTCACTGACTAACATAAAGAAGCACGTAAGATCATCACCATGCTAGGTTTATCAGGCTTTGAAAACTTGTTTATACAATTAGCGACCGATGGGACATAACAAACCAAATGCGCTAATTTATATATATATATATATTCCTACGCTATTTCAATTTCTATATACAGCGAATGACTAAAATATATCAAGAAATCCATAAATATTTTTCAAACAAATCTAGCCAGGATCGATGAAATGCGCGAGGTTTGGTACCCACTACTGCACATTAACTTGACGCCAGTTTCCGCAAAATCAAAACGTCGAGTGACAAATGTAATTGAGAAAGGAAATTCTCGTTCCATATTGTCTATTGATTTCAAACGCTGTAATCAGACATCCACGCATCTAAGGCATGGAATTCAATCAGCCAATGATTTATCAGAAAACGTTTGTGATCCACGTTCCCAAGCAACAGTAAAAAAAATGCGAAAAAGTCATGAACACCCATCGGACCGAATGAGTCTATAAGCATTAATTTGACTGTAATTTAAGTGTTTCGGCCGGCAACCGACCCCATTATATACAATGAAAGCCATGAACTTCATCTGGTGGCATGGGAAACCAATTTCACCAAGATACGTACCTTATGCATTATGGATTATATCTTTAAACACAGACGATTCGTGTATACGATATGTCGGCTATATTGTGTGTTACTAGTTTTCTCCAGATTATGGAAACATGTTTTTATTTTTTCTTGTGCTGAATTTTGAGTTAAAAATTGCTGAATTTGTAGCTTGAGGCCATGAGGTAGCTGAACGGCGAAGGATATCAACCTAAGTAGGTGTTTGTTATGTTATTTGGGTTTACTTTCATTACTATCAATGGTACTCCTGTAGTATGTGTACCAGGTTAGGCCATAATTTTATTCCAATTTTCCTTATTTCAGTTCTATTATGAGTTCATGGACTGTCTGTGTTAGTCAAGTGAATATACCCCCTACCCAAAGGCTTCAGTCCCTTTACACAACTTGATGTAAAGCAGGCGAACAAAATTAGTTACCTCCATATTGGTACACATACTTCTGGAACGCCCTATCAATTACAAACAATAGTAAAAACGTGACAAGAGGTAAGACTACATGCCTATACCTCTGACTACTCCGCCCTTAACTACGTTAATATTTTTACTTCTTTGGAATAAAAATGTTATTGTCTCATTTTCTTTGCAAACTTTAATCAATTTCTACAAACAATATCTGAAGTCAATTTCTTCCTGCAGTCCTTCTGCTATCCATATCTTTACTACAATGCAAAGTCTTTGTTTATGACTCGGGGGAAGCAATTAGTGTGCGATGCGGTGGTAATTAATTTTAGAACCTTCAACTTACTTACTTATCCTAAGGGAGATACACCTTGCAAAAATTCTAAACCAGATTTATATAATAGTTGAGCGAAACCATGGGCGACAACGAAAATTAGTTTGGGAATTCAGGTTACAGTTGAAGCGTCCATTGAATAGGCTTTTTAATACTGTGAGCATTGGTCGAAAAATGACCAATACAGATAAGGATAACAACAGTGATTCAGTCGTTGACATATAAAAACGATTAAATAGATGAGATTTGTCGTTAATTACGACCAGCGTAATTGTCGAATTAATTGTAGTCTACCTGACTAGGAATCATTGCCCTCTATGTATATCTGCGATTAAACATGATACATAAGTGTTATTTTTGTAATATAATTTACAATTGAATGTTATAGCAAATTGGCATGTCCGTTGAGCGTAATTCTATGTTTATAATGGCGTTATGTTCTGTAATGTGTAATTTTGTTTTTTAATTCTAAAGCGCTTCCAGAAATAACAACGCTTTCAAGGAGGATAGTCTTACTTCTGGGTATCAATAGTATTTTGAATTTTACGATCGCTATTGAAGGCTTGTTACTAGTTGAAGCAACATCAATATTTTCGATTCTATTCTTGTAATAAAGCTTCGGGCAGTGGCAAATAAAAAAGATTTATTTCACAATGTTAGGGAGATATTTAATATTATTTTACTGAATTTATATTTTAAACGCGTCATTTTCACTGGTGAAGACCAGGTTAGGACAATTTTCAATGTAAAACGTAAAAAAAAATCAGAAGTTTTGACGAATCTAGTTCAGGGCTAGTTATGTCAGGCAACAACAAAAAATACATATGAATGCAGTGTCGGATATACCGCATTTTAGATGGAAAGAGATATTAGAACCGTTGAATATGTTTTATATTTCAAAATAATGAGATTTAGAATGTGCATTTGTATGAAAAAATAAATTACTAAAGCAAACGAGGGAGGCAAATTTAAACTAAGAAATTCCGTTTAACCTATGGCGCTTGAACTACTCATTTTAAACGAACTGGTTTTGTCAAAGATAATTGATATTTTTGGGCCGAAATTTATAGAGACCAAATGTAGAATCTAAAATCCAAGAATAAGATTCGTTTATCTATCAGGATCAATTTTGAAATATCCTCGGGGAGATTTTCCAAAAATGTTTTCTCGTGACAAGCATGGTCAAGATCATCATCGACAATACTCAGTAGTCTATTATATGCTAAAATTTTGACATTTAATTTATATATTTTAGTCACAAAGAGATGCCGCGTGGACACAAGAAACCGTTTAATGACAATTATGGCACTCGTAAGACCGCCTTGAGCCATGCACGGAAAAGATTGGAACGAGCTTATGGAATGAAAGGGGAATGTAACTTCACGACGGAAGAACTTGACGAGCTTCGTCAAATCTTCGAGTTTTATGACATAGACAACAGCAAGACAATGGACTTGAGGTATTTCAAAATAACAATGACACTCGAACTCTGTATCCGAAAAAGAAAACACTGATTCTCTCTCGCTTGGAGTATTTTGCCACATTTGTTGGGCGAGTAACAAATACGGTCGGATACAAGTCTGCGCCAATATTGGACTATGCGAAAAAATAATATTACGATATGAGATAGCTAACATATCATATCGTTCGTCGCGTGAATCAAAAACAAAATAGAAGCATGCGAGAAAAAAGCATGCATTCTTGCGAGGTGTTCAAATAACCGAGGTGGCCACCCCATCTACTGTACACACATATTAATGCATTACAATACATAAAACATATATATACATCAATTACCTAAAAGCTTGCCCCGCGTCTCTGTTTCTATTTAAGTAGAATCCCCTTATTGTAACGATGCTGTCTTATTCTCTAGCGCTAATCAAATTGATGTAAACGTTATCACGATTTTATTTCACACAACAAGGAAACAAAATATATGACTGTTTTTTTTTTTATAAAATTTAACATAACTATAATGCATTCATTTCAGCGAACTGAATATGGCTTTACGGGCACTTGGATACAACGCTAGTGAAAAAGATGTTCACGATCTCGCTTCTCTTATGGATGTTGACGGCGATATGTCCATGGATTTCAGTGAATTTTGCATGATTGTTGAATACATGAGAGAGGAAAAGGGGATGGAAGAAGAACTGAGGTAAAACGCTTTGTACATAGACACACGAGATCGTTGCTGTATTAGCAAAGTTATATAAAAAAGCGTGTAGTCGATTGGGTATCCAAGTATGTGATAGATAATTCATTCATCACGTATTTTTTCTATTTTGAAAATTTTTTTTTTCCTTTCCGCCAATGGTCGAGGTGAATTCCTCAATTTTTTTTTATTGAAGTCATATTTTTTCAACGCAATTCAGACATGACTATTATTGTGTGTGAACGCTCGGCAATCTGTCTGAGTGATTCTATGTTTCCAGTAATTCATTTGTCGACAAGACCAATTACAATAAAAAAACTCGCATACAATTATATATCTCCCAAATATTTGAGATTCGATTCGAAAAAAATACTCGATTCGATTCTGAAATCATCAGGCATTCGAAAACGCCCAGCCCTACGAACGACCACTAAATTGCCAAGATCTACTGAGACTACATGGAATACGATGTACTTATTTAGACTGCTATAAACTTTTAGCGGGCCCAATCACCTAATTAAGTTGTTGAATCCTGAAAGAATCAGGATGCTCAACATTTAATCAGATAATGTCACACTTGCCACGAGACCAAACCTTTAGCCGAAGATCGCAGTTCCCGACAATATGCATCATAGTGATTCGTCTGTCATTAGCCGAACTGTAAACAAAAATCTATCGTCGGGGAAGGTGCTTCCTACAAATTAAAATCAATAAGACAATGAAGACATTTTTAGAGACGCTTTTCGCAGCATTGACACAAATGGATGCGGTTACGTCACAGCAGAAGAACTTCTAGATTTATTAATGACACAAGGGAACACAATGTCACTCAAAGAAGCTTCGGAATTGATAAGGTAATAAATATACTTTAGTTTTTCTCACTGCAAGAGATTATGACAGAAACGATAAACTTGTGTTAGGTCCAAGCTATGCTGTGATCGATCAACCTGATATGCTGAGAAAAACACGAGATTTTATCCCAATGGGTGGATGTCGCACATTTGTCTATCAGGCGAATATATCGTAATTATATACGCGTATATATATAACAAACAAATAAATAAACATACAAATAGGGTGCAGTAACAATAATCAATATGGAAACTTTATTTAACACTGTCAACCCACGCATGAGTTGGAATACAGACTGTCAAAGAGAAGACTTCTCTGTGCGAAACATACGCACGTCGAATTGATCATACGACCTAATTAAGTCTTCATACTTGTTTTAATGTTGAAACATTCATTTAAACTAAAATTACTTATGTCATGGTGGGAGAGGTGGCTTTCGCAAATATGTGATAAGAAAACGGGTGATTGATTGCGCAGCTGTTTAGTTTCCTTGGGATCATTACCACGCAACGCGACATGCGCGGGTAGAAATGGCAGTTTGTGCAAACTTTTATGTTTTAGAACTGCTGCCTGTAAAGGTTCTTACTCAAAACGGATACCGGATAAAACTTATAGCATATCCGTGTAATTTATTTAATTGTGAACTTGTGTATATAGGCGAAGGATTAGTATCCCACCTCCTTGCAAAATGCAAACAAAGTTCGCAAATGACCATTTGACTGAACTGTAAAAGATGGGAACGGCTTCCACGTACAGCGTTAACTGCTGTTAAAATTAATTTATTTCCATTCATGTTGAAGTTTGCCATAAAAATCACAGTGTCCTATAAATACATAATGCTGCATAAATGCATATTGCCAGTTTTTGTCGAAACGGATATGATTGAACGTTTGATAAATGTTCCTAACGACGTGCGTCTATCAAAAAATGTTTGGCCTGACACAGCCCGAATATCAATCAGTCCGAGAACGAACTTCAGTATCGGTTTGAATTTACGATTGTGTAATAAACATTAATAAGTCACATCAGTTAGACTTGTTGTTTGCAGAATGCATGTGTGCCGTGGTGAACAAATACGACACTACGTTATTGAACCATATATGTCCGATACCACATCTTTTAATTCACAAGTCGCGTCGAACTATAATAAAGTGCGGTAATAACGATCGTTCAATACAAAAGTCGAGGCTGGGTAATTTTTTGGAAGTATTATGTGTTTACAAAGCAATAATATTAAAATAGCATCTCCTTCCCAATGAACTGAGCGAAATTTTAGTATTTGACAGACATCTTTTATCTAGAAGATTATCCTATCTATTTATGTCCAGGTTTCTAAGACCGAATGAAAAATTAATGGCTTACTCGTATGAGTTTTTGACAATACAAATTTTGCTTTTGAATTATTAAAAACCAAATTATCGCGAGATAACAAGCTCTTCACGTCATATGGTTACATTCAACAAAGGCAGTCATGCATTGTGTTGAAACATATTTTTTCTGTCTACGTTTATAAATATTGAAGTCTTAATCTCGCCAATACCATCTTATAAATATAAAAATATACAATTGACTTTCCGGTCTGTCGTATATTATGGGATAATATAATGTACTGTGTTACAATGCAATACCATTTAATTTTTTTGTCTGTTTTAGTAATTTTTATTCACTGGCAACCTATTTGATTTTCAATTTGCCAATTGCCATTAAATTATATTATCATGCGTTTGGGACTTTTTACACGGCGAATCTTCCATCCACATACACAAAACAATACAAATGCTATATTGAAAGTGAAATTTTATCAAAGCGAATTTTTGATCTTTGGTATTTGAAATCATCTGCCCTAGCTCGAGTAAAGATTATACCGGCAGTGGACATAAGTTGAAAATATTGGCATCGTAATTATTCAAACCAGGTGTGTACGCGTATTTTTAGAACGATATCTAGCTCAGCGCGCTACAGTGTCGATGTACAAATTAGCAAAACCTACTTATCCGTGACCCGATAAGCGATTTTATCGAACCGTTTTCCATATGGCCGAAAATATCCTCGATATGTAGGCTCTCGACTTGCTCGATCGAATAATTTCATGTCGCGTAAGCCTTTTAACCGCGTTTATAACCGTCTTTTCGATCGGGTCTTTGTTTCGATCACGGCGCTGTGACGTATTGGCCGCGAAGAAAAAAGATCGTGATCGAGAGAGCGAAGCGCGTAAAACGATACGATTGATTTTCGATCCGCCATCAGACAGGAAGCAGTGTGTGTGGATCGATCACACCGGGCTAGCCGATTACAGACACACAGTTAGTTGCAAACAGTGCGCAGACAGACGCGACTTTTGTTATATACGCATTATGATTGCTACAACCGGTTGTTCATATTTTGTTTTGCGATCGTTAATCGGTTTACAGTATGTACAAAATAGACAGCGTATGTGTACTGGTATGATATAAATACCCTTAGGCAGCCATTGAAAACTCAATTTTTCGCGCTCATCATAGACCGTAATTTTCCAAATTGCAAGATGAATTAAGTTCTTTTCGAATAGTGCTATCGAGAAATTTGGCTAGGCAAATATTAAACACTTGTCGTTTCATGAGCCTTGGAAATCGCGCAAGTTGATTACGAAACCAAAAGCGGATGGTTTTTAATTAACAGGGAGTAAATGTCAGCTATACCAATTTGTGGCCGCACGGTGTCGTCAACAACCAAAACATTGTAGCAACAATTTGAGATCTGCTGGAGGCTATTAGTGGAATTTATAAAATCCCCAATTTTTTAGGATATGTAATTGTAGGGTAGTTTTTTCTGCTGGAATATAAGGTTTATGAGCATGTTAAGCAAGGTGGGATGTGTTATGTGTCAGCTCTGCATATAAAAACATATTGGGATTCCTGTTGTGTGCATATCAATTGGAATTTATACTTGAAATTGATTACAACTGTGCTTCATACAGAATACGAGCAATATACCAGAGATACAGTTAATTAAGTATTATGAATGCTGATATAATTAGTAGCCCCGATTTAATGAAAAAACCTCGTGGAAAAGTACCAAAGAGATCAAGAATTTGGGAGATTTTCTCAGTGGCAGAGCATGACCAATGTAAAGCAGTTTGCAAAGAATGTCAAACAATTGTTTCAAGGGGAGGCGGGACTGCTCGGTCACAATGCACAACTAATCTATGGAATCATGTCAAAAACAAGCACCCCAATATATTCAATGAAATTAAGAAATTTAAGGAAGACATGAATCGTAACCAGGAAAGTAAACGATCATCAATCACGCTAGCGAAAGAAATTAAGGTTTCTAATAGTTCTAAAATATGGGAACTTTTCATTGTTAATAATGAAGACAGCACAGCAGTAAAGTGCACGGAATGTAATACAGAAATTACAATAGATGATGAAAATGGAAAAGATACTCTTTGGTATCACATGATGGCGTATCATCCAACTATGTATGCCAAATATGTAAATGAAGAAATGGAAAATGTGGTGTTAAGTTCAAAAGGCAGGAGATCAACCGTATGGAATGAATTCACTCAACATCCACTTGATTCCTGCAAAGTCATTTGTGATACTTGTGATACTATAGTGTCTCGTGGCACAGCCAAAGAGAAGTTGAACACAACTAACATGAGAAGGCATTTGAAAGGAAATCATCACATAAATGCACTGCATTCCAAAGGATTAGCTCAGAAATACTCGCCTTATTCAGAAGATGATGAACATGAGTCGAATTATAATCTATCATCAAGTGATGTACAGCAAGAACTGAATGAAGCGACATTGTCTAAATGTACTGATCTTGAAGTCAAAGGTTATCAGGTAAATGATTCTATGGTTACAGAATCATCAGATGATGACATGAATGGAAATAGTACGAATTCTTCAAACCATGGCAATTTTCCAGCAATGGGTGATATAGGTGACATGATGACGAATCGACAAGTTGATATGGTCCATACTGCTCTTCTTATGAATGCTTTATATCAGCAACAACAGCTGGAAATTTGCTGTGACTTCTCTATCTTTGTAAGAAACTCTTCAACCACAAGAAAAAGTCTAAACATAGGCAGCACGCAAAGTGGTAATTCCGCACAATCTACAACAGAGTTCAAATTGCATAAATGTGTAATTGGGACTGTATCAGACAAACTGCGAACAGCAATAGAATCGGGATCCGACAGTCTCACTATAACAGGAGTTGATAAAGATGTCATGACCGCGTTTATTGAAATTGTTTACACTGGTAAATTGAGTAACATTAATGATTCAAAGAGATTTCAGCTGCAAGACGTTAGTAAAGTTGCTGAAATATTATTAACACCCACCGTGTTACAGTATTTGAACCGTTGTTATCCAGGTCTATCTGCTAGCTCCACAATTGATTCTAGCTTATCTGTTCTTGTTAATGATAGTTCAAATTCTGAAAAGAGTGAAGCTTATGAAAATATAAAATCTGACAACCAAAGCAATATAGATTCTTCTCGTCTGCTGTCGCGTATACCAAAGGTAAATAAAAGGAAAAATTATTTGCCAGTGCCAAATGAAAACAGCCGAAAAAGACATAAACTCTATGAAGATAAAAGCTCTTTGTTATCTGTTATTAACAAAGATCAAAATGGAAGCCTCAAGATATCATCAGTCTTCAACAAAAAGAATAAAGATCATAAAATAGGTCAAAATAGTGTTCAAACAGCAGGTAATACATGTGTACCATCTTCACCTTCTTATGAAGAGAAAGACATGGAGGATATGTCGATAGCTTGAGCACAGAGGTTTCTCTCCACATTGATTAAATCAGAACTTATTGAACCTGATGTAAAGGCATGAAAAACGCAATTACTTTTCATTTGATGCATTCACCAGATATACACCTAAACATACCTCTCTTCAACAGTGAAATAAAAAAGTGTCAGCAGGCTGACCAGGAGAATTTACTCACATGTGACATGTTTAAAATTGTTATCAACTGCACACTTGCCATCACTTTGTTGACGAGCAGTGGTCAAGTATTTACTTTTAATTCCTGAATTTCTCAGCGTTGTAAACAGATATCCAGAAAAAGGTGTTATTCATGATCAGTTTGCTACTGGAAGCAATATTTTGTATAACATTTTATATTTTCTATATATGTATCAGAATTTCTTTCAAAAGAGTGCAATGGTGATTTGATATTTCTTTAACTTTTCTTGTGAAATTGTTCAAAATGGCAAATATTTTTGCATTTAATATGATTTTGTGTTTTAGTATTGTCGCACTGCCTTTCGTTGCGAAATATTGTTTATTTGTTGTTCATTTTCTTTTAATTACATTCAGTTCCCAAAACTGCAGAAGTCCAATGGCTTAATTTTATATGTTGCTGAATGATACAGATATTACTTTATTGCAATGCTTTAGAGACGCGATTTTTTTTACAAAGTAAGTTGTATGGTTCCATTACATTTGAACCCACGTACATTTGAACCCATGACAATTGCACCTGTATGCTATTGCACCTATGGAATTTTTTTTGTTTCACGGATAGTTAAACCCATACTAACCCTAACCCATGGGTTTTAGCACCCGCATATAGATTGAACCCGTGGATATACGCATGGGTTCAAATGTACATGGGTTCAAATGTACGGTCACCAAGTTGTATACAAACTATGGGCTTAAATTACACACTTGCGGCGCGAGATCAGTAGTTTTTTATTTCATCACCATATTGGAGATACACATCGGAACGCAAAGAAAAAAACTGGGGAAACGCTATGACTTACAGCTCTTACATAAAACATAATAAATCGTAATTCGAGAAGCTGCCGAAATAACCTAAAAGAAACCGAATTGAAAAAAAAGAATTCATTCACACACACGCATCCGTGGTAACGCAACTGCAACCATGTTGACCGTAGGTTGGTCAAAATTCGGGTTTTCTAGTGTTGGTGTTCGTTTCACTCAGCTTTAAGGCGCGCACCCGATGCCGTGAGGCAAGGGTCGGCAACCTACGGCCCGCGGGCCAGATCCGGCCCGTGACGCTTCACTGGATTGTAGCGACAAAACGGCGGTTTACACGAATTAATTTTATAATCCACGCTCGAGGAGTTGATTATATTCTTTACGTAACAGAATTTATTGTGAGCTTATGTACATTATATTATAACCTAATAATTCAGTGAAAAGCTACTCGTTTAACGAGCCAACAATTTAATTATAATTGAACAAATGGCAACAGGCAGAGAAGTTGATTTTGAGTGCAGAGGGTTCAATGGCGCAGAAAATATTCGAATAGAGCTTCTTGAGATGCAATACAATGAGGAAATAAAATCCATATTCTATTCGATAGATGTATAACTGCTTGATTTTTATAAAAAGTATATTCTTGAAGGAAATCTCTATCCAAATTTGACAAACCATGCGATAAAATTCACATCGATGTTTGGAAGTCCATATGCGTGCGAACAATTATTTTCGAAAAGGTACATCACAGCAGAGAGCAATCTGAGAAATCGGATTAGTGGTGCGCATTTAGAAAATGTTCTAATCTTGGCTTCATCCAGTGTGCCGCCTGATGCCGAAAAGCTATCGAGCGTGATGCAATAAGCCAACGACAGGTGTCACATTAAGTTATATGTAAAAAAATTTTTAGTAAGACGACTGAGTTTAATTCTCGAATTGTCGCAGTCTTCGCGGGCTGTTTAAAATCTAAAATTTAAACTTCTGAACTGCTTGAAAAAATTGTGATTCATCGGCCATCCGTTCAGTTTTCAACTTTCTAAAAATATGTGCGACTCGCTTAGACTTGCAACCCTTAATTTTGGCCCGCGAGCGACAAAATGTTGCCGACCCCTGTCGTACGGTCTTAGGCGGTTATGTTGGTCGTATGGCAGGAATCGTCGCAGTACAGAGTACAGTATGGTTGGGTGGCCTCTGGAGTTTGCCTGGTTTGTCCTATCTTTTCCCAGACCGTTGTGTTTATCGCCCATCGTTAATACATCATTTGTCTTCTATCGGAATCTTTTGTTCAGATTTGTCGACAAAAACGGAGACGGTAAATTGGATTATGAAGAGTTCATGAGAATCATTCTCGAAGGTAAAAGTATGTCACGATCAACAACTTTCTACTCGACTGCAGCGTCATCCCTGAACTCCCTTCAAAATAGTCAAATGAGTTTGGCAAAACAAGGTAGCGAAGAGCATTCATCCAGCTACAAGACAGCAAAGTCGAGTCATACAGATGGAACGATAGCAGCGCTCGCAGGTGATTTGACAACAGATTACGGTAATAACAGGCATTCGATATTTGTCGTCGGTTCCCAGCCTAGGTTTAATCGAAATACTGGTTAGTATTTATATTCCTAAAATTACATTATCTCCAAATGGTACAACAGGCGGAAACTGGGCAAAAACAGCAGAATTTGTTTTTTACTTTTGAGTATGAGTAAAATATAACATGTATATATATTACTATAGAAGCTAATGACATTTATAGATTGATCAGTACAATTTTTTTACGCATAAAGGACTTTATAGCATCAGCATTTTCTCTAGAACAATTTTTTCAATACGCCTGCAAATGTGGAAAGTGTTTACTAATACTTATCGCTATAAGAAAGTTTTACCGTTATGAAAAACGATATATATAATGAAAAATGCATTGTGTTGATGCTGAATCATAAGAGCTCAGCGAGTGTAATATTGAATTTATATGCGTTCGGCGTCCCATAAATACCGAATAAAACTAATAAGTATCAATTTGTTCACGGATTATGGTTTGCACCAATTGTACCTGATTAATATTTGTTGTCTTTTTCAATATCGACAGAGTCATCAGAACTGGTGACTATGAGTATATCATCGCTTAATTTCGGACTTCCTGACTTAGCAGCGTTTTCTCAAAATCCAAAGTGTGACATTGCAAATAGTGACAAAAAGGAAAGGTAAGAGCAGATAAGCAGTAAGATAAAGCAACATCAAGTTTTGTGTATGTAAAAAAAAGTCTTCCTCATGCAGTTGAAATTGGTACATGATGTACTTTTTATGTATTGAGATGCTTGAGGTAGACTGAATATCTCGAAATTCATAATTCTGTTCATCAATTAGTCAGTTTAGGCTGGGATGAAATGAAATACAACTTATTGTTGCTGGTTTCATAGTGAAAAACTCATCAAACTTAGTTCAAATAAACTATAGAAAGTTTTCTTATCCAAAATAGTCGCATATTGGGAACAAGAGAGCGGTGCTCAAATGTATGGACACAACGGCCAAAACGAAGTAATACGGGTATGCAATCTGTCACAATAGACTACCGATAGCGGAACCGCCACAAGGTGCGCAATTTTTGTCACCTCATCGCAGACAAAAAACGAATCCCATAGAGCCCACGGAAATAAATAGAAGTAATAGCAAAAAATACAATCTTTATCCACTGAAAATTTCAAAGCAATTAGTTCTGTAATAAAAGAGAAAAGTGACTTTTTCATAACGATAAGAAAAAATACTTACACGAACATCAACATAACAAAAATAACATAATAGCAAAAAGACCTATATGTAAACTTCATGTCCAAAAATAATATTAATGATAACAAAACGACCCATATGTACACTTCGATTCCAACAAGAGAGTGTTGCCCAAATATATGGAGACGAAGACCGCACATGGGCACCGCTGAGGCCTCGGAAACACTGTGTATGCTGAAGGGGGCAGTAGACAAGCGTGGCAGAGGTGGTCAATCTTTTTAGAATAAGAAGTGTTCTCTTTGATTAAAATGATACAGCAACAATTTGGCTAAAATATCGAGACACAAAGGTGTTAGAGAAAACTTGAAAAAATAGTAATGAGCTCTTAGCGACTTTTCCACCTTTATGGTAAAAATTTGAAATTAATTGTTGGTCAGTTGCGACACAGAGCGATTTCTCCAAAAACAAAAATAGTTGAGCAAAACGATCCATGCGTGCACACCGTGTCCAATAATATATCCAAGTCTATATAACTCATAAATCTATATTTCATCCTATCAATAAGCATAGATTACTTATGGTGGTTGTGAGTCTGATGTGTTTAGATAAATTTTACTTCCGATGTCCCATACCAAATTACGAATATATTCTTTTTCCAGATCAGGGACTGAGCCGCCATCTACAGGAAAACAGGCCATTTCAATCAACGTAGTAGGTCCAGAAAACGGGGAAGTACTGGGATCAGTCGTGCTAGAAAGTGGAACGCCAACGGCTACAGACAACAAATAAGCAATATGCTGTGTCTGGTCGCATTTGTTGTTTAAAAATTTGATGTTTTTTCGTACAAAGATTTCATATCGAAAAGACAGCGGCATGTAGTGTTTATTTGTTTTTAATACTATTCTAACGATGATAAAACATTTATGTATATCATTTGTCTGAAATTGCCGCCTAATCAGTCTCACATACCTTAGATTTTAGAGCAATTACAACGATATTTGTATGTATATATTTAAATTGGATTTGAGAAAAATTATACTTAAACGTCACAATTGGATTTATTAGAAAAATGATCCGATTCATCGAGCGTTCGAAATACGTCTAGTTTCAGAGGCGAATGGAATATTTGTTTCATATATATTAATATCAGAAACAATATTGAAACCGCAAACTGTACCGTACTGCAATGAGATATTTATATGGTCAATGCGTTCCCAAGTTTACCCAATGAGATATTTGGTACTTACACAGAGTACTTTTTGAGATAAGTGACATATGACGGGTTCCTTTAATTACCGGAACGGACCCTAAATTACCGGAACGGACCGGAACGGGGTGGAAAACATACATAAACCTACCGGAACGGACCCTTAGATGTCTTGCAAATGTCATTTCATATACTTCCATGCCATTTTTATATTAAATCGGCAAACTTGGGGGGGTACAGTGGTAAATTTAATTTTCTTTAATTACCGGAACGGACCCTAATTTGCCGGAACGGAGTGGAAAACCAACATAAATCTACCGGAACGGACCTTTAGATGTCTTGCAAATGTCATTTCATATACTTCCTTGCAATTTTTATAATAAATCGGCAAACTTGGGGGGGACAGTGGTAAAATTAATTTTCTTTAATTACCGGAACGGACCCTAATTTGCCGGAACGGAGTGGAAAACCTACATAAACCTACCAGAACGGATTTGTAGATATCTTGCGAAGGACATTTTATGTCCCTCCAAGCGATTTCCCAAGTAAAATGGGAAAATTGAGGGGGATAGAATGATAGAAAATAACAATTTCATTTTACGCCACCTAGCGGATGTAAATTGAGCAATGAATTCCTAAATCATCTCTTATCAATATGAATTGATGATAAAAATTGATAATCAAAACCCTCTTACATGTTATTAGTCTTTAATTTTCCTTGTAGATAAGATAACGTAGTCATAGATTCAGATTGAAACAAATAAAAATTGTTTCCACAAACATTCTTGTGCAGGTATTGCAACTATGTAGCACAACATGAATATCCACCTAAATCTGTCATTATTAGAGATGATGTTGTTATTTAAGTTCGTGTCACCCGTAAGACTGCTGTTCCGGCACTGTAATCTACCTTGATAGATTGCATATTGCTTCGTGTCCATATATTTAAGCATCGTCCTCTTGTTTACCTACATACATACAAATCTGATCCTCTAAAATGACTCCTTCAAAATTTACTAATATGCTATTGACTTAGCTACAGATTGTTAATTTCCCCACTAGGTCTCGAAATTTATACGCAAAATATAAAACGTGCTTTCTTATAATTTTTCACCAACTTAAACGTAGGAACTCATGCTCAAATTCGTTCTGCCAGTGGAGGTTTTTGTATTTTACAAGAGTAGAAAAAATACAACAAAAAAATTAATAGACAAAAATAGAATATTGAAAACTAACTAACGGGAAGTGGGAACGATTAAAAATATTCAAAAAAAAAGGAAAGAACCGAAGAAATGAAAGAATAAACAAAACACGAGAAATGCGTAAAATTCAACTTAGTTTTTGTTTCTTGTCTTGAGTTTCTTTACAGTTCGGGTTTATTCGGATCGAGGTCGTTTTCTTTGACACGGTTTTTTGCCACCAGATGAATTTACTCCGATCATTAACATTCCATCCGATGACAGCAACGATTTTAGTTGATTAATTGAAGAGAAGGTAAGAAATCTTTTTAAGTAATTTTTATTTTTCTTCTTTTGATTTCCCAAAATATTTGTTTGGGGCAATGAAAAAATGATTAAACTCAGTTGCCAGACGGTAATTGCCTACTCCAATAAGCGCACGCTCCACATCTTTATATTGGGCTTTTGTGTGAGCAATCAGCCGCTCTATGAGAATATCTATGTTTGTAGATTTCCAATCAATCATGTGCTTGAGTACGTGGTTCATACTTTCCGTGTTGTTGTTAGTCCAGTGTGCGCTAAGCTGTTTGTTCTTTGTTACGCAAAAAATACCCTTCTTTATCAGCGGTAAAACCCGTCTTACCAAATAATTCCTCAATGACGGGTTTTCTGTATTGTGTAGTAGATCCGAAGTCTTTTTTGCGAATGATTCTTCATTTTCAGTTGTTATTATCCCTGTACGTCCAAAGATGGTCTCATTAATGCTTCATCTTTCGCTCACATTCAGCCCCACTTTAATTTTCTCGAGGGTGGCCGGTCTGGTACGAAAATACTGTTCATCACATTTTGCATTGCCATAGATGGTTTTCACTTGATTACTGCCGACAAACTCAACCAGAGCAATTTCATCTTTGACCTTTATTAAATATGTCGGCGCTGACAGTATACACGTAACACGTTTTTTGAACATTCTAGTCCCTTTCAGAGACGCGTAGTAACGCTGTATTTCGAGCAATTGTTCAGAACTCGGTTGTGGGATTAATGGAATGTAGGTTCTTCTTCCTTCGATTTCTTTTTCGTTGCAAAATTGTCCCGCTTTTTTAAAAACTTTTTTGGGCCTACAACCTTCTTCCACAAAATAAAACGTTTTAGGAGATGTGCCTTTCTTAGAATTCCAGACGCCACAATCGTCCGAAAATTCGCTTCGGTATCCTTTCCTACGATTCTCTGCATTTTTGGTGTTTGTGATGAGAAAATATACATTTTCTTTGCTACCAGTTGGAATTTCAGGTAACACCGTGCCTGGTTCACAACGGCCAATAATTTGAATAATATGTTCCAAGCTTAGGAATTTTCCGTTTGGCAGAGGAACGCCTCGATTATTGGATACTCTGCATGTATCGGATATAGAATGAGGCATGTCAGGAGTTACAACACCTACAGTTGCAGAGTCCTTTGCTGCATCAACATGTTCGTCTTTGCTGGTCGACTCGTCTGATATTAATTTGTCATCATTACAAAATGTTTCCGAGTCCGATAGTATACTAGGGGAATCCGGAATTAAAATCGTATCGTATTTTTGAACTGGTCCTTCGAGGAGAGGTACAAAATGATTTGTTCTAAAATCTTTGGCTGTTGGAGGAATCGTCATTTGGGTCCACATTATTGTCGTTTTCGATTGTTGCGTGGCTCTGACGTCACGGCCACAAATTTTCCTTGTGAAAGGCTGGCTTAGGAAAACGTTGGCGCTGGTTTGAGGGTAATAAGATTGAATCGGAGCTTTGATAACTGAACTCAAGCCATACATGTGCATCATTTCTGAAAAACTTCCATCCGTTCGAGCTGAATGTATCAAATCCGAGTATTTTGATGTCACAACCCGATCATCATCAATCGGGTTTTTGAAAGCAGGAAATTCTATGTCGTAAAATTCTTGATGTTCCATAATTTCAATTGCTGTCAAGAGGCGTACATGTTTGTGATAGTCTTGTGTTCCATATAACGAGACGGATACTGCCCTGTATAAGCAGTTTCCATCGCCTTCCACGTACATTGGAGTAAAACAGTCCAGCATGATTGGATGAAACTTTTGCAAAATATTCTTAGACACTGAACATTCTCTTATATGATTCTCAGATTGTGGTGCTTCTAAAGGTATAACTTGATGATTGTCTAACAAACATTGCAACGATTTGGTCAAGTAAGGGCGACCTGCTAACATCTGTAACGCCATGTCGCAATCGAACTTTTGATTCGGGCACAAGCACCTTGCACATAAAAAGTGCATGTCTTTCTTGCTCCATACTTCCATGACTTTTGGTTGTTCTCCAAGACAGAAAGCATGTGTCCAGGTCTCACACATTTCACATTCAATGCACTCGTCAATGCATTCAATGGAACAGGTGGCACATGGGTATCTCAATGCACTAGACATAGCGTAGTAGGCTGTCTTTGACGTTTGCGTTGAATATCTGAACCAGAAAATGGAACTCTTAGTTAAAAGTAATAAAGGTATATTTGATATCGACTAGTACAATTAAAAATTATCATTCTGACTCATTCATATATTATATACATTCAAGATCTTAGCGTTTTGCAACAAAGACACTTTTAAAATATGGACACCATTTCCTCATTCGAAGTAAACTTCAATAAATATATATATTGATCCTTATATAAAATACAAGTTATCTGAGCTAGCAAAAGTTGTACATACCGATAAAATCGTCGAACTGGCTTGGTATTCTATCCTTGGCACGTTGATGGAGAAGATATAAAAACTAGGAGTACAATTACAAGAATCGTAAATAATCTGCTTTAAATTCCTGATGCTAATAGTTCGAATATTAATTCGAAATGGCACATAGGTCGCTTTTCTGTCGCAAAGAAATCTCCGGCCATGACGAACAGCTCAGCGCCAGTCCTACTGCATTTCAACTTTGGAGGCTCGAAGCTGTGTTATCAGTAGATAAATCAGTAGGAGCACTTTGAACCGTCCTCGCTATAAAGGCTATAGCGACAATCGTTTTCAACTCGTGGTCAACTCTCGCATTTTCCTATGCTGAAATTTTAAATTCAAGTATTTTGTCAAATATGTTAACGTTATTGATATATTAAAACATTTATGTATGGTTTTATATATTTACCGATATATATATATATATATCATATTTAAATATATATCACAAATATTTCATATTTGATGAAATACAACGACATCCCCACTTTCATCATAACTTAAGGTCACGTACTTCAACCAGTTCCAATATAAAATGTTTAGCTACATAGTTACAATGCCTGCACAAGAATTTTGTGGAAACAATTTTTAGCATAATAGTAAATTTTGAGAGAAGTCATTTTAGAGGATCAGATTTGTATGTATGTAGGTAAACAAGAGGACGATGCTCAAATATATGGACACGAAGCAATATGCAATCTATCACGGTAGATTACAGTGCCAGAACGGCAGTCTTTACGGCTGACAGGAACACGAACCAAAATAACAATATTATGTTTAATAATGACAGGTTTAGGTGGATATTCATGTTGTGCTACATAGTTGCAACACCTGCTCAAGAATGTTTGTGGAAACAATTTTTATTTGTTTCAATCTGAATCTATGACTACGTTATCTTATCGACAAGGAAAATTAAAGGCTAATAACATGTAAGAAAGTTTTGATTATCGATTTTTATCATCAATTCATATTGATAAGAGATGATTTAGGAATTCATTGCTCAATTTACATCCGCTAGGTGGCGTAAAATGAAATTGTTATTTTCTATCATTCTATCCCCCTCAATTTTCCCATTTTACTTGGGAAATCGCTTGGAGGGACATAAAATGTCCTTCGCAAGATATCTACAAGTTCGTTCCGGTAGGTTTATGTAGGTTTTCCACTCCGTTCCGGCAATTTAGGGTCCGTTCCGGTAATTAAAGAAAATTAATTTTACCACTGTCCCCCCCAAGTTTGCCGATTTATTATAAAAATTGCAAGGAAGTATATGAAATGACATTTGCAAGACATCTAAATGTCCGTTCCGGTAGGTTTATGTTGGTTTTCCACTCCGTTCCGGCAAATTAGGGTCCGTTCCGGTAATTAAAGAAAATTAAATTTACCACTGTACCCCCCCAAGTTTGCCGATTTAATATAAAAATGGCATGGAAGTATATGAAATGACATTTGCAAGACATCTAAAGGTCCGTTCCGGTAGGTTTATGTATGTTTTCCACCCCGTTCCGGTCCGTTCCGGTAATTTAGGGTCCGTTCCGGTAATTAAAGGAACCGACATATGACGCATTTCAGTCAGGGAATAATGACTTGAAGTTTTCATCAGGCTAGGGAAAATACGGAGCTATTCATTTTGCCGACAATACCAGTCGGAATTGCTAGCTCGTTCCAGTCTCTTCGATCCCATATTCCTATTTCCCAAACTTAAACAAATGAGCCTGACGGACATGTACCAGTAATGAGTAAATCCTCAATTCCTTTGCTGGAAAACGGCGGACATGCGTGACGTGGGCGGTTAAGCGTGAAAGAACAAATAAAACAGTCATATTTTAGGTGAAGCATTATGACCTGTGGGATTCAGAAAAAAATATTTAATTCGATTGTATTTGATAGATAACATATCATACATAGTTAGTTATATACCAAGTAGATTACCCATACACCATTGTATCTAGTTAGACTGGTAGATTTATTAGTTTAGTTTTAAGCCTATTTTGAATCATATTTTGAGGTAATAAAGGGTATATTTTGTGCGAAGAACACACAATACAGTTTGCAGAGCCCGTCAACGCTTCAGTGTCGTTGCACTCAAGCGTAAGTTATGTGCTTCGATGATTACCAATAAATCCAACTTGTGACGTCACGAAGTGCCGTGTCGCCGCAGTATGGTACTTTTCTCTCTTTTAGTCATGTTTTTCTACGCGAGATATCAAACAGTCGCGCGGTACAACACGTAAATTGTGACCAATAGTTTGGGCTAATCTAGTTTCAGAACCAAAGTTGTGATAAAGGAAATCTTGAAGAAATCATAAGGTATGTGTCAATATTTATAGTTATAAGTCGATAAATATTTACACCTTTTTTGTGATGTCGATAAAGTGATAAAAATTTTTTTGATTTGGCAGCATTAGCAAAAAGCTGTCGATAATTATGGCAGCAACAATGGGCGTTTAGTTTTAACGAATGAATACTGGTAGGGTCTAGCATTGATGAAAAAACACCGTCTTTCAAAAATCAAATACAGAAATATCACTAATACATTTTTAGATTTTGCACAACTAATTCCTGAGACTGTAAGATGCTTAGCTTAGAAATCAGAAATGAATAGTGAATGAAAAATCAGAAATGAATAGTGAATGAAAAATCTGAATATCACAGATTGTGGGATATAAATAAAGTTCAAAATTTTAAGGATGGAAAACTATAATTATACTGAATAAATTAACATGAATTTCAACGTATATATCAAGTCAGTTATTAGTATTGCTTAGGTATATTTTATTATTCAATATTTTCACACCTTCACTCTAAACAAGGCTTCGTACAATCAGTCACTGATATGTAAGGATCTCTTTACAGTTTGCCATAACAATTGGCAGATTGGGAAAAACGCCAATATAGATAAAGGCAATGTAGGCTATGTTCAAATTGTGCATAATAACTAGAAGTTTCTTAAATATGACAATTTTCCTAGATGAACAGTCCACATCGTCGTCGTTCAAAAGTTTGGTTGTCATTCTCATTGAAAGGCGACAATGAAGATAAAGCAGTATGTAACATTTGTGGGTTTGTTGTCGATCGAAGTAAGATAATGAATGCAGACAAAAAAAGTAGTACTCTTGGGAAAAAACTTTGGAAGCATCTCGACCAAAGTCATGTAGAAGTGAGCACAATGCTATCCGAAATAGGCCAAGATGATGTTCTAGCGGAGAGCATACTAAACCAATTGAACATAAACTCCCTTCAAAAGCAAACGGGCAAGGGATTTACTTCAAAAATATGGGAATTTTTTGAGCTCAATAAAAATGATAAAAATATTGCAGAATGTAAAACGTGTTCAGTTCATATTTCAAGATCAGCTGATCGTAATACAACCTCTATGTGGAACCACGTCAAGCTCAAACATCCAGATCTATGGAAGGACTCCCAGTTCATATCAAATGAAATACCTGAAATTGAGGCCGAAAACACAGACTGCAATATTAGAGATGAATTTCTTTTATATAATATCCGGCAAAATTCATACATATGCAGAACTTGTGGAATGGTCATGCGTCTTGAAAGTCCTAATGAAGATATTAATACTTCAAGATTGGTAAAACATTTAGACCATATATTTCATAAAAGAGTGCAACATGGTCTTGAGCCACCTAAAAGGAATCCCAAACTACCATTTATTGAAAGCAAGTCAAGTACAAGCAAGTCTGCGAAAACACTTCCCACACCTGTATCACCAGAAAAAATTATCGCTAACAGAGAAGTAGATTTAGTACACAGCGGTGTTATGATGCATACATTGTATATGCAGCAACAGATGGACTTGTGCTGCGATTGCACTATCCTGATTCCAGAAAGTGAGAAACCAAAAAAACGTGGCCGCAAGAGAAGAACTGCCATTCGTAATGATGATGATGCAGTCAAATATTATGAAACTAATGCGGGATATGAATTCAAGGTACATTCATGTATTCTTTCTATTGCTTCTGATAAAGTGAAAACACTTCTAGATTCATCTGACCAAATTGTGATGCACGATGTTACAACGGATGCAATGCTAAGCTTTATTGAAATTGCATACTTGGGTAAACTAAAGAATTTATTCCATTTGGAAGAATCAAAAATTTGGGATATCTATACGATTGCTCATTCATTCGATTCTAGATTGGTTTTGAAATATCTAGAGCGGGAATGTATAAATGTAATTAAAAAATATGAATCTGAAGCAGTTGATCCACCAACGTTGGTATCTGAGATCTCTACTTATTGTAATGGCAACGATAATGTATCAAAAAGTGCGAACTTCCTTAAGACAAAATCTTCAAAGAAACGAAAAAGGCCTCCTCCTGCCCCAAAATTCAAACTAAAGGTGAAGACACAGCCTCGAAAAAGAAAAATTAGGAAAATGGCTGATAAAAATCCAACTGAAAATGGATACAACAACAATTTTTCAGAAGAATGTGCAATGAAAATTGACAAAAAGGACAACAGAGCTAAGTTAGAATCTCATGAGGTTGAAAATTCAACTGAATGCGGATATAAAAACAATTCTTCTGAAGAATGTGAACAGAAGTCAGACTTGCAGAAGGACGATTTTACCAAGTTAAAATTTGCTGAATATAGAGATGACACATTTGTGGACCAAGATGATTGTGAACCAAGATTTGTAATTAAAGGCGATACTGCAATTTTGCATGCTAGTTCATGGGACCAATTTCCAGGAAATGAGGATGACATTCAACAGTATAGTGGAGATACAGATAAGCCACAATTGGTATGACAGTGATGGCATGAGGGAGAAACACTGGTCAAATATGAACGTGTATACTCATTTTGCATGAATGTGCGTCTTTTATGCTAAGCATTGTCATTCAAAAACTTTGAAAACAATTAAATGGTGCTGATCTATTTTAAATGCCTTGTTGAGGTTTTAGATGTCAGGGGAATAGATCTCCATTATCACTGCTATTGAAAATCCAAGCACTGTAGAATAGTGAAACCAAAAAAAAACTTAAGCCCTGTCTGCTGAGCCCGAAGAAAGTAAAGAGCCACACTTCCTACATACATGTGAGGTGGATAAATTAACTACTCCCTACTAATCTGCAGACCTGTAGAAAGCTGCTTGAACTAACTACGTAACATAGTTGAGAAAAAGCATTAAAAGACCACGGCTCAAATATCAATCGAAACTAGACTTATCGCTGCCTTAAATAAGGGTCTGAACTCTTGGAAAGTTAATAACACTTCCTAAGTATCTGCAAACCTGCACAGCACAATGTATGTCCTCCCAGTTACAACTTTTCACAGCAACACATCAAAATCTAGAGGAAAATGAAAATTTATTGCACTTGTTTATTTGTTAAATAATGTTGAAAGAAGCACAAACAAATACCAACATATGTTTAATCAAAAACTGGTAATAACTTGATATCCAATGCTTCACACTCTTCTTTCAGTTCAATTCTTTCATCAAACCTTGAGCAGTTTTCAGTTCTGATAAAGGAACAAAACTAGCTACAGCCAGGACTGTATATGTATATCGTGCAAAGAGTAAGAATGCGGGGACATTTATTTAAGGGGAATCGCTAATCAATTAATCATTGACAATGAGGAACCAAATCATAAATGGCGAAGAGTCAATAGTCCTCTCACAAATACTATCTTATCTGATATCCCCAAAGCATGGGCTTTTGTGCGTTAATGCTACTAAGACGCTATCTTCATATCATTATTGGTGTTGAATATCGCTGTAGCGATATCATTTTTTTCATATTAAAGTCTTTATATCTATGGAATATAGATATATACTAACAGACGAGGAACAATCACAATTCGTATCTACCAATTACCACAGACTAATCTTACCATGTAAAAAAATTCTCAACTTATCAGCACCAATTCGAAATGATTTCTTCTCCAGTACTGCATCAGAAGATTTCAACTAAAAAGACCAAACAGAATTATAAAATATTAGGAGTGGAGTTGTCAAATGGTAATGCTTAATCGAAACATGTTAGTTTGCCATAGTGGATTTCCCTTAACAGAGTAGGTAGTATTAGAAATGAAACTCTTTCACGCAAGTTACAACTTGCAATACCTTACACTACAAAAATGTTTACATTGAATAAATTTTCGTGGCTATGCAACACTGTGTTCTATAATACATACATAAAGAAAAGATAGATTGATACTGGTAATACTGGTATAGCCTGATATGCAAATTCCATGGTGATGTATATTGTCAAAGGTTAATAAATTCTATTTACTTGCAGATTAATCACAGCATGCTTCTCAATTTCGCCAGATTTATCATTTTTCACTTCCTCTATTTTCCATGCTACATTTTCCAATCGCCCAGATCGCCGTAAGCTTTGTTTTCTGAATTCCTCTTGTAATTGTGACAATTTACCATCATATGTTTTACAAAGAGCAGCTGTATGTTCTGATGATAATGTAACAATTGTCTTATTAATGCTACCGCAAATCAAAGTAGTAGAAAAAAAAGAGATAAAGACATACAGAGGCCCTGAGAAAGCTTTCGGTATTCCTGCAAGTACTTGAGACCAGAATTAAAATTGTATAATAGCTAATTAAACATTAATTGCAGATTTCAATTCTAAAATCTCCTCCACAATGCAATTTTTCAAAAATGTTAGGACTACCGTTAATACTCAAAATTGATCCATCAAAAAGAAACGTTTCGATAAGTGGTTTAAATTAATCCATAGCTCATCGAGGTTTCTAACACAAAGTGTTCATCAACAGTGTAACAGTGATATAGTTCAAATTAAAATTCTGGCTCATGCCACATTGGCTTACAAGAGCAGCTATTTGAAACATCAACAGTGTAACAGTGATATAGTTCAAATTAAAATTCTGGCTCATGCCACATTGGCTTACAACAGCAGCTATATGAAATGTATTAAAATAGATAGAAATTACCTTTTGGTAATCCAAGTTGTTGCAATTCACTTGATAGAGTTTCTTCATCAACATCATGTTTTGCAGCACTGGATATTATATAACGAATTCCAGCTATGCTTGCTTTCACATCACCTGGCTCTGGAAAGCATTGAGTAAACATGATGAGATGTTTGATTAAGTAAGATATATCCTCAATATGCCGGAAGCATTCAACACTTTACTTGGATTGGATCGTCAGAAGAAATCGGAAATAAAGTTGTACAAATACATGTCAGCCGACACCAATAATTAACTACGGTATACCACTTTCTGTGACCTGTATTCTCCTAAAGAGAATAATTTTTTAAATACTTACCATATTTAGCATCAGATGTAATTTTTTCAACCTTTTTGAGCTAAAAAAGATAATATCTCAATTAGTTTATCTATAGGTCAATTTATGATCAATGGAACAAATATACAATGTTTGTCGCTTAGCAATGCCCTTTAATGAACCTATTGTACTTTAAAGTAAAAATAGGTAAAGTAAAAATGTACCGGTATATACTTAGTTGAATTTTCCGAAATTTTACAATGTAGTCCAGTAAGCATGATTCAGTGCACTAATACACAATTTTGAATGTTTTTGGATAGAAATGTATAAAATATTTTGGTCACATAATAGCGGAGACAAAAAACTGATAGCAATGAAATAACGCAGGTGAAAATCGTTAAATTTCACTTCCTGTTTTAAAATATTGCTTTCCATTGTTCAACAATGCCTTACAAGCACAGCATAAACTTTTTTGAACAATTGTTTCATCCTGTAAAATTTTGCTGTTTATACAATGTGATGGTTTGTGAGTTTGAATTGATAATAGGATCGTCATACTAGATATACTTGAGACAAACGGTCTAAATATGTCTTACACAAGTTAGCCAGGAATGCTCATTTAAACGAACCGCTATTAAGTGATATTACTGCAAACAAATGATTAATTTTGACAAGTTTTTATGTTTGTTGTCTCAGTGTTTTAAAAATGTTTGACTCCTGTTATACATACTCCAAATTAATTATTATTGAAGTAACTCACATCAATCTCATCTCCAAGAATTGCTTTGATAACTTGCATAACAAGCAACTTCATTTTTACTGATGTCTAAACAGAAACAAGTTGACAGAAATAAGTTTGGTATAAATTGTGAAAATCTAACAAATTGACATGGTCATCAATATAATTATGAGTTGGGTTGTCTATCTTTCAGTTATGCCATTATGCTAGCGGATTATTATGCGTAGAATGCAGCAGCAGGAATAAGCATGACTATACCATGCAATTCAAGAGTCCTTTCTGCTGCGCACTAACACAAATGTATTTCCGTAACGTTTCGTCTGACCAAAGTCACTGCTTGTCTAAGGGAAGTCTGATTTTGGTCAGACGAAATGTTACAAAAATACATTTGCGTTAGTGTGCAGTATGACTTTTGAATTGCATAGTATGGACATCAGTTAATTAAATTGTATGTTGGGAGAAATACTCTTGGCATAGTTTAAAGATGGCTATGTAATATTAAACAAAGTTCGACTGATATGATATGACTTTGTTGACTTGTACACCACACAACTCATATTTTTATGCTTATCATATATCATTCACCTACCAATCTCGCTAAAATGTTTATCTCAGCCAATACCCAATCTGGACAATCCAGATCTCCACAGAATCTGAATCTCTAAATGAAAGAAAAACTTATCATACCGTATTAAAATACAGCCATTTTGTTAATTAACAAATAAAAGCTGAAGAAGAGTTGATGAAAAAGGGAAAATACTAGGATAGTAACATTATGTTGTTATATCACATGGATGCACAATAAGTAGTAGCTACTGTCGAATGAAAACTACATAACATGTACAGATAGAAATCTGTTTCAGGGTAGTTAGGATGTCATCTATGAACAGTTTTATTCTAGAATTGTCCAAATGAGTATAATTTTTTATTTGTTTCAATACTATTATATTCTGTACTTTTTAGGAAGTGAAGGTCGATGCAGATCAATGTGCAACTCGAACTCTTTAAGGGCCTTTTTTCTAGCCTACTTCGATTTCACATATTTGTTTAAACTAAAATCGAATTGGCATATTCAAGGATAATCTTTGACATACTTCAAGGCATAATACATTTGATATGTACGTCAATATTCAATAAAATCAATCAGTTTATACTCACCATTGTTTGTGGCTTTTTACATAGAATTCAACCTTAAAAATTATAATAAGCACATAGAAATCGTATACCTTATAGTAAAATAAGACAAGCAATCAGAGAAAAAACTGTACTTTTAATCATTAGAATACTGCAGTTTTTTACAGCTGCAAATATCATATTGTGTTTTTAAAGAAAAAACGATTGAAGACAGCAAAATAAAATACAAAAAACACATTCAGACAAAAGTATTATCCTTTAACTTCATTTACCGTAATATTCTTATTGAGCACAAAAGCACTCAATTAGAAGGATGGGACCCCAGAAAAATTAGAGAAGTTTGAGGAAGTCACTGAAATGCTAAGAATCCAATGGAATTGGGCAGAAAGAAATGGCTCCTTTTTAAACAAATATCATCAAAAAAATTAATTGTTATTACTCGGAGACAAAATAGAAGCCATTCCAGAAAAAAAAAAAACTGCACAATACCGTAATTTAAATTAAGAAACATTTATTGGGAACACATTCTTAATAAATTCTCAACTCCGCTTGAAATAATAAATTGAAATTGATCATGAGATTAATTTGTTAATTTGTCAAACTATAAGAGGAAATATTGTATGAGCTTGCTATTCCATTATTCTTGACATGTAAAAATATTTTTATCTCCAGTTATAAATTTTTAACAAATAAAAATGACTAAAAACGATTTAACAAGTAGTAGTAGTATATTCCTCAATAAAAACGACAGCATTTGCTAACTATTATAATTTAGCTTAGATGAACCACAACTAGGATGAAGGGAAAAATTGCAAAAAAACATGATGAATCTAACAATTGGCAGAGAAATGGTTCCACTCCGACAAAATCTTATTTTATAATGCAAAGTGTGGGTTCTCCATAAGCATAGCAATGGAATAAAAATTTCATGATTTGTGTGGCAGGCTAATGTCTGCCGAATAAACTTGATTCCTTGGCAAGTGCAAGGTCTTGTGATTGAAGTCTAAACTAATGGCATATGTAAACTTAAAAGATTGTGCCAAGTTGAATATGTGTCAGATGCGGGTTTTCACCTGTGTAAGGTATATTTTAATATGTATTTGGCCAAATTTGAAATTCACTTTCTTTACCTTATTGAAACTTATGAACAGGAAAGTCAAATATAGTACAATTAAGCATGTGCATTGCAGTAGTTTTGCTACAGAAATACCATATCCTATAATATACTTTACACACAGAAAAAAGCATTATGGTAATTAAACATCTCATGGCAGTGATTATAGTAATCCACAATGCTCCTATTTTGGCAATGAAACTGTGCATGTCTCACAATACATCAATACTTATTTCAAAACAACTACCAGTACTCCTTATATATAGTGCAACATGTAAAAAAGAAATATTCAAACACTCTAATATTCGTAAAGATGAGTTTTTATAATGGTTAATACAGTCTTGAGTGAGAGAAAAAGATCTTCTCTTGCCAAGTCTTCTTCTTCTCTCTCTCTCTTGTTGCTATACAAATGCATTTTTTCCAACTGCTCAAATTATACATAATTCAGTCTAGTTGGAAAAATAACGCTTCCAGATAATTTAAATCTCTTTAAGTACAAGAATATATTCCTGATTACAGTTGACTAGAGTCTCGCAAGAATTTTTCATATTCTTTTGTATAGTCAGATTCTTGTGAATCTTGTCTATAAAATTCAACTTCGTCATCAGAAGGAATAAAGTCATCAAAAGCATCAACGCCTTGACTCCAAGGCAAACTTTCGCCATCCTCCGATAAAGGAAAATGGGAAAGTCCATGTCTAGCAAGATGTTGTTGATAGAATTCTGGAATCTGAGCCTCCGCAGCTGTATACTGTACTCCCTCAGGTGTGAAAAATACAGGTTCATTCATGTAATAATTTTGATCCACTTCGGATAGGGCGTCACCATACTTTTCCGCATCTCCAATAGAAGACCTGGGACGCGTATTGGACTTCGTTCTTCCCCAGTTACTATCTTTTAACCGAGATACAGATGAAATTAACAAGACAATAGTCTTACTTTCTCCACTAGACTTATCCTTATGATCATCGGAAAACTTATTTAAAGTAGCAAAATTCTTCTGATAGTTTTTCATGTCTTCTTCATTATCATGAAAGGCATCTATAAGCTTTCCACCAGCAAGTTTCAAAACCTTGCAAACAAAAGTCACATTCTGTATTGTAGGATTTAGAAGTAAATTTTCCAGTGTTTTACTCAGAGATCTTCCTAAAGCTATCACAGGGGTCCCATTGATTTTTATATGAATAAATATTTCTGCCATGAACATCAAAAATCCGTGAATTTTATTGACATCTTCCTCTTTTTGTCCATCTATCAAATCTCGAATATTTTTAAATTCAGTTTGAAAATGATTAAGAAAAATTGATCGAAAATTAGAAAGTACACCTGGCTTAGTAAGATAATCACACAATCTGGCACCTAGGTACTTGAAATTATCTTCATCTATTGCCTTAGTGAATATAATATTTACCATTTCTTCAACAACTTCATCAGAATAAATATAATATTTAACTTGCTCAATAAAATGTGAAACAAGGTCATCAAAATTTCCTGGTTGTGTCAAAATATTTTCAATGAAAAATTTCAAATTTCCAATCAAAGCATCCTCCTGGTCCTGAGGTGCTTGTTCAGGAACATGTATAACTTGAGCCGCTGGTGTCGCCCTTGGAACAAAATCAGCAGCCTCAGCAGACAAATTGCTTACTACAACATTTTGCCCTAGGTTTGTCGTAACATCAACAAGCCCTAGATGAATGTTACGAGCAAGTTCCAAGTTTTCAGCAGATTCAAAAGCAACAGCTGCTTTCCGCAAGTCACTTTTTAACATGGCTAAAGCTGCATTTGAAATCACAGCAGGATTTCTAGGAGCTTTATCTATATTTCTTTGGTCGTTTTGGCCCTGGATATGTAACTGCTTTACAAGATCTGCTGCAGAATCAGCAGCACTTTCATTTGAGTTCATTAAGGGATTTGAAAACTTTTTTGCTGTGGGTGTATCATTGTAAGGTTCACTAAAATCAGAACTTCTATAAGAATTCACATTTGATTGTGAGCGCCAAGATCCTGCAGGCCATTCTGTATTTTGTGGTGCTGGTGGATATTGATAACGAGAGTTATTTTGATATTGCTGTGGAGAATAATCTGTTTGAGAGCTGTAAGCATTTTGAGGCGTAGGAGCCGTCGCGCTATTGGAAGAATATTGATCATAATATTGGGAATTCAAGATTGGGGGTTGGGCATCATAACTTGCAGCATTGCTTCCAGGCATAGACTGCTGATGGCCACTGTTTGGATGTCTGTACGGAGCTTGCTGTGGCGTTGGAGATGAACCACTTCCCCAATTGGCAGACATATTATTTTGTGTATAATTATTTACATTTGGGCTAGGTTGAGAAGCAGGAACATTGCTTGGCTGAGGCTGTTGAGAAGAAACCTGATTTGGTGCTGTTGAACTAGCGTAATTATTGGAAGACACAGAGGTGGGATCCCAAACATCGATTTCAGGTTCCGATCGCGCATTCCAGTACGGTGAACCCCTTTCTTGCCAATTTTGTCCATTGGAAGTACCTCTGTCAGCCATTTAGCATTTATAAGTTAGGTGTACCAGTGTACTGTTCTATAGTATAAAGGATCAGATTTGAAGTATGACAACTATCGAATGTAGATACTTTATTTTTAATTCTATAAAAATAAAATTATGACATATTACATGTTTTACGAATTTTCATCATTGATGCTGAAGTTAGGCTTAAAAGTACTAAATTAAAATATGAATGATAAAATTAAATACAGTACATGTCGGTGGCTGTTAGTTACTATAAATTGTCAATTGGTCTGAAAATTAATTTAGAATTTTGTTCATGTCTGATTGAAGCTTGGATAAAGTTATCATATTTATCGCAGGCAGAGAAAAGTCGATAAGATTCATATGACATATCACTGCCTCGATTAAATATCTATGAAATGTAAATACTCGATGTAATTGAAATTAATTTTTTTATTATCATTCAATAAGACATTTACATGCGGCATGACTCGTGATTTGTGTCAACGAGCTTATTGTGTCATGACTTTGAAAACTCTGTACATATGCATATAAGAAGATCAGTACACAACCGCTTTCCAGTGGCAGAGTCAAAGTCGATTATTGTCCATTTTGTCAGTAAAAAAATAATTATTATTCTGTGATATATCCACATTCTTTCGAATTTGTTACAATAAATAATATTGTATACGGTATCATTCAATTCTGAACTTTGTGCCATCGCTTGTCAATTAGCATGAATGATGATGATGAATGACTTGGTTTTTCTTAAAGCTTTCATGGCTTCATGAGTATGACTATCGTCGCAAATTTATTACATTCCACTCCCCACATTATCTTTGCATGAGATTGTAGGTATTGTTCATTATCAACGTAATTGTTGAAAGTACAACAGCCCGAAAGTTTAATACTATCATCATTATCAGAGCCAACTACTTTCCTCCCCCCCCGGGATAAATATGTAAATGCTATCCTATCCTAACTAGCCAAAAAGAGATAACGCGAGAAAGGTCTGCATTATTTTGTTTGTCAAGTTTGGCCCAAGCTTCACTTAATTGGGCTTGTGTTTTTGTGTGCGTGCTGGTGGGCAGGCACATGAGATACTTCTCATGTATTAAACTTATTTATAGGTTTTGCTTGCCCTCCAGAATTCTCCATTTTCAATTTATGTTTGTTATGGAGTTTTTGAAATAAACGATCTAGACTATCTAGGCATCATTATCAGAGCCAACTAGCTTAAAAGAGATAACGCGAGAAAGATCTGCATGAGCTTAACTGTGTTAAGGTGGTACCGTAACTGCGTAACACACCACTGTAACAAGCAAAATACAGAAATAATATTCTACTGTACCAATATAGTTTTGAAATCGAAACGAAGATCGTTTAGTGACATAGCTGTTTGTTCTAAGCAGAAGGTGGGATACTATCATAAAACATTTTCCTCCTGTAATGAACTCTTAAATGAAGTTTAATCACGATTTTAAAGCATATGCAGATAGTACGGTACGGTAACTGTATAACAGCTAGTACTGTAGTATAGTCATATGATCGTACCGGTAGGCCTACCTACTTTGTCTGTTCTAAATATCTTTTTGATACTACTGTAATACGGTGGTACTGTTAGCGGTTCTCTTTTTATATACACAACCGATACAGGTCTCGGTACCGTAAGACAGTACGTACCGGTAGGACCATCGATCAATAGTGAGACACATACAGAAAGCGCTAAAGCAAAATTGTTGGGAAAGCACAAAACGTAGTGTCTTTTCATTTGACCACTTGTTGGCCAAAGTGACTACTTGTTGCTGGCATGGCATATAAATGGATGTTTCCCCGAGCATCGACGGTGTGGCGCACAGGCTCGACTATGCGGTATGGCGCATCGTGCTGAGCGTTATACCGTACGCTTGTCACCGCATCTCTGAATACCTTGCGTGGGTTCGCAGTAGGGTTAGTTCGGATACCTATAATTTTTACTATCCGGATAACGGATATATCCGGGTATTCGGTATTTTGAATATCCGGTCAACCGGATAGTTACTGCTAATTTTAGAGAACCGATTTCGCAGGATTTTTGCGGTGAATTGACCAAAAACCACCACACAGTTCTATTGTAAATACTCACATATGTATTATTTTCCTTGAATAAGAATGATTGTGCATTTTAATATTGCATGTGTTAACAAATAATAATTTAAGCTCTGTAATCGTACCGATGTACAGCGGAATAATAAAATGAAACATTATTGAAAATATTGTGTCGTAATTGTTTTTCCCCCGACTGCTAAGTTATTTTCTCCTATTCAAATAATATGTAAAAATTTATTTCATTTCCACCATAATTTTAAATTTTTTTTAAGTTTCTTTTTTGTCTAGAGCAGGCCTGCCCAACCTTTATCGTCTCGCGGGCCACTTTGATGTGACGAAATTCGTTGCGGGCCGCAAAGGTTTGTACCAAACATTAATACAAGCTAGGTTCTGATTTCGATGTATTTAATATACATAATACATAAAAGGCAAGTTAATTAACATATAATCAATTGAGTTAATAATTGCTTTCTGGTTATTGGATAGAGCTGGCAAATTATTCGAATACCAAGTCGAATACACTGGCGGGCCGCTGAATTAATCATTAACTTGCGGTATTTTGACGACCACACGAGACCACATACATCCCGTCAAAATTGAGTGTTATATTTGCGTTATAATTTCATTCATTCGCTTTCAGTAGCTATGATACTGCCTCAATGATTAAATGAGCATAATGTGCGCCAATGTCGCGGGAATATCAAGTTTAAGTGGGCCGTTTCGTAAAATTTGAAAGACCAATAGAAGTATATATTTTAATGAAGTAACATTACAAAAATTTCGGGACAAATAGCCTATATATACCAATTTGTGACTAATATGTAGCAATGCCATTAAGTCAATTTTATCAAAATCATTGACGGATACCCAGTGACGACATTTCCGAAATCGTATCTAACGCAAACATAACATAAACAAAAATACAAACATAGCAGGACGAGTCCCGGGACCAGTAGCAAAGATATTGTTGACTTTTTACATTACATTGGCGATAAAGACGATCAAAGCCGTCACGAAAGCTATCGGAATGAAATTAATTTGCAAACTTAGGCCTTCAAATTCATTCTTATAATTGCGCTCAGCGTTCGTCCCCAATGATCGCACAATATCTTTCAAGTTCGTCGAACAGAACGCACAGTTTTGCGAGAAATAAAAAAACTGACGTCGATGTCCACCAGGGTGCAAGACTTGACGCATACGTATATAAGAACCGACATTTGAATGTAGATAGATAGCAGGAATAATCACATCGAAATCACGAAACAAACATAAGCCTATAAATTGATATAGAACATAGTAAAAAATCAAAACGTCTGCTTACAAACTCTACGAGGCGGGCCGCAAAAAACATTCTGGCGGGCCGCATGTGGCCCGTGGGTCGCGTGTTGGGCAGCCTTGGTCAAGAGCCTCTTTACTTTAAATTTTGACTCGTACTAAATTTTAGTGTCGCAGACTCGCAATGATCATTTCTGATCATCCGCACCTTCCTATCAATTGCAATGAAATTTATTATTGGCACGTATAGTATTTTGTGTTCTATAATATTTTGTGATTTCTTGCACGACGAAATAAACTTTGTTAATATATACCACAAGAGCATACATATAAATGAAATCATGAACACAAAAAAGTCGTGCATTTCGAACATTTGATTTCGGTAAGAGAAGTATCCAAAAAAAAAATCGAATATAGGGGGGACAAATTCCGTGAAGTGTATAGGAAAATATAAGTAATTTGAACAAAAATTTTAATAACAAAGCAAATTGATGATTTTGAAAATACCGAAGTGGTCAGGAATTTCTTCTAATTTGAAAACTTCACTTATTTAACATGTCACTGTAAATATTCTCACGTTTGTACTAATTAGGCCACAACTTTGAAAATCTATTTCCATTCGAATACCTTTTAAACTAAATTAACAGAGCCAAAACAATGCTGCGCCAGTTTTTAAGCAACTTTACTTACCACCCTAAATGAGTAAATTAAAAACATGACACGATACAAAGTCTGTCAAATTAAACTTTGCTGAAATATTATAGACCATTTTACAAACAAATTTGTTTGTTTCGTGTACCGAAAAATCCAGAACGGTACACAGATTATATGTAATCCGAGGCTTAGTATATTTTCACATTTGCGTATGCCGTATTGTGAAATAAGTCCTCGAAATTCAAACCGGGTTGTTCTATAATAAAAGGCGTTCCTTCAATACACCGCAACAACTAAAAGCAAAAGCGGTATCACACTCCTCACGATGTAGGCCTTAAGTTGTATGTCCCTGAAAGCACAAGATAAGAAGCAGAATCAAAATGTACCATCCAGCCGCGCCAATCCACAAACAAATTCCAAATACAGGATAAGACGGAGGCCATCCACCACCGGCAAGGCCCGATGATACATGGCCTACGTGGCGTCGACTGTGCAATATCTGCGTTTTGTCCAGCGCCTAAGCAAAACGCACCTCCATTTGCCTCATTCTCCCGACAATATACCTAAATCCCAATGAAACAGCGACAGCAAAAATAGTCATCACGAAAACCGCCAAAATATAGGCAAGGAAGTGTGAATAAAAGCTGTTGTTATATGCTCTGGAGGATGACGCCACTTAACAAAAAATATGAAAATCACTTACCGAGCATACGCATTATTTATGCTACTTTACTATCCGGTTAACCGTCGCAATAACTTCCGGATATCAGATAGCAAAATACATCTAGGTTAACTGTTATTCGGATAATTCAACCCTACTCACAACTTTATTTAAAGCCGTTGAGTGCCTAAAATTCCAATTGCAGTCTTGATATAGCAATATTTGCACCCTTTAACCAACGTAATGTTGCTATTTCCATTCCGACATCAACAAGTAACTTTCCAGTGATGGGAAAATATTTCGATTTTTAAAATGGGTGGGGATCTTTAATGTGTTAAAAATCCAGCTCTACAGATTTTCCACTTCTACATATCAATTTCGCAACCGAAATAACGGAAGCTGCTTTGAGCATAGGTGCAAATATGATGTCAACAATCTCCCAAGTCGAAAATCTAGAATAAAGAGTCCCTCTCCAAAGCAACACAAGCAAACTTTGAGAACTAAAACAGTCTTAACAAACATTGCAAAGTATACATTACTGAATTTTGAATAAAGTTAGCAGTATATTTGATAGAAAATTTCGATTAGCAGTTCAGGAATGCAATTATCCAAAAGAACAATCCCCGGAACATATGGATGTGAGGAGACAAAATTGCACAACTTTTTCTCACAACAAAAATGGACTTGTAAGATGAGTCAACTTCAGTCAATTTAATTTACAATACTTGATTTACCGGTACATATAGAGTTCTGATGGTTCAATCAACAGGGTAGAAAAAAATGAAATAATTTCAAAACTGAAACACTATTTTTTACTGAATGTAGGTATAAATGGTATGAATAAAGATGTTTAGAGCATATAGCAACATTTCATCTGGTCAACAGATTAATTAAACAATGTTGTAAAAAAATTTGATAACAAAAATATATCAATACTGATGTCAACACAGTGGAAAAAAATTGACAGATGGGATTTTGGTTCACTTGATATTCAACATAGATAGTATCTGGAAAATATTATAGCAATATAGCTATTAGTGCATCAGTGGTCGTCGTCAACCCTTTTACAAGACCCATGGTCGATGATCAACACAGTATGATTGCACCGTAAGAAAAATTACAAGATGATGTGTTATGATGATAAAAAACTTGTCCCTTTTAATTTTGCCTGTGATGAGGAAGACAAATAGGTAGATGAAGAAAAACTTGTCACTTTTTCTTCACTTGGACTTGAAAATACTGTTGGAGTGATGGCAGAGTTATTGTTTGTAGTAATTTCCTCCGTAACATGGTCGTTTTGAATAGGCACAGCATTGTTAAAAGGTTTTGTCAGATGATATCTTTCATACTGTATAGAGTTCTTAAGTGGCAAGGAATGGCAACGATAAACTCGTCTTGTAATCTCTTCAACTTCAGGCGGTATAGGCATTGCCGGCATTTCCCAGTGAATGACTAACATCTGAAACCATTGTTCCAACAAAGAGAAAGGTGGCCTAAAAGCAAGATTTGTAACAGCATGTAAAATACAGAAAATAATGGAAACTATTTTTCAGCAGGTACATAATAAATAAAAATTGAAAGGGAAAGTAATGAAGTATTTTCCAGTAAAGGTATTGTTTTAGAGAAAATGAGAGTGGACAAAATGTATATGTGAAGATATATGTGACATGTTTGGTAAAACATATTTATTGCCAGAGTTCCAAGTAAAATATTTATGAAACTAAATGACACATTTTTGAAGTGTATGGCAGGAGCAAAATCCATAGCTTAAGGAATATTAGCAGTAAAATCTGATGATTGTTATAAGTTTACAAACTTAATACTCAGGGAGAGAGGGCAACAGGTGGTTTATTTCCTACATTTATTACTATATTTATCAAATTAGCACTGTCATAAATAATAACACCCAACTTCAAGGCCATGAAAACGAATTATTGCTAACTATTTTTTACTTCTACCTACCTGTTGTCAGGTTCCAAATCACAGCATAGAGCAGCTATTGCAAAGAAGTATGGCGGGCAGTCATCACAAAATTGTTTGAAAAATTCTGGCACACCAAGACCGAAGTCTTTATTTCTTGGCAAAGTATCAGGATCAGCATTAACTCGTCCGATAATTTCACAAATTACAATGCCTAAAATATAAAACAAACATATCAGGACACATAACACCCCCTTGCTGCACTCCCAGAAAAGTCATTCCAAATCACATCTATCATGATAATTTTGTATGTAATAAGCGTCCGTATAAAATTCAGATTTCGAAACATGCACTTGAAATACTTGTGGCATGTTTGGTTATGTGAAAAACATAAAACAAATACTTAATTGTGCTATATTACCAGTAAAATCCGGACTTGAGCCACATTAAGAGTACATGCATGGAACTGACTGAGCTGCAAGTTTCCCACTTCTCATACAAACATTAAAGCTTAGTGCTTACCAAAAGAGAAGATGTCCACTCGTTCATTATATTTAGCATGATATAACATTTCTGGGGCCATCCAATATGGGGTTCCAACAACAGTATATCTTTTCCTCTGTTGAGTGAAGAAGAATGCTGTTGCTGCATGATCCTGGCCAATCCAAAATCAGCCACAACAATAGTACCATCCTAAATAATACACACAAAGTTACAATAGTGCTTATATATAGAGTGAAAACAAGAAAATACATTTTTATATTTAGAGCTCGAGCTATATACAATGTTTAAACTTAAAATCAAGTTGAAAACACTAGAACAAATATGTTCCATACTGAACATTTTCTCCCTCTATACAAATAATTTTAACTAACTCAACAAACTATTGACAAACAACCACAAGATGCTGCAATGTTATTGAAAGAATTTTCCATGTATATTTGTAGTTATACCTGCTTCACGAAACAGTTTGCTGAATTCAGATCCCTGTGTATTATTTGCATTGCGTGAAGGTATGACATTCCTGATGAAATATCTCGAGCCACTTCAATCTTTCTTTGCCAAGGAAATGGGTTATCCATATCAAAGATAAGTTCTGTTTATTAGAAAAGCAAAGAATGAAGTTACAAAAACAGGACTTCTATAAATACTCAAGTTAATATATTGGAATACATATATTTGATGAGAGGCTGAAAAAGATTATTATTATATTACAGATTATATTTTTAAGGAATGTGGATGATGTATAATAACAAATCAAAATGGAAAGGCAATTACTGAAGACTAGCATATCTGGTAAAAAGTAGGCAATGTGTCAACCACGAATGGACATGTATACTATAAAATAAGTAATGGATAATAATACAGAGAATGAGAGTAAAATTGTCACTTTCTTATATCAATCCATTGCTTATGCAAAAAAGGCAATATCGTTTCTATACAGAATGCCATATAAAACTAATGATATGTCATTACTGTATTACATATGATTTATTATTGCCTCCAGATTATTGATTGTCTGCTAAGTTGCATATGGATTACATAATATGCACTCGTACTTTTAAGCTGCATATCAATCAGCATAATGACTGTTAACACATATACATAGTATTCACTGCGTGACTAGGTAATATATTACATATCTCAATAGGTTTGATAGGTTTTCAATTAAATATTTCGAAGAATGCCCATTTTCAAAAATTATTCAAGAGTCAAATTTGTCATTAATTATTTAGAGTGACTATCTCCCTGATAAGATCACCCACGAAAAAAAACTAATGCAATCATGAATAGTGACAATGAAATCAATATATGTGGGTTAAAAGAATGGTAACATCATTGCTGTGACTGCAAATTAAGTATTCATATATCGCCTATTGAAAGATGCATTGAGAAAGTACATTAACATTTCATAAAATACCTTTCAATTACAAAATTTCAATTGGAAACTGAAAAGAGATACCAAAAACAAAGAATCGAAAATGCATGTACAATTCTTTGCTCACCTTTTAGCGTTCCACATTCGGCAAATTCCGTTATAAGGTTTAATTTTTTATCTTTATAAAGAACTCCTATGAATCGAAGTACATTTGGATGACTTAAGTTGCGTAAGACTTTTACCTGAAGAGAAATTTAAGGATCAAATATTCAACGTAATATCAATATCCCGTGTTGAATAATAAGTTCCAAATCATGCGTTTCATAGTAATAAGAGATAGGCAGCCAGCAATGAAAGAATATTATTTAGAAATCTAGAACACTCTTGTTTGTTTAAACCAAATTAATGTAGTGAACCAACACTAAGGAATGTGCTTTGTTTGAAAAGCAACAAATCTAAAACATTTAGAACACTCCAGAGCAGCCAAGTATGAGCCATCGATAAACTATATGAAAGAAAACCAGTTTCATATGCGGCTCATACTAGAAAGTTAATTTTTTCTTGTTGAGAAAAAAGTTAAAAATTTTGAAACACACATGTGCTTTACTTCAATCAACACCAAAACTCAGACATACCTCTTTTATAAAAGCTTTTTCAGTCGCATCATCAAGTGAATGAGTATTTTGAGCACCATTACTTCACCAAGTATCTCTGTGAGTCACTTTAATCGCTTTTCCGAAGAATCCAGCCCCAAGTACTGTTCACCATTGTATAAGACCACAGGACGGAAGGACTTGAGGTTGAGAAAATCATAAAAATCGATTTGAAGGGTACAAAATGAAATAAAGTTGTTAAGTGTTTTCCTTACACACCACGAACCTGTGCGTTAAATCTGAAATTCCTCCATGAATCTCATAGATTCTGATCGATTGAGGTCTTTAGTTCCAGGGGAATGATAATATTGGAAAGATAAAGTTGAGGGAGATGTGGTAAGGGTTGACGCAACATTTGTATCACTTCGTGCATTTGACACTCTGCCAAATTGAAATCAAAATGTTAAAATACTCTCAATATAAAAATAGTCTCATTCTACCAATTCTCATTTAGACCCAAAAATAAGATTTCAAGTTCCTGTAGTCACGATCATGATACACTACAATTCACAACTAGTAACTATATTTCATGAATGTGGTGTTAAAACTGAAAATTTCCAAGTAGGATATAAAAACTAACAATGTATTTACTGAGTAGCAGGTGAATGGTGCATTACGATAATCCGGCGTAACTAGATACCCTCCAATGAACCTAAAAATATCCTGGAACAATCATCTCACTTTACCAAAATAATAAAAATAAAACAGCAAGTACGTAAATTACTTACTTTGGTGACGACTTTCGCAATATGACTATTGAACCATCAGTGGTTGTTCTAAGTGAATTACTTCGTTTGGATGACAAATACCATGATTCAACACCACTGTCCACTAAGAGGCTATAAAAGTATTTTGGCCATGGTTACTATGAATGGTAAAGTGTCAGAACATGTTGTCAGTACATTCTGCGCTTATATATACGATTATATGCCTACTGCAAAACAAAAATATAAACCAGTTCATTTTTGATAATATTGATATTGATTGGGGTAATATTGATCGTCCAGGTTTCTGACAAAACTGATGATAATAGCTTTAAAAAACGCCTTTATTGACAATGTAATAATACGTCACATAAAATACCAAAAATTAACTAATAATCATAGGTGAATATATTATGCATGGTGTGTATAGCTTCTGAAAAACATTTATTAACCTTTAATATCATATATTGGACAAATCAACTATGTAAAGAAGTAAGGGATATAATTGATATTCTTGTATAAATTATTTCAATATTAAAAAATACCAAAATTCCAACTAACCTTGTCCAGCAGTTTCTTTTTCACAACAGCCGGTATTGCGGGTTGTTCTTCATCAGGAGATTTGACACTAGGGATATTCTCTTTTAATAAGATTCGTTGAATATCAGGTGACAACTTAAGAGCATCTGTTTTCATAGCACGAGGTCTTTTGCATCCCCCTCTACGTGTAATAGGTGAAGGTGGGGAAATAGTAATGTCATTATCTCCCGATATGTTTTCATCGGGAGTCAAATTAAGTTCAGTAGGAGTTTGTAATGATGAATTACTGTCAGATTTAACAGATATTTCCATAGATGACATTGAGTGATAGGAAAGAGAAGACAGTTCAGATGAAGGTCTCTCAATATCTAAGCATGTAGGAGTATTAGGTCCATCCACTTCATTGTTATCATCAGTAACTTCGACACCACTGTCAATGGACTGAATTCTTTCATTATATTCATGAGCAACATTAGTATCATCATCAGCAAGAGTTTCTGATAAGGAATATTTTGAATCTGATTTGCTTGCTTTGGCACTTAGCACATTTTCAGAGAAGCTTTCAGTAAGTCCAGTGATAGCATCGTTCACAATAGATATATTTGATGAGGAAGTTGTACTATCTAAAATTGTGTCATTGCCAAAAGATTCTGATTTCATTTCATTATATCTACATGTACCACTAGATTTCAAGTCAAATCCTATCAAGTTATTTGTGATATTTGTTACGCTGTCCTTCGACAATGAAGTTGATGAACAACAGTTGCTATCAGAAGCAACAATAGGGGGCAAAATAGAACAATTCACAGAACATAATTTATCTTGTCCAACTAATGGAACACTTGAACCAGCATATCCGTCAGAATGCAAGGAGTAGAAATCTTCATCCATAGTTGTGGATTGAGAGCTTTCTAAAGTTGAAAATGATTGTGGCTGATTTACAACAACTTTGTCAACCTTTGACTCCATTTGATTTTCTATTATTGTTACTTCAAGTATGTGTTCTTCGTCAGCAACAGGTGAAAAGACAGTGGAATCCAGCAATCGAGCCACTGTCTTGAAATCCCTGAAAGTGATTTATTCAGAATTATAACAAGATTAGTTAACGGACAAAGTGATAGAACAACTTTTGATAATCAAAACTATAATAAAGTATGCTTCATAGCTGAAAGGATGTATGACTAAATAACATTTTAACATCTAAATGAAAGATAACAGGAAAGAAAAATATCAATGAAGTCATTTCACCTGCAAAGTTCAACTTGTCTATTAACTGTCAGTTGCAAAGGAAGACCAGATGCATCTGTAAGTCTGCTGATCTAGAAATGAACAAATATGGACGATAAAAAATACAGTATAGAACAGAGACAAAATTAAGAAGAGAACGAAAGTAACAAACCACTTACCAAATCTAAAGTATTTTGTTTGACATTAAGTCCATTCACTTGTAAGATATGATCCCCAGTTTTCAAGGAACAATCAATGGATTGTGATTTAATACTAAATCAAAATGAAAGAGAATATTAATGAAAGAACAGAATAATTAAACACATAATCCCAAGGCATTGAAGAAAACCTACGATTCAACAATTTGTCCAATATTCTCAACAGGCTTTCCTGTAGGAGTGCCATGTTTTGCTGCCGGAGGTACGATTGGGTCTTTTACTTTTAAGTGGATGATTTTATCATTTTGAATCGGCAGGAAGTTGATAATCATGATTGTAGAATATGTTTCCATTTCAGAATCACTGAGTCCCAAACCTGTTATTGTATCTTGCAAATTCTGAAAACAAAATAGTAATATATAAAATACAAGATGATACAGGGTAAAAAAAGTATATACGCAAAAGACAATTAATTGTAGTTTGTACCAGCCATAATAAAATCCCATGGTTCTAGTTTTTATCGAAGATTTACCATTATACCAGCATTTCAAATAATAATATATTATCTTATGTTCTACCTACCTTGAAACATGTAGTACAAAACAGTGTAGTGTCAGTATTGTTGACGTTTGTATTTTGAAGCACCAATGTATATTGATCACCATCAGAAATAAAACTATGGCATTTTGCACACAAGAAGCACTCTGGATGAAATTTAAGGGATCCAGCAATCTAAAATTTAAAAAGATTGTATTGATATGTTTGTTTGTATCAAGCACTGTTTCTGATAGAAGTTGTGCCAAGCATAGGTTGTATAATGAAACTAGTTTAGAATAAGGCCAAATTAATTTAGATAAATAAATATCATGAAGAGGGCAATATTTGAGTGTATAAGTGCAGATTGTAGACTAAAGAGTCGAAGACCAAAATGAGATTAAAATATAACGATGATCATTTTCAATCTAATACTAGTCTATTCAATTTGTCCGAATACATACCTGCTACAGCCAAGATATACTAGCATGTAGAATATAATGTGCATTACATCATTTCCTTTTTAACATACCCTTAATGATATTTTCAAAAAGTGCCTACAACTAGGGGAAACTAGCATCGCTTTCACTGACTTGTCTAAAGAATTTGATATACCCCTCATTATTAATGTCAACCCCGTTCACATATTCAAAATGCGAAAGACATCCTTATAGATGTAACTATAGGAATACGTAATAAAAAGGCTTATAAAAACAGTTAACTTCCTCCTCTTGCCAATTGAATGGATGTGTGAGTGTGTATCGCGCACAGCACACAGGCAATATTGCCGCATACATGCACGCTATTAAACCTATACACAACAGTTACATTTGGCAAAGTGATTTTCAAAAATCAATAGTCTGTCCTATCTGGCCCAATTCCCAGGATATTTCACAACTTTCCATCGGTGAAAACACATTAGCAGGGTGAAAAAGTACAGAAAAAAAAAAAATAAAGAAATGACTCGTATCATAATTTAAGTACTGGGATTCTAATTGTAAATAAAAAACAAAAAATTCTATACTTAGAATTAGATTCATTAGGAAACATATGTAAATGGACATGAGCAATGTGAATATCAGCATCAGCATACAATAAAAATGAAATCATTTTCTTAAAATAAATATCACGTTTTAACATTAATATTTCTGGACAAAGACTAATTGACAGCAACTTGGATCGGTTGCCTTAACAATCTATCAAACATATAAAAGCAAATTGAGTTCAACAAAAAATGGGAATTATCAGAAATTTTCCACAAAAATCAATGATATAAATGCTCTAAAATTGGTCACCGTAATAATCAGCTGATAGAACACAATGTATAAAATTGACATAATATATAATACCATTATTGGTCCAGTTATAATGCTCGAACATTTGCTGCATTTCTGTCCAAACTTATTCCAATAATCATCTTCACAGTACAGCATATCGTTCTTTTCATAAAACCACTGTGTAAGAAAACATCCGCAGGCAACACACCTACATTAAATATACATAAATGGTTGTCAGTATTGTAGTCACAAGTGACTGCACAAGATTGGAAATGCCAAGCAACTGTCAAAATAAATACAGTATATAACTAGCATATCAGTGGGATATTTGTTTAATTATACAAAGCTTAATAAAGTATCCATGAATAGACAATGAGAAATGTTTATTTAATAAAAAAAATGTATGTTCAAAATAGCGTGGCCCAAAATACTACTTTTGATTGGGGTTACATACTGCCAATGTAATAAATAACATGATCCAGCAAAGAACAAACAGTAAACATTTTTAATAACAACTTCACCCGAGGTGTGACTATAAATGAAAGCCTTACTTATTATTTACCGTAAATCACATCCTAAATGTGGTCAAAATAAATACTGTCATGATGTATTTCTAATAGCATATTAAAACAATTCCTGTAAACACAAAATTATATAAATCTTTTTTCAACGACATCTGACATAGATATAATATGCTCACATGATATGAAACACTATACTAAACACATCAGCAACGCAAATAATAGTTGCATGTGATTGTTGAGTGGCTTGTTAAAGCTGTTTGAAAAATCCCTGAGTAAATGGAATTCTGAAAAATTTGGCTAATAAAATTTTCGGAAAATTTTATTCATATAGGTGATTGTGAATATACAATGTATTTGTCATTATGGCCAATGATTGAACATGTTTAACTTATCAAGTGAAAAAAGAGAACAATACCTGTGCTCCTGTAGAGATTGGACAGCAGATTTTTTCTCCTTCATTTGCCAGAATGTTTGTATTTGATTAAATTTAGCATTCATGTCTGCTCTCCATCTCCATATAGGATCTTTTGGTTTTGCCTGATCGATAACTGATTTTTCCTCAATTATTCGATGAGCGGGAGATGTGTGCAATGACGAAGGTGCAGAAGCAGGAAGCAGTCCATTCTCATTCTTAGAATTAAACTCATTTTTAATGCGGCGAATAACCATGTCACTCTGGCAATTCCTGCTATAATCATAAACAGGTGAAAGTGCAGGGGACATATTTTTGCCAATATAGTGATTCATAGCTAATGGCTTTCTAGTTTTTTTTGAAGTAATTTCCCCTTCCCCATGCACCTGACTTCGTTTTATTTCTCTTTCTGTTTGAAAGTTAGAAAGTTCAGCATTCAGATGCCTTGCATTTTGTTCTGAAAAAGAAAATGACTTGCAAACAGGATAATGAGATTGGTTTTCGGATCTTCTTTTCTTTTTTGGAGTAATATTTGTGGCTGCTACCGCAGGTGATGTCGAACCATCAAGTACAGACTCTCCTTTATAATCCGATTTTGACGCAGGCCTATTCAACTTATTTCTTTTTGTAGACCCTTTTTTAAGTTTGTGAGATATACTATCCTCGTCGATTTTATTCTTTCCGTTGACAACGCTGTTCCTAATACGATGAAAAATAGTTACTGGCGAGCTGCCTCTATGTAAAATAGCATTTGTGTTATGACTGCTCTCTTTTTGGCGCGCTCGTGCGCCCGTTCGATTATGATTGCAGTCCGTGACATGGCTGGAGGACGTTACGTCAGAGTAATCGTGCATGGAACTTTTACCATAGGGCACGTCATTAAAATAATTAGATTGCACTTCTGTCATCTTCAAATTCTTGTCCGCTCTATAGCTGTGTTGTCTTCTTACCATCGAATCAATGTCTGTATCGCGACTGCTAAAATTTTCGATGGTCGTCGAACTTCTTTGTCGTTTTTGCACAGCGGCGTCGTTCGTCTTTGCAAGCGAGTCATCCGACCCAACATTGCTTCCGTTCCCGCCCAATTTTATTTCCCAAAACCGTTTGATATCAGCGAACTTCATCTTGGATTTGTTGCAGTTTTTCAAATGAAGTTTACAATGTTTATTGCAGTGACGATTGCGTTCATTTGACCAAATTCATTAAATTATTTATTATACTGGCTATCACACTCTGGTATTACACCTCATACTTTTATCTTATCTATATTAAATAAACCAGAAAACAGAACAGAAAGATAAAACGACGTTCTGACAAACTAGTTTCATTTTGAAGGATTATATTTGAGACAATTACCGCGTTTCCGACGACGACAAACAATATTGCTCAATGAGATTATTATTCACCGTCCATGAGGTAATATACAATTCAATACAAATTGAATTTTCCTGTTTACAGGCCAAAGGCAACAGCGTCGTCGATAGAAAAAAATGTCCCGCTATAAATATCACATCAAATGTGAATAACGAAAAACAAATTTAACATAACTGTGATGAGACTCATATCAATATTTATGCCATTTAATGCAATGGTCGATTAGGCATTTTTTCATTAAATATATTACGAAAGATTAACAAATTCTAAGAATATAATCAAATTTTGAAATGATCAAAGTAATTGCGTCTGATTCGTATTCAATTCATATTTCGAAATGTTCAAATTAAACAATCTTCACCAGCATCAGCACTCGGTCAGTGTTCATTTCATACACCATTAAAAAACTCAGTTTTAGCGTACAATATTATCTACGTGATTGGGAATTTTAATGGAAAGCGCCATTGATAGAAATCGCCAACTTCCTAGTTTCTAGTTCCCAGTTGTATGAATCAACGCAAGCAAATCATGCCTTACATTAAAACGTTTGCATTGAATATATGACGGTGCATTCTTGACGCATTCCCGTCCGTTTACCTACCTCAATATACTATGACGTATTTGCCAACTAATGTCTTTTTTATACATCAAAAGTAATCGGTAACTTATCTGAACCGCAAACTCGTTAATTTACAGCAATAAATGAAAAAATCATAATTCATATTGATCTGCATCACATAGAATTACGACATGCCAAACTTTTAATGAAAGCTGACATAAATCACGAATTCATTGCTTATAATTAAGTAAATAAACGGATAATACATCAGTAATGATTTAATATAATTCTCGCAATCATTTTTGTAAGCTATTGATTCTAAATAGCTCCCAATTAATTGTGCCCCTATTGATGAATTAAAATTCCACGAAAACTTCCCAATGACCAGAAAGTAATTTAATTGTTAATTGTGAACAAACGAGTTTCATCGACGAATGATTTATTTACTATTCACTTTTTTTTTTAATTTATCAGTAATAATTACCGGTCTAATTTTAACGAAAAACGAGTATGCCAAATCACAATTGCTAATTGGAATCTGCAATAATTCTGTTAACATGAACATCAACGAGTTGATAAAAATTCGAAAAAATTCAGTTGTTACTTTGAAATGCCGCATATTCGATTTCTTGCAAATACTTGAAATCATCAATTGAGCCATTCGACGAATTCAAAATCAATCGTTCTGATCAATTTAGACACTTGCCCGCGCAAAAAAAGTAACGGAAAATATTTTATGATTAGTTATTACGAGATAGGAAAGGGGAAGCAAACACTTACAAAGTAAATATAGATATCATATATTGAGGCTATTGAGATGCTATTTAGAGAGCATTGCATTCCAGATTCATATAGACTTAGATGTTAAAAGGTATATCAAATCTACATTCCAATGCCGTTCTCATCATCGGGTAAGAAATGAAGGGGCTGCTTGATTGGCGGTCAAGGACTGTATTTACACAAAAAATGTTTAAAACCCAACTCATAGACACTCAACATTCTTCCACAAATCAATGACAATGACACTTGTGGGTGATCGAAATATCTGGAATGACTAAACACATTGAATTCTTTTCTTTTTATGTAGCCGGATATTGAATAATCTAATTTTATTGAAAACATTCAAACCAAATACGAATAAAAAAAAAATTAGTAAATGGTTTTTATATTAAAAATAACAAACAAACTAACGATTTATGGGCTACGTCAATTTTACAAACTGGAGTTTTGTCCACATTATGATACAAATTCTAACAAATCAGAACGATATATATTTTTGCTTTTCAAACATATCTAAGATACAGGGCGACATTACCATTTCGAACGCGAAGCAATGGTTGAATATCGATCGTACGCGAGACATTTTGATACAGACCATGGATCTAAACTTAGACACGGGCCTGTCTTGATACAATACAAAAAAGACAAATCTCTCGTATAAAAGATACTAAAGTATCTCAAATTTAATCTACAGGAAACCATTTACCCTCAGGAATATGACGTCTGTTCACTCGACCACATAATTCGAGTATTACGATTCTTTTTCTATGCCCGGAAGAAAACATTATACAAATGTCGCCAATTTAGTTTAATAAAAGGAATACTTTCAATAATTTTGTAGAAATACCACGTCGTTAAGCGCCATTTTAGCAACCTCAATTTAGATAGTAACGCTAGGTACTGTCGATGGACCTTCAGTGCAAACGAAAAACCTCAACACATACCAAAACTAACCACTTTGCTCAAATTTCCGCCTTTGCATACTTTGCTAATATAAAGGCAAATTTATTCAAATTAAAGCAACTGTAACATTCAGTAACGTACACTTACTTATCCACAACTAATCCCGCCTTCGTAAGTAGCAATGACGCATCTCTGCGTTAGATGATATCTAAGACGAAATTTTAAATGTAAGAAAGGGCTTACTTTCCTTTATGCGACCTTGCAGACACGAAAAGAAGCGACCGAAAAATTCAGCTGAGACCTGAGAGCAAGTTGTTTTTACCATAAATATTTTGGGAAAGCGCTCCGATGCGTGAAATCAATTTAAAGAAAGTTATCGAATGAAACATCTGCTTCACGTCATGTGTGTTGTATATTGTATACCAACGACTTAATAGAGCAAATATATTTCAATAGCACGGTAACTGAGTAATTGGGTATGAGCTATAGAACCTTCGAACAAGAAAATACTACCCTGCCATAACTTGACCCCAACCAATTAGTAAAACTTGTGCCTTGAACTGTCACTGACCACGCTTCCAGTGGCAAATTTTGCTAAACTTCACAATTACAGACATATTTAATTATGTATGGTCAAAAATGGTGAGCACTTTGATAGCGCAATCCATGTATAAACCATACGCGACAAAGGGCATAGTAACATAAAAAACATCGGCTTTTAGAATCCATGTATTATTATTGAAACATGTTATTACGTGATAATATGATAGGCTTTTACAAACGGAACTGAATAATTTGTCAGTTGATCTATAATAAATGTCATTCTATTCTGTTGAACGTCATTCTATTTCAATTCACGACCGTGATACTCGTCGCTTCACGTTAACAGCAACCATACTATAAACATGCTATTTATACAACTTATCATAATAATTTAAATCCAATTTTTAATATCCGCTAATTTTAAAATTAAAAACCAAATAAGATATATTTCTATCCTGACACCGATTTGAAACAAAACGGAGATCTTCTGTACAAAAAGGCCCCGCAAATTGCAAAATACCCAGTTTGGGTTAGCAATGGTTTGAAAATTTGAATTTCCAGCGCAATCATCATTCCTGTCTCTAACTGGATATTTATTTACTAATTTTTCTATTTTAAGGGTTGGCTGGGACTTTGTACAGAAGATCCCAAAACGGTGATAATCTCAAAATGAGCTACGAACATCTATCAGACTATCACCTGTATCAATATAACGATTACTGACAAATTTCATTTCACATCTTTGCACCACAATTCGGCTTCACTAAATGGCATCCTAAAGAATCATATGGGATAAGCTCGCGAGCATGACCGCTTAAATCGTCCAATTCACTTCTCCCTAGTTTAAATACCGCACTGTGCACACTCATCGGGTCCATTCGTTGGTATTACAATTCCTCAAAGTTTACTCTATCACGCCATTTAACGCCCTAGTTTCACAAATAACAGTTCGTAGTTGATGTCACCGTAACATCATTTTGTATTCAACGTTAGTTTGTACAATTCCACCTTCTAAATATTGCAAAATTCTCAACGATATGGTTAATCCAATAAAATGAAATAACATCGTGAATCTAACCAATAGAGGAAAGTTACTTTGGCATGTCCGGACATAACCGTTATCGAATGTAATAAAGTAGGCATAATAAACATTCTGACATATAGAATAAAACGTCAGCGGTATCGTATTTTATTAGAATTTGATCATGTTTAACAGCAAATACAAGACATTAAAGCACTTGCGGAATTTAAAATTTGTAATGAGACGCTTTTGTCGACAAAGCAGGCCATTTAGGACTTTCAAAAATGCTACCAAAAAAGATATCTTTATTATTTTAATAGAAATCGCCAAAAATGAAACATCAGCACAGCTTGTTGGGAATTTTGCGTAATGAGTTTGATTTCTTTGATCTAAATAAATGTGACACTGTATAAAATAGAGATTATACCAGCGAAAAGTCATTAGTTTATTTATACTTCGATTTAGGCATGGCGGCCAGAAGCTGGATATTTTCTATATTAATCATTTTTTATATTTGTCATGAAATGTAAAGAAGAGTCCACAGCAACATATTCTACTGTGATGTCAACAGGATTATCCATTTGGTCAGTGTGTCCATTAATGCAACTGACGTCATTTGAAGCCGATTTTTGTTTGGCTGCGTGCAGATTGTGATTCACCGTACCGTACGACGGGAGAGGTTAAATCAGTTCGGAAGCACAAAAACAAAAGTCTCTAAACGTTTCTTGTTATGCTCGCCCGTACTCCTTGAATACCGTCGACAATGTCACAACACTTCAGATTTCGATGGGTGATAATAATATATACAATGTATTATGCACGTGTCACAATAAGAAAAATTTGCCATGCATAAACTTGAGAAAGTATAGAGTTTCTTCGAGTAAAAACTCAGCTTATATATAATGGTATCAAGTCGCAAATTTAAACATGAATATACTTGTGAAAATTTTGCAAAAGGCTAATTACAAAAACAGAGAGCTACGCCCAAATTATGGACCACGTCTGTTCGCAAGTACAGTACGGTTTACCGTACCGTCAGATCACAGTCTACAAATATATTCACACCAAGCGAAGCAGTACAGTTTGGACACAAAATTGGCGTCAATGTCCGCAAGAACGTTCAGTGACGTCATAGCAACAAAACAAATCTCACAGAGCTAACAGAAATATTTGAAATAAATAAAAGTAATAGCCTTATGGAATAGCATATATTTGGAATTTTGATGGAATTTGATATACAAAAATTGATCACGAAAAACATAAACTATCGGTCCAAGTTTATAACGACCCAGGTGGTGTGTATCCCAGGTTGCATAGTTATTGTATTGTTTTTCTATACCATATATTTATTAGAAAGATTGGTCTTTGCTGGCTTCATATTTACATATTCATTTTTCACACCATTAGCTACCAGTACCAATTACCGCAAATGAACGTACATACATCTTTAGGAAGTACATCGCTACGCGAATGTTAGCAATATGATGCTATTACTTCAACCACTAAAAATTTCAAAGCAATTGGTCCAATAATCAAGAGAAAAGCGATTTTTTAGATTTCCCACTAGGTGTCCAAAAAGTGTCAAAGAACAACAAGAACAAGATAACAACAAAACGATCGTTATGTCCACTAAACGTGTCCAAAAAGTGCTGAAAAGCGCAGCGATAGGTGAACAATATGCATAGGGCTCGTCATATTGCTACATGATTCGAAATAATATGGAATCGCTTTCGACATAAAAGTACAAACTTGGCAGATATAAGGTTCTGCTGGTTTCACGAGTTCTGAAAAAATGTACAAAAACCAAAAGCATGAAACAGAATAGTTGTAAAATTT